TGTTTAAGGAGAACGTCGACAGTCTCAGGAAGTTTTTCAACAGACTTTGAGGCTCTGGGAATAGTAGGAAGGGATTGAAATTGAGAGATGGAGTGACCAATGTTATTAAAAATTTCGGCTTTTTGCCTTTGAGAGCTCCCAAAATCCTGAGATATTCGGCTTTTGGCTCAAAAAACGGACCAGGTCGAGTGGTCGGTTTAAATGCCGAGAAAGTAATCAAAGTGAGCCAGAATTTGAGTCTTCCTTTTTTATATGTCTTGATATGATGTCATATTTCGACTATGTTTGACTTCTTTTCGACCCTTTTATTAATTGAAGCCAGCCCAGAATTCAACCTGGGGAGTTTTTCGTTCAAAAATACTAAATTTTTGTTATTTGGATACTAAGGAGTTTTGAGTTCTCCAAAACCGAGATTCCCTATAAATTTTTTTGTGCTAAAATCCTGGCTCACTTTGATTACTTTTTTTAGTCGAGCGGCACTCGACCTGGTCCGTTTTTGAGCCAAAAGCCGAATATCTCAGGGTTTTGGAGCTCTCAAAAGCAAACTGCCGAAGTTCTCATTAACATTGGTCACTCCGTCTGATACCATCTCTCAATTTCAATCCCTTCCTTCTATTCCCAGAGCCTCGGAGTCTGTTGACAAACTTCTCGAGACTGTCGACATTCTCCTTTCATGGGTCCATTTCCCTCTATTCTCTCTCCCCCCTAAGCGGTTTGGTTCCAAGTACTTGAAGCGGAAGACGGAGCGGGGGAAATTCGGACGGCTCCCTCCGCTTCTTTGTGTTGCTTCACGTCGGATTTGGTTGCACTCATTTTGGTCGCGACCTAATTTCGGACGGGCCTCTTGAGCCGGCGGCAATGTTCAGCCATTTAGAACAGACATCCATGATGTAATGGGATCGTATCTGGCTTGAGGCTGCGGTTGCAACGGATTGCTTTCGGAGGCTGTTTGGGCTGATTTCGGCAATCATTGGTGGCTTTATTGGCGTTAGAGGTTTTTTTTTAATTTTGGAATTTTCATGGTATTTCGACGAACACTTTTATGGATTACTTGCTTTTTATATAAGTTTTCAGCTTGAGGTAATCTAGTTTTTAGATTTAATCTAATTTTGTTGAGTTTGAAACAAATTAAGGAGTACAGTCTCGTCAGCTATCCTCCATTGCAAAAATTCAATTAAAATCCCATTCCACTAATTTTCATTCGTTCTTGTCCGAGATTCGGCTCTTAATCTGATCCTTGCGCAATACGAGCTCCCGTTCGCCCGCTAATTAAAACTTTAATCCAATTTCAACTCCATTTACACTTCACTCTGCTCGCTTAACATGCGGATCAGGCTCCTCTCCTTAAAAGGCGCTGCTCAGATCCCGGCGTGATCCCTTCTTTTTTTCGCCGTCGGAACGACTTCTGACGGTGCAGCGGAGGAGGTTTTTTTGTGGTTCATTTGAACCGCAAAGTGCCATGGGCGTTTTAGCGGCGTTGGGGAGAGAAAAAGGAAAGTAATAGTTGAACAAAAAAAGCGAAATTGAAATTGAGCCGCAGGGAAAAGCGTCACACAAAATTGGGCTGCCTCCAGTGTTTGGGTTGCGGATTTTCAGCAGAAAGTTGAGCTTCTGAGTAAAGTAATTGAGGCTAGGCGAAAGGAGGAGGGAGATTTGTTTATGGTCCTTTCAAGGCCGTCAAATTCGGGATTTATTGGATACGGAAAATTTAGTTTTAGGTCGTTTTAGATAAACCTCTCGTTAGGGCCGCAAAAATGAATTGCTCTTGTTTTTCGTTAGATTCCCTATCTATTGGCATTCTCTTTCGTGTATTGAGAGAAATTTTGGTTCGTATATAGTGCAGTTACAGATATTATAAAAAGTCGAAAAGAAAATCAGCGTAAGCTTGAATTTGGTGTCAAAATGTATCACGGGGGTACGAAAGGTTGCTGTTTTGAAGAGAGATGGCCGCATTTTTGTTTCAGGCCTTTTATGGCCAAAAAAAGGTCTAACACATAGTTGGGTACCTGATCCAGTGGCAAAAAACGTACCATTTTGCAATCCAGGAAGCACCAACAATGTGGCAAAATACCTCCCTCTACAAGTGTGAGAAAAAAGGGCCGACCCTTCAAACGAAGTTTTTTCACTTGGAGAGGGAAGCATTTTGCCACATTTTTGATACTTCTCGGATGGAAAATGGTACGTTTTTTGCCACTGGATCAGGTTCCCCACTGCAATTTTGTAATCGGCTCGGTTCAAGACTGGCAATGTTCTGTTGTCTCTGTGATGCTTTTTGATACCAAATCCGGGCTTATGTTGATCTCTTTTTCGACCTTTTTGTTAGGAAAAGTACTTCTGAAGTCTGGACGGGCCTGGAATTAGCTGGAATTTCAAAATTCTGCAAAATCTAGCGAGTCCCTTAGCCTACACTTTACAACTCATGTTTGCTCTGCAAAGACAATATACACTCGTTTGGAAGGGTTGGAAATTTTCATTTCCCCTCTCCCTTCCCCTTCATCTGCAATGGAAGCTGATGAACAACGATCTCGTCGCGAAATTCAGCGCTCTCTTGTGTTATTTTCTTGTTTTAATTCATCTCCCCCAACACCAACTCCTCATCGACGCTTCTTTCGATTGTATGTCATTGTCTTCGGGGGGAGAGATGCGAAAGACAAAAAAAAGCCGGCGGGGACTCGGCTCTTTTTTCATTAACAGGGTTTATTACATTACATTTTACTGGATTTTTGCTTGGTTTTGTAATCGCTCTCGGAGCGAATGGGCGGATTTTGAGGTTCGTTGTTTTAACGCGGGATTTTGGAGCAATATGGTATTTTTGGTGGGAATTTACGAAAAAATGGCTCGAAAAATCTCAAAATTTTTTGGAAGGGCTAATCCGCAGATTTTGATAAGGAAAAATATATAATTTAAAATTTTTTAAAGATATTTTTGAGATTTTTAGCTCGCGTTTTGCAGAAACCATCGAGGATTTTAAGGTCGAAAAGTTGTTGGAAATTCGGTTTTTTGAAGATTTTGGAGCTTTTTATAGATTTTGTGAGAAATTTTTAGACTACATCTTTTATGGTAGGATCCTTTTTACTCCAAACCGAACGAATTTTGACAAATTTCAACCTAAAAATCTCGATGGTTTTTGCATAGCGCGGACCAGAAAACTAGAATATCCTTTGAAAATTCATATTTCAGTTTGTGCCGTGTGGTCGAAGTCTCTGCCTAGCATTTTTATTGCTTGTCCAAAAAAAAATTGGTCAGTGCAAAAAAATGTAATGTTTTTTGCACGGCGGAATGAACAGCCTGATCCAATGGCAAAAAACGTACCATTTTGCATCCGGGAAGTATCAAAAATGTGGCCAAATGCTTCCCTCTTCAAGTGAAAAATTTCGTTTTGAAGGGCCCTTTCCCTCACAAAAAGAACGGGCGCCTTTGAAATCGGAGTTTTTTTCGCTTGGAGAGGGAGGCATTTTGTCACATTTTTGATACTTCCCAGATGCAAAATGGTACGTTTTTTGCCACTGGATCAGGTCCCCCACTGTATTTATTTCCTTGTCAATTTTCGAAATTCAAAAGGTTACTTTTTTATGTTTGTTTTTTTTCTCTATCAGTAACAATAGCCCGTCCCAAGGACCGCTGTAAACTGTCAACCGGTTCGTTCGAACTCGTTTCGAACCATTTTCGTTAGTCATCACCGCAATTTGTGAGCCCCCATTGTCCCTTGACCCATTTCCCGACCTCCGCCGTCTCCTCCACGTCTAGCCCACAAAACACGATGATCCGCGCGCTGAATCAGCCGCTCCATCGCCCATTGTTTGGAAGCCCGCGACGTTGATGAATTCCCTCAACATCTCGGGAGGAAAAAATTAATTGGCGTTGCGTAAAGGCGCCCTCTATTATATAACTCCAAACCCGTTTTTTGACAATTTATTTATGGCGCGCGCTCCGTCTGCTTATCAGTGGCGGTTGTCATCATGGACGCGTTTTTGACTGATTTCGCTTTCGAATCGCCCGTTTTTTGTGGTGGTTTTACTTTCTACGGTAGCTGGAGCGGTCTGGTTGCACATGGCGTTACAGTCAGATTTTTGCGTATTAGAAAAACCAATAAATTTTGTGACATTTCGTCCACACAAAATTTTTTGACTTTTTTGCATTGTTATGGTTGTATGATGGCTAAAATTACGCAAAATGTCAAAATAAAGGCAAAACTTTTTCCGATAATTTTTGTGGCATTTCGTTCAATTTTCATTTCTCCGCTCACAGTCGCTCAAATTCGATGGGAATGGCTGCAAAACGTTTTGCAGCGACAGTCACATTCCTCCTGTCTTATTTTTACTTTCTTTTCAACACCACTTAACCCGTTTCCTACTTGTTTTGAGCGTTCTCTTATTTTTTTCTCATCTCCATGAGTAAATAAACACACAGAAATCCTCATCCGTCGCTTCTCCTCGCCCTCCCCCGAGATTTCACGTTTGATATTTTGCGCCTGCGGGGATGTTTTTGTCGCGACACTTGCGGCTTGGTTTTTAATTCATCTTGACCTTTAAGCATGCAGGAAGATTCGAAAAACGGAAGTTCTCGGGAGGAAGTTTTTCATTTTTGAAGATTCTTTTTAATTTATACTGAATTTTCAAGTCTTCTTCTTGGGATTGAGAGATTTTGAGGCTTGTTTTTGATGTTTTAAATTTTGATTTTTGAGGTTTCGGAGTTTGAAAAAAAATTGTATTTTTTGGAATTTTTAGATATTTTTTTGGAAATTTCCATTACAGTATCCTCGTTCATGACAATTCGAGTATACGAATGGCTTTTCTTTTGTCTTTTCCGCTATTTTTTGACATTTTTTAAAATAATTTTCGATTTTTTTCGTATTTTTTGAATTTTCATCGATTTTTCCTGATTTAAAAATTTTTAGAATTCATTTCCAATATTTTTAGAGCTCTCCGCCCCGCATTAAGCCCGGCCTCTCGGATTTGCGGATCGACCGGTCGAGTTTCCCACCCCCACTTTTGCTCTCAATGATGCGTCATTTCAGTGGGACACGGCCTCGAATGCCGTCCAAATTCATCCTTGTCATGGTGGTCTGCGGACTCTCGACCATGGTGTCGGCTCAATCTTTGGCTAGTAAGTGGAAAAAATTGAAATATATCGGGTTCACAGGGAAAATTTTATATTTTTGGGGTAAATTAAGGTAATTTAGGGGTAAATTGCACTGTTTTTTATTTGAAAAGAGGTCATAGTGGTATTTAAAGGCAGTAAAACGGATAGAAAAGTGGTTTTAACATCATATTGATCGATTTATATGATAAAAATATCGATTTTCAGCTAAAATGTGGTTATTTTTGCCTATAACAACAAGTTTTTACCCTTAAAGAATGTTTCTCTGTGAAATCGAAAATATCCAGCTATAAGCTACATCTTTGAATCCATTTTATCCAAAACGAAGCCCTCGTTTACCCATTTTTCTGAGCTCTCACCCAGTTTCGCACCAGAAACCTCAGCTTGACCATTTTTCTCCCCGAAAAAGTCGAACGCAACTGGTTCTGTAACATCCGAAGCACCCCCCATTACTCAATCCAATCAATCCGACACCGAAAAATGTTCCGTTTTAATCGCATACGTTAAGAAGCGTTAATTCGGAGCTTCTTCGCCCCAAAAAAGCGCGGAAAACATGACATCCAACTGGTTTTCCCAACAGCTGATGGCGAAAAAACTGGGGAAAATAGGTTGGAAAACATTTGAGGAAAAAGGAAAAATTAAAATTCCGCCGAAAAATCGGTGAAAAATTGAGAAAACGCGTGAAAATTACGTTCTTTGTCCGCAAAGAATTCCTTTGGACTCGTTTCGAAAGGAAAAATAAAAAGGAGCGGAGTGTGCCCGGTTAGCTCAGTCGGTAGAGCACCAGACTCTTAATCTGGCTGTCGCGGGTTCGAGCCCCGCATCGGGCTAAGGCTCTTTTTGAAGGGATTTTGATTTTTTTGGGTTGTAGATAGTAAAATTAATGCTGTTAATAAATTTGAGATTATTTTTAAAGGCATAGTTGTTTTTTTATGTTGCTGAAAATCGACGAGAAATCTATTTTTGGCTAAAATTCGCTAAAATAATAAGTTTTTGCGATTTTTTTGGTAAAATACGTTGTAGTTAGCTTTTTTTAACAGTATGTGGCTCATACCGAAATTGCAGACAGTTTCTTCACCGAACCCGACACATTTCCCGGCTTCACGACGAGGGTCGGACCAAAAGCCCTCGATTTGATGAGCGAATATTTGAGGCAACGGGTCGGGAAATTCATAAAATTTGGAACAATCGCATACAATTTGACCGTCCCACTAACTCCATTAGTTCGATTCTCACTGCTTTCAAATGGAGTTTCCGGCTTCGAGGCGAATAATTTCCAAAGCTCGTTGAAAGTGACGCCAAATAAGGAGCTTTTGTGGACTGTAAGTGCTTCACAATTCCTTTACTGGGCTTTTAAATAATGTTTTTGACATCAAAATTTTATTTTCGAAAATTTTGACACCAAATTTTGACTTGTTGCAGAATGCCAAGATTTGGCGGGAAAATTGAAATTTGAAAATTAATTTGCCTTTTTAGGGTGCCAATATGAAAATCACGGTGAACTCGATATACCGCGTCACCAGCAGCGCCGGCGAGGTGACTGGCTCAGTTCCAGTGACCTTCGACCGGTCGACTGTTGAACTTGCCCTTCAGACCGCGGTGAATACGGATGGGCATCTCAAAACCGACCTACAACGATGCCGCGTCTCCCTCAGTGAGCTGCATTTCGAATTTGCTCAGTCGGATGCGGATCTGATCAGGAATTACATGCCGTTCATTCATCGCGCGGTCAGAGATCAGGTGGATAATGTAAGTTTGATTTTTTTGGAAAAAAGGACTAAAAAGGTCTTTTAATGCGGATAGAGAGTGGTCTCAGGGTCGTTTAGAAAGATTACATTTCTTATGGTTTGGTTATTAGGTTACGAAATTGTTTTGGGTCCCGCCACGAAAGTTTCGCACATTGGAATTTTGGTGAAATTGAGCTTTTGAATGTCTCAGTGTTTGTTTTTGAGCCTTTGTGACTTTATTTTGGGAAATCTGAATATCAGTTTATTATTATAATTTGGGTCCAACCACGAAAAGCTGAAATTTTTAAATTCGGTCTAAATCTGTAGTTGCACTAAATTATAAGATGATTTTAGATTTTTTGTGTAATTTTTGATTGTTTAATTTTCGTCTTCAGCTTTTTTTGCAACACTTCTTTTGAGTCCCACCACGAAAACCTTCAATTTCAAAATCTCATCAAATTTTCCCTATTTCAGCTGCTCTGTCCCACATTCCACGCCGAGTTGGTGCCGGTGATCTCGAACCGCCTCATGAACACCCCGATGAGCGCCGCTCTTTTCGACCACTACTTCATCAACTATGGCCTGATGGGACCCCTCCTCTACAACCACGACGGCCTCGAACTCCGCCATCGAGGCAATGTGTTCGGAATCCTGCGACAGGGCCGAACCCGCCTCAACGACTTCCGTCTGCCCTTCCGAAGCGCTCCGTTGTTCAGTCAGCCGGAGAACAAACACATGGTCAGCTTCCAGATGAGCAACTACACCTTGGCGTCGTTGATGTTCTGGATGGATCAGTATCGGTGGGTTGGAGGGTTGATTGATGTTATGGAGCTGTAATTCGGGCCCTGTGGCTATTTAGAAGCAAAATTAAGGCTTGTTGCAGAATGCCAAAAATTTGAAATTTTGGCGGGAAATTTAAATTTGATTAAAAAATTTGTCGGTTTATGGTGAAAAGTGAAATAGAAGAGTATTTTCATAAAATGATTTTTAGAAAAATAGAAAAATTCAAATTACTATAAAAATTTTCAATTTTCAGAAAATTCGACTACGAAATCAGCAAGACCAGTGTGAACGACAGCAACATCGCCGGATATCTCAGAACTGAATGCGGACCTCAAGATATTTGCGCCGGAACCCTCTTCCCCGCATTGGCCGCCAAGTTTGCCAAGGGAGTTGTGAACATCAAAACGCATACTGTAACTTTCCCGCACGTTCGCATCGAAAACGGAAAAGTGAAAGTGATCGTGGACAGTCGGATTGATGCCTTCGTTTCCGTGAGTTTGGAGAGGAAATGTGGTTAGATAGCGATTTTTCGAGCGAAATTATGAATTTTTGCGCTTGTTGCAGAATGCCAAAAATGGCGGGAAATTTGAATTTTTTTAAGGTTTTGGATACTTTGGAGGTTGGATGTAGCAGTATTCTTTTGTTGTTGTTTTTGCACTTTATTTTGAGCTTCATTTATTTTATACTTCGGCGAAGGTTCTTGAGTTGGCGAGCTGCGCCCGAACTTTGCCCGTTTTACGAGTTTTCAGCGGAGCTTTGTGATTCTTAGAGTGAAAACAAAGTGTATGCTTCTTTTTTAAATCATAGGAACGGGTTTTTTCAAATTCAGCGGCTAATTTTGCCCCATTTTACATTTGGCGAACTGCGCCCTGGCTTATTTTCATATTTGACCTAAAATCAGGAAAACGGAAGATAATAGTCACACATGTCCTAGAATACATTTTTTATTATGTTTTTTGATGTGTGATTATTTCCCAGGGCGCAGTATGCGATTGAAAAATCTCAGAAATTCACGAAATTTTAACATTTTAGCAACCAGACAAGAATCGCCGCTTCCTCACCGCCAACATGCTCGCTGAATTGGTCCTACAAAAAGTGCAGTTTAAAGACTACACACTCACTGGAAAACTGAACATCGACTCGTTCAAAATCAGCGACGTTGTCTCACTTGTGGACGGAATTGACGCCAATTCGATCGAGTTTTTGATCAACGCCCTAAATGATTTGATCCTAAATGACGAAATCTCCAAGAAATTGAAGGATGGTACGATTTTTAGGGGAAATTTAAAATTTTTTGAGCTAAAATTCAATTTTTTACATCTTTTTAGGCATCAAACTGCCGATCGTCTTCGATTTCGAACAAGCCAGCTCGGAAATCGTGCTCGAAGCCGACAAGATGACAATTCACGCGGACTACTGCTTCGAGGAGGGCTGCAAACAGGCCCAACCGGCCGCACGAGTCGACCAGAGCCAGGACATGGACGTGAATTACTACGACGCGGCTGGATAATCCACCTCAACCGGTCCCAATTCCGACGTCTTTCAGCCCTCCCCTATGTTCTCCGGATCCGTCTCAGATCTACAGTAATCCACACAGTAACCGCCTCGCTTACTGTCACTTCGAATGTTGACCTCGGGTAGCGCCATAATAATATAATTTTGTTCACAAAACGACACCGATCCACCCTAGTTTTAAGCTAATTTGCGTCTCAAGAGTTTTTTTTTTGGTCAATAGAACGGTAGTTTTTTCGTACAGTAATCCCCGTAATCCTTACCCGAGCGATTTCCCAACGACTGCAGCAGAATCGAAAATTTGTGTTGGTGTATTCGGCAGACTATTGGTCTCCATTAATAAGAATTTTAATGATTTTCAAAAATTTGAAGTTTTTATATTGTAGTAGGTATTTTTTAGGTGATAGGTTGAGTTCTAGCATTCTGTTGCAGCCGAAAATTTTTATAACAACGGGTTGTCTCGTATTCTTCAATATTGTAACAAAATTTTCCGAAAAATCCGTCATCTTTCATATGTCATGGTGACTGTCATAATGACATGTTTTAATATCAATTCATCGGGTGTAAAATAATATCAGTAGTTTTACAGTGCTACTTTGAGTATCTGTAATTTTTTTCTAACCGTTTTACATGTTTCTAACCATGGTTTACATCATATTTCGTAACGATGACGGATTTTTTGGAAATTCTCGAACTTTTCTGTCTCAACTCCCCAAGCTTTCTGTAAAGTCGGAGTACAAGTGCTGTTTGTTCATAAAAGACACGTCTGATTGTAAGTTCTTCGCGTATTGTACAAACTGGAATTTAATTTTGGCATTCTCTCAATTTGTTATCGTCTTTTCGTATTTTAGGCTAACATCACTGTTGTTATTATGGTTAAAATAAATGTTAAAATATTAGATCAGTCCAAAGAAGACCTGTCTTGACAGTGTTTACTTGATCTTCACGTGAACTCAACTTAATTTCGAACTGCGCACCCAATTAACACCTAAAATGAGGTAATTTTTTTAGTTGTTTTCCCTCGGGTCAAAGTGCAATCGCCTCTGATCGAAAGAGCCACGAGATGGAAGAGAACAAAATGACTCGGATTTCGGCCGAAAATATCCGAGGAAAGGGGGAATTCGTCTCGAGTCAGGTTTGTGATCAGTTTTGGACTTTTTCATAGAGTTTAGGCTGCTCCTGGTCTTTTTTACGCGGCCAATTTTGTTGTTCCACGTTTCCCAATGTCTCCAGCAGGAGACATTGGGAAATGTTGAGAAAGAATTCAAATTTTGCCATTTCCTGAGGTTCGGTCAAGTGTAATATCTTTTGTACTTTTCTATCGAATTTGCTGAAGGTTTTGGTAGCCGGTTGGCTATATCAGCAGTGAAATTTTGTTAGGCATGTTGTGAACTGTAATAATCGTCAGCTACAGGTCAATTCGGTATTCTATTTTGAGGTTTTCCGAAATGATACCATGTGATATTCGTAGGCCTTTTCTGGCCAATTTAGAGATGTGTTTGTCTATGCTTGTACCCAGTCAGGTGGCAAATTGGATTTGTTAGATAGTAAACAAGTAAAACTTTCAATAAAACGCGAATAAATCCCTTTCTTTTGAGATGTTCTGACCTAATAACACGTGGATCTTAACTTGGTGGGTTCATTCGTATTTGTTGGTTGTTTTGGTAATACTTTGATTCCATTAGGTGTTAAATTTTGTTCTTCGAGCCATAAACGAGTCATACAGTGGGGACCTGATCCAGTGGCAAAAAACATCGTTTTGCATCCGGGAAGCATCAAAAATGTGGCAAAATGCTTCCCTGTCCAAGTAAAAAAAAACTGCTTTTTAAAGGGCGTTCCCTTTCCCTCACAAAAAGAACGGGCGCGCTTTCGAAAGTTTTTTCACTTGGAAAGGGAAGCATTTTGCCATATTCTTGATACTTCCCGGATGCAAAGTGGTACGCTTTTTGCCACTGGATCAGGTCCCCAACTGTATAACTCGTTTACGGCCCGAAATGTAACACCTAATGGAACCGAAGTATTACCAAAACAACCAACAAATTCGAGCGAACCCATCAAGTCAAGATACACGTGACATTAGTTCAGAGCATCTCAAAAGAAAGGGATTTATTTTAGTTTTATTGAAAGTTTTACTTGTTTACTGTCTAGCAAATGCAATTTGCCACTTGAATGGGCACAAGCATAGACAAACACATCATTGGCCAGAAAAGGCCTACGAATATCACTTGGCATCATATTTTATAAAGCCGAAAATGTCACAAATTTTAAGATCTTTCGATTAGGTATAATGTGTAATATGTTTTGAACTTTTTTCTCTTCAAATTTTTCGTGTTTTGGCTGGCTACGCTGTTCTTTGTCGTTATCACATAATTTCCTTTCGTGTTTTGTTGTTTTAGTGGGAAGTCCTCTTCATTTTCGACGTCTTTTCGATCAAAAGACAGTTTAGGTATATAAACTAAAGTTTTGGGTTCTCTCGGGTGCATTTTTGAATCGGGCTGGGGAGGTGTTTTGTTTGAGGTTAGAATAGAGTTCCTGAATGTTTTAGACTTATTTTTGTTTGGGAATTCCTTCCAATTTGCGGCATTTTGCATCGGACATTGTAATAGACACCTAAAATTTCGATTTTTGATCCAAAATCCATTTTTTTCTGAGTTTTAAAGGTCGATGCAAATTCCAAATTTGTTTTATACGACTACTTTGTCTTTTACAGGTATCGCTTCACAAATTCAGCCTGATCTTGGATGGAACCGAAACCAAAACAGCATGATGAATACGGACATGAAGATTTGGTCGATACATTTTTGAAATTGAAGCACATCAACAGGAATGTCTTCAGGTAAATGGTTTTCTTTTTTTGCTTGGCTTTTAGACAGAGAGATCATCGCTTGACTCATGTGTCAACTATTCCTTCTATGGAGTAATTTTCTGAATTGTAGCTCAACTCATCAACTGCCTGGTCGAAAAGACGGCCACAGAGTCTACGGAGGTCAAGTGGTTGGACAAGCCCTCATGGCCGCCAACAACACAATTGATCCGTCATTTCATCCACACAGTCTTCATTGTCAGTTCCTGGCCCCGGCAGACAAAAGTATTCCCATTGTTTACGAGGTAACTCGAGTGCGAGATGGTCGAAGTTTTGCGACAAGGTTAGTGCAAGCCAAACAACACAAATCGACGGTGTTTACGACTTCAATCTCATTTCAAAAAATGGAGCCGGATTCGATTCGACATGAACCCGAAATGCCGAATGTTCCGCCGCCAGAGGAGTGTGAAGATGTTAGGACTCTGTTAAAGAGGTAGGAGATTTTGTCTTTGAATTTTAATTTTTAGAGATGAAAGTTACATCAAATTTCGAAATCATGATGTCATGTTGGATAGAAGTTTTTGATGTCATATAAATCATGCTCAAAAATTTTTACAATTTTTCAGGATGCTCGATGATCCTCGCTCCATTTCCCCCGAAGGTAAATTAGCTGTGGCGCAATATCGCCGCGTTCTGGAGCTACCCGACATCTTTGGAATCAAAGTGATTACCCCTCGGAAGTACATCAACATGCCCACCAATCGACCGATGAAATTCGCAATATGGGTTCGAAGTTTGACCCCGCTGGGCGATGACGAACACCTCCACCATTGCGTTGCGGCTTTCATATCGGATGTGGCGCCAGTTGGAACGCCTCTGTTCGCGAATGCGGCCGCAGGATTCAGATTGGGAATGGCGGCGTCGTTGGATCATTCCATGTGGATTCATCGACCCGACTTCCGAATTGACAATGACTGGGTGCTTTATGAAACTGAAAGTCCGATTGGAGGTAAGAATTTGTTTTTTTTGTTCGTTTTAGAGGCAAAATTGGAAAATGTTTTCCTGAAATCTTAATTTTTGATTTTTTGATATCAGTGTGTCCAGTATAATATAAAAAAACGAATTTCAGCTGCAAGCCGAGCCTTGATCCATGGCAAAATGTGGACCCGAGATGGTCGTCTAGTCCTCTCCACGGCTCAGGAAATCCTACTCCGAGAAGAGCGCTCGCTGGAGAACGGTGACGCCGAAGAGATTGCACGGAGGGGATCTTTGATGCCTACGTGACAAGTTTGTATATATACTGGTTTTAATGTAAATATAAGCTAGTCTAACTGTTTACAGTGTGTAAATAGGCAAATTAAAAGTTATCGACAGCTAACCGAAAAAAATGATTACGATAAGTTTATTGCAGGAATAGTGGGGGAAAACGTCAATCTTCGGCGTCGCAAGTTTGAAACTGTGAAGATCGCATACAAAAACCCCCGAAAATATTAGTAGGAAAAATAAAAAGGCAAATAGGGTTCGTTGCACAGAGCTGTAGAAAAAAATAGTTCATAAAAAAAGACAGCAAGGTTCGTTGTACAGAGACTAAATTCAAAAAAGGTTAGAAGACAAAAAAAAACATTTCTTAGCAGACGGCAAGGGAAATAAGCAGGGAGAATATAGTGGAGACAATAAAATACACAATTTTTATGTGTGGTGTGCTGAAGTCGACTATGGCAAAACTGAATTGGAATTATCAGTCTGTCGGGAAAATAACGGCGGATCGTCGCGCCTCGGAGTCGCTCATCATCGCTTTGCGACTGCAAGCCGCGACTTGGGATTTGGTGCGCGATAGCGGCGAGGCGAGACATTTTGCTGCGACGATCCGCCGTTATTTTTCCGACAGACTGATAAACGGGAGTTGGAATGATTTTTTTGTTAGTTTTCCAGTTTCACAAGCCATAATTCCGCACACGTTCACAGAAAATAAGGAATTAAAAAAAGCTGTAGTTCCCATTGTAGCCGCACCTCCGTAAAATGAATCTTCAGTCCTGCGGACCTTCGTCCTCATCGTGCGTGGCGGCCGGAGAAACCAATCCAGAGGGGCCACCGTCAGTGCCGATGCCGCTTCTGCAACAAGAAACCGATAATATAAATTGCAGAGTAGAAATATGCGATGTGTCCATGCATATTTCTACTCTGCAATTTATATTATCGGTTTCTTGTTGCAGAAGCGGCATTGGAACAAAAAAATGACTTACGTCGCGCCACTATTGCTCCTCGACCTTTGTAGAGAAGACAATGGCTTGTCCTCATATCCGCAAGTCTTCATTCCGAAAAATTGAAAAAAATCAGCGAAATCGCCAGCATTTAGAGCTTGGTGAAACAATTCTTCATGTTTCTTTCGGAGTTCATGTTCAAGGAGTCGAAACTGCAAAAAGAAGAACGCCTTAGGGTGTACTTACTAGCAAAGTGTACAAACTGACCATCACCAAATAGCAAGTATAATATTATACACCGTTCGAAAGCCTTAGTACTACTACAGTGAGGGACCTGATACAGTGGCAAAAAACGTACCATTTTGCAGCCGGGAAGTATCAAAAAAGTGGCAAAATGCTTCCCTGTCCAAGTGAAAAAAAACTTCGTTTTGAAGGGCACCTCCTTTTCTTCACAAAAAGAGCGGACGCGCTTTTGAAATCTGTTTTTTCACTTGGAGAGGGAAGGATTTTGCCATATTTTGGATACTTCCCGGATGCAAAATGGTACGTTTTTTTCCACTGGATCAGGTCCCCCGCTGTATGTATTACTTCTCAAGGGCTTTCCAACGGTGTATAATATTACACTTACCATTTGGTGATGGTCAGTTTGTACAGTTCCCTAGTCAGAGCTGAAAAATTGTTTACCTCCTTCCAATCGTTGACCTTTTCTCGTTCCTTTTTTCCAACAAATTGTCCTTGGACGGGATACACAAATTCAATTGGATAAAACTGTCTCTTTTCAGTGACCATCGCCTTGAAAGTTGGGTTTACGAATACCCCAAACTTATTGTTAAAATAATCAGCGACGTTTCCATGTTCAAACCTAAAAGTATCGGTATAGAAATAGGCAAAAAAAAATTTATGTCTGGAAACTTACTGGATATCACCAATCGGCCCATCGCTAAATCGTGCGAATTTTATTCGCTGTTTTGGGTCAAAGCAAACCCGGAAACAGACCCCTTGGAAGGTGTCTTCGATTTCCCGGTCGCCTTCCCCATGGAGCCGCCTCTTCGCCCATAAGTCGTACAGGGAAAAGAGGCTACCAAAGGTAGGCTCTAACTTTACTGAAATCAGCGGGAATAAGTTTACCTTACATGGTAAATTTTCATGAAACTTTTGCGCGATTAATTTTTCTAGGACATGCGAGACTCCTAGCTCTTTGCAGAAAATTCCAAATATTTTATGTGCTAAGTCGGATAGTATTTTTATGTGATAGTATGAGACTTTTTCACGAGTTTTGGCACGAAAAGTTTCATACCTAGATCTACCGTAGAGGGTAATTCTTCCATAAAAAAGGAGTACTTTCAGTCCTCCCTAGCCATTTTTGGCCGAATTTTTTTTTGTCGCAGGCCCGCCTATGGGCGAATCAAATCGTACAACAGACAAAACTTACTGTCTCTTACCACAATAGCTCCTCCAATGAAGTCTGTGGGGACTTCATTGGAGGGCGTATCACCACCATCCGTCAGGTAAACGGTCCTCTTATAAGCCAGACGAAGAATGACGCCTGTTCCATCCCTATTTTCATAACAGGCATCTTCCGGCACATAGAGGTGCGCATATTGAAGAGGTTCAAATCTCAGCCGGTGCTTCAATGCCTGGCTGATCAAGAGGGCGCCAAAAATCTCCAAAGTCTCCTGGTCCAAATCGCCGATTCTTTGGGCTTCACTGAAGCTCATCTTAATAAGAAATGCCTTGTGGTCCATTCGAATTTCACCGATGTGGAACGGGAAAGGCATCGGTTGATGCAGATAGCATAGATGCTTCGAATCATATACGAAACATAAGTGACTGTGGTATATACGAATATAGTCGGCCACAATTTTTTCAGTCAACATGATCTTTTCGGAGGCCACGGACCTGAAATTGGTCGACGTAAAGTTTGAAAAAAACCTTGCTCTTGGCAACGACTAAAGATTTAAACTTGACTTTTTTGCAATCAGTTGCAATCGACAACATGGGAGAAGCTCAGAAAAAAATTATTTATCCTCAATCTCACTTACTTGTCCTCTCTCGCCGAGATCTCGTTCTCCTCGTAATCATTGTAGGCTGGCGTCATCAACTCAATAAAAACATCGTACTTAAAGAGCATATGATCCTTTCGAAAGAGGCAACGAGTCAAATAATTGTGCATTTATAATACTACCTCTGAAAAAACATAAGATAAAGTCAAAAAATATGTACGAATCTTTCCTGATCATCTTTGCAATCTTAATTCAAAACAGTCCAAAAATTTAGGGCTTCGAAAAGCCTTTTGAACTCAAAAATTCCTTGAAATTGCGTGAAAAAGCCTTCAGAAATCCTAAGATTTTAATTTCGGTACTAATTTTTCGCCTCGTATTGTAAATATTATAGTCAAACACAGCTCTTTATCCCACTCTAATCTTTCAAAGTCTACTTTATTTTGCTATAAACGCCAAACCAATCGACCAATTTTGCAAAAAATTTCAAAAAGCCCAATTACAACATAAAACAAAAGAAAATATTCAAGGTGTTGACCTGGATTTTGCCGTCGACAAGGGATTCTCCAACTGTTTATTAGAAGTAGCTTCAAGCCAGACATTATAAATTGCAATATATTGTAGAGGGATTGGAGAAGTTAAAATTGAAAAGACAACTAAATACAATGCCACTAAAGTTATAAAAAAGTTATAAAAAAATTAGTTTTCGAAATAGGAGACTATGAAATTGAATTTCTAGACAAATACAAATAGTTTTCTAATAACATTTTCACGTTAAAGTAAGCTAAGAAAACTTTAGTTATATAAAAAAAACGTTAGTAAAACAATATTAAAGTATTGGTTATCTTTTGCCATCGGCTTGATTAGATTTGAAAAAATCAGGTGGACTCAATCATAGAAAGCGGATTCTCTGAAAGTAAAAATTGATACAAAAATAAAAAAAAAATTGAAAATACTGTCTAAATTTTTGCACTGTGCGAAAAAACAAAAAATTTTTTTTATCAACCTGGAAGTGGTATGTCTAAATTATCGTAGTATGTTAGAAAAGCATTTTTTGATACTTATTATCTGCATCATGGTATAATTTTCGAAATCTCAAGGGGAAAATTAAAAAATTCTTTTTTAAACCGTGAAAAAATCAAAAAAAAGGTGGCAATTCAATATCATAGGTGCGGAAAATCTCTAAATATCCTCCACATATATCCTAAGGCATATGCTTTCCTATCATCATCATTTTATATCACTATCCAGCTCTAATCCAACAAATTTTTTCTTTTTTTTTTTGAAAACCACCTACTACAATATAAAAAATATCTCATCATAAACTAAGCCTACCTTCCCGAGCTGAATCTGGATCGTTTTTCCATTTCATCCGAAAGATATCCCGAATCCAGCTCCCAATCTTCCTCATAATTGGGCATACAAATATTGTTCATCAATCTGACTCCAAACTTCTCAAAATACTCGGCGTATTCTGGGTAAACCGAGTGGTACTTGATGATCTCATTGTAAATCTCGTCTGGGTTGTTGACTTTGTACTGGAATACGACAATTAAAGTCATTTTTTAAACATCAATTTCCAAAATTTTATAAAATCAAAAATTCTTACATTAAACATTTCGTCACATGTCTCCCTCATCGATTTGTTGATGAACTGGCCGGGAATTGGGTAAACAAACTCCTGCGGGTATACGTTTCCTTCGGGGGTCATCATGGCAAACAGATCCGGATTAATTCTAACTTTGTATTTGTTCTCCAGATAATCGATGACCTTGAACTCTGAATCCGGAAAACTGAAATAAAAAAGTTCAAATACGAACTTCCATTCCCCTTACGGCTATTCCACAACTTCTTAGTCCTAAAAACAGAAGAAAAAAAATAAAAATTAACTTACAATATCTGCCCAATTCCCACGTCCGAAAGTCGTTCGAAGACGATCCTCTGGCGCTTATCCAATTCAAATCCGAAGATTACACCACGAAGATTCCTCTCCGTCTCATTTATGTCCACATCAACGCGCGAACGCTTGATGAGGATCGAGTTGAGATACTCGAAGTTTAGAAGGCTGTAGAAACCTTCCAGCTTTACTAAAATACACGCGATTAGTCGAGAAGAAAGTATATTATACCCAGAAATACTCGGAGAAGCATTTCTTAGCTTTAAACCCCATAGAAATTATTAAAATTTAGATAAAAAACTATCATGGATAATATCAGAAATCTTTGAAAATCTAATCAATCATTACATTTTCGTGTTTTTCAAACTCTATAAACTCGATTCAAGCAACTCTAAAGACAATCAACAATATAAATCATATAAAAAAGCCTCAATAGCAAAAAATATATTACACTAGGCAACAGAATGCAAAACTTACTGTCAATTACCACGATAGACGCAAAACCCGCCGACTTGTGGTCGGCGGGCTGGAGATTGACGACCTTCTTAATTCCTCGTCTCAGAAAGATCGAGGTTTGGTCGAAATTCTCGTATCCATCTCCATTCCGCACGAAGAGCCATTGCTTTTGGAGAGGATGCATTTGGAACTCATACATCAATGGATTCGAAGTCAAAAGCTCCAAAAATATGGTAACATCATTTGGAGACATTTGGCCGAGTTCCATCGCTGAGTGCCGGTTCACTGACACTATATAATCATTGGTATCGTCAAAGTCTCCAATTTTATGTTGGGGTGCATCAAAATCCATGCATTCGATCGGAGAGCTCGTATACATTAGCTTCTTTCCATCATAAACCATATCCACTTCCGGATAATTGGCATCCATAATTCTTCTCACCAGCGAAGAGCATAGTATTATCCTTTCCGATCTGGAGGACCTAAAATAATATCGGTGATAACAACGGCCACATCCTCCTCCTGACGGTTCTAAAATTCGAAAACAAAGGGAAAATTACTTACTTCAAACTCTGCTCGGAGAGTTCTTGGAAGAAGGCAACGCCCTTTCGGACTGAAATGATTTTTCGCACTTCTACATCGTATTTGTGGATAACATGCGATTTTGAATAAAAAATATCAGTTTTGACATTGGGAAGTTGAAAAAATGAATTGTTAGTCATAATTCAGTTCAATTGTGAGTTGACGTTGATCTGAAAACATAAAAATTGACAATAAACATCGTCAAAACAAACAAACATTCATCTCAACCAAAAGGTGAAATGAAATAAATGAGAATCCAATAAAATCGCGCAAAATTTCTCATACAAACACTCTTCGGATTAAATCGAATCCGATTTCGAACCCGATTAGTCGCCACAGGCTTTCGGCGAGGTCGTTAACGTTTGGGTTGCAAATAAATACCCCGCGGGCTTAAGGGATTTTTCGAGATTTCCTCGAGCAACCCCAAGTGATTGCAGCTGTGATCCGAGCCGTTTCGCAACAGCCAGATAGTCTTAAGTTTAACATCGTATAAGTGACTTATTTTATTTCTCTTATTCATCGTCTAAAACTCAATAATAAACCTTCTGCTATACCATTAAAAAACCCCTCAAAGTTCTTGCTTCTTATCTATTTTTCTCAAGAAAAACATCGTAAATCGATGGAAAAGAGCTCCCGCTTGCAAACAAATAACTTTTTCTCAAGTGAACGGCAACTTTTTTTTCCTTTCTTATCGGAGGGAACCTACAATCAAAAATTATTGATAATGCAATTAGATGTCATGAACAATATAAAAAAAAATACTCCAATTGTAAAAGAGCCTTTTTTGCTTTTTTCGCATGAATCTCACGGGAATCGAGAATACGCGAGAACGATTCTATTCCAAGAAAAAAACTTTTTTAACTTCTTGGAAAAATTTTTACTGAAACGGAATGCCAACAAAAAATTTCGTTGCCAATTCAGCGAAAAAACGCGAGGTTTAAAATGACTTGGGCAGAATGAGGTGGGTCGTTGCTTTGAGGATCTAATAAACTGAATTCTTAACACTATAACCTCAATTTTCACGAAATTTTTACCTATCCATGTTGTACATGACACCAATTAGGAAACACGAAAAACTCGAACGTGCGGCTACAAATCGAGCAAAAAATTAATCTCCCGGAACTAAAGCACCCCATTTTTCATAAACAGATCGTTCAATGTTTTGATGACTCATAAAAAAATCGAAAGGATCCATTAGCAACGCATGGCTGGCAAAAAACCGCGACCAAAAAAGCAAATTCCGACGAATTACAACGCAAAGTGACAAAAAAATATCCCAGATCCTATAGCTTTGTTTGATAATTGCCCCAGGACTGACCACAGTCCTCAAATTTTACTTAAAATCTTTATTCAAACAACTAATAGCCACACTTGACAACAACATTCTCTGTTGCCAAAAAAATCGCCGAAATCCAATATTCTTAACTTCTTCTACCCCTTTCCATATTTTTTCCCAAGAAATTTCGAACGCTAGCCGATAAGAATCGCGAGAAATGTAATGCATTATAATCGAAGAGAGAGACACTGATCGATTAATTGCCAGATGGATTGCTCACCACAAAACGGCCTGGCAATTTTTAAGAGCATCAAAAACGCGATTCAACCTCGATTTCCATAAAAGGAAGTCGATCTGCAACAAATTTTTATTCCAAAAATTTCCCGATATGTCACTTTTCCTACAAAAACTCGTAATTTCCACGGTATTTATACCGAAACTCTGAGCCCTTGCCTCCAATTAGCACCTGGCTAAAGCAACTGTCCGAGTCGCTGTTTTAATTCTCCTTCGATTGGCCCAATAAAAAATGTCACAACAGAGACAGAGGCTGCTGATCGACCACAAAAGCCTTCCAGTTTCCGGCCAACTCGGAAAAATGTTTGGCTTCGGAAAAGGTGAAGCGATAAAAAAAGTGGCAACAGAAAGAAGAAGCTGCTAAAAAATAGATGCCAAATCGACAGAGAGGGGCTTTTCTCACCTCAAACCGGACACCAGATGGATGACGATTTAGGGTCGATTTGAATCCTATTTACCTACGGATTAACGTCCATAAAGTTGCCGATTCAAGACGTCTGTATAACAGAAGGATAACAAACAGGTGCCGCCAGAAAAGCGTACCTGTTGATTGCATTACGGCACTTGATGGAGAAGCCCGCAGAGCATCAAAAAGAACATTATGCAATATAATGTAAACTATGGTGATCAATCAAGTTAACCGCACTTCCAAAACGCGAACGCAATCAATCAGCGGTTTAATAAGAACGATCCGATCAATCAAACAGTTACTATCGGGCAAATTTTCGTGGACAAGAAACTAAATAGGTAAATCGAAAAAATTAACAGGGAAAGTACTCCAAGAGCGACGCTCCGATTTTCTTAAAATTTTGCACACACGTCGGGTACGGACTAAATATCAATTCCTGAAAGTTTTAGCTCGCGCTTTGCGGGCGCCGCTGAGATATTGAACGATTTTTGCCGCCGAGAAAGCGCGCTAAACGTGGAGAGCGGTCAGAGAGAAAAGCGCTTTTTGGCCATAACTTTGGCAGTTTCGTGCGGAAAAATTTGATTTTTTGTAGAAACATTATCCTTTACAGTCGAAATAGGCATGAAACTTTTCGTGCCGAAATTTGGCAAAAAGTCCTAAATTTTTGCCGCCTTTCGATCTAAAAAATCTCGGTTGTTTCTGCAAAGCGCGAGCTTGGATTCTCGCATATATCTGAGAAAAAATATTCTAGAAAACACCCCCAAAAAATTGCAACTTCTAAGGTGATTATGTAATCGCAACACTGCTATCGCCTTCTTAATGACACTTAAAGTTAAAGGGTAACCGATAAAGCCGCGCGCGAGCGATCAAGGGCACCCTGCGAAACATTCATCACACATGTGTTCTTTTAACCAAATATTTATTGAGTTAGCCTTGAACCGCATTAAAGTTGGATTTCTATCATGAGGATATAGATAGCAAGAGTAGGAGAGCGGAGAATAGTACAGTAACACAAACGTTTCGTAACCTTCCGTCCGCTAAAAAAGGTCGCCAAATCCTGTAAAACACACTCTAGCTTTCAATTCTACCAAGCTTTTTTGTCAACAACGCTTCGCCTTGGACTCAAAACAAGCTTCGACTACCGTACCAACAATAAAAAACAATTGGAAATCCTTGGAAGCGGCCACAGAATCGGAAACCGCCTCTCCCTTCCAAGGCAACCTTGCGGACAAAAACTCGGCGCGGCCGGCTTCGCAAAAACTGGCGACCCCACAAAAGTCCCCTGGAGTGAGAGCCCCCAAGAAAAAGCGACCACCTTCAGCGTGGCCGGACACCCTCAAATGGCCGCGGACCGGAATCCCGTCTCACTTTTTACAATGGGCGGGGTTCATAATTACTGCACGGTGATTGGCTAAACCGATAATCGATAAATTTTGATGATATTCGCGGAATGCCAAATCGTGGTGGGACCGAGAAATTTGATTTTTACAAGTTCAAGTTTACAATCCTTTGGGATATCGTTTTAGCAAGTTTTAGGACGCTTCAGGGGAATATTCACAAAGAACTACATACCGCAAAAAATGAATATTTTTTTTGGAGACGATCGTGCTTCAAATCTTGCTGATTTCTGCAAAGCGCAAGCTATAAAATTTCTCAAAAATTCAAATTTGAATTTTTACAAGAATAAAAATAGGCAAAACCTTACAATTAGAAAGCATTCAAATGAAAAATGATACCTCCGCAAACCTCCATGACTCACCGTACAATACTTGTTTTTAACGCACTGATAACCGCTTATTTACTTACAATTTCGCAATCTCTTGATAAGAAGACTGATTATTTAACCTGTTATTTTTTGACTAAAATTAGACTTCACAACAACGTCTACAACTAGTAATGAACATACACATTCTCATTGTATTCTTTGTAAGCTATATTCAAATCAAGCATTTTGCCACATTTTTGATACTTCCCGGACGCAAAATGGCATGCTTTTTGCCACTGGATCAGGTCCCCACTGTAGGTGATTAATGTATTAGGTTGATTCAAAAGTTTTTCCACATGTCTTTAAAAAATTTAAAAAAATTTAGACCAAAGCCAGTGGGCCTGATATATATCTTGTTAGAAAGAGGGCTGTTTGTAGATTATAGCAGATTAATAACTTTTTACAACTTAGCAATTTGTAGTAGTAGCGCCGTGTTAAACCTTAACTACTCGAAGGAAGAAAAAGTAAACCGCCGGCGTTACGTCTAGAGTGGCTGTATCTTCTTAATATTCTAGAATATGGTATGCCTGTATGTAATCTCTATGGCATCGAGGACAATTTGCTATAGGGCTAGTCGAAAAATTTTTGCTGCGAAAAATCAAAAATTAGGGTCTGGCAAAAGTAGACCCTGTAGACGCAGCTATTAGAAGCACTAAGTGATAACGCTTTCTGTTATTGTAGTGTATGAGTAGCACTACAACGCCAATGCTAAACATTCGCGCTAGCTTTAGCTATGCGGCAGAAAAATCGAATCTTTTTAATCTACCAATATTTTACGTAATTTAGGGGATTTTTACAAAAACGTTTTCTGTTCATTACTCTCGCCCGGTATCCTAGTTATTTAATAAATAATGGATCCTACTTGACATACACTATCAGTTGCTAGACGCGTTAAGCTGAAGGTCCTCTTGAAATACCATTAAAAAAATTACAAAAATTCGCCTAAAAGTGCAGTTTATGCTACTTTTCTACCTTATAAGGCAATTTCAGTTGGTGACTTTTTGAATGTATCATCAGCATACTGTCTTTGTACAATCTGAATGGCAGCCGAGTCAAAAAAATCTAACTCCTTTCAAAAAATTTTTAAAAATCTGCTTTTGATCGGTAGCTCGGCTCTCCGGCCAACTTTATGGGATGCTACAAAAAACGTCAGTGTAGATATAAGTAGAGCAATAAATTCAGAAGAAACTACAGCCATCCCCAGTACGAATAACCCAAAACCCGAGACTTTTTAGTGGGCTGGAAAATTGCTAGGGCCCAGGATATTCACGATGACACAAACGGAGAAATTTTTAGCATTTTTGAAATATTCTGAAAGGAAGCTTGTAGAAAATAAAACGCCACGAATCAAAAAATTTGCAATGTTCTGCCCCATACATCTATGCTTTCAGTTTTAACGTACATTCAATCAGGCTCCAGGAATTTTATTTTGAAGTGTCTCAAAAAAATGTGTAAAAACTTTTGTATCAACCTAATAGAAAACCTGTTTGATTTATTTTCTTTTATTTAAAAGGAAGGAGCTTACAATTCGTCGGAAACGACAGCCCGGATATATGGAAAAGAGTCACCAGGAGTAGCCAACAACTTCTGAATAAGCTGTTTTTGGTAACGAGACTCAAGGGAGGCGGGCGACCGGATGTTGTGCATCTTATGTGCTAGCCAAATAAACTATCCGGATTGCTCCTTCGGTATGCAGGCACGAAACCTGCGCCATAAGACTGTTAACAAATGACTGTATCAGGTGATCAGCAATTTCATCGCTGGGCATTCGAGACATGGCCGGGTATAGCTGACCTATTATTTGAATAAAGATTGTTCTACCTCTTCAAAATGAGTCGCCATTACGACTTTTCTGCATTTTGGAGGGGAATCCTCAAACAGGCTGCTAACGAAATCATCCGACGTTTGGGATGATTTGACAACGGCGACCACCGTTGGCGAACAAGCGAGACTTGGACCAGGACTCGGATCTTTGCTGACCATGTGTTTGTCCGATTTTATTTCCTGGTCTTACTCGTCGTCGCTTATGGCCTCCACCTTTGCCCAGAAGGCTGACTCCAGCGGCTTGATGAGCGGACAGGTTTGTGTAGATGCAAGGTCATCATCATTGCCGCTGGAATCATATTCAACCTCCAGACGATCTTGGTTTATATGAGGAAGGATTGGGTGATGTATAGCTGATTTTTCATGAGAAGCCGAGAATCTCTATTCAAAATGCTTAACTAGCTATACAAAAGATTCCACAGTCGATATAACCTATTGAGTGGCCATTATGACCATGAGATAGTAAATATTACATGTTAAAATTTACAAGTTTCCATATTGCCTCACAGTTTACAACGTGAGGCCAAAATCAACTGCAATTGACAAGATAACATACCCAAGACAAACGAAAAATTTGTGACAACACTTTAAAAACTGTTAGAAAGCCACTTATATTCAAAAACCCCATTGCTTTTATAATGAATTCAATAAAAAAAACGACAAAAAACCACCGAACTGTTTTCCCAATTAATTTTTGCTGCCCTCAACTTGGCAACAGACGCCATTGTGGCCGAAAAAATCGGCGATAAAATCGGGGTGGAAATCAGAAGCAAACAAGAGACATGGAACCCCGATAAAACATTCCGAATGGTTCTTGAAGGCAAAAAAAGGGTTAGAAAAAGTGCCCTTCCGAGAAAAAACATGATAAATAGCTGTAGCGGCCCCTCAGGGTTACAATGTGAGTCTCCTCACATTCTTATACCCGTTCGCATTTTTTTGCCAAAAAGCGTTCCTTTTTCTGGGCCTATTCCACGTTTCCTTACTCCGTGTGCCGCGTTGATTGGCTGGCAATATATGGGAGGTGGTTTATAAATTTCAGCGCGCTAATCCATCCCAACCCAGCGGATTTAGTCCATAGTTAAAAGTTCACGAAAAAGGGGGAGCCGACAGAGAAAGGCAGAAATTTTTACAAAGAGAGAAATTGCGCAACGTTATGTAAGATTGCGCAACTTTTAACTTTGGACTATACCCCGGGACTAAAGTTTGGAACAGGCTAGATTTTCTTTGCGGCTTGAGATCGGAGTTTTATTTCTTTTCTATTAGAATCGGAATGTATTAAAACCCCAGAATGGATGCATAACCGTAGAAATCAGAAAGCTCATATGAGCAAAAAAACAAAATTTTTAAAAATGGGTGGGACAAAAGTTTGGAACAGGGTTAGGAATGCGACCCTAAATTTCGAGGCATAGTCAAAAACGCCTAGGCTTCGGTTTTTTTAGATGCTGCGAGGAGTCAGGACTTCATCGAGATACAGATTTTCATCGATAAACTCAAAATGAAAAAAATTCTTATTGAGCCAACAATGACGATCAAATTTGCGAAAAAAATATATTTTTGGGTTGGGTTCTCTATGTTATTGGGTGTGTAGGCATTCTAAAATATTTAATATAGTCGTATAACCGTAAAAAGACACTCAGATCTTCGCATAGTGACCTTATCCGCATAGTATAATTTATGAAAATTTTGGATTGCGCTTCGAATCTTGGTCTAATGGATTTTAGACTTTTTGTAAGGCGGCTTGATGGCTAATTGGTCTTTTCATAGTTTTTGTGGGACAAAAAGATATCTTCAAAACGCAAAAACCAACCGCTATTTGCAACACGAAAGGCCACAACTTCGAAAAACCCGGATATATGAGATGTTAAGATGACCCATATTTTTTACTTTAATTTTAGGTCGCCGTATGGCGCAAAACTAAATGCCTTTATCCTTTTCACACTGATAAAGTTTTGTTAGCGAACTCTACAATGTATTAAACTAGGAATCCAGGTCGATATAGACATTGATTTTGGTGATCGAAATTTTTTTTAAATTTTTGAAACATCTGACTTGGGATATTGCAAATTGCGGTCATGTTTTGCTTTGTGAAGAAACCTTTTCATCCCACAAAAACTATGAAAAGACCAATTAGTCATCAAGCCGCCTTACAAAAAGTCTAAAATCCATTAGACCAAGATTCGAAGCGCAATCCAAAATTTTCATAAATTATACTATGCGGATAAGGTCACTATGCGAAGATCTAAGTGTCTTTTTACGGTTATACGACTATGTTATATATTTTAGAATGCCTACACACCCAATAACATAGAGAACCCAACCCAAAAATATTTTTTTTTCGCAAATTTGACCGTCATTTTTGGCTCAATAAGAATTTTTTTCATTTTGAGTTTATCGATGAAAATCAGCATGTCGTTGAGATCCTGACTCCTTGTAGCATCTAAAAATACCAAAGGCTAGGAGTTTTTGACTATACCTCGAAATTTATGATCGCATTCCTACCCTGTTCCAAACTTTTGTCCCACCCATTTTTAAAAATTTTGTGTTTTGCTCATACGAGCTTTCGGATTTTTACGGCTATGCATCTATTCAGGGTTTTAATACATTCTGATTCTCATAGAAAAGAAATGAAACTCCGATCTCAAGCCACAAAGTAAATCTAGCCTGTTCCAAACTTTAGTCCCGGGGTATAAATCCGCAGGGTTCGGACGGACTAGCGCGCTGAAATTTATAAAGCACCTCCCATATATCCTCCAGGAACCTTGGTGTTTCTTGGAGACTTACAGGGTAAAAAAATCGAAAAGAGAAAATCAACTTTCATTTTTCACAAAAAAGTCTAAATTTTTATCAATCATAATGAAAATCGACTGCAAATTGACCCTCAACCACTTACACCGTTACCTCATGCCATTTAATCCACAAAACCATTTTCTTTCAAAAATCGCCCAAAATTTATATTATCCATGCTAAAAAATGCCCAAAAAACTCAGAAGACGCAGACATACATCGAAAAAATTCCAAGCTCTCCATCAACACGTAATAGTTTATCTACACACATCGCAGTTCATAAAAGTATGATATAAATCACATGGTTACACGTTTTTCTCGACCAATTTCGCTAGAGCCAGCACCGTTTTCGCCGTATTTTGGAGATTTTTTCGTTCGAGGATGTCGGTCACCGTGCACAGAGAAGTCTGTAAATATTTGCTGTCACTTTTATCTTTTACTTGAGATCAAACTCAAATTTTGTAAAAATTTTATATTACACTAGGTAAAATTGCTAGAAAATTTTAATTTTTTCTTAATTTCCATTATTTGAATGACTCTTTTAGTCTCATAATTATCTCTTTAGCCATCTTGCATCATTTAAGCCCATTATAAAGATGTCAAATCGGGTAATATTACCCCCAAACTGATCCTTCCATAACTTTTGGACGTATCATTTTTTCTATAAAAAATAACGCAACAAATCCATTGCAACGGCTTAATCCGGCCTTTACTATGCCAGTCATCTATTTGTAAGACATTTTGCCTCTTTTTCAATCATTTCCAAATCTATCATAATATAAATTTGTTGTTTTACATAAACATTATGCCTCATAATCAACAAAATACTCCCTCATCTGACTCAAAATTAAATAATCAACCCATCAAAACTTTTTTTATCACCCAGCCGACGAAAATTCTGCATTTTCTCTACCACAACATAACCTCTGCTTCAAAATTAAAAAATTTACCTCGGAAACTCCTTGACTTCTGGCGATGGTGATGAAATTCTCAATGTTCCGTCTAGCACGGGTTGGGGCGACCGTCTGCAACCAAAATATCAACATATTTTATCATCAGACATTAAAAATCAAAAAAATCTGAATTTTTTTGATATCACCATTAAAAAACTTCTCGAAAACCCTTCAAACCTTCTCAAAATTTCTTACCAAGCTTCCTACAGCTTTGGCCACCGTTGGGACACTTTTTGGGAACAAGACATTCACAAAATTACATAGAATTACACCATCGGCCAGTTGATTTGCCAATTTTTCCTTTTGAATTTCCAATTTCTCTGTTTCCAAGTGCTTTTGAATTGTTTTTCGCATGAGATCAACTGAAGTGATGGTTTTTGTGCTCGAATTTCCGTTCAGGCTCATCACAGATTGGCTGAGTTTTGTTGGGAGGGCAGTTTTCGATCTTGTTGTAGTTGTTTTTGGTATTGAAATCGTACTTCTGTCCATACTCTGAGCTTTTTGGAATGGAGGTTTCGCATTGTTGGCATTAACGTCCTTCGCAGAGTCTGGGGAGTCAGTTGGGATCTAAAAATCGGCAATAATTTAATGAAAAATCAAAACCTAAAAAATTTTTGGGTTATAATTGAAAAATTTTGTCTAAAATACGTCCCAAAATATTCCAAATTCTCTAAAATTTCACATAGACAAACTAGATAATCTCTTCTACGTATTTCACCATGATCGCAATCGAAAAATCCAAAAAATCAAGAATCTTACAATTTTTCCCAAAAGACCTCCATTTTAATCTAAAATAAGGTCCAAAGTTCTTAAAAAAGGTCCTCATAAATCTCGACTCCCTCCAAAAAATCTCTCCAATCTCCACAGCCTCTTATAACATGAAAAACTCACCGTTTTGACTCCAACTTTTGATCCAACCGGTTGAACTTTTGCTCCTCTCGGTGCCGTCGTTTTTCTCACAACTTTTACGGCTTCCCTTTTGGTCGGAGCCAACGACATGGTCGAGGAAGACCGTGATGAGATCCTAGAGGAAGTTGTGGACGTTGTGCTCGCCGGTTTCGTTCCATTCGAGAGTTGTGAGACGTTAACGCTGGAGCCCATCCGGCTTCGCGAAGCCGTCGATAGGGTGGATGGCCGACTCGATGGGAGCTTCGTGCCCGTTGAGGTAGATCCGGAGCGGACTGGAGCTCTTACGTTTCCAATCTTCGGCTGAAAACATCAAAATTGAGCTTTTTACAGTCAAATTTTTGAACGGTTGCCTAAAATCCAACAAAAACAATATAAATCTTACCTTTTCTTGGCCATTCTGCGCGATGGTTCCATTTTCCTTGGCCGTTCCGTTTCTCGAGGCTTTCGTGGCGGAGTCCGTGGGACGAGACGGAGCGCTGTTTGGCTTCGGGACGGTGGAATGGGCGTCCGGAGTCGTAGAGGAGGTCTTGGCGGGGTCGGCGTTGCCGTTTGCAGTAATATTCTTGTGCAAATGAAGTGTCGGCGGCTTCGTGGTAACTGAAAAACCATTTCTTACTATTTACAATTATTCTTTTTATATCCAAGACAATAATTCTTTCAAAATTTAAAAAAATTATGTTATCCATGGTAAAACAAAAAAGTCTCAGAACCTATTGAAGCAGCCAGCTAGCAAAGCCTAAGCAAAAACTCAGAAACAATGATCCTGGAGGATTCGGAAGCCACCTTAACCGCTTACTTTCCGCCGATTTTTCGGTGGTTTCTTCAACTGGAGATAGGACCGTGTTCAATGTCGTGGAACTGATTCCATTGTGTGATTTATCCCTGCTGAGGGGTGGAACTACGTTTGTCGGGCGTGGTTTGATGTGAGCTGGCTTCGTGAGGTTGTTGTTGCTCAGGTCCATGAGGCTAGCCGAGTGTGTTGGGGGTTTACTTGAACTGTAGATGTTGTTGATGGAACCGACCTTAAACGGCAGAAATTTTACCAAAAATCCAACGTAGATTTAAAAAAAATGTATTCAGAGATGCTAACTGTCAATTACAACCTTGCGATCCTTATAAGGCACCTAAAATTCAAAACAAAAAAGCCAAAAAGCTTACCATATTTTGCTCATAAGTTTTCATAATCTCCTTGGCCAAATCACCGCCATGTACGGAGGTGTCATTCGAGTTCACATCCGTTTCATCAACATAACACAAGGTCCGAGTGCTGGCGTTCAGTTCAGACAACCCCAAATTGATCGACTGAAAAATGTCCGAGATTCATTTGAAAATACGCACAACTAGCTTTAAATTTTCTGCAAACATAATATTCTTCTATTCTATACAGCTTTACAACCATCAAATCTAGGTTAGTGCCTACTATAATATAAATTTTAACGGAAGCATCATTCAATTTTCCAATTTTTACCTCCAACTGTTCGCGAAGATCGTCCCCAGTCGATATGTAGCCGGAATCCGTGCCGTTGAAGGGTCCGCATCGGACGGTCGTGGTGAGTCGAGTGGATCTGGAACGGCGTTCGATTCGCTTTTGGTCGATGTTTCTTTGCGTACTGAACCAAAAATAAACGATAATTAGAACCAAAGGGTAAGAAAGCGAAAACTGGAAACAAAATTTCTTGCAATAAGCGCCCATAGCGGGAAAATTCAAGAATTTGGTTAAAACTGCTGGGTTTTCGGCGAATATTCGGGAAATGGGCGGATATTACAGATCGAACGACAAGAATGCGAACCGAGAATGAAGTCACAATACGACCGGCGATAATGGAAGAGAAAGACAAGCGGGAAAAACTGCCTCGCTATGAGTTATAAGCGATTTTTTGGAGAAAAACGGGATTTTTGGTAAGAAAAAAAGATTTTTCGTAAAAAATTGCCCAAAAAAGAATAAAAAATGATGTTAAACTTCAAGTAAATGCATCTAGTGTCCTAAAAAATCCCAACACACACAGACATCAGGGTAAATCCACACAAACAATCAAAAATTGGGACAACAACACCTCTCACAACCTAAAACAACACAAAAAGCGTTACGAACGTCACAAAACCGTGAAATCGAACAATCAACTCATAATTCAATGAATTTCCTTCATTTTTATATCTGTTTCATGTCAATTAACAATCAAATTCGAGTGGAGATATCGGGATTTTGTTTTAGAGATCTTTGAAGCGAAGAAACAAAGATTTGGCGACGAATGTGGAAGTCAAGCACCTAGAACGACCAGAAGCCAACGTAAAATGATGGCGGACACCTATTTTCCGACGATAAATGAGGATGCAACGGAATGCCAAAGAGACATCGGCGAGTGATAAAAATGGCGGAAATTTGGCAATTCAAATTCTCAAATGGCTGAAAACTGGCAGAACAGAGACTTTACAGTCTGATGAAAATTTTGAGAACAAAATACCCATAGAAAATTACTTTAAAATCAAAGAATAACCCATTTTTCCAAGGTCTACACCAAAAATTCGAGGATTGCAAAGAACACCTCATTAAACCAATATAAAATCCTAAGCAGACCAAGTGGATAGCTAGTAACAACCTTTAGGACCTTTCCGGACCTCACAAATTCCCAAAGAACCCCAGGCAACAAGATCAGAGCAATAACAAGTAGGGTTACCAAAACAAGGTCCAGGTTAATGGTGTTATCACGGAAATTTAGTACCACATTCGGAATATAAGGTACGTAGGAGGGTTGAATATTCAGATTAAGGTCTTGCAAGCTAGCGCACGAGAAACTTTTCGGAATATTTGGCCTAGAGCAAAAATTAAAAAAAGATTCCGTCAGAAATCCAGTCGAATATTGCGGTGGATCTAATGGTGCCGTGTGCTTGGCATCGGCGTCTGATGAGCAAGACATGTTCATACTACGACAGCCAGAGTCTATTGACATCTTATCAGCCAGATCTAACGGTTCTCTACCCATTATTTCGTCACTTTCTACCTGATTTTTGCCACAGACATCAAAAATTTGAGACCTCAAAAGATCGATGAGTTCCGACCGGTCGGAAATCTCAGAAGACAAATCAGACGGCTCGTGCTCCGAAGCGTCCCTAGGGCTGTTAGTTTTGACAAAAAGTTCCTGCAGACGTGAGAGGAGAGAGGCGGAATTAACAAAATTTTCTTTGCCGCACCTTCCTCGATCGGAGCGCCGGATGGTGGCGTTCAGCGTGTTGGCGCGGCTGAAATCCATGCCATACGAATTCGGCAGTCCGAAGGCAGCACAGCTAGCCGTTAGGGCATGATCACCATTCAACATCTTCTCCATGAGGCCATGATTTGGCCGGGTTTCATCCATTTTCGTTGAGAGCCATTTGAAAATGTGAGCTCGGCCCTGAAAAAATTTTTCATCGGCTGAAATTTTTCTTCGTTTATAAGATTCTTCTCAACTTTAGACAATAAGTGTCTTCAATATTTCACTATTCAAGCCCTAAAAATCCAAAAACTTGAAAAAATTGTATAAAAAACATAAATTCTTTCACAAATTCTAAACTTTTCGACATAAAATCATGAATTTCACAAAAACATTAACTTAAAAAGCAAATTGCCCTCTAAAAACCCCAACCTACCCTCCGAACCACATTCATTGGAGGTTCAATTAATGGATTTCCATCCACATTGAACTCAACACATCCTCCAAGTCGATACAGTTCGGCTGGTAGTCGAATAAGCATGTTATTGGCAAGGTCTAGGGACTTCAAACTCATCGTTCCAATGTCTTAAAATAATTTTAAAATCATAAAAAAAAATTAAAATTAAAAAAAAATGTTTGAAAATTAAAAAAAAAAATTGAAAAAATTTATAAAATTTCAAAGCCTAAGGCACAAAGCTCAAAACAGCCAAAAACACACCGGCAGGGAGATCTTTGAGCTGATTACCGCGCAAGTTCAGGACTCTGAGCTCGGTCAGGGCTGATAAACCGTTTGGAAGTACCCGGATTTTGTTGGCCGACAAGTCAATCTCCTCGATTGTGGGGGCCAAATGTCGAATCTCCACTGATAACGTCTGAAGTCGATTCCGCGATAACAATAGTACTCTGAGAGGCAGTGTGAACAGGGCATCTGGCAGTTCAGTCAAGTGGTTATCGCTGAGATCCAGGTAGGTTAGGGAGACCATCGACGAAATGGCTGGCGGAATTGTCCGGAGGGCATTTGAGCGAAATTCGAGGGTTTCCAGCGACCGTAACTCGCATATTGTAATGGGCAGTTGAGAAATACAGTTTGAGCTTATGTCTGAAACGATAAAAATTTAAATTTAAAATTTCCCGCCAATTTTGGCATTCTGCAACAACCTGTTTTTATGATAAAATAACGTTCTAAAAGTAGTATAAACGCTTCCTAAGTTTTTAAAAGTGCCTTTGAGACCTTTTTTTGTGCTCTACATACCTGCTTTGATGAGATCACTGATGTCATTACCGGCGAGGGCATCCGTCGGAAATTCTTTCAGCTGACGTTGATTCAGGTTCAAAACACCCGTCAAAAATGCATCATGTAGCACCTTTTCGCATGGCAAGTTGAGCATCTGCAAGCGAAAATAATTAAATATTTGAATTTACAAAAATTGAAAATTTTTAAAATGGCAAGCTGCGCCCGAGGGTAACCAAATAATGTCATGGAATTGCCTCAAAATGAAAATATCTATTGCCAGAGAGCGTCAAAAGTACCATTATGAATAAGAAAATTTGATATAAAACATTTTTTCGTCCCACAATGACCATTATATAGGCTTTTGTCAACTGAATCTAGTGCAAGGTCAATATCCCTCTATAACACTAAAGATTAGGCTAAAACCCCTTCTAAAATGCAACATCTGGATGAGCAAGAGATCTTCCAGCCCGGAGAGAGTATCAAATACACGTTTTTCTAATCGGAGTGGCCACAAAAAGCTTGTCAAGAACCTGGGAGAAAACAAATAAAAAAAGTCGGACGAGGGTGAAATGAATCACCTTGAAAAACATGCTCAACATTCGATGAGGAGTGAAAGCAATCGCCGCCCAACTTCTTTCGGGTCGTTCGCATTTATCACTCGCTATGAGAACGATGGCTATGCAAAGCAGTGGAGAGGAAAGGTGATGAAAGAGCGCCAAAATCGGATTATAAACACTGCAGTCGAGGAGGGAAAAAGGCAGTGCAAGGTGTGTTACTCCCTCTGGTATTTGGCAAATTCAAAATTAGGGCAAGCGGAGACTAATAAAAATAGAAAATCCAAAATTTACATAAATTTTCGGATTTTCTGCATTATTTTAGTCAAAAAATTGCTTAATTTGATCAAAACAAAAACAATTTTTGTTTTAAATTAATTTACCTTCTACTTTGAACAAAATTAAGGTCACTTTACACACATGTTTGGTCAAAAAATTTTTTAAAAATCTCCAAAATCCCTAAACTTCCCCCCAAAACCGGACCAAAAATAAAATTTCGTCCTCGAATACAATCCGAAAACATCTCGGGACCCAAAAATATAATTTAGAATATAAATTTTCCGGAGCCCTGTAACCCCGCGCCAAATGTCCATTTTTCGGGCCCCTTTTCTCAAGAGATGGCAAAAAAAGAGAGGGGAGAAGGGGGCTCGATTGGATCAAAGGGCACCTCGATCTTCTAGTGGAGGGGAGATTACATGCAAAAAAGCGAGGGGGTTTTGTGAACCCACCTGCCCAGTGTTTTTACGGATCATTTTCAAGCTTTTTCGTGTTTTTTTTTTGTAAAGTTAATGGTCATTTCGGTGTTGTAAAGGTTGGAGAGAAGTGAAAAAGGGAGAACAGAAAATTTAGCGAGGTTTGGGGGATAATTTTGCTTCAAAATTATCAAAAATAAACTACTTGTGGCAAAAACCTTATTTTTGATGACATGTTAGTCTAAATTAAGGTCATAGCTCAAAATTTGGAGCCCTTTCGGATAGAAAATTCTCTTCATTCGACAGAGTAAAGCTTTCAGTACGTTGAGGGACCTAATTCAGTGGCAAAAAACGTATCATTTTGCATCTGGGAAGCATCAAAAATGCGGTAAAATGCTTCCCTCTCCGAGTGAAAAAACTTCGTTTTGAAGGACGCGCCCTTTCCTTCACAAAAAGAGCGGGCGCACATTTTGCAATCGGCCTGGAGAGGGAAGCATTTTGCCACATTTTTGATACTTCCCAGATGCAAAATGGTACGTTTTTTGCCACTGGATCAGGTCCCCCACTGTATCGAGTGTACGTCAACAATCCCAGTTCTTAAACGTCATACTGGCACAACGATCAAAAAATATTATTGCATACAGACAGAAACTCATCGTATTTTACCAATACAACCCCCCGATCACCTACAGTGTGAAAGGAGTATTCTCCAATGAATTTCTCGGCCAATTCGTACTCCAGACTGCAATTTCTTCGCCGTCCATGGAAGAAACTTAGACACGAATTTATAGACATGATGAATGTAAAATCGAATTTGCTGCTTCACATTTTATATAAACTCTCAAATAAGAGGAGGGCAAAAGCCAAATAGCAGTTAATAAAAAAACATTTGTTTACACAAAATATTTATTTCGAGGTGAGATCTGATATTGCACTTGACGGCTTTAAAACAAAGTGACTAAGTCAATATAAACAAAAGATAATAACGCAATATCTGGAATAAAATAGCACGTAGGATCTATTATTCCACGGGAAAAACAAAAATTGCCTAATTTTGTAAACCCCAGCGAAAAATTATATTATCCATGACGCCTGGAAGGAAAACAGCTCAAATTTGGCTCAAAATCCAATTAAAATTGGCAAATAAGGTCCTCAAATAAAAAACTGACACTCCGAAGTGTCTGCAACGTCACTTGCACGGCTCCCAAAATAGTAATATTTTCTGTATTCGCGTCCCGAACATATCCACCAACTGTCAAAGTCGGATAAATGATGGGAATTAGGCAGCGAAAAGACGGGGATGGCCGTTATGAGACGCTCCGGCTCTTCCGACATTTATGGCCAGTTGGGACTGAAATTGCGTTTAAAAAACGGGACCAACAATCAAATCAGGGCTTCAGGACTGGAAGGAAAATAGAAATTCCTTACTTTCGACTGAATTCCAAGGAAATTGAGAGGAAACCTAACTTTTTTTGGTGGAAAACGAAAGAACGCACCATTTCCTGGGCAATCTTGAGCAATTCAAGAAAAAAGGGGGAAATTTCGACAAAATTTTATATTACTTTAGACATCAGATCAAAAAAGGGTCAAAATCCGATGGATTAAAGTGTCAAAGAGCTAGAGAACAGCAAAATAATATTGATAAAGCGTCTGGTTATCCATCATAAATCCGAAAACATCTTTTAAAAATCTTTTTCCAGCTGAAAATTGGATTTTCGGAAAATTTTTCGTCTGATATCCAAAAAAATTCAAAAATCGTTCAAAAAACATCAAATATCAAATTTAGACCTCAAAATCAGCTGTAACATCATCTATTAGACAATTCTCTTTTTAAGAAACCCCATAAACTCCCCAAAAAACAATGATAACAACCTCGAAAAGGTCCAATGTCTAAAGTCAATTGAAGCCATCTGATTCCCATTAAACGGCCGCAGTTTTGTGTGGAACGACATTCCGAATGCAAGTTAAATGCACTTGCCGAATGCGCTGGGACATCTAACCGGGTTTATGTCTAGTTAGAAGACAAAAATTGGGTGGACTTGCGACTGGTGATGGACAATATAAATTTTAATGTCTAAAGTAATATAAAACACGAAGAAATGGAAAACCAACTATGTAAAACATTGAAAAGAGTCTTATTCTTTGCAAAGCAACAAGAATTTTGCAAAATTTTCGCAAGGAAAAAGAAAAAAAACTGGAGAGAAAAACTTGTCCCATTTTTTGAGTCAACTCTGACTTTTATTTTCAGATTGCAAATAATGACAATTTCTGACAATCCAAGACGCCAAATACGGTCAAAATATCATTTCAAACAATTGTAACCTCCTTATCTTCAATCTATTCCCATTAAACTACCATCTTTTCTACATCAATATATTACCCAAGCCAAAAAATTTCGGAAAATATCGTTCTAAAATGTCAGGCCCCAATTTGTCCCCTTCTCAAGTCCGATATGCAAATGCGCCTCTTCGAATTTTTGGTTGTTTTGCACTTTGCGATTAATTATGTTCCATTTTCGGCGCCGCGCAGGCCCCAAAGAAGTGGCGAAAATTAATTTCGGGCATTCTGATTTAATTCGCGCCTAATCTACCAGAAATAAATTGCAAAAAAGTGGACCCGTATTTTTAAGTGGGTAAAAAGCTACCTTACGATCGAAAAATTAAATTATGCACCAAAACTATTTAAAAAAATCGGAAAAATGCAAATTTTTATTTTTTTCTGCCTATAAATTTAAATACAGAAGAAACGGCCTATTGTAAAATACATTCGTCGATGAATGTCACCAATTCTAGCCATTGAAGTAACAAAAAATCGAATTTTTCACCAAAAAATCATCAAAAATATATAACCTACCGCTTGCTGTGAAGTGGAAGGTAAGATATTGTCAACGTAGCAGGCCGTGGTGTTGGTCGAGTCATTGAGCAGGGAATTTGATTTCGCACTTTGACTACTGGAGCGACGTTGAGATCGTAGGGCATTCGCTTTTTGTTGGATGAAAACCCGTTTGCCACTCATTGACTAAAAATGAAGGGTAAAATACGTTTACTTCGCGTTTTCCTATGATCAGCTATGGACTGAAAGCAAATTTTCAAAATTTTTTTTAGACAAACAAGATTTTTTTGATCCAATGGCAAAAACGTACCGTTTTGCATCCGGGAAGCATCAAAAATGTGGCAAAATGCTTCCTTCTCCAAGTGAAAAAACTTCGTTTTGAAAGGCGCGCCCTTTCCCTCACAAGAGTGGGTGCGCTTTTGAAATCGAATTTCTTTTTCACTAGGAGAGGGAAGCATTTTGCCACGTTTTTGATACCTCCCGGGTGTAAAATCGTACATTTTTTTGCCACTGAATCAGGTCCCCCACTGTACAATTAACCTACCTGAACAAATCCTTCGCCCGACGTCGTGTTCTGATGTTGGACACCGTCCGGGTCGGACGAAATGGCCGATTGAACGGCCTTTCGTGTCTGTTGAAGCCAATAAGCGGCCGTGATTGCAGACACCCTCGATATACTCGTATTGTAGGGAAAACTAGCACCGAACAAGAACACAATCTATAAAAAATTATTTTGAGAGTTAGAATATTTGTAATAGTAAAAGATATTAACGGCGATCGACGTAAGAAAGGGAGGGAAAAACAATTCTAATCCTGGAGGGGGGACAAGGGTATTAATGGGTGATGAATCGCCTTTTGCGGTGGGGAAAAAACTATGTTTATGAGTAAAGCGGGGAGTTGGAATAGTATAAGTGACATTTCTTTTTTTTGAAACAAAAAGAAATGTTGGAAAGTAAAGTTGCAAGGTAAAATACGATGTCTGCTTCCTCTCGATAAATAGATAATAAAAATTGAGGGTTTATTTGACATTTCTGAGCTATTTCTACAATTATTTTACCATTTTGAAGTCATTTACAACCTAAATTGATATTCTAACGAAATGCCAAAAATGGCGGGAAATTAAAAATTTGAATTCTCAAACTTGTTACAGAAGTAAGAACAGCTTATTTCGACCACATCATGGCTAAAACCCACCTTTCCCAGCAAATCCAATTCGTAAAATCCGCATATGCCCTCGGGGCAACCTTTTTAAAAAGCTTTTAAATTTGGGTCATAAATTAGAAAAAATGAGGGCCATAACTTTTCCTTTTGCAAAAACACATCTGACCACCGGCAATTGGGTTCAGAAAAACCGCAGTTGTCAAAAAAGTGCCCTCAAGGGCTCCAACGGTCATTTCCGAGTGATGAGATGGCCACTCGTTTCCATTGGCCCTCGGGGGATTTCAAGGGGATCCGAAAAGTTTATAACGCCAAAAATTAAATTAAGACCCAGCAGAAGTAGGAGGGCGAGGAAATGAATCGAACTAATCAATATTCCCTTTGTTAAAGAGTTTTGTAACGAAAAAATGGAGAGAAAATGGGTTCTTGAGGGAGAATGAGGTCGAACGATTGTAAAAGGTAATGCATTATAATGGTAAAAAGGTGTGCTTTAGCTGTAAATTTGTTCAAGAGTAACAAAGAAAGGTTAATCACATGGAAGGAACAAAATTTCTTCTACCACCAACAAGTATGGTCCAGAGATGACTTTATTTTCCGCAGAGTAGCCATTACTCTCAAAAAATTTTTGTGATAGAAAAGTTTCGGGTTTCATGCCCGCTAGGCCATTTGCAAGAATCTTTGCGCCTTTGGACAAAGTTTTTGCAGCTTCTTTGGGGACATTTTGGAAATTTCCTCGCAAAAAGTGCAGACAGTTTCTTTAGTTAGCTATTAGAATTGAGCGTTAAACTAGATGAAGCCTAAAATTTATAAATGAAGTTCATAAACCGTGGTGGTAAGAGTGAAGAAATCAGTCAATTGTCATCTTAACCTTGCAGTTGAGGCCATATCCGATCTCACGCCCAAGCTCGAGTCGATTGGAATAAAATTCACCAAACTGGATGACATAAGATACAACTCTGGCATATTTTATTCCATTCAACTCGAACTTGAACATGAGGTTGATTATGACCTCAATCTCGAGGCTCTAACGACAAAAGACTGATTTCTTCACTTTTACCCCACAGTTTATAAACTTATTTATAAATTTTTGAGTTTCATCTAGTTTGACGCTAAAATCTAATAGCTATCTATATATCTCGATCCTTCAAACTTCATTTCCGTCCAAGACGCGATTTATCAAAGAATCTGTCTGCACTTTTTGCGAGGAATTTCCAAAAAAATGACCCCAAAGGAGCTGCAAAAACTTTGTCCAAAGGCGCCAAAACTCCTCCAAAATGGGCCAGCGGGCATGAAACCCGAAACTTTTTTATCACTATACAAATTCTCGATTAGGAATGAGTAAAGGCTACTCGGCGGAAAGGGAAGGTCATTTTTTCATTAGCGCCATAATAGTAGTAGTGGTAAAAACGGATGCGGTGGCACGAAAGGGCTAAAGAAAATGGAGGGAGTGGTGGATAAATACATTAAGGAGTGAAATTGAATAACGTTTTGTCTAATCACGAACAAAATAACAAATTTTGGTCATAAAAACAAAAAACATCGGTTTCGCTTCGCATAAACATGATGACTTTAAATAGCACTGCTATTTACGACATAAAAACAATGACCAAAAGCAGCTAAATGACCAAAAACTGTACTGTTTTTTGTATATAGCCAAAAAAGGGGCTTTTAGAGGCGATTAAGGGATGAACGTTGTTCCTTACAGAGCGAAGAAATGCGGTGGAAAAAGAGAAAATAACCCAGGGACCTTCATGAAATATTCAACATTCTCATAAATGAAAAATATGTCTTCGTATTACGATAAACAAAAATTCGGGGATTAGTCATTGAAATGTTTTGTGATGACTGTTGCGTTTAGCAGGATAGGAAGTCGAGGTTATGAATAAAAGTTTTCTGTAACAAAGTTTTGAAAAGCTCGTAATTTTGGCTCACTGTTTGCAAGACTCTCCGCAACTTTTAAACACTCTAGAAACAGTCGAAAAATTCAAAAAACCTCCTCTTCCATGGCTGAAAATTTTTTTGACAAAAAATTCTCCGCATTATTGCAACCCTTAATACAACCCAGAATACAGGCAAGGCCAGGAGAGTACTAACATCATAACCCACTTTATCTCCGACCCCCTCAAACACTAAAGCCCAACGGATTAATTTTAATCAAAAAAGGACCCAAAAAACTCGCTGAACACATAAAGCGGGGCCAGAAAAGGCCACCGCCGAACGGGGTCCCGAAAATAAATACGGGCCGGACGGGGAGGAGGACACTTTTAAGGGGGAAATTGGGAATTCGGAAAGAGGAAGCAAAACGCGTGTTCAGGAGGGAAAGGCCTTAAAAGGGTGTACAATAGGGATATTGAGGGGAAACCAACTCCTCAGAGGTTTTCAAAATGTGGTAGAGGAGTAATGAAGGCCCTGTAGGGAGACCCTGTAGAGTAAACAACTCCGACAACTTTTATAGACGTTTTTTAGGGAGAAAGGTACCTTAGATACAATGGAATATTTTTCAAACGAAAAATCATCGCTAATACCGCCAATGTCAGAAATTTTAGAACCACGACATTTGGCAAAATTTCCTTTTCCATCCTATTCCGACAACAAATGAAAAATTTAATGCTGAACTGTTTCTAGACGATAAAAAGGTCGAAAAAGAGATATAAAGCCTAAATTACAGTTAGTATCAAAAAGTATCAGAGACACATAAAAAGAATGTTGGTTATAAAGAGAGACATGCATTTTAATAGTCCAGAAATCCTTTCTCATTATTACCAACAGCCTATTTTTATGCCTTTCTGATACCTTTTGATACCAAATCTGGACTCAGCTTGATATCTTTTTTTCATTTTCTTGCCGACTTTAATCTGCTCAATAGCGTGAAGTGCCAAATTTTTCTGATTTCTTCAAATTCCTTGTTCAAATTCCCCTACACATTTAACGTTTCGTAAAATGGCCACTAAACCAACGCCAACACAAATAATAACCCTCATATCTCTGTTTAACATCCTCAGGGCCACTCCCACAGACACGATCGTTAAACATTTCACCCCCGACTAAACATTAAGCCCGACATCACAAAACTTTTCCCCGTTTTTTGTCACTTTTGGGCTTTAGGAGACAGCCTGTCCAAAAAACAACTAAGTCCCTGAGGACATAGACGCTCGAAGTTTTTTGAAAGGCCGTTCGGACCGGTTAAGCGTCCGAAAACGGCATTTCTCAGCGTTTTTTGCACTTTTCTGTTGACTTTTCGAGATTAAAATAGAAATAAAAATTGTCGGAGAAAAAATCCCGCAAATTGAAAGCAAATCATGCCGGAAAATTTATTTTTGACGTCTTTTGGAAAAAAGGTGATTCCAAAAAATTAAAAGAGAAAAACGGAGAAAGTTGAGCGTTTTTTATGAAAGTTCGCCGTTTCGTTTCCCACCTGGACGTTCGACGTCCTTGACGCTAATTAAAATGCCAACAAACTGTCAGCGAGTTTTGGGGGAGGCCTTGAGCTCCAATTTAGAATTGGCAGAGACGAAAAAAGCCTACTCTAAATTTTTCGTATGGTATGCAAAAGATCATTGAATACCTTGGCAGTCTCGACAAACCTCGAGCTGAAATGCTCAGAAATGGTTATGTGGTCTATTTAAAGTCATCAGAACAAATTGGAAGAAAGTCCAAGAGTTGGACTTCGAGGAAATATCCAAATTTTGCTTTGGACTGCAAATTTTTTTACAAATTTTTTTGTCCCATTGCTTCAAAAACTCCTCCTTACAAGCTCCCAACCCGTTAAATCCGACTTTTTCCCCAAGACAAACCCCAAGAAACGTGCATTGAAACCATGTCATCAGCCATAAAAATTCGACCCAATGGCCGTCCGAAACCCCTCGGCGGAACATAAAGTATTAGTGTCTTGTATTGTTTGCCGAGATTTGTATGCGCTTTTACTTACAAAATGGACTGAATGAGATCGGCGTTTACGTGGGGCGAGGAGAAAGGGCAAGCGAGTTCGCGGGAAAGGGGGAAATTATGAACAAGAAAGCGTTTCCAACCAAAATAAGATTTGTTTAGTCTGCAAGGAGACAGAAGGGACAGCACGGTTTGAAAGACGAGGAAATGTTTGAGAAACCCAAAAATTTGAAATCCCTAACATACTAGTTTTTGCTACTCAATCATCAAAAATTGATTAGAAAGAAACTGAAAATGAGGCAATAACAATAAAATTTTACGAATTACAAAGCCTTCAAGTCCTGTTTTTGCAAGTTTCATGGCTCATTCAAGCCGGGGCTCTCATTTGTTACACAGCGGTCAAGCGTGACTCTTGAAGAAAGCACCAAAAGGCGATCGAGTTTCTGACTGGTCCGATTTCAATTCATATTCAATAAAGGGCCATCTCTTGAAAAAGAGAATGTCTTTAAACCTTTTAGAGATTGGACAAGACATTGTTGGTAAAATGGTACTACGCAGCAAACATTTTGAAAGATGGCGCAATTATCAACTCCTTATCCTTGTGGGGTCCCATCGATAAAAAGATCGAGAAAGCATGTACCGAAATGAACCGTCTTTCAGCGCTTCAACTGACCAAAGTATTACTTTTTTACCATCAAATCTCCCTCCAATCTCCGACCCTTCAAAAAACGATCCTCCACCAAAACCTGGGCCTTTATTGAATATGAATTAAACCCGGACGAGCCAGAAACTCGATCGCCCTTTAGTGTTTTTTTTGAATCATCTGGACCGCTGTATAACAAATCGAATCCCGGGTTTCAATGAGCCACGGAACTTGCAAAAAAAAAAGACTTTAAAGTTTTATAATTCGTAAAATTTTATTTTATTGGATTCGTTGAGAGAGGAGGAGGCGATTAAAGTAATGAGAAGTTTGCTACAGCCGTAAAATCCACGAGAAAAGGGGAAAATCAAGAGATGAAATACCGTATTTTAAAAATTGCTCCGAATCAAATCAATCTTTAAAGCCCATGTTTATACATTTTGTAACCAACACCATTTATTCTAACCCTCATTATTTACCTCTTGATATGGACCATTTACGCCCGCTTTACTATCGCTATTCACGTAAGCCCCATAAAGCGTTCATTCAAAGAGAAAGATAAACCCTCGGGTTCTGTTGGAAATACTTCGACATTTTTTTATTTTTCGAACATTTGAACGGCGTTTTTTTGCTGCCCGGCGAGACGCCCTTACCCAGGAAGAAACATATTTGAATTGTTAACAACCTTGTTAGCGTGCGCCAAGGAAATGAAAACCAGGCGAATTTTGCAAAAAGAAAAACTTGAAAAGAATAAGTTTTATAATGGGAAATAAAAGGCTGGTATGGTTGTAACCATTTCCAATCGAAAAGTAGCTCGTTATACGAGGAATTATTTATTCACGAATGAGCCCAAATTTTATGTCATGCAGTCCCTAGAGCTCAAAATGTGGGACCGGATTTAATATCAAAAAGTATCGTAAGGGCACAGAAATACTGTTGATTTTGAAGAGACGCTGACACCTTTTAGGACCACTCCGGGCCCCGACTACGGTACGAGCTTCTCTCTTCAAAATCCACAGTATTTTTGAGTCCTTGTGATACTCTTTGATATCAAATCCGGTCCCAAGTTGGTCATTTTTTCAAATTTTTAGTCATCCGTAAAATGTCTGGAACTGAACGAGAACGGTTCAAGACTCAGACATCCGGCCAACCCCGGTCTTCAGTCCGAACCCAAACCACCAACGACAAATGCCGCCGATCCTACAGTAGTACCGTCAGTAGCAACAAACACACGCCCGAAGTCACCAGAAATCCAGTTCAGCTTCCAATAAACCCCCAAGACCATCCCATTGAACGCGAAAAAGTAGCCACCAAACTGGCATTCGCGAGGCTGAAAGTAGCATAAAGAGTAAGGAGTTTATAGACGTTCTTTTCTCTCCTCGCTCCTCTTCGAGATTCCACTGGGGGATTGGCGGACCGAAAATCGGTGCAAGAATGAAATTAATCGAGTGGAAAATGAGCGACAACCACCCGCCAATATTTGATGGAAATTTATATATGCATGCATCTTTTTATTGAATGCTCATTAAGCCAGTTCTTTATTGGAGGCGTTTCGTCGCTGGGGGAACAACTTTTGCGGGCGGAAAGGAAAAACAACAAAGATCACAAGCACATCGATTCTCACTTTCAAATAAACCGACATTGCTACAGTGGGGACCTGATCCAGGGGCGAAAAACGAACCATTTTGCATCCGGGGAGTATCAAAAATGTGGCAAAATGCTTCCCTCTACAAGTGAAAAAACTTCCTTTTGAAAGGCTTCCTTACAAAAAGAGCGGGTGCGCTTTTGAAATCTGGGTTTTTTTTCACTTGAAGAGGGAGGCATTTTGCCACATTTTTTGATACTTCCTGGATGCAAAATGGTACGTTTTTTGCCACTGGATCAGCTCCCTCACTGTAGTTCAAAATGCTCAAACACACCGTTACAAACCATTTTTACAACTCGTTCAGCAAAAATCTATTACACAACTTTCAGCACAAAGCCTGGAAAGTCCCAATATTCCGCTTCAAAACTACAGCAATAACATATTCAGCCTCAAAATGACAGTAATAACCACAAATTTTAATGCCTTTCCAACCGTCAAACTTTAAAAATTACCCCGTAAAACAGTCAACCCTATGGGGAACCGGGGTAGAAATCATCTCGAAAAATCGCAAACGACCTCCAAGCTGTTAACAGAAATTTCGAAACATCCCAAACAGTTACAAAAAACTGTCTCCTTATCTGACCTAGATCAAATCGCTAGAAAAAAAAACACATTTCATTCAAATAACTTATTGTTACGCATGAAAAGCCGCTTTAAAAGTTGAAACTGCAAAAACAAAAAATCATCTGCTCCTAAAATTTTTTCCTCGTAATCTAATTATAATCCCTTTCACTTTACGAATTATCATAACAATGAAAGTAATGACCGTGGGAACGTCAACAACACACAAAAAATGGATCAAAACACGATTTATCTGATCGATCTGTCATTTGTTTATCATTCAGAGACAAATTGGTTACAAGGATGACTAACAAAAGCTCTGAGGCCGATCAATGATCCAGAATTTTAATGGGCCGGAAGTTTTTGTGTTGGGAATATTCAGAAGCCGGTATTTCAGGCGTCAAACATTTTTTTTACAAATTTTTTTCTAACAATCAAGATTTATACCAACCTCAGCCCCAGGTTCAAAATATTAATCAGAATTTGCGGGAATTTTAAGGTTTATAATAAAGATCACTAAAATTTGATAGAAAATAAATGTTTTCCTATCAAACTTTACTAAAATTATTATAAACCTCAAAATTCCCGCAAACTTCAATCAATCCCACTCGTCTCCACTTAATGCCCGACAAATCTGGCGTTGTAAAACGCCGGGAGATCCAATTATACTCGAGTCCTTTAAACTCCAATCTGGCCTGTTCGATCCGTCACTGCCACAAGTTCCTCGTCATTACCCCCGCCCGTGTCTCTCTCTCGGAGCGTTCGGCTGCGGTTTAAACGCAACGAACGACCGAAAATCTTTCTTTTTTCGCTGCAAATCTGTCACAAATCATCAACCTCAAAAAAATTAGAAATGAACATCAATAACAAGCAGTGAAAAATAATACATGTCGTCTGTTTTGTGCAGGGAGTTTTCGAACGATTGCATGGAATGGATCAGTAAATAGAAAAGAGTAAAGTGGAATTTGCAGAAATTGGGAGATGACAAGTTGAACCGAACAACTGAGTTTGCGATATGCGTGGCAAAGACTAAACTTGTTGGCTCGTTTTTGCACACGTCTTGGAGCGACTACAGTGACGGACCTGATCCAGTTGCAAAAAAGGGACCATTCTGCATCCGGGAAGTATAAAAAATGTAGCAAAATGCCTCACTCATCAAAAAAAGCTCCGTTTTCAGCGGGCGCGCTTTTCAAACCGGAGCTTTTCCACTTGGAGAGGGAGACATTTTGCTACATTTTTTTATACTTTTCAAATGTAAAATGGTACGTTTTTTGCCCCTGGATCAAGTCCGCCATTGATAAAACCCCTTTAAAATAAAGTACTCCCGTTTTTTTGTTGCTAATCGGCAAAAAATGAAGCACAAAGCAGCTCCTAGAATTTTCAGCTCAAATATAGCGGGATCAATGGAAATTTTCAACATCAAAAATTTAAAAGATTGTCAAATTTTTATTTACCCATAAAAAATTTACTTTTCATTCCCGTTTTTTCACCATTCGGTTTGTCATGAACACGCTGATATTGTACTCATCCTTACTGTTGTTGTTCAGCGTAAATCCCGTAGTCTCTCAAATGCCGGACCAACGCAAATTTGAGGATGGGAAACAACTCTACGATCAGATTATGTTCAATCGAAAGAAAGTCCGAAACCAATTAGAATTTGCAAAAATTAAGGCCGAGAGAACGATCAACGGCGCCTGGGTCGATAAATGGTACGACCGAAACTACAACTACGTCTTCGTAGTGCCCTTTGTTTGTGGGTAAGCGAAACGTTCGATTTTTGTTTGGACAAGCTTAGTCTGGCAAATCCACATTTTAAGAGCGCTTGCAACAGAATGCCAAAAATTCCAAATCATCTTGAACTTTTCGGATTTGTATCCCGAGTCTCACTACAGGCTGCTGCAGGCGACTTAGCATTTTTTTGGCCCTAAAAAGACAGTTTCAGACGGATCTTTTTATAAACCGTTGTTGTCAAAAAATCTCATAAGTATCATGGTCAATATAATAGAATAGCTCAAAAAAGCTAAAGCTTACATTGGATGCGTGGCTCCCTCATAGTTTTTACAACTCTTTTGTTCGACCAAAAGATTTGACTGTGCCTCTATTCTAAAATAACTGATTTTTCAGAGCGATGCTTTCCGCGTTAGTCTTGGAACTGATAATAGTCGCTCTCTCATTCACGGTCTATCCAATAATCTACATTAAAACAAGAGAAGATAAAGAGAATCTAGAGATCCGAGCGATCTATCAACTAATCATCAAACAAGAAGGCCAGAAGGCCCCAAGACTGTCACCACAAAAAGTTCACGATAAGATTGTTCAACACGTCGCTCATGACGTCGCTGAGGCTGCGGTGAGTTGAACAATCCTTATATGTAACCTTTTGCCATAAATTTGGTGAAATTTTACATTATCCTTCAAGTAGAATCTCAACTTTTCTCATTTTAGAAAAAATCCAAGGAGGAAAAGCAACAAGCCGAAGAAGTCAAAGATTTCCAGAAGTTCAAAACGAATAAACCACAAAAGATTCCGGCTCCAAAGAAGGACCCATCGACGCGCAGTACTAATCTCAGCGGGAGTGTGTCAAAGATGTTGGCTGATAGGCCTTACAAAGAAAAATCAACTCAAAATACTCTCGATGGCACTGCGGGAACTGTGGCAGACACTAGCAAGAAAGCAGTTCCATCGTCCTTCAACGAGAAGGAGGAAGGAACTCAAGAAATCGAGACAGAATCGTGGAAAACAGCAGAGACGTCAAAAAGCCCGCTAAAGGTAGAAAAAACTGTTTAAGCCATGTTTTACATTATGTTTATAGCAAAATTCACATCAAATTTAGAAAACAAGATTCCAGAGAGATCTGCGCGAGCTATTTTGGGAAGTAAACCGCCTTTCCAACCAAGAATTTAAAGTTTTTTTATATTGCACTAGACATCTAGAAGAAAAAGTGTCAGCAAACGCGTAAAATGAGGTAAAATATAGGTAAATTTGATTTATTTAATGCCTGCAGACAGCCACGTTCTTTCTGAAGCGAAATTGTCCACCGTTAAACCAGATCCAGACCTAACTTATATTACACTTGACTAAATAAGTCTCAACTCGAAAAAATACGACAATCCCGAGCTCAAATCCTTCGAACACCTTCTAAAATGCATTTTTCAGACTCAGGACACTGAAACTGAAGCTCAAACACAGACCCATGAGCTGGATGTTACCGTTCGCAGCGAATATAAACCAGAAGATACAACCTCCAAATTCGATCAGTCGGATTTACTTTCCAAAGACGAGGCCAAATCGGCTATGACGACGCCTGATAACAACGAAACGGAAGGAAACACAGAGAAAAAAGCAGAGAACGGTAAAGATGAGAAATCCGCGAAATAAAGGACGTCTAAAATAATTTAGTCAGAGTGTAAACGGAATAAATAAACGGTAAAACGGTTGGAAATTTTCGCGATTTCTCTAGTCGAGCTAGTTTAGCAACGCGTTGCAACTTCCGCGAACAAATTCGCTCATGAAATTTTGAGAGAAAGAGTTGACCCGTTTTAGGACAACTCTTTCTTTGGGCAAAAACGTCATTTTTCTGTCAAAAAAATGCATTCTTCGTTGATTTTTTCTTGTTCGATCGAGTTTTTACTAATGTTACGGGTTGTATAATGTATCTCTCCTCATTCTTCAGCCCATTTTATGCGGATATTACTCATTTCTTCGATCTCCACCATCCAAATTCTTATCCGCCCTCATTATTCACTGTTTTTTTGCATGTCGGACTTCTCCTCCGAACTGCGTGGTCTTCTAAATTACCCATGGATCCGCCTGGAATGGTTTTGGATCCCAAACACGGGGCTTCGAACTGGCTTTTCGATGGGTTTTTTGTCCCAAATCCGTCGCCCCGCCGCGTTCCCGAGCGCACTCTCGGCTCGCCCCGGCGAGTGGACGGGGCAGAGGAGGAAAAGGACGCTCTCTCTATTTTCGCTCGGAGCGTTGCTCTTTCCATTCAGAATACACTTCCAAATTCAGGATGGTTGAATTTTTGCACCTTTTCCGAGGGATTATACTACATTATAGTTGTTTCGAGTGGTTTTTTGGTGTCAGTTTTGGTTCCACCGGATAAGTAAATGCTTCGAGCAGGTGTATGGAGTGTTGCTTTACGAGATTACAGAGGTTTTTGAGACCAATGACGTGGTTTATTACAATTGGGTCAGGTTTGTTGTTGTAGGGCGAATGTAATTGCTTTTTACTCGATGAATGGGTCGAAAAATTTTATTTCTCATTGATATTTAGCTGAGTCAGACTATGGGTGAGCTACTTTGTAGCCTTTACAGCCCGGTTTTGCTGAGAAACGGTAGGATTTCAACGTTTTTTTAAATTTAGATAGATGATTTTGACCTTGATAAAGTTGAAGGTCTCTCTATCTTTCTGCTGGAAGAATATTACTGTAAGTGGTATCAACATCTTTATTAGACCATAATCTTTGAGGTTAGATTCATTTGACCTTTTCTATCGCACTTCTCCGGTCAAAGATTACATTATTCTTCACATCAGTCATCAAGAACAAATAATACGATCGAATCGCAAAATTCCCAATCCCCGTTTGTTGATATAAGCGCTAGCTTGTGGGATATTGAATTTGCGTTGTCCGCCCTTTGTCTACTCCTCCATTTCTTGCACTTTTAGCGTTTTCTCCCATAAAATTCTCTTTTTTCGGGCACGAGACCCAGTCATGTGGCATTTTGGGTCCAATTTCTTCGAAAACAAGGGGCCCATACGATTCAAAACCGGGTTTATAGTGAGTAATTTTCGTAGTGGAGGTGGTATTGTACTATATCGTTACAATTTAAAAAAAATCCGGGATTTTATGTAGAATATTGGGTGTTTGAGGGAAACTTTGAATTTTGCCATAGGGAATAGTGGCCGAATTGAGATTTATTTGGTCTTAACCGATAGCTAAGGACCTAATCTTGATACTGGTCATTCAGTTACCTGCCTATCAATATTTTTCTACACTAAAAATAAGTAATTTAAACCTTTGACCTCGGGTTTTCAAGTTTTTTTACTCAAAAGTGATCTCAGGTTCCTTCTCGTGACACAACGTGTACGACAAACATCAATCGAAGAGAGGAGCGTCTGTTTTTTGCCCTTGGACGCATCACAAGGCCGATCCGATATCCACTGTTTATGATTTTATTTTTGATGGATCAGATGGTCGCATGGAGTATATAAAGGGCGGAATAGGAGTGAATGATACCGTGGGATGAGAGGAGAAATCATTTTTCCGCTATTTTAGGATGTTTGGGAGAGAGCGAGAGTAATTTTTAAAAGACGATTTCTGAGTCAGTGAAGCAAGCCGTGACATAGGATTTTTTCGAAGTTGAGTTTTTTGCATAAATATGATCCACAGCACCAGTAGGGAAAAAGCGAACCACAGTTTTCCTTAATTCTTCCATTAACTGTACTTTTTATACAATTTTCTGTTTATACAGTAATTCGTCATAACTTTCTACAATGGTGTCCGTTTGTCATAAAAATAAGGCTACTATGGTTTTTGGGCATGACGAGTTCAATAAAACCAAAAAAAATTACATCCGGTTACGGTAACATATAAAAATACTGTATCGGTCGGTAAAAATCGACCATAAAAAGTTTGTTTCAAAAAACCCACAGCCAATTTTTTCATATTCGTAATCAGCGTAAAATTCTGCTCTAGGACCAATTTTAAAAAGTTCAAAAATAGGACCCCCATTTTCCGTGGTGTAGTGGTTTTTGACCAAAACTGGTAATCTGACCACCCAGGTTCGAATCCGGGTGGGTGCGAATGTAGAAAAAAGACCTAAAATCACTTTTAATGAAAACCTGAGAGTTATTTGAAGCACGCTGAGCAATTTTAGGCATTAAAACTCTCTGAATTTGGGATTAAAACGATTTTTATGTAATTTTAGAGGATTAATGCATCAAAAATAAAACTGCTTCAAACTGGTTGAAATTGATAACACTTATTCTATGGCTAATTGTAAGAAACTTTCCTGTTAACTTTTTTTGGTAGAGTGCTGTATCATGGATTACTGTAACATAAAACTTATTCTACTTACAGGGGAAGTACTTCAAGTGTGACGCTCAGATTTTCTTTAAAATTTGCACACACGTCGGGTATGGACCAAATATCAATTCCTGAAAGTTTTAGCTCGCGCTTTGCGGGCGCCGCCGAGATATCGAACGATTTTTGCCGCCGAGAGAGCACGCTCAACGTGGAGAGCGGTCAGAGAGAAAACCGTTTTTTGGCCATAACTTTGGCAGTTTCGTGCGGAAAAATTTGATTTTTTGTAGAAACATTATCCTTTACAGTTGAAATAGGCATGAAACTTTTCGTGCCGAAATTCGGCAAAAAGTCCTAAAATTTCGCCGACTTTCGATCTAAAAATCTCGGTTGTTTCTGCAAAGCGCGAGCTAGGATTCCCGCATATATCTTAGAAAAAATTATTCTAAATTTGTGCCAAGTTTCATCAAAATCTGAGCGTCACACTTCAAGTACTTCCCTTGTTAGCAGATGTTTTCTTCAAAATTCTTGGGTAAATGTTTTTCTTTTTTTGATTAGATCTATTAAAAAGCAAGAAATCTCAACGCTCCATATTTCAAAAAAAGAATTTTACATGATATATTGTGCATCTTGACATCATTATCGATTGGAAACCTGCGCGTTTTAACGGACGTGTTTCAAGTCCTACGGACATAGAAAACACATTTGTGTGATAACCAACGTGTTCTCAAGCATTCCTATCATAATTGTGATACACTGAAGTCTCTACGCCCTGTGGCATACCAAAAACGAAAACGGGTTTAATGTTACAGTAATCCATGATACAGCATTCTACCAAAAAAAGTTAACGGGAAAGTTTCTTACAATTAGCCATAGAATAAGTGTTATCAATTTCAACCAGTTTGAAGCAGTTTTATTTTTGATGCATTAATCCTCTAAAATTACATAAAAATCGTTTTAATCCCAAATTCAGAGAGTTTTAATGCCTAAAATTGCTCAGCGTGCTTCAAATAACTCTCAGGTTTTCATTAAAAGTGATTTTAGGTTTTTTTTCTACATTCGAACCCACCCGGATTCGAACCTGGGTGATCAGATTACCAGTTTTGGTCAAAAACCACTACACCACGGAAAATGGGGGTCCTATTTTTGAACTTTTTAAAATTGGTCCTAGAGCAGAATTTTACGCTGATTACGAATATGAAAAAATTGGCTGTGGGTTTTTTGAAACAAACTTTTTATGGTCGATTTTTACCGACCGATACAGTATTTTTATATGTTACCGTAACCGGATGAAATTTTTTTTGGTTTTATTGAACTCGTTATGCCCAAAAACCATAGTAGCCTTATTTTTATGACAAACGGACACCATTGTAGAAAGTTATGACGAATTACTGTATAAACAGAAAATTGTATAAAAAGTACAGTTAATGGAAGAATTAAGGAAAACTGTGGTTCGCTTTTTCTCTACAGGTGCCATGGGTCATAATAATGTAAAAAACTCAACATCGAAAAAATCCTATGTCCTGGCCTAACTACGGCTTGCTTCAGTGACTCAGAAATCGTCTTTTAATGCGATTTTAAGCAATAATTTTAATTGCGTTATGTTATCCATGTTTTTTGGAAAATTTTGATAATTTTAGGGGTGTTACAGTGACGGACCTGATCCAGTGGCAAAAACGTATCATTTTGCATCCGGAAGTATCAAAAAATGTAGCAAAATTCGTCCTTCTCCAAGTGAAAAGCCCCGATTTCGAAAGCGCGCCCGCTCAAAACGGAGTTTTTTAGTTGGAGAATGAGGTATTGCTATATTTTTTGATACTTTCCTGATGCAAAATGGTATGTTTTTAGCCACTCAGGTCCGTCACTGTAACACCCTTAAAATTATCCAAAATTTCCCAAAAAACATGGTAACATAACGAAATTAAAATTATTGCTTAAAATTGTATTTAAAATGTCTCCTACTCTCTCCCTAACATCCCAAAATAGCGTAAAAATGATTTCTCCTCTCAGAAATCACTGTAGTAGAAAAGCAAAATGCGCATACCCGACCATTTCGGACGTATTTTCCTTTAAATTTGCGATATCTTTCATGTTACACTTGATAAGATTACTCGTTTTTTGAGCTAGAACCTCTTTTTTTATCTCCTCTAAAAATACCTTCCCCTATAAAAACCTTGATCCTTGGAGATTACATCATGCTTGAACGGAATGGCTCTCTAATAAAATCTGCCTCCAAAGTACATTCCTCTCTTCGCCCATTTGACCCGTCCACATGATCCGTCTCTGTTTCAAAAAATAAATGTGACGCAACCTTTTCTCTCTCTCCTCCCCTGTTTATTCGAGATAAGTCATACGGCGGGTTTTATTTATTCCGCTCTTGTTTTGTAAACATTTCGGTCATGAGTAAAGTAATGTCGAAAATCGGCTCGACGAGGGATGAAGAATGAATCTTTGGGGTGAAAAAACGTCCATAACCTCGAATAGAGTGTGATTACTGAATTTTACGATGAAAATTTTAGAATACTCAGCTTTTTTCGACATTTTTTTCTTTCTTATCATGGATAACACATAAAGTAATATAAAATCTGAATTTTTGGCCTAAATAGTGCAGCATTAATTATTAAATGACGTTACCAATCCAATAGAACGTGTGAGACGCCAATTCGCTTCGTTCCCTTCTCGATTTTTCCACATGATTCTGGGACAAAACTGTTTGCAAATTCGAAATTCATTTTTCTGCTTCGGCTGTCCCTGTAAAGCTATAAAATCCGTTGCACTCTTGTCTTTAGTGTCGATTCGGGGTATTAAAGGTATTGAAGTCGCCAATTTGGGGGGTTTTATTATATTATACTAGACCTTCTTACCTAAAATTTAAATTTTTTATATTATCCTCGATTTAGCTTTAATATTGAGCGAAAACTTTTCAGCGCGTATTTTGCCCATCTTTTCCAACGTAGTTGACCAATTTGGTTTCAGAAAATGCGACGACAAGCTAATCGGGTGGTTCGTTTTGATCGGATTCAACGGGTTCGTCACTTCAGCGACGACGGTCTAGAGCCAGAAGAATACTTGATGAAGGGAAAAAGAAAGCGCCTTCGGTTGGTAGTTCCATTACCTGAAGGATGTTTTGCGGTAAGTGTTTTTTAGTGAAAAAAACATTATTTTCTGTGAAATATAGGTATAAGCAGATAAAACAAGGTCATATTAATGAAAACAACATGATCTACCAGCTAATTCGCACAGCATTACCGAAAATCCCGCAAGATTTTACAGAAAAACAGGAGTTTTTGTTTGTAAAGAAAGACTTGACCCAGCTCTAAATTAAGGTGTCAAGTCTTCCTCTACAACTGGAAAAGTCGAAAAACAGAAGAGTCGAGTCAAAATCAAGTTCAAAGTACTGTTTTCAGAGTCCGAGTACCTCGAAAAAGTTTAAACTCAGCTCCATCCTCCGGTCCAGTCCGCCTCCTGGCGATGAAAAGGAAGAAAAGTCGGAGGTTCAACAGTTTGTGGCGTCAGTGGTGAAACAAATGGAACAGAAGTTCGGCAAGGACTGGCATTGCACAGAACCCGAACTCTCGCTTCGATTGAGTTTGTGTGCCGAGGAGGTTTTGAGTCGGGATCAAAAAGAATTCGAGCGAATTCAGAAGCTGTTCGAGGAGGAGTTTGAAGTGGAAGTGAGTATTTTTTGATTTTTTTCGAACGTTTAGATGTCTGTTGAGGTGATAGAGAGATGGCGCAGCTTGATCTTAACTTTCTGACGGGAAATGAAATTTTTTTGGAAATCTGACGGCTTTTTATCTAAAACAATAAAAATTTTGTCGAAAAATTTATCTAAATCCTTTCCGAATGATATCTAAACGCTCTTCACATCTAACTCATTCAATTTCCAGGACGTGGACGAAGAATCCACCAGGGACGAGACTTTCCAAGCCTTGAAACACCTCCATTTAAGTGCTCAAATGGGTCTGGCCTTCTAGACGACTTCCCTTGCCGCGTGTAATGTGCATTTCCACACAAATGGCAATATGACTGTTTAAAACTATGTACAGGTCTATTTTTTGTAAATTTTTTCAGTAGCAATCGCTTTTTTTCTGCTTCTGTTTGGTCAAGTATAAGGTCGTGGAGAAATGGCTATCAGTATTGTAAATTAAAAGGCATTCTTTTGAGATTTCAATATATTTTTGGAAATGCTTTTAGTTTGCTTGTGCAAAAAATGCTTAGTTTATTGTTCTTTCTCCGACCAGTTATGACCCTATGTTGTACTAGGTATGAGCAGTCTTAGGAATAGATTTTCCGCGCTATTTCTTTGTCTGTCCCGCAAATTCTTTCATAGAAACAGCTTTCAGCGTCTATCCTACGATGCAGTTTTTACAGTCTACAAAAAGTCAATCATTGCTAAACAGGTTAATTAAGCTTATGATCTTCAAGTTCAAATGATACTGTCACTTTTCGATTTTTGTTTGTTAATTGTAATAATTTATCCAATAAAACCGGTATTAAAGAAATATGAGGTTGAATTTCAAAGAAAATTTAATCAATCTGCTTTGGAAATCAAGGGTTTTAGTCGTTTGTAAGTCGCGGCCCAAAGAACGGCCGTCCCGAACATGACGCCCATATCCAAAACCCACGCCTGATAAATCCCCTGGTACTTGTACATGTAGCTGATGGAAGAGGGACCGACCATACGGCCGGTGGACCCGGTCATCTGCATAAATCCATGATGCGTACTCTGCCTCCGAGGACCAATCAGCTGGGAGAAGACGGTGAACATGGCAATGCTGACCAGCGAGAAACACCAACCAATGAAGATGACAAAGGAAATGTAGTAGAGCCAGAAATTGACTGGATGCGTGTATTCGCACCAATGCAGCGACTCCACATCGCAACCAACTGGTTCAATTGTGGAGTTGAGGTAGGCTGAAAGAATGGTTTGTGTAAGGTGACTTTTGAGTGAGATTAAGCCGGACTTGGGTTAAATAGAGCAACAAGGAGCTGTCTTTCCTGTAGTGACTGAAGATTATAGTCAAATCGAGTTTAAAAAATTTTGGAGACCTTTCTTGATCGTGATGACCTAGTGTAATATAAAAATTTTTTGATGAGTTCATACATTGAATTGCACTGCAAAATAAACGATAGGTCATAGTACGACTTATCAAATCTCAATTTCTCAAAAAGGTTTTATTTCTGTTTATTTAGGACAGTTTTGACATTGGTCAACATGTGTAATATAAATTTTAGCTAGATCTTGTGCCAGCTTACAATTTGTTGGAAAAGTATGCCATGACTTATCCAAATATGGCCTCACAAATCCGACAAACTCTTTCCTCCGTTCAAAAATTATGTTTTTTTCTCTAGTATAATATAAATTGTATACTCTCCTTAAACGCCGACCCAATTTTTTTAATCCTTCAAATCCCACCTGATTTCCGATAAGTCTTCAGATTCCCTGGTATAAATGGATATGGGAACGTTATGACATAAAATAATCCCATTCCAATAAAACCGATCAAACAAGCCAGCCGCTGATTTACCCTGAAATGAATAGAAAGTTCGCGCAAAATAAATTGATATATCATACCATTTCCCGACATTGAATACGGCAAAAGCTCCATTCATGGCCAAGTCGAAGGCGGATTTTATTCCATGTACGATGGAGACCACTTGAACGGCTTCTTTCCGGGACAGAGCGAACAAAGTCATCGCGATTGGGGTGCTTAGGCTGAAAACATTACAAAAAATTACTTTTTTGTCGTATAGAGTAAAAGATTTCTTTTGTATAATACAATACGTGTTCTAGTTTTTATGGAAGATCAAAGAAAAAATCAAAATTCGTGTTTCCCGCCAATTTTTGGCCATTTTTGGCATTCTGTTTCAGGTGCTGGTATCGGTGCAAAACGATTGTAAAATACGGAGGAGGACAACTGTTGTTTTATTAATACTAAACCATCTAATGTGGTCCATCAGAATCTAATTTCGGCTTTGAAATTTTTGAAATCAGATTTCCCGCCATTTTTGGCATTCTGTTTCAAGAGTCACATAAAAGGAAATTTTAACAGAAAAATGGTTAGGTTCGGTGTAGAATAACCTTTTATGTTTCTTAAAATACGCTGCAAAACTTTGCAGATTGATTTTAACAACAAAATTTTACATATTATCCATGATGACTAAAACAATTTTTCTCAAAAAATCTCAAATTTTCTTTTACCCTTAATTGTAAAATGCGATTTAAGAATCAAATTAATGGGGCAACTTACGTTTCAATCGTCCCAAACATGAACATCTGTGCGAAATTTGCTACAAAACAAACGAAAAGCCCCAATTTATCGAATGGCGGAAGCTCTTCAGTCGATTCTTCCGAAGATCTCTGTAAAATACGAGGAGGCAATCTATGCTAACAATGAGTCTTAATTAACTCACTTTCTCAGCCAATCCACCATATTTCTCTTCGAACATATCAAAGAGCAATACGATTGCAGTGATGTTAATTATGCAGGAGACAAAGGCCGGCAAGGTGTACATATTCAGGTCAAAGTTCGTCGAAATTTGAAGCCCGCTCTCTCCAACTGGGGTTAGGACCAGCTGGACTACTGAAAAATATTTTTTAATCGGGGAAAAACAGAGAAGATTCAGCGGGTCAAAGAAAAATTTATAAAACATTTACTTACAAGGACCAACGATAAGCCCAATGGCGAAAAATCCCATTACGGTGGCTATGGCGGCCGCTCGGTCTTGATCCGTACTCGCTGTGGAAGCGTAGGCTTTCATGAGACCCACATTACCTGGACTAGAAAGCCATATTAGCATCATAGCATCAGCGCAGTGCAAACAGACAACCTGCACAGTGCAAAAAAATAACAGGCAATCTACACAATGCAAGACTGTTTTTTGCACCAAATAATAAATTATTTCAAGAGAAGAATAATGCATGATAAATTGGAGCACCTACTTGTCCCAATCCCACAAATAAATCTGGCCCCCATGAACATCCATTTAGCCGCGCTTGGAGATGTCTGCATAAAGATGTAGACCACATTTCCCAAACATTCAACCGACATGGCCACAATCAGTGGGATTTTTATACTCTTGATGTGGTTACTCCACCATCCGAACACGGGGGAGAACAAAATCTGCCCCAGTGGATAAAATGAGGCCGCAGTTCCGAAAAACGCCTCATCAATGGATGGGTCCAGCTGAAAATGGAGTTGAAATGATAACAGGAACATAAAAAATGACAGAAGAAAATTGTTTAGAATCCGTTTTTCAAACGTAGGTCAGATTTTGCGCAAGTTAAAATTCAAAATTTTCGTTTCCCGCCAATCTTGGCATTCTGTTATATGGGACCGAATAGGAATTTTTATTGAGTGAAATGCGTTTTGGTTCTAATCTATTTTTAAAAAATGCATTTTTGATTAAAAAATCCAAAATTCTGATAAGAAACTATATTATACATGATCATTTGACGGTTGCACCGACAATCTTTTAAAAAAAGGACTAATAAAAAATTAATGGCTATTGAGAATGTTTTTAGGGGGGAAAGAGCATCACATTCGTTTTTCAGACCTTTCCCTACCATTTGGATAATCTCAAAAATTCAAATTTTCAAATTTCCCGCCATTCTTGGCATTCTGTTCCAACCGCTGAAAATACGATTTTCCACCTTAAAATTGATAACTTAGAGAGAATATAGCACAAAGACGATGTTTTTGCAGAGTAAAGTTGAGATATGGCAGTTCCGTTATATTATCCATGACACCAATCCCCCTTACCTGTTTCAAATGTGGCCACATTGACCCCAAATATGTGCTATACTGCAACGAAGTGAACATGGCCACAACTCCCATCAAAATTACCGACTTCCATGGTGTTCGATTACTTGCCGACTCCTTTTTCCCACTACTTCGACTGTTCGTACTACACTCATCGCCTCCATCACAGCCGGAATCGATCGAATTCACAGTCAGCTCGCTCCTCACCATGTTGGAAGTATAGTCAGATAATCTGTTGGGAAAACAGAGCAAATAACAGCCGAAACGCTGAAATCCGGGCCCGATTGGAATGCAAAAACTCTCGGAAAACAGAGAAATGCTGGGAACGTGATAATGAAAGACAAATACCGTCATTTCGGTCGCTTTGGACGGTCAAAGAGCGCCCAAAGAGTGATATCATACTATTTTATACATTGTGTTATACGGAGAAGAAATTTGTAATTAATTTGGGATAAAAGGTTAGGGTTTTAGGCCAAAAATTTTGATTGAATTTTCTAGAAACGTTTTTGGTCAGCATTATTTGTAATTTTGCACAAATACTCTTACTATAACACAAATTATTGACAGAAAACATAAGCTTACAACCTTTTGCTACTGATGAGATATTTAGCAACCTTTGTGAAAAAGGGATTACGAGAAAGTCTCTCTTCTTCTCTTGTCTACAAAGATCAATGAATATCTCGGCTGGGTTTGCAAGGCGTAGACTGAAATTTGCAGGAAATATAATAGTTTGTGGGTTATTAAGAGTTTCACTATGTAATTTCAATGAAATCGGCAAAAAAATTTTGCAAGAAATTCGATATTTTTTGTATAAATCATCATTTTCGTCCAATTTCCCCAAAAACATTGCTAACTCAAACCCCAAGCTCTTCAAACAGCCGGAATATAACTTTATTATCATCTTGTGCGCTTCTATTTTTCTTGGCATATTCCTTCTCGATTAGAATCAGTTATAAGCTTGAGCAATTCCCACTCGTTTCTTCTCCACATCATGGACTTGGCAGTATTGTCGGATGAACGGGTCCCCCAGCACCCAGAACCCAATGTCGGCGGCCGCCATCGTCAGCTGGCAGTAGCGTCCCAGCGAGATCTTCAGCATGTGCGATTTGATCTGGTACCAATTATCGCCGAACTTTATCTTGAATTTGAAGTCGCGCGCGCAGCTGATGTAATAATCGCCGTTGCGTTGCCGGACGGCGCCGATTTGACGTGCAATGTTGGCAATGTCGGCGCTTGGGCCTAGAATGAAGGAGGTGCCGGTGTCAGTGATGGCCTGAAAATTTTCGAGTCATTGGGACCTTGTTTTAGTCATCAAGATGATGATAAATCGAATTTTTAACGGAAATTCCCGCCAAATTTTGGCATTCTGTTTCAAGGGTCAGAAATGGTTTCTAGGTCGCTAACGGGTAAAAGATACGCTGCGATGCGATTAAAAGAGAATTTTAACCCTGTAAAATGCTTTTTTGTCGCTTCAACTATATTATTGGTGAATATTTTGAAGGGCTTTGATGTAAAAATGGTTAAAGTTATCGGTTTTCGTCAAAACAAATTTGTAGACGGCATTCTACAAGGAGTAACAAGGACTCATAAAAATTTTGACAGCGTTAAAATTGTAAAAAATATCGATTTTAATTCAGAATCGATCTAAAAAAAGACTCACAGTCATTCCGCTCTCCTTCTTCAAATTCCCCGCCTCATATCCATTCATAACAAATCTCCAGTGCATTTTCGTATCATCCACCGGGGACCAATCTGTCACAGGTCCACAATGTTCCCGATCTTCACCTCCGAACGTAATTACACCCCCATCTTCACAGCCCGTGGGGCATAAACGAAGATATGTTGTGAAGACCGGGTCGGTCATGATGCCCAATTCAACGGCCCGTTGAAAGACTGGTTTCGGAGAGTTGGCGGCCGGAAAGGAAAGGCCAAGGATGCCCTCATCGGAGAAGGTCATCTGAGTCGCAGCGCCGATTTGAACCTTTTCGGGGAGCTTGAGTTGGTCGCCGCTGGGATCTCCGAACTGAAAATTAGTCGTCATTTGTTGATGTGGCCGCTTTTCAGGGTCTTAAAAAAGCGAATCAGCAAACTGATTTGTATAAAATTGGAAATTTTGTTTATGGTTTACAAAAGAAGTGCTCCAAGTGCAACGCTCAGATTTTCATTAAACCTTGCACACATTTTGAGCATATGCTAGATATTAATTCCTGAAAGTTTTAGCTTGCGCTTCGCAACCGCAGCCGAGATATTGCACAATTTTTGCGGCTGAGAGAGTAGGCGAAACGAAGAGAGCGGTCAGAGAAAAGCAGTTTTTTTTGTTTTGAGCCCTGTCCTAGCCAATTTCGTCCGGAAAAAAAAATATTTTTTTTGCGGAAACATTACACTACGTTGGAATAACTTGTAAAAAAAGGTTGATTTACCGACAGTTCGTCCATCCACCATTCGCCCACCGCACTCCCAGTGCCATATGTGATATGAAACGACTTCCCTAACTTGTCGGCAGTTGTTGAGCCCTCAGGATTGTACAGTCCTTTTCCAAAGCGACATGAAGAAGCTAGCGGGCCACTGGATCGACATCCCTTTTTTGGGAGCCAGAAGATGTCGGAGCCAGTGTCAAAGACCACTCTGAAGCTTTGAGGAGGAGTTCCGACACTTACAACTCCTAAAAGCGAACAATGTGAAGAGCAAAAAATTTGCATAAATATGGAAATTTGATAAAAAATATGGCTTTAGAAAATGAGAGTTACTGATTTTACAGCTACTTCAAGAAAAACGTTCTACAACTACAACGTCTTTTACAAAATCTTCATAATTTTTCACTGTTTTTCGAATGAGCCAAAAATTTGCATAATTTTTCATTATTATTCAAATCAACCAAAAATTTAAATAATTTTTCATCATTATTCAAATCAACCAAAAATTTACGTAATTTTTTTTATTGCATAAATCAGCCAAAATTTTGCATATTATCAAAATCACCGTTCAACTCTCACCATTATACGTCAAATCCTTGTCGTTCCTCAATTTTTGCCCATACACATCATAAGCAGGTCCAGTCTTACTACTCAAGGCCTTACTATTATTCACTCTCATCAACGGCACCTTCAGAATCTTCGAATCGACCGCAAAGACGGCCAAAGCCATCCACAGGAAGGCCACATACATGGCGCAATAAGTGTTCGAAATGTGAACGCGAACGCCCGCAGCAACATCACATTTGCATGTCCGGTTGCGTCAGGAAGTGAGTGAACAGGGCCGGGATTGTTTGGACAGCCCCAACAGATGTTTTCGGAGAGTTGGTCGGGCAACGAAATGAAGTCGGGCTTGTAAGATTCCTACGGGTTGTGAGGCAGAATAACGAAAACAAAGGGGAAGATCAACGGGATTGCAAGGCCAAGTTTTGATTTCTGTGGATTTATTAGAAAATAACGAGTTCTCTGTCGCATCGAAAATTGCATAGCCGCGAAGAAAATGAATTGTGTTGCGGCAAAATATAAAGTTTGCGGCCAAAAAATTGGGAGACAAAATTCAATATTTGCGGGCCTCAGTTACGGTCACAAAGGTATTTAACGAAAACAGTAAAACACCATGTAAAGCAATTTGTAATTCGGAAGTGTTATCTCACCCTGACTATAAACTGTCCGCGAATACAGTATGCCTTCTGTGTAATTATAAGATATGATGATAAGCAACGAATGTCCATTTCTATTTATGATCGGCGGTAACGGACACGAGCCAAGCGATGAGCAGTCGAGAGAAGGTAAATTCAAACATCCGACTGGTTAGAATGTTGAAACAATCGCCCAAAAACTGACCACCCAATGCGATCAAGTTCAACTTGCAACAAAGACTAGCTAGTATGCTATAGCATCTTCAATTACAGGTCTTTGCATTCCCCTTTTCTACAACAAGTCGAAGAGGACCAGATAAATTTATTCGATGTAGAAAGGCTTCGTGGTACGAAGGTCTGCACTTGCCTAAAATTAACTCTAGGGACACATGAAATTATTTGTTGACACACGGGCTTCGTTGTTGAGATCGGAGGCTTTGCAGAGTCTGACGCCAAAATTTATTGTTTCTTACTAGTCGCCCCATAAAGTCCTGCCTGACACATTTGTCGCGGGTGTCGCGCGAGAAAATTGGAGCGAGCTCGCGCGAAAGTGCAGGGAAAAGTCAGCAAAAAGCCGGACGCACATTTTCGGGCAACTAGAAAAACACCGTGTATTCCAGGTGTATAAATGGCTTGAATAGTTAGCATAAGGCTAACCAGACATTTGTAAAAGTTCAGTGTCGAAAGGCCCGACAACCCAGTAACGAGACGAGACGCTCAAGGGTCAAGTGATTTATTCAGTGGAATGGAGGCCTTCTATAGGGAAACCCCCACGTAGGAGAGTACAATCAAATTTGAATAAATATAGATCGTTCCTCGTGGGAAAATCCTCGAAGCTCGGTCGTTCCACATCACATTCAGAAAACAGTTTTTTAAAAGCAAACTCCGTAACTTTGCAAGCAACTGATGGGTTCAAATGAAATTGTGTCACTGCAAAACTTCTGTATGTACTACATAGATTACAGTAGGAAAATAGTTGTAATGGGCAAGTATCGGCTGCAAAGTGGTTGCCCTCAAGTGTCGCGACGCCAGAGAGAAGGCAAGATGGTGTCGCAAAATAGAAGGAGGGTTCAAAAAGTGCTAAAAATTCCTGGTTAACCTTACTGTAAGTATTCAAGCCATTTGCGAAACAGGAAACTTAATTGCAACACCTAACCGCCAACTAAGTCTTTGAATTTCCTGTTGTAAGCAAATGTTGGCTGGTTTCCAAACATGCCCGCAGAATTTCCGTAGTTCTTCTAGCTACCCGCAGGTGTGGCCCGGCGAACAAGAGCCTAGCGAGGAGGAAAACGATTGGTCCCGAAGAGCACTAGAAGGGACTATCTGAACGTATAAAGGTGAAAAAATAATAAAATATATCTTGAAGAACCAATCTTCAAGATTTATTTTATGAATGAAGACAAGATGGAATTTGCCCAAAAAGGGAATTTTTACCAAGAGCAGGCTGCCCCGTTCGATTGGATGGCTAGATTTCCCGTTTTATGCTCGGATAAAGCACCAAATTTTGGAATGTTGTGATGTTTGTTGTACCATGGGTAATGTAAGTCGATTTTCCTATTTTTTTTGTGCAAACTCGCCAAGAAATGGACAGACCTAGGTTTAGGACTGGCCAATAGGTTAATTATGAAAATAGCACTAATTTTAAGGAAAGCAGCTTGACCGAGGGGCCAAATACGTGAAGCAGGTACAACATATAAAAACTTCGTGAAACTCAATATTTGAAAACCAAATTATGGCTAAAGCTAGAATAGGCGTTTAACTTTATTGTAAAACAAATTTCGAACTAGAAACGTCGAGTTTCACCAAATTTTTATGTTGTACTTGCTTCACGTATTTGGCCCCTTGGTCAAGCTGATATTCCTTAAAACATTCTTTCATATCGAAAAAACCGACTCATTTCCGCCTCTCCTATCAGTCTGTCGGGAAAATAACGGTGGATCGTCGCAGCAAAATGTCTCGCCTCGCCGCTATCGCGCACCAAATCCCAAGCCGCGGCTTGCAGTCGCAGAGCGATGATGAGCGACTCCGAGGCGCGACGATCCGCCGTTTTTTTCCCGACAGACCGATACGTATTTCACTAGGATATTATCTCAAAAAACCAGAAAAAATGTGCTGATCAAGGATATATAAAAATTAGCTGCCCATTTTAGGTTTTTAGGGGTGCAACTCAATCGTGTAAGTTGACTTAAAGTCCTATACAAACCCTAAATTTTTATTTCGGCTTAAAATGATGTTTATTGAGTTTCTAAGACGTAATAAATCAGTCTCGGCACAAAAATTTATTTTTCAGACCTTCAACTTCAAAAAATTGATTCGGCCTAAAAGGGAAACTGAACCCGTGCGGCGTTCTCGCTCTGGATTCCCAGACTACGGCACTAGCCACTCGGCCACATCCGAAGGAAGAGACCGACTACACTTTTTATCGTTTCGAACGCCTGCTCCTTTTGTAGGGAGATTAAGCCACTTTTTGAGCATTTTCACCCCTAAAAACCTAACATGGGCAGCTAATCTTTATATATCCTTGATCAGCACATTTTTTCTGGTTTTTTGAGATATGTCCGGTCAAAAAGTAGGAGCCCCCCTGAAAGTACGTTCCTTGTCAAATGCACACGCGTAGTTTGACTTGTAGCTGTTGGGGACATGGGTTAAATTTAGCGTCTGTTTAAACAAGTTTAATGGGTCTTTCTTCTCGTACGTCAATTTGGACATAAATAGTGGGATTTTGGATTCGGAACAAGCTCATTCCCCCGTCCAAAATGATTTCGCGGCCCGCTGGATGCTGTCTGTTGTTCTTGGTGTGTGGTGTGTATTCGGCTTCGTTCAAGGTCGAAGTTCAGAGAGTTTTGAGTAAGATTTTTGATGAGAATTTGCGATAGTTGGGCTCTTTCTACGCTTCGCTGAGAAGGTGTACCTATCCCGTGGAAAATTGCAGGATCTAACAAGGAAAGTACTTCTATGGGGTGTGGAGTTACAGGTCGAGATATATATCAAAAAATTCGCAAAAATTTTCTGCTTCAGAATATATAAAAATTAGCTGCCTAATTTTGGTCTGATGACATGTTTTTGTCCTCAGAAGTTTTCTCGCGACACCATGCAAGTGTCTTTTTGACCGTGTTTTTACAAATAAAAAATTTTGTTTTGTGCTAAAATAAATTCTGAGGCCTTGACAAGCCTTAAAATATCAAATTGGATTACAACTACACCTTAAAGGTAGTTCCAATGTAAAAAATGGGTTCTAGTGTGGCAAAAAGAATCGAACCCGTTTCCCTCGGATTTCCAATTCAGCGCTCTATCCACTCGGCCGCACCGCTCTCTTCCGAAGGAAGAGACCGAGCGCGCTTTTGTTGCCGCAGATTTTTTTCCTCGAGAAAAACGTTTATTGATAAAACTCGCTGATAGAACAAAAAATTAGGCAGCTAATTTTTATACATTCTGAATCAGAAAATTTTTGCGAATTTTTTGATATATATCTCGACCTGTAACTCCACACCCCATAGAAGTACTTTCCTTGTAAGGTTTGGTAAGAGGTATCAAAAAACTGCCGATGCCATTCGAAAGAGCATCTCGAGTATCCTATTATCGCCTAAAGCCAGTAATGCATATACAGTAGTTGTCAGCGAATTGTCAATTTTTTTATTTCGAGTGTAACTTTACGCAGACTCAACAGAATTTGATGAGACCAAGAGCGTTTAAGAGGCTGGGAGACACGCTTTAACGCTGTAGAATTGTTTTATTTCATATCAGCCGCAGGCGTGGTAAAAATTTCAAAACAATTTTTTTTGTTGGACAACGAATTGTCAATTTTTACATTTTGAGGTATAAGATCTCAATAAACCGGCATACAAGGACTACAATAGAAAGTAATCAGTTGCTGGCAATTATAGAACAGCATAGAATCGGTTTCAGCCCTTCTATAATCTCCTTCGCCTTCTATGGGTCGGGCACTTGGGGGTAGACTATGTACAATATAATGACAGCTTAGGGGTCTCAAAGGCCGAAATTATTTGATATTCCGGTTTTTATGGGCGGCTACATCTTACTACAAAAGGGCAGGTCAAAAAATTACTGCTAAAGGGTTACACTTGCGCCTTTTTACCTCAATTATGTTAATCATCGCCTTTCATACTGTTGGTCAGAGTATCAAAAATCACAAATGTCGCGCATGAAGATCGTCGGAGCAACCTTCTATATTTGAGAACAAACTACACTAAAAGACGAATATTTAATGCCTTTTATATGTCAGTATCAGCATCATGGAAGAGGTATGCAGAGGGAAATATTTGCATTTACATGAATTTTCAAGTCGGGTTTGCAACACCCAGAAAATATTTCGTAAAGTCTGCAACTTCCAAAATATTTTATTTGCATATTTAGGTATTTTTACAAGCATTAAAAAGCTTAGTTAAACGTAGAAGACGTGCAATAAAATCATTAATTTACACATCAGCCTAATGTGGCACATGAATTAAGTGGACCGTCAGAATCTCATCAGGAAATTTTAGGGCGTTCAGACAGGTAATGAAATAATTTGTATAATGTCGCCAGATTGGCCGTAAAGAAAGTTTAAGAGAACCTATGCCCCCTGTCGGCAAGAAAATTATCGATTTTTGGGAGTAACACAGGGTTTAGATGACCATAAATAATATTATCTGACGAATGTTTGACCTTAGCTCCTCCAAGTTGTAATCTGGTGCACTTATGTTACACATAAGCAGTACTCTTCCATTAAATACCGGAAATCAAATAATTTCGGCCCTTGAGACCCCTAAGCTGTCATTATATTGTACATGGTCTACCCCCAAGTGCCCGAGCCATAGAAGGCGAAGGAGATTATAGAAGGGGCTAAAACCGGTTCTATGCTCTTCTATAATTGCCAGCAATTGACTACTTTTTATTGCAGTCCTTGTATGCTGGTTTATTGAGATCTTATACCTCAAAATGTAAAAAATTGACAATTCGTCGTCCACCAAAAAAAATTGTTTTAAAATTTTTACCACGCCTGTGGATGATATGAAATAAAACAGTTCCACAGGGTTAAAGCGTGTCCCCAGCCTCTTAAACGCTCTTGGTCTCATCAAATTCTGTTGAGTCTGCGTAAAGTTACACTTGATATAAAAAAATTGTCAATTCGCTGACAACTGCTGTAGTAGTAGCTGAATCAACTCCTTTCATGGCATAATTTCTGCTTAGCAGCCCCTACTTTCATTTCTAAAAATAATAGAGACCTTCCCTAAAACGTATTTTACCCGCAAAAATCGTAATTTTTCCACTTACAGCCAACCAGTCCAGTGTAATTTACGATGTGTACGGCCAACGTCTCAACAACCGCAATGACGTGGAGTACCGGGGCCGCATGACCCTCGGCGACCCTCCGCAAGAGTTCAACGTCGTCTTCGACACTGGATCCGATATTCTTTGGGTGCCGAAGGAGGGCTGTAAGTCCGCGGGTCCGCTAGTGAAGAAATGCCCGAACACCGATGTGTATTCTCCTGGAGCGACGGCGGAGAACACAAGAAATCCTTTTAAAATCGAGTATGGAACAGGATCAGCGATTGGGACCTATTACAAGGATGTTTTTGCGGTGAGTTTTTTGGGATTTTTTGGAAAATTTTGAATTTTTTTTTGAAATTCAAAAAGGCTTTTTGTCTAGAATTTTTTTTAATTCTAGTATGTACTGCCTCCTAAAGCACAGAAAATTAGTTTTTTAACCCATAACTGAAAATTTGAACAATAAAAAAATTTGAATATTCAAAAAAATTAATTAAATTTTTTCATTTAGTCTTGCTAAAACTTGTCAAAATGTCATCTCGAAAACTTAATGACATTTAAAATCAAAATCCCGTTCCAGTTCGGCGCCAAAGGCGGAAAACAATTGAAATTCAAGAACAAGGTGACTTTCGGCGCCGGGGAACGGATGCAATTCACGGACGAGGGTATCCTCGGACTCTCCTTCCCCGCCCCCGGCGAAATGGGAACCAACATTTTCGACGAGGCCGTCAAACAGGGCCTCATGGACAAGCCAATTTTCACGGTTTACATGAAGAAATGTGATAGTAATTGTGAGGATGGAGGTGTTATTACCTTCGGTGACTATGACAAAGAGCATTGTTGCAATGTCAAGGGATATGTCGATATTATCCCCAATGAAGTTCATTGGAAATTCAAGTTGGATGGAGCGAGAAGTAAGTGGATTTTTGGGGTGAAAAAAGTAATCAGAAATGTGTTAAAGTAGAAAGGAATATGTTTTACTGACATTTTGTATAAATTTAGAAGGCATTTTCTTCAAATATTTGACTGATTTTTGGCTTGCGAGTTGCTGTAAAAGCCGAGATCTTTTGGTCGAACAATGTTGAAAATTAAAATTTTAAAAACTGTTTGGAAACAAAAAGCAAGTGTTTTGAGTAACATATAGCACCATCGTCACAAAAAATCTTTTTCCATTTTTCTGGAAAAAGATTAGACCCTCTTCGGGGCTATAGATAGTACAGGCCCCCCCCCCCCTCGTCCATTCTGAACCCCAAAATTTATTTCAAACAATTAATCCATGTTGTATGGTCCAACACAAACCCCCTCCGTTTTAGAAAAAGCCCCCTACGTTTTAGGTCAAGCCGCCTACGTTTTAGATCAAATCCCCACTTACATTTTTTTCTCGGTAGTGTCTAAACATTGCGAGCTAAAATTTTTAGTAATTGATTGCTGGCCCATACACATCATATCCACAAAATTTGAAAAATATCCGACCTTTTCCCTCCGAGCTCTACCTCTATGAAGTTACTATATCATCAAAATTTTATGTCATCAAAAATTTCTAATTTTTCAGTTGGAGACACCCAATTAGCCCCAGGCGATGCAATTACTGACACCGGGACTTCGGCGATCATTGCTCCAAAAGCCGATTTTCAACGAATTATCAGAGCAATCGGCGCTACACAAGAGAATGGGGCCATTTTCGCGCCTTGCAACTCCGACTTCGTATTGCACTTCACAATGGGCGGGCAGGAGTATCATGTGCCGGCCAAACAGCTGCTGTTGAATATTGGCCATCCAGCCACGTGTCAGCTTATGCTTCAAGGCGGCGACTTTGGATTCTGGCTTCTTGGGGATCCGTTTATTCGGCAGTACTGCCAAATTCATGATTTCGCCGGGAAAAGAGTGGGATTCGCGCCGGTGAAACAGAAATAACCATTGATTAATAAAGGTCATTTTGTTAGACGAAGAACTGGGAATTGTGTGAAAACTGCATGTTACCATCTAGAACTTTTACACACATTTTTATACACATCGCAATTCAGTCTGTCGGAAAAATGATGAGCACTCTGTCGCATTGGAAATCGCATCGCCGCCTAGGCATGGCTCCGGGCCGGGCTTTCCAAAATTTTCCGGCCCGGGCCGGGCCGACTAATTTCTCGGCCCGACCCCGGGCTTCGATTTTCAGGTTTTTTTGAAATCTGAGTTTTGCCCGAAAAAAAGGTAAAAAATAAGCTTTTTCGATGGAATTTTTCATTTTTTCGAACACAATGCTGATAGCGAAAGTAAAGTGACCTTATTTACCACTCGCCCAAATAAAAAAAATAATTTTCAAGTGAATTTGAAAAAATTTTCGGAAATTCTAACGTGCGACCTCATAGTTAATACGCTGGCAAAAAGAGAAAAGGGAAATTTTTCAAAAATACGCAATACGCTTGTAGGTTTTTTCAAATCCGATAAAAGATCTGTGATAAAATATTTTTGCTAAAATTTCGGTGACTATACATAAAATTTTACGATTTTTTGTAACCATGTCGTAAGACAATTTGTGGCGACTTGGTAATTTATAAAAATAGTCGAGCGGCAATTGCACTATGTATAGGTTTTGCTAAATTATTCTTTACATTTTGCGAAAATGTGCCATAATTTTCCCTTCATTTCCTGCTTTGTTTCTTTCCAGCCTAGTGCAAAATTTTTCCGGGCCGAACCGCCGGGCTTTCCAAATTTTCCAAGCCCGGCCCGCAGGCCCGGCCGGGCCGGGCTGGCCCGGTTTGCAGCCATGCTTATCGCCGCCGGGAAAATGAATTGTGTCGCGACAAAATTGTTCAGTCTGTCGGGAAAATAACGGCGGATCGTCGCAGCAAAATGTCTCAGCACTAAATCCCAAGCCGCGGCTTGCAGTCGCAAAGCGATGATGAGCGATTCCGAGGCGCGACGATCCGCCGTTATTTTCCCGACAGACTGATAAATTGCGTTCACTTCAGCGACACAATCGGCGGAATTGTGCTCATTATTTTCTCGACAGACTGATATAACGAATAAATTGTTCGGTTCCTTTTGATTTTGCGCAGTGTGGCTTTTGCAGGAGGATCAGCTCCATGAATTAGCGCGACATATTCGTTTGAGGGCATCTTTTCTCAAAAATCTTCTCTTTTCCAAAACGAAAGAATGCGTCGCCATATTTTAGGGCGAATTTTGCAAGAAAAAAAATGTTCCTGATGGTCGAAAACGTAAAACAGCAAAGTTTCGCCCTTTTGCTCTTCGGGGATTTTATTAGGTTGTCCAACAAATAATGACCCTCTTTGAAAAATTTCCTTTTTCGGCAAAGTTTACTGTAATATCAGCGATCTATATAATCAAAATAGTTATCATTTGCTTTAACACGCTTATTACAACGTGTCAAAAAACTTTTTATGTCTGTAGCTTACAAGGGAAGTCACTTTTTTCGCAGACGGACTTTGGAACGGCACCTAGTAGGTTTCAAACGGGAAGCGTCTGCGATCATAAAACTGATTTCCAAAAGTGTTTACGGGGCTTCTCGGCCGAGAAAATCGACCGCAAAGTTTAGCCGAAATGAGCGAATAGCCTCCTCAAAAGAAACAGCTTATTTCATCTGCAGTGGTGGCCGAGTGGTCAGCGCGCTCGCTTTTTGCGCCAGAAGACGTGAGTTCGACTTCGGTCGTCTGCGGATGCATTTCTTTTGACAATTGAATCAAATAGAGAGATGCCGTTAACATCACATATCCTAATTATTAGCAATTTTTAATAAAACACAAATTTAGAAAGTATATCTTCATCAACCCAGCCCTGTTTTGGCTTTACAATATTCATGAACATTCAGCTTTGAATTTATGTTTAAATTACTGTAAAAAATTACAAAAGTGTATACATTTTATGTTTACATACTAAATCAATATTTACGAACCAAAAAAGATAATAAACTGCGCAAGGGATCGAACCCGCCTCTTCTGGCGCAAAAAGCGAGCGCGCTGACCACTCGGCCACCACTGCAGATGAAATAAGCTGTTTCTTTTGAGGAGGCTATTCGCTCATTTCGGCTAAACTTTGCGGTCGATTTTCTCGGCCGAGAAGCCCCGTAAACACTTTTGGAAATCAGTTGTATGATCGTAGACGCTTCAGGTTTGAAACCTACTAGGTCCCGTTCCGAAGTCCGTCTGCGAAAAAAGTGACTTCCCTTGTTAGAAACCCCGGCTTCTGGAGCCGATGAAACTTTTGAAGGCCTTTTCAAGGGCGTCTTGATTGTCGAATTCCCTACCACTGATGAAACGTGCTAGATTCTTGACCGGATGGTGGTATGTGTAAGCCAGCTTTGGCAAATACGCTGGACGAGGGACAGTCTTGTATCTCTATTAAATCGGCTTCTGGAGGGTCATTTTTCAACGGCGAGGTTCCTGCTGCCGCTAAGAATTTTTGGACTTCTGCGGCGCATCGTTGAAGGCAGATGCTGCCACAAACTGTCTATCTGGGTACATTAGGGGATGGTATTTACATTTTAGCCGGCTTTCAAGAAGCTATATTTTACTATTCCCATGCTGCACCATCAAGAAGTAGTCATCACTTTGTTTTGGGGGGAGCCGAGCTTTGACAAGTGCCACGGTGAAGCCCTCGGAGAACTCCATTAGGCATGTCTCGTCTGATTGTCGTAGTAGACCCGGTTTTCATCATAGGCCACAATCTGATCCAGAAAAATTGTTTTCCGGCTCGCAAAAACGGGAAATGTGGCCCCTTCATTCTTTGCTTTGATCCAATAATGTGGTAGCAAGTTGCCCAGCATTTTGTTGAATTTAATCAACGTCGAAGAGTTAGCTCCCAATTATTTCAACACCCAGATGATGTCACAGATGCGTCGGATGTTGATTCTAGGACGGGCGTCAACCAATGACCTCAGGGTAAATTCATAAAGTCTGGATGCCGTACTTTATCTTTGGGTCCCTCGCCGTCAGATCGAAAATTTTTAAACCACCGTTTCACCATATTCAGACACAGAACACACTAGCCGAACATGGCGTTGATATTTTACGTAGCTTCTGAAACTTTCGCATTCTGTTTTTGCCGGTACAATATGATAGTGCGAACCAACCTTTTTTTGATAATTTTTTATTAAGGCTAGATTACTGTAATTTGGTCCAAATATGGCAAACGATACATCAAACGAAAGCCTGAGATCTCAGCTACAAAACGGTATAATATTTCGAAATTCCATCAACGCTTACCTTGTTTAGAGACTTTAGACTTTACCCCTCTCGAAGAGGGTCATTATTTGTTGGACAACCACAACAACTATGCAAAATATCAAAAGATTCTGAGTTGGTCGTTTTTTCGAAATGTCCGGACCATCCTTCGAGTTGTCAAAAACTCTCTTTTGAAACTTGCTTTTTGTTTCCAAAAAGTTTTAAAGAATTCAATTTTCGACATTTTTCGACCAAAAGATCTCAGCTTTTTCAGCAACTCGCAAGCCAAAAATCAGTCCAATATTTGAAGAAAATGCCTTCTAAATTTGTACAAAATGTCAGTAAAACATATTCCTTTCTACTTTAACATATTTCTGATTACTTTTTTCACCCCAAAAATCCACGTACCTCTCGCTCCATCCAACTTAAATTTCCAATCAACTGCATTGGGGATAATATCGACATATCCCTTGACATTGCAACAATGCTCTTTGTCATAGTCACCGAAGGTAATAACACCTCCATCCTCGCAATTACCATTGCATTTCTTCTTGTAGACCGTGAAAATTGGCTTGTCCATGAGGCCTTGTTTGACGGCCTCGTCGAAAATGTTGGTTCCCTTTTTGCCGGCGTCGGGGAAGGAGAGTCCGAGGATACCTTCGTCACTGAATGTCATCCGTTTTCCAGCGCCGAAAGTCACCTTGTTCTTGAATTTCAATTATTTTCCGTCCTTGGCGCCGAACTGGAAATGGGGTTTTTTGATTTTAAATTGGGTATTTTAGGGTGTAAAAAAATGAAAATGGCCATTAAGTTTTGACATTTTGACAAGTTTTTAGCAAGACTAAATGAAAAAATTTAATTAATTTTTTTGAATATTCAAATTTTTTTATTATTCAAATTTTCAGTTATGGGTTAAAAAACTTATTTTCTGTGCTTCGGAAGGCAGTACATACTAGAATTTAGAAAATTTCTAGACAAAAAGCCTTTTTGAATTTCAAAAAAAAAATTCAAAATTTTCCAAAAATCCCAAAAAACTCACCGCAAAAAATCCCTTGTAATAGGTCCCAATCGCTGATCCTGTTCCATACTCGATTTTAAAAGGATTTCTGTGTTCTCCGCCGTCGCTCCAGGAGAATACACATCGGTGTTCGGGCATTTCTTCACTAGCGGACCCGCGGACTTACATCCCTCCTTCGGCACCCAAAGAATATCGGATCCAGTGTCGCAGACGACGTTGAACTCTTGTGGAGGGTCGCCGAGGGTCATGCGGCCCCGATACTCCATGTTATTGCGGCTGTTGAGACGTTGGCCGTAGACATCGTAAATTACACTGGACTTGTTGGCTGTAAGTGGAAAAATTACGATTTTTGCGGGTAAAATACGTTTTGGGGAAGGTCTCTATTATTTTTAGAAATGAAAGTAGGAAATGCTAAGCAGAAATTATGCCATGAAAAGAGTTGATTTAGCAGAGTAAAGCTACAGCGAGCGATTTTGATGACCAAAATCGAGTTTTTATGCGAGTTTTTTTGACTCCTTTGAAACTACTATATGTATTACTGATTTTAGGCGATAATAGGATACTCGAGATGCTCTTTCGAATGGCATCAACAGTTTTTTGATACCTCTTACCAAACCTTAGATCCTGCAATTTTCCACGGGATAGGTACACCTTCTCAGCGAAGCGTAAAAAGAGCCCAACTATCGCAATTTCTCATCAAAAATCTTACTCAAAACTCTCTGAACTTCGACCTTGAACGAAGCCGAATACACACCACACACCAAGAACAACAGACACCATCCAGCGGGCCGCGAAATCATTTTGGACGGGGGAATGAGCTTGTTCCGAATCCAAAATCCCACTATTTATGCCCAAATTGACGTTCGAGGAGAACGACCCATTAAACCATGTTCAACTGTTTAAACAAACGCTAAATTTAACCCATGTCCCCAACAGCTTCAGTGTACTGTACGATCAAGATTAAAAGTAGCGTAACTCAAATACCACCCCTTTTATTTTCGCGCATTTTTGATATGTTGTTACATCTATGTCAAAGTATTTTTAAGGGGTTTTAAAAGTTGAGAGAAGTTCTCTGCAAAAAAGTTATATTCAATATGGTACCTTGTCAGTAATGATGTAAGTCAGTAATAAATAAGATGCTTTTGGATGACTAATCAGAAAGCAGAAAATTTAGCTTAAGTGGCCATATATCGATCTCTGAAGTTTTTAGTCCAAAATTTGCAGGTATAGCCGAAATACCCAACGATCTTTGTCGATATAAATGGTTGTCCGCAAGTGTGGCTTATTTTAACAATTTTTTGCACATTATCCGTTCTGAACTTTACAAGAAGAAGGGATAAATAAGCAACGGATGTTCAGTCGTACCTAATATTACATAACATAAACGGTTGTAATATTTGGTATAGAAAGGTTTCGTGATACGAAGGTTTATATGTATTAGCCTAAAACTAACTCCATGGATATAAAAGTGAAGAAATAAGACCGGTTTTCAAATTTTGAAAAATACGCTAAATTTGCTTTCCCGAGCTTTTTTTCTCATGTCGGCCTCATTTTTTCCATTCTATTTTTTCAAAAAAAATTGAGGAAAGCGTTTTTAACGTTTCGCTTCGGAACGACCGGTGCGATCTTATTTCTTCACTCTTATATAAAGTGGTTGAAAACCAAATTATGGCTAAAGGTAGAATAGGCTTTTAGCTTTATTGTAATATAAATTTCGAACCAGAAACATTGAGTTTCACCAAGTTTTTATGTTGTACTTGCTTCACGTATTTGGCCCCTCGGACAAGCTGCTATTCCTTAAAATTAGTCATATTTTCATTGTATAATTAACCTAGTGGCCAGTCCTAAACCTATATTTGTCCATTTTTTGGCGAGTTTGCACAAAAAATAGGAAAATTGACTTGCATTATCCATGGTACAACAAGCATCACAACATTCCTAAATTTGGTGCTTTATCCGAGAAGAAAACGGGAAATCTAGACGTCAAACCGCGGTTTGATGTGCACCCTGTACTCGAGCAGGAATAAAAAATGGGTCAACTGTTCCCATAAAAAGCTAAGTCTGCACCGAAGGCTTAAGTCAATAACGAATTGCGGAATTTGGTGCACACTTTAAAAATTTTGGAATTGGATGCCGAGTTAAACATCGGGGTCTTAAGTCGACGCCAATTTTTCGATTTGGGCGTCGACTTTTTTGTGCACTGAAAATCGCGATTTGGGGAAAAAATTTTTGAATTCTTATATGACCACCTTTACATCGAGACACGGCGATTTTATCTATCGTCCCTCTCGCACTTTACGCACTTCTCAAAGTACGCAAAGTGCAAAAACCGCTGGAAATCTCGTCTTTCCGAGTTCTGCCTCAAATTTACTATTACATTAGTGGTAGTAAATTTGAGGCCGTGAACCGTCTTCTCTGCGGGAGAAAAAGTACTTTTCTCTAGTTCGGGAAAAGTCAGCAATAAGCCGGACGCACACTTGCGGAAAGCTATACTGCCCGAAAATTAAAAGTAAACTCTCGAACTTTTAATTGCCGGGCACTGCATAGAAGAACCATGTGTATTTCAGGTGCATAAATGGCTTCAATGCATAGGGTTAGCATAGGGCTAACCAGACATTTTTAAAAGTTCAGAAACCAGTTTTTCAAAAACAAACTCCGTCACTTTGCAAGAAATTCATGGATTGAAATGAATTTTTTTTTGAATTCGTGTACTTATCAGTAAAAGGGAGTTCAATGCAAAATTTTTATCATACGACGTAAATTACGGTAGAAAAATAGCAATTCTTCTATCGGCAACACACAAATTACATGCCCACTAGTGTCGCAGAAAATGAGGCGTCGCGACACTTACGGGCAACCAATTTGCGGACAGCCGACATTTACTGATTAGGATTATAATTTTGCTACAGTAATCGTCGTAGTATGACAAAAATTTTGCATTGACATCTCCACGGTGCTGGTAAATACACGAATCTATTGAATTAATCCACTTTAATTTTGCAGGCAGTCACTTTGCGGGCAGCCGACATTTGCGGCCAGCACCGTCATTTTCGGGCAGGGTCGACATTTGCGGGCAGCCGACATTTTCGGGCAACCGGCACTTGAGAATAACAATGTGGAGATGGAAAAATTACGGCGATATTTTGGAAGTTTTCCGACATTTGCGGGCAACAGTTCCAATACAATATGTGTGATTCTTTTTTCCTGTTGCCCGCAAATGTCGGCAAATTTCCAAAATATCGCTGTAATATTTCTACCTCAGCCCTGTTTCCCTCAGATGCCGGTTGCCCGCAAGCGTCGGTTGCCCGCAAATGTCCCAGGCTGCCCGCAAATGTGCGAAACAGGAGCCTAGCGAGGAGGACAACGATTGGTCCCGAAGAACACTGGAAAGGACCATATCCGTTGTATGTTGTTTACAATATTGTTCAAATAAACTAGACCCACAAGACCCTACGCAGCTTTGGCAAAGCAAACAGGGACGCCCATTATATAGTTGTTGATGTCAGACCTCCGTAGAGGTTGTGATCTAAATCAAGCCCAGATATCCAACCCACGTATGCAACATTTGTCCATATGGCAAAAACCGACTCATTTCCGCCGCTCGTACGTATTTCAAATGCACACGCGCAGTTTGACTTGTAGCTGTTGGGGACATGGGTTAAATTTAGCGTCTGTTTAAACAGTTGTAACATGGTTTAATGGGTCGTTCTCCTCGAACGTCAATTTGAACATAAATAGTGGGATTTTGGATTCGGAACAAGCTCATTCCCCCGTCCAAAATGATTTCGCGGCCCGCTTTATGGTGTCTGTTGTTCTTGGTGTGTGGTGTGTATTCGGCTTCGTTCAAGGTCGGAGTTCAGAGAGTTTTGGGTAAGATTTTTGATGAGAAATTGCGATAGTTGGGCTCTTTTTACGCTTCGCTGAGAAGGTGTACCTATCCCGTGGAAAATTGCAGTATCTAAGGTTTGGTAAGAGGTATCAAAAAACTGCTGATGCCATTCGAAAGAGCATCTCAAGTATCCTATTACCGCCTAAAATGAGTAATACATATGGTAGTTTCAAAGCAGTCAAAAAAACTCGCATAAAAACTCGATTTTGGTCATCAAAATCGCTCGCTGTAGCTTTACTCTGCTAAATCAACTCTTTTCATGGCATAATTTCTGCTTAGCATTTCCTACTTTCATTTCTAAAAATAATAGAGACCTTCCCCAAAACGTATTTTACCCGTAAAAATCGTAATTTTTCCACTTACAGCCAACAAGTCCAGTGTAATTTACGATGTGTACGGCCAACGTATCAACAACCGCCATGACATGGAGTATCGGGGCCGCATCACTCTCGGCGACCCTCCACAACAGTTCAACGTCGTCTTCGACACTGGGTCCAGTATGATTTGGGTGCCGAAGGAGGGCTGTGTGTCCACGGGTCCGATGGTGAATAAATGCCCGAACACCGATGTGTATCGTCCTGGAGCCACGGCGGAGAACACTGGAATTCCTTTTAGAGTCGAGTATGGAACAGGAGCAGCGATTGGGACCTATTACAAGGATGTTTTTGCGGTGAGTTTTTTTGGGATTTTTGGGAAAAATTTGATTTTTTTTGAAATTCAAAAAGCCTTCTTGACTAGAAAATTTCTAAATTCTAGTATGTACTGCCTCCTAAAGCACAGAAAATTAGAGTTTTGAATTATAACTGAAAAATTGAATAATTAAAAAATGTGAATGTTCAAAAAAAATTTATTCAATTTTTTCATTTAGTCTTGCTAGAAACTTGTCAAAATGTCATCTCGAAAACTTAATGACATTTAAAATCAAAATCCCGTTCCAGTTCGGCGCCAAAGGCGGAAAACAATTGAAATTCAAGAACAAGGTGACTTTCGGCGCTGGAGAACAGATGCAATTCACGGACGAGGGTATCCTAGGACTCTCCTTCCCAAAACCCAACGATCCGGCAACCAACATTTTCGACGAGGCCGTCAAAGAGGGCATCATGGACAAGCCGATTTTCACGGCCTACTTGAAGAAATGCGATGGTGATTGTGACGATGGAGGTGTTATCACCTTCGGTGACTATGACAAAGAGCGTTGTTGCAATGTCAAGGGATATGTCGATATTATCCCCAATTCAATTCATTGGAAATTCAAGTTGGATGGAGCGAGAAGTAAGTGGATTTTTGCAGACATGGCAGGGGGCCGGGCTTTGGAAATTTTGAAAAGGGCCGGGCCGGGCCCAAGGTTTCGGGGGCCGGGCCGTGGGGCCTGGGATTGGTTTTTCGGGCCGGGCCGTGGGGCCTGAAAAAATTTGGGCCCGGCCCCTTTTTTAATTTTTTGTCTTGAAACGAAAAATTGGGGTGCCAATTTTTTTTGGCATTCTGTTTTGAGCAAAAAAATTTTTGTTTTTGGAAGTAAAAGCGGTTTGTAAGACAGGAAAACCTCATTTACTACTTAGAACCTTGCTGGCAATGAAAAAATACATCGAAAAAAGTTTTTAAAAGTTAGCTTTTAGTCAAGTTTGAATAGTATTTCACTATTTTTCGACTAATTTTGTCTAAAATATTTTTTTCATTACAAATCCCCGACCTTCCATTGGCTTAAACCTGTATATTCATAAGGATATTGGTATGTTTTTTGTTATAAATGGGCAATCGGCTCAATTTATGACCAATAATGATGAATAATTGGAGAATTTTTATCCAGATGTCATGAATAATATAATTTACCTTCTCAAATGCTATACATTGGTTTTTCCTGGAGTCTGGCGATGGATTTGACAATCAAATGGCCTGTCTGATGTTTTCAATTTACTTTCACGGCCTTCTTACCTGTGATTCAATTTCCCATCTTCCAAAAAATCATCAAAAATCTCAAAAACGTGTAAAAAACATGAATATTATTCTTAAATCGTCAATCTTCTTGTGTTTCTCATATTCTTATTACATTTCCAACATGTCAACACTTTTTACGCCGCTCAATTCGTCCTAGCTCGGACGAAATCATCATGGATAATATCGGGGAAAACTCAGAAAATCGTCAAAAAATCAATATCAAGCTTCAGAAATAGTTCTAAGTCGCACATATTCTCATTCCCCAAGGACTGCTGGACATTTTCCACTAAAAATTAAAATTTTGATTTTTCTACAGTAATCCAGCTACTACGGTAACTCATGGTATGATGGACGGAAAATTTTAAAAATTTGCACAGAGAATTTCCATGCCGTGAATTATAATTTCGCCAAGTTTTATCAAAATCCATCGACCACTACCAGGGTTATTGAAGATTATATTTTCCAAAACCTCCTTTTTTGAACCTTCAAAATCGGTTTTTCATACTTATAGTAACTACTGGGGGATGTTTCACGTACAAAAGGGCACTAACTTGAGTTAGCGGCATCACGCAAAAAGAGGAGAGAGCAGAGAAAAAGAGGAGCGAGTAACTTGAGTGATCCCTCTTCTTTTTGATTGGCGAATCGGGCGACTTTTTACGGACTTGGCCGGACATTTTAGGCCATATCTTTTCATACAGTGGACCAATTTACGCCCTTCCAAAAAAATATTAATGCTGGTGGTACACCGAATATACACATATAAATTTGTAAAATTTCCTTTGAAATTATGCAAATCATATGCAAATTTTTCTCTTGGTATTTAAGATGCAAGATACGGAAAAAATTTTGATACCATCATACGCAGCGTGGTGCCAGCTTTAAAACTTTCTTAAAATTTTGCAAATTGGTTTACTGTGACAAAAGTTATGACCAAAAAATTCTCGCCCACTGTTGCGCGGCACGTCAAGAAATTGCGGGCATTACAAAGGTTCTCACAGCGAAAAAAAATTCATAAAACCTGTCATCCAAATTGCACATAACAACAATTTTTAACCTAATTTTTTTAATGGGAACTCTAGGGAGTACTACTAGTCGTATACAACTGTTTTTTATACCGCTGGTACATTCTAAATGGGTGTCATCGTGACGCATTTTCTGAACATGGTTCGAGCTAGGCTAAAAATAGTGCAAATTTCAAGGCCAACTATCAAAAAAACTGTCCCATCAAGCGGGACGGGACCGGTGTAGATACTCGAAGAACAGTTTAAGGATTTTTTTGACGTGGAGCCTATACCTCCTTCCAGTGCTCTCTGGCTCGGTATCGTCGATACAAACTTTTATTTAGACGTTGTATTCTTCGCCATGGAAAACTGTCAAAATACTACGATTATGGGTATATTTTGGTTCTATTAGCTTAAGCAGCTCTCGAGCTTTCTATTGGTATCAATATCGTGTGATTTACTATTAATCTTTATGTCAAAATATTGCAAACCATTTGGACAAAAACGGATTTGCACAGGGCAGAATGCCAAAAAAAATTCTAGGCTTTTTCATTGGGCGCCCGTTTTTCTTTTATTTTTTCTTGACGTGCGCGGGCCATTACTCCTGATACAGTATACCAATTTACACCCTCCAAAAAACCCTTTGATGCTGAGAGCGTAACAAACATGTTCATATAAAGATTTTAATAAAAGACGAGCTTTAAGATACCAAGAAAAAAATTTGCATATAATTTGCATAATTTAGAAGAAAAATTTACAAATTTATATCCATCTATTCTGTGTACCACCAGCATTAATATTTTTTTGGAAGGGCGCAAATTGGTCCACTGTATCAAAAGTTATGGCTCAAAATGTGCGGCCAAAGTCGATAAAAAGTCAGGTCACTCGAGTTACCACTCCTCTTTTTCTCTGCTCTCTCCGCTTTTTCTGTGATGCCGCTAACTCGAGTAAGTGCCCTTTTTGTACGTGAAACATCCCCCTGGGCACATTTTGGAAACTATATCTCAGGCATAAGTTGACCGATTTTTGATTTTTAAAAAGTATTTGGACTAATTCGAGCACTGCGAGCCAAGTTATGACGTTAGTTTTTGTCCTAAGGGGTTAAATATGGCCGAAAACACAATGCCAAAATATTGCCAAAATGGCGGGAAACGGTGTTTTTGAGCGAATTGCCGTTGCTGGCAACAACCCCTGCGGAGGATGGCAGAAGCTCTACCCGTAGACCTTTCCATTCGACTTTATATCTATTATAGACTGCCCGTTTTCTTTTGGGATAACCCATCAAATTTTAGAACTTTTTGAAGATTGCTGCCCCATTAATGTTCATTTCTTATTGATTTGACCGAAACTTTTTAAACTTAATTATAGCTAAAGGTAACGTAGGATGTTAGCTTGGTTCTAATATCAATTTTGAACCAGCTGGGAGCGAGTTTTTTTATATTGTACTAGGTCCTGGCGTTTGGTCCCTCGTTAAACTGCTATTACGTTAAATTTGCCACATTTGCCTGGTAAAACAACCCAGTACCTTGACCTACATTTCTCTCTCTCTTTTTCAAAAAAAGGTGACCTCGAAAAAATTTCAAAACTTTTGGGCAAGAACTTTTATCTTGTCTCTTATATAAAGCGGGAGATAAAAGATTTTCTGAAAAATTTTTGAAATTTTTCTGTTTTTACTTTTTTTTTAAAAAAAAAGTAAATTTTCAGTTTACTTCAAGGAAAATGCAAAAGAAAGTCAATTTTATTTCTGGCTTTCCGACTTCAAGGTCGGGAGTAGGACCGGATCTTACTCCCCGCTCGGAGTCGCCGAAAGTCAGAGCTTGTTTTTACTTTATTCCTCTTTTTGGCCCCGCACTGCAGGTTGCAAGGTTGATGCCAAGTCTTTCCCTGATGTGTCAAGTTTTTCTCTTCCGAAAAAATTATTTTTACGTTTGTGCGACGTTGTGAAGCTATGTTCTCCACGAAGATGGGCTGGAAAGTGATCAAGTAAGATTGGCAAGAGGAGATGTACGTTTTTCATTTGACATCAAAAATTTCCATTTTATTTCAGAGAAAGGTACAAAATTTTTCCAATTCGTAAAGCTTCATGACCATGGATAATGTAAGTGAGATTATCTCCTTTTTTGCTACGACGTCAAGATTCTAAGTCGGGAAACGTTTAGAGGAGACCCCACTCTCATGTATATTCTCCATGTATGAAACCCCATAAATTTTGAGGAATAACGACGTAAAAATTTCAAATACTATACTAACTTTCCAAAAGTATGTTATACTAAAGTAAAACCTATGCAAACTATCTTCAAGTTATTGTAACAACGTTATTTGAGCCTTATTACGTTATTACCTCAGTTTAGAACGCATTCGTGGCAAAAATCCGGCAGATCTGAGCGGATTTCGATATTGTACATGACACCTAGAAATCGAATTTGGTGGCGTTTGATAGATAGAGTATATAACAAAACTAAAGTGAGGTGTCCTCTAGAACTCGCCAGCCTAGACCTGTTAACTCCAATAACGGAACAAAAAACGCGATAAGCGCACTTACATTATTATCCATGGTCATGAAGCTTTACGAATTGGAAAAAATTTGTACCTTTCTCTGAAATAAAAGGAAAATTTTTGGTGTCAAATGAAAAAAGTACATCTCCTCTTGCTAATGCTAACTTACTTGATCACTTTTCAGCCCATCTTCGTGGAGAAAATAGATTCACAACTTCAAAAAAAATGAAAACGTTTCTTCCGGGAGAGAGAAATTTGACACATCTGGAATTCCCGGGCGCAGCTCGCAAAAATAGTTTTGAAGAAAATAAATTGGCGTGCAGGTGAGTAAAAACGGCATCCTACTCACCAGCCAAAATGGGCGAGCCATTTTTGTTTCAACTTTGCGGATCGACCTTTTGGCGAGCCATTTTTGATCCAACTTTCCAAAAATTTGTCGTTCGGAGTAAGAATGTTTTTTGACTCTCCGAAATCGAAAATTTCCGGAAATTTTTCAAAATTTACTTTTTTTTTTAAAAAAAAGTAAAAACAGAAAAATTTCAAAAATTTTTCAGAAAATCTTTTATCTCCCGCTTTATATCTACAAAATCCAAAAAAATCCGACCTTTTCCCTCTGGGCTCTACCTCTTTACTATATCATAAAACTTTCATGTCATCAAAAATTTCTAATTTTTCAGTCGGAGACACCGAATTACCCCCAGCCTATGCAATTACTGACACCGGGGCCTCGCCGATCGTTGCTCCAACAGCCGACTATCAACGAATTGTCAGAGAACTCGGCGGTAGGTCACGGGAGGGTGTGATGCCTTGCGACTCCGACTTCGTATTGCACTTCAAAATTGGCGGGCAGGAGTATCATGTGCCGGCCAAACAGCTGCTGTCGAATAGTGGCCTATTTGGCGATAAAAACATGTGTCAGCTTATGCTTGAAAGCGGCAACTTTGGATTCTGGATTCTTGGGGATCCCTTTATTCGGCAGTATTGTCAAATTCATGATTTCGCCGGGAAAAGAGTGGGATTCGCGCCGGTGAAACAGAAATAACCATTAATTAATAAAGGTCATTGACAAAATGCTGGTTTTTTGTTGGACGAAGAACTGGGAATTGTGTGAAAACTGCATGTTGCCAACTAATAGAACTATTACACAAATTTTTATACACATCGCAAATCCGTCTGTCGGAAAAACGATGAGCGCTCTGTCGCATTGGAAATCGCATCGCCGCCGGGAATCGACGACCCGGAAATACACAAGACTTATGGGACATACTAATATATCGGCACACACAAATTACTTGCCCACAAGTGTCGCAGAACACGCGACACTTACGGGCAACCACTTTGCGGACTGACGACATGTGCTGATTAGGATTATAATTTTGCTACAGTAATGGTCGTAGTATGATTAAAATTTTGCATTGACATCTCCACGGTGCAGGTAAATACACGAATCTATTGAATTGATCCACTTGTGGAAGTTTGTTTCCAAAAAACGGTAAAAAGGCCTGGTGAACCTTGTTGTAAGGATTCAAGCCACTTGTATAGGCAAATTCCGGATAATTTCCATACATGGCGGGCGCATTTCGTATCTTCAGTGTAAATGTACTCTGTACTTTAAGCTATATAACTAATCTACTCTTGAAAAGAAAACAATGAAATTTGGATATGTTGCAGCCTCAACCGTCAGCTTTATTTGGTTTTTGAAGGGTGTTCCTATACCAATTGAGAAAAAAGTTATGGCCAAAATTCTGCCGCCAACCCCGGTTTTGGACGCAAAAAGTCACTCCGAAAGAGAAGTAGGCTACTTCTGCTTTTCGTCCGGTTTCTCTCGCTCGCAAACGCGTTTTCGATGCTCTCTCGCTCCCCCCTACTTCTCTTTTATTTATTTTTATGTTAGTGAAACAGGCCCCTGAGTTTATTCCAAAAAAGGCGAAAAAAAGTAAACTCGGAATTTGCTCCAAAAATCGAAATTTTGAAACCCATGAAATTTCTCGATTTTTACTCTCTTTTTCACAAAAAGTGGATTCGGTAAAATTTCAAATTTTTTGAGCAAATACTTTTATCTCGTCTCTTATATCTACAAAATCAGAAAAATATCCGAATCATCAAAATTTATGTCATCAAAAATTTTAAATTCTTCAGTTAGAGCAGACATGGCAGGGGGGCCGGGCCGGGCTTTGGAAATTTTGAAAAGGGCCGGGCCGGGCCCAACGTTCCGGGGGCCGGGCCGTGGGGCCTAGGGTTGGTTTTTCGGGCCGGGCCGTGGGGCCTGAAAAAATTTGGGCCCGGCCCCTTCAAAAAAAAATTTTTTAATTTTTGTCTTGAAACGAAAAATTGGGGTGCCAATTTTTTTTGGCATTCTGTTTTGAGCAAAAAATTTTTTGTTTTTGGAAGTAAAAGCGGTTTGTAAGACAGGAAAACCTCATTTACTACTTAGAACCTTACTGGCAATGACAAAATACATCGAAAAAGTTTTTAAAAGTTAACTTTTAGTCAAATTTGAACAGTGTTTCACTCTTTTTCAACTAATTTTGTCCAAAATATTTTTTCATTACAAATCCCCGACCTTCCATTGGCTTAAACCTGTATATTCATAAGGATATTGGTATGTTCTTTGTTATAAATGGGCAACCGGCTCAATTTATGACCAATAATGATGAATAATTGGAGAATTTTTATCCAGATGTCATGGATAATATAATTTACCTTCTCAAATGCTATGCATTGGTTTTTCCTGGAGTCTGGCGATGGATTTGACAATCAAATGGCCTGTCTGATGTTTTCAATTTACTTTCACGACCTTCTTACCTGTGATTCAATTTTCCATCTTCCAAAAAATCAAAAAATCATCAAAAATCTCAAAAACGTGTAGAAAACATGAATATTATTTTTAAATCATCAATCTTCTTGTGGTTCTTATATTCTTATTACATTTCCAACATGTCAACACTTTTTACGCCGCTCAATTCGTCCTAGTTCGGACGAAATCATCATGGATAATATCGGGGAAAACTCAGAAAATCGTCCAAAAATCAATATCAAGCTTCAGAAATAGTTCTAAGTTTCACATATTCTCATTCCCCAAGGACTGCTGGACATTTTCCACTAAAAATTAAAATTTTGATTTTTCTACAGTAATCCATCTACTACGGTAACTCATAGTATGATGGACGGAAAATTTTAAAAATTTGCACAGAGAATTTTCATGCCGTGAGTTATAATTTCGCCAAGTTTCATCCAAATCCATGGACCGCTACCAGAGTTATTGAAGATTATATTTTCCAAAAACTCCTTTTTTGAACCTTCAAAATCGGTTTTTCATCCTTATAGTAACTACTGGGCACATTTTGGAAACCATATCTCAGGCATAAGTTGACCGATTTTTGATTTTTAAAAAGTATTTGGACTAATTCGAGTACTGCGAGCCAAGTTATGACGTTAGTTTTTGCCCTAAGAGGTCAAATATGGCCGAAAACACAATGCCAAAATATTGCCAAAATGGCGGGAAAGTTTTTCTTTGAACGGATCTTGGCGGTTACATGATTAAAATAGTTGAAGAAGTGTCTGAGCAGCACATTCGCGTTATTTTTTTATTTTTAACGTTCCAACGTGGTGAGATATTCCACTTTCTGCTTAAAAATCTGAGATTAGAACTTTCAGCATGAAACACCCTCAACCTGCCATGAAAAATACAACATTTAAAGCATAAGATCTTGAGTATATACAAAAGCCATAACACACAAAAATCCGCTCAAATTCGATCAAAAACACCGTTTCCCGCCATTTTGGCAATATTTTGGCATTGTGTTTTTGGCCATATTTGACCCCTTAGGGCAAAAACTAACGTCATAACTTGGCTCGCAGTACTCGAATTAGTCCAAATACTTTTTAAAAATCAAAAATCGGTCAACTTATGCCTGAGATATGGTTTCCAAAATGTGCCCAGTAGTTACTATAAGGATGAAAAACCGATTTTGAAGGTTCAAAAAAGGAGTTTTTGGAAAATATAATCTTCAATAACTCTGGTAGCGGTCCATGGATTTGGATGAAACTTGGCGAAATTATAACTCACGGCATGAAAATTCTCTGTGCAAATTTTTAAATTTTTCCGTCCATCATACTATGAGTTACCGTAGTAGATGGATTACTGTAGAAAAATCAAAATTTTAATTTTTAGTGGAAAATGTCCAGCAGTCCTTGGGGAATGAGAATATGTGAAACTTAGAACTATTTCTGAAGCTTGATATTGATTTTTGGACGATTTTCTGAGTTTTCCCCGATATTATCCATGATGATTTCGTCCGAACTAGGACGAATTGAGCGGCGTAAAAAGTCTTGACATGTTGGAAATGTAATAAGAATATAAGAACCACAAGAAGATTGATGATTTAAAAATAATATTCATGTTTTCTACACGTTTTTGAGATTTTTGATGATTTTTTGATTTTTTGGAAGATGGAAAATTGAATCACAGGTAAGAAGGTCGTGAAAGTAAATTGAAAACATCAGACAGGCCATTTGATTGTCAAATCCATCGCCAGACTCCAGGAAAAACCAATGCATAGCATTTGAGAAGGTAAATTATATTATCCATGACATCTGGATAAAAATTCTCCAATTATTCATCATTATTGGTCCTATATCGAAACCGCTGGCCGTTTGTATCAAGTAAAACACCGAAAACTTCGTGGTAACATCTTAAAACAAACAAAATAGCAATTAAAATGCAAAATTTAGAGTAATGAAAAAAAGGGCCGGGCCGGGCCGGGCCTTAAGACCTTTGAGGGCCGGGCCGGGCCGTAAGACCCCTCAGGGCCGGGCCGGGCCGGGCCGAAGGTGCCCCGGGGCCGGGCCGGGCCGGGCTTTGAAAATTTTGAAAAGGGCCGGGCCCGGCCCCTTTTGCCATGTCTGAGTTAGAGACACCCAATTAACCCCAGGCAATGCAATTACTGACACTGGGACTTCGTCGATCATTGCTCCAGAAGCCGACTGACTATAAACGAATTATCACACAAATCGGCGCTAAGCAAATGGGTCAGGCCGCTTTGGTGCGTTGCGACTCCGACTTCGTATTGCACTTCACAATGGGCGGGCGGGAGTATCATGTGCCGGCCAAACAGCTGATGAATTATATCTTTGGAGACATGTGTCAGCTTTTGATTGAAGACGGCGACCTTGGATACTGGATTCTTGGGGATTCGTTTATTCGGCAGTATTGTCAAATTCATGATTTCGCCGGGAGAAGAGTGGGATTCGCGCCGGTGAAACAGAAATAACCATTGAAATCCTTTGCTAAATTATTTAGTCTTGTCGCATTGTCGCATTGGAAATCTAATAAAGGTCATTGACAAAATGCTTGTTTTTTGTTGGACGAAGAACTGGGAATTGTGTGAAAACTTCATGTTACCATCTAGAACTTTTACACACATTTTTATACACATCGCAAATCAGTCTGTCGGAAAAACGATGAGCACTCTGTCGCATTGGAAATCGCATCGCCGCCGGGAATCGACGACCCGGAAATACACAAGACTTATGGGACATACTAGTCGCGACATAAAGTCCTGACACATTTTGTCGCGGGTGTCGCGCGAGAAAAGTGGCAAGTTCGCGCGAAAGTGCATGTCGCTAGTGCAAAAACGGAGAATTGCCGCGACGGGTCCGAAAGAAAAACAAAGTGCACAGTGCAAATGTGTCAGGACTTTATGTCGCGACTAGTACTAATACTAGTCCTTCCGGAAAGTCGCCGGACGGAAATTGGCGACATGCACTGTGCGAAAAAACTCAGGGTGCGAGCGACAGCTCGAAAAAGCTTATTGCACTGTGCAAAAAGCCAAAAATTGCACAGTGCAAAGTGAACCTTCGATTTCGCAGAGTGCATGTCGCCGATTTCCGTCCGGCGACTTTCCGGACGGACTAGTACTAGTCGCGCCATAAAGTCCTGACACATTTTGCACCGTGCGAAAGTTCGGGATTTGGACGTCGCGCCCCCAAACTCGGGTTTGTCGCGCGCGAAAGTGCACGTCGCTAGCGCAAAAACGGGAAATCGCGGCGACAAATGCGAAATGAATGAAGAATGCACGGTGCGAAAGTTCGGGTTTTGCACGTCGCTAGTGCAAAAAGGGGAAATCGCGGCGACAAATGCGAAAAGATGCACAGTGCGGATGAAATGAAAGAAGAATGCACAGTGCAAAATGAATTTGGGGGTGCGACGTCCAAACCCCGAACTTTCGCACGGTGCAAAATGTGTCAGGACTTTATGTCGCGACTAGTATCAGTCGGCGCAAAAAGTCTTTGGAATTTTTCGCGGCCCCCAAATCCCGTCGCACTCCGAAATGTCGATTTGTCGCTGAGAAAAGTGGGAATCGCGCGCGACAATAAGGCAAAATCAACAAAATTGCACAGTGCAAAAGCACTTTTCGGGCCGGATGCACGGTGCAAAATGTGTTTTCGGGTTCGCGCACAGTGCAGAGTCGCAGAAAATTCCAAAGACTTTTTGCGGCGACTAGTATCAGTCTGTCGGAAAAATAACGGCGGATCGTCGCAGCAAAATGTCTCGCCTCGCCGCTATCGCGCACCAAATCCCAAGTCGCGGCTTGCAGTCGCAAAGAGATGATGAGCGACTCCGAGGCGCGACGATCCGCCGTTATTTTCCCGACAGACCGATATATCGGCTACACACAAATTACTTGCCCACAAGTGTCGCAGAACACGCGACACTTACGGGCAACCACTTTGCGGACTGCCGACGTGTGCTGATTAGGATTATAATTTTGCTACAGTAATCGTCGTAGTATGATTAAAATTTTGCATTGACATCTCCACGGTGCAGGTAAATACACGAATCTATTGAATTAATCCACTTGTGGAAGTTTGTTTTCAAAAAACGGTAAAAATGCCTGGTCAACCTTACTGTAAGGATTCAAGCCACTTGTATAAGCAAATTCCGGATAATTTCCATACATGGCGGGCGCACACTTGCGGGCAGCCACTTTGCGGGCAGCCGACATTTTCGGGCAACCGGCACTTGAGGATAACAATGTGGAGATGGAAAAATTACGGCGATATTTTGGAAGTTTTCCGACATTTGCGGGCAGGCAATACTTGCGGTAAGCCGACATTTGCGGGAAACAGTTCCAAAAGTTCCAATGCAATATGTGTGATTCTTTTTTCCTGTTGCCCGCAAATGTTTCAGCTGCCCGCAAATGTGACCCCCAAATTTTGCCTGCAAAGTAGTTGCCCGCAAAAAATTTGCCCGCAAACTGGTTGCCCGCAAAGTGGTTGCCCGCAAGTGTAAGCCTGCGAAACAGGAGCCTAGCGAGGAGGACAACGATTGGTCCCGAAGAACACTGGAAAGGACCATATCCGTTGTATGTTGTTTACAATATTGTTCAAATAAACTAGACCCACAAGACCCTACGCAGCTTTAGCAAAGCAAACAGGGACGCCCATTCTATAGTTGTTGATGTCAGACCTCCGTAGAAGTTGTGATCTAAATCAAGCCCAGATATCCAACCCACGTATGCAACATTTGTTCATATGGCAAAAACCGACTCATTTCCGCCGCTCGTACGTATTCCAAATGCACACGTGCAGTTTGACTTGTAGCTGTTGGGGACATGGGTTAAATTTAGCGTCTGTTTAAACAGTTGCAACATGGTTTAATGGGTCGTTCTCTTCGAACGTCAATTTGAACATAAATAGTGGGATTTTGGATTCGGAACAAGCTCATTCCCCCGTCCAAAATGATTTCGCGGCCCACTGGATGGCGTCTGTTGTTCTTGGTGTGTGGTGTGTATTCGGCTTCGTTCAAGGTCGAAGTTCAGAGAGTTTTGAGTAAGATTTTTGATGAGAAATTGCGATAGTTGGGCTCTTTTTACGCTTCGCTGAGAAGGTGTACCTATCCCGTGGAAAATTGCAGGATCTACGGTTTGGTAAGAGGTATCAAAAAACTGCCGATGCCATTCGGAAGAGCATCTCGAGTATCCTATTATCGCCTAAAATCAGTAATACATAAAGTAGTTGCTAAATCAACTCTTTTCATGGCATAATTTCTGCTTAGCATTTCCTACTTTCATTTCTAAAAATAATAGAGACCTTCCCCAAAACGTATTTCACCCGTAAAAATCGTAATTTTTCCACTTACAGAAAACACGTCCAGTGTAATTTACGATGTGTACGGCCAACGTCTCGACAGCCTAGATGACATGGACTATCGGGGCCTCGTGACTCTTGGCGACCCTCCACAAGAGTTCAACGTCGTCTTCGACACTGGATCCGATATTTTTTGGGTGCCGGAAAGGGGCTGTAAATCCTCGGGTCCGCTGGCAATGTATTGCCCGGACACCGATGTGTATACTGCTGGAGTCACGGCGGAGAACACTGGATATCCTTTTGAAATCAGGTATGGAACAGGATCAGCTATTGGGACCTATTACAAGGATGTTTTTGCGGTGAGTTTTTTGGGATTTTGGGAAAAATTTGATTTTTTTTGAAAATCAAAAAGGCTTTTTGCCTAGAAAATTTTTAAATTCTATTATGTACTGCCTCCTAAAGCACAGAAAATTAGATTTTTAAATTATACCTGAAAATTTGAACAATAAAAAAATTTGAATATTCAAAAAAATTAATTAAATTTTTTCATTTAGTCTTGCTAAAAACTTGTCAAAATGTCAAAACTTAATGACCATTTTCATTTTTTTACACCCTAAAATACCCAATTTAAAATCAAAAAATCCCGTTTCCAGTTCGGCGGCAAGGACGGAAAACAATTGAAATTCAAGAACAAGGTGACTTTCGGCGCTGGAAAACAGATGACATTCGGTGACGAAGGTATCCTCGGACTCTCCTTCCCCGACCCCGGCGAAAAGGGAACCAACATTTTCGACGAGGCCGTCAAAGAGGGCCTCATGGACAAGCCAATCTTCACGGTCTACTTGAAGAAATGCGGTGGTATTTGTGAGGATGGAGGTGTTATCACCTTCGGTGACTATGACAAAGAGCATTGTTGCAATGTCAAGGGATATGTCGATATTATCCCCAATGAAGTTCATTGGAAATTCAAGTTGGATGGAGCGAGAAGTAAGTGGATCTTTGGGGTGAAAGAAGTAATCAGAAAATTGCTAAAGCTGCCTATTATTTTTTGGTGACACTTGGCATAAATTTAGAGGGCATTTTCGTCAGAGATTTGGCTGATTTTTGGCTTGCGAGCTGCTGAAAATCCTGAGATTTTTCGGTGTAAAAATGTCGAAAATTAAAGTACGCACTTCTGGAACCCTAGCAATACACTTGGCCACCTGCAAATTAATTCCCGTCGGGACCCAAAAAGGGATTTGAATTTGTTTGTGTACGGTAGAAAAAATATTTTTTTTTGCGGCTGCAGCCGGAAATTTTGTTGTTTGATGTCGCGATGGATTGATCTCGGTAAGTTATTTTATGTTTATTTTCCCTTGTTTCTAGACGGCGAGCTCAGGGACGGTTGGAGAAAGCAGTTTACTAGCTGTTTTTTCGTGATTTCTTTCAAAATTTGCCAGATTTTCTTTCTCCTCGTGAAAAATGCGATCTTGTCCATGATTTGTTAGTATTATCGTCTAAAGAAGCTGTAAAAAACATGAACAAGCTCTCTCACACTCCCTGCTGTCAGTTTAAATCTCGCCTGATGAACCATTTGTTGATAAAATTCCGATATTATCCATGTATTTTCTTTGAATTTTCAGTTTTGGACGACATTCACGTCAACCAATACCGCAACGCCTACTACAGCAGCTTCGTCTCTTTGTCTCCCGATTATCTGTGATTAGCAAGAAGCCTTCTTCCCTCCAACCTTTTCAGAATCAATATTTATAACATAAATTTATTAACCGCTTATCTTTATTTTTGCTATTATTATTCAACGAATTACATAGTAAGTCTCCACTGGGGCAGATGTAGGCTCTGTGACGGCATCGGGGTTTCATCAAGATCCAAACCACACTTGATCATGCGTCAGATTCTGTTGGAGTAAGAGGCGGGCCTTTCCAGGAAGGAACACGAAGTCTGTCTCGAAGATGGACATCCAGATGGCAGGGGATCTTGTCATTTCTGACACGTTCGCAGAGAGCCCTAAAACCGAGTAATCAATGTCAAAAAAATTGAACTTACTTCATGATACAGTGTTCAGGGTTGATCTCCAAACTCTTCTTGGAGCCCATGTATCTACCCCATGTTAAACGAGCCAACAAAAGTCTGATCCTTCATGATTCTCTCAATGAATCTTGACCTTTTTCTGCAAACTCTGCTTTTCCCATTCGAATTCATGGAGTGCAAGACTTCCTCGGGCGACGAACGGCATTTATTTTACATCGAACTCCTTCCGTTGCTGGACATCGTACTCATCAACGCACGTGAACCCGTAGACGACCTCGTCCTCACGTTTCTTGGCTAAAATTCGGACCTAAAACATCAGTTTTTATTGAAAAAAAAAACTAAAATACGGCAAAATATACACCAACCACAAGCGATTTATTTATTATACATAAAACTTACTCAAAACCACGCCAAGGCTCCAAAACCGTTGATTCCATGAACAAACAAATAAAATCCTTGGCGGCCGCCGCAAAAAAAAATATTTTTTTTCTACCGTACACAAACAAATTCAAATCCCTTTTTGGGTCCCGACGGGAATTAATTTGCAGGTGGCCAAGTGTATTGCTAGGCTTCCAGAAGTGCGTACTTTAAATTCCCATAAAATTTTAGAATTTTGTGAAGATTGCTGCCCCATGGATAACTTAATGTTCATTTCTTATTGATTTGACCGAAACTTTTTAAACTTAATTATAGCTAAAGGTAAAGTAGGATGTTAGCTTGGTTCTAATATCAATTTTGAACCAGCTGGGAGCGAGTTTTTTTATATTGTACTAGGTCCTGGCGTTTGGTCCCTCGTTAAAACTGCTATTACGTTAAATTTGCCACATTTGCATGGTAAAACAACCCAGTACCCTGACCGACATTTATATCTGGCCACTTTTGGCAAGTTTTCGCAAAAAATAGGAAAATCGACTTACATTATCCATGGTACAACAAGGCTAAAAAAATTATAAATTTTTTGAAGCTTGTTGCCCCATGGACAATGTAAGTGCTGATCATAAAACTTTCATGTCATCAAAAATTTCTAATTTTTCAGTCGGAAAAACCAAATTACCCCCATACCATGCAATTACTGACACCGGGTCTTCGGCGATCGTTGCTCCAGAAGCCGACTTTAAACGAATTATCAGTGAAATCGGCGCTAGCCCCTTTGGTCGGGCCTTTACGGCGCCTTGCAACTCCGACTTCGTAATGCACTTCACAATGGGCGGGCAGGAGTATCATGTGCCGGCCAAACAGCTGCTGAGGAATATTGGCCATCCAGCCACGTGTCAGCTTCTGCTTTCACCTTCCCGAAATGGATTCTGGACTCTTGGGGATCCGTTTATTCGGCAGTACTGCCAAATTCATGATTTCGCCGGGAAAAGAGTGGGATTCGCGCCGGTGAAACAGAAATAACCATTGAAATCCTTTGCTAAATTATTTAGTCTTGTCGCATTGTCGCATTGGAAATCTAATAAAGGTCATTGACAAAATGCTTGTTTTTTGTTGGACGAAGAACTGGGAATTGTGTGAAAACTGCATGTTACCAACTCGAACTATTACACACATTTTTATACACATCGCAAATCAGTCTGTCGGAAAAACGATGAGCACTCTGTCGCATTGGAAATCGCATCGCCGCCGGGAATCGACGACCCGGAAATACACAAGACTTATGGGACATACTAGTCGCGACATAAAGTCCTGACACATTTTGTCGCGGGTGTCGCGCGAGAAAAGTGGCAAGTTCGCGCGAAAGTGCATATCGCTAGTGCAAAAACGGAGAATTGCCGCGACGGGTCCGAAAGAAAAACAAAATGCACAGTGCAAATGTGTCAGGACTTTATGTCGCGACTAGTACTAATATATCGGCTACACACAAATTATTTGCCCACAAGTGTCGCAGAACACGCGACACTTACGGGCAACCACTTTGCGGACAGCCGACGTGTGCTGATTAGGATTATAATTTTGCTACAGTAATCGTCGTAGTATGATTAAAATTTTGCATTGACATCTCCACGGTGCAGGTAAATACACGAATCTATTGAATTAATCCACTTGTGGAAGTTTGTTTTCAAAAAACGGTAAAAATGCCTGGTCAACCTTACTGTAAGGATTCAAGCCACTTGTATAAGCAAATTCCGGATAATTTCCATACATGGCGGGCGCACACTTGCGGGCAGCCACTTTGCGGGCAGCCGACATTTTCGGGCAACCGGCACTTGAGGATAACAATGTGGAGATGGAAAAATTACGGCGATATTTTGGAAGTTTTCCGACATTTGCGGGCAACAGTTCCAAAAGTTCCAATACAATATGTGTGATTCTTTTTTCCTGTTGCCCGCAAATGTCGGCAAATTTCCAAAATATCGCAGTAATATTTCTACCTCAGCCCTGTTACCCTCAGATGCCGGTTGCCCGCAAATGTCGGTTGCCCGCAAGTGTCCCAGGCTGCCCGCAAATGTTTCAGCTGCCCGCAAATATGACCCCCCAAACTTTGCCCGCAAAAAATTTGCCCGCAAACTGGTTGCCCGCAAGTGTAAGCCTGCGAAACAGGAGCCTAGAGAGGAGGACAACGGTTGGTCCCGAAGAACACTGGAAAGGACCATATCCGTTGTATGTTGTTTACAATATTGTTCAAATAAACTAGACCCACAAGACCCTACGCAGCTTTGGCAAAGCAAACAGGGACGCCCATTCTATAGTTGTTGATGTCAGACCTCCGTAGAAGTTGTGATCTAAATCAAGCCCAGATATCCAACCCACGTATGCAACATTTGTTCATATAAAGCGGGAGATAAAAGATTTTCTGAAAAATTTTTGAAATTTTTCTGTTTTTACTTTTTTTTTTAAAAAAAAAGTAAATTTTCAGTTTACTTCAAGGAAAATGCAAAAGAAAGTCAATTTTGTTTCTGGCTTTCCGACTTCAAGGTCGGGAGTAGGACGGGATCTTACTCCCCGCTCGGAGTCGCCGAAAGTCAGAGCTTGTTTTTACTTTATTCCTCTTTTTGGCCCCGCACTGCAGTCTGCAGGTTGCAAGGTTGATGCCAAGTCTTTCCCTGATGTGTCAAGTTTTTCTCTTCCGAAAAAATTATTTTTACGTTTGTGCGACGTTGTGAAGCTATGTTCTCCACGAAGATGGGCTGGAAAGTGATCAAGTAAGTTAGCATTGGCAAGAGGAGATGTACGTTTTTCATTTGACATCAAAAATTTCCATTTTATTTCAGAGAAAGGTACAAAATTTTTCCAATTCGTAAAGCTTCATGACCATGGATAATGTAAGTGAGATTATCTCCTTTTTTGCTACGACGTCAAGATTCTAAGTCGGGAAACGTTTAGAGGAGACCCCACTCTCATGTATATTCTCCATGTATGAAACCCCATAAATTTTGAGGAATAACGACGTAAAAATTTCAAATACTATACTAACTTTCCAAAAGTATGTTATACTAAAGTAAAACCTATGCAAACTATCTTCAAGTTATTGTAACAACGTTATTTGAGCCTTATTACGTTATTACCTCAGTTTAGAACGCATTCGTGGCAAAAATCCGGCAGATCTGAGCGGATTTCGATATTGTACATGACACCTAGAAATCGAAATTGGTGGCGTTTGATAGATAGAGTATATAACAAAACTAAAGTGAGGTGTCCTCTAGAACTCGCCAGCCTAGAACTGTTAACTCCAATAACGGAACAAAAAACGCGATAAGCGCACTTACATTATCCATGGTCATGAAGCTTTACGAATTGGAAAAAATTTGTACCTTTCTCTGAAATAAAAGGAAAATTTTTGGTGTCAAACGAAAAAAGTACATCTCCTCTTGCTAATGCTAACTTACTTGATCACTTTTCAGCCCATCTTCGTGGAGAAAATAGATTCACAACTTCAAAAAAAATCAAAACGTTTCTTCCGGGAGAGAGAAATTTGACACATCTGGAATTCCCGGGCGCAGCTCGCAAAAATAGTTTTGAAGAAAATAAATTGGCGTGCAGGTGAGTAAAAACGGCATCCTACTCACCAGCCAAAATGGGCGAGCCATTTTTGTTTCAACTTTGCGGATCGACCTTTTGGCGAGCCATTTTTGATCCAACTTTCCAAAAATTTGTCGTTCGGAGTAAGAATGTTTTTTGACTCTCCGAAATCGAAAATTTCCGGAAATTTTTCAAAATTTACTTTTTTTTAAAAAAAAAAGTAAAAACAGAAAAATTTCAAAAATTTTTCAGAAAATCTTTTATCTCCCGCTTTATATGGCAAAAACCGACTCATTTCCGCCGCTCGTACGTATTTCAAATGCACACGTGCAGTTTGACTTGTAGCTGTTGGGGACATGGGTTAAATTTAGCGTCTGTTTAAACAAAAAAAACTTGTCAAAATGTCAAAACTTAATGACCATTTTCATTTTTTACACCCTAAAATGCCCAATTTAACAAGGAAAGTACTTCTATAGGGTGTGGAGTTACAGGTCGAGATATATATCAAAAAATTCGCAAAAATTTTCTGATTCAGAATATATGAAAATTAGCTGCCTAATTTTGGTCTGATGACATGTTTTTGTCCTCAGAAGTTTTCTCGCGACACCATGCAAGTGTCTTTTTGGCCGTGTTTTTACCAATAAAAAAATTTTGTTTTGTGCTAAAATAAATTCTGAGGCCTTGACAAGCCTTAAAATATCAAATTGGATTACAACTACACCTTAAAAGTAGTTCCAATGTAAAAAAAGGGTTCAAGTGTGGCAAAAAGAATCGAACCCGTTACCCTCGGATTTCCAATCTAGCGCTCTAACCACTCGGCCACACCGCTCTCTTCCGAAGGAAGAGACCGAGCGCGCTTTTGTTGCCGCAGATTTTTTTCCTCGAGAAATACATTTATTGATAAAACTCGTTGATAGACCAAAATTAGGCAGCTAATTTTTATATATTCTGAATTAGAAAATTTTTGCGAATTTTTTGATATATATCTCGACCTGTAACTCCACACCCCATAGAAGTACTTTCCTTGTAAAATCAAAAAATCCCGTTTCCAGTTCAGCACCAAGGACGGAAAACAATTGAAATTCAAGAACAAGGTGACTTTCGGCGCTGGAAAACGGATGACAATCGATGACAAAGGTATCCTCGGACTCTCCTTCCCCGACCCCGGCAAAAAGGGAACCAACATTTTCGACGAGGCCGTCAAAGAGGGCCTCATGGACAAGCCAATTTTCACGGTCTACCTGAAGAAATGCGGTGGTAATTGTGAGGATGGAGGTGATATTACCTTCGGTGACTATGACAAAGAGCATTGTTGCAACGTCATGGGATATGACGTTGCAAAAATAATGTTTGGACACATGGCCACAGGTCAAACTGCCAGACGACTATTATAAATCCCATTTTCAGCCAACAAAACAAGCGTTTTATACGATGTTTATGGGCAACAACTCAACAACAAGAATGACTTGGAATACTTTGGGAAAATCACTATCGGTGGTCAGGAATTTAAAGTCGTCTTCGACACTGGCTCGGACATTCTCTGGGTACCGAAAGACGGGTGCTTTTCGAATGGTCCATATTGCACCAGATGCCCATATACCGGCACATACAACCCGCGGAATTCTCCCGATTCCGAGAATACAGGAGGCATTTAGGACCGAATATGGGACTGGATCAGCAACTGGGGTTTACTATAAGGATGTTTTTACTGTAGGTTTTTCGGGGCTACGAATTTTCGGGTCGATGATATTTAGGGTCGCATCGATACGTCGGTCTATGTATGTATAGGGAAGGCTAGAAGACGGCTTAATTAATACATATAATAGAAGCACTAGGATTGATCAGGCCATGGGAGAGATTTCCATTTTTCACCTGATTTAAAAGAGAGTTTTTTACAACTCGAAGGATGGCCCGGACATTTCGAAAAAACGACCGACCCAGAATCTTTTGATATTTTGCATAGTTGTTGTACCATGCTAGCTGAACGTCAGCACGAATTTTTAGTTTCAGAAATTACCGTATACGGGGGTTACGGTAGGTACAATTTTTAGAAAGATTGGGTTCGTATGTAAAAACCTCAAGGAGTAAAGGCACAAAACCTCGCCGTTTTACGTTTTTGACCATGGGGCACATTTTTATAATTGACAACTTTGCCGTGGGATGTTGCCTTCGACTACTTTGAAAAATACCAAGGTACCATATTGAATGTCACTTTTTTGCAGAGAACTTGTCTCAACTTTTGAAACCTCAGAAAAATACGTTGACATGTACGGAACAACATATCAAAAATTTAAAAAAATAAAAGGGGGGGTTTTGGAGTTACGGTACTTTGAATGTTGCCGGTACGGTATATCAAAAAATAATTTTTTCCAAAATCGGTGTAGAAGACCCGCAAAAATTGCCAAAATACGTTTTCGACCATGGCGAACATTTTTGTAATTGACACTTTTTTTGTAGGATGTAGTCTTCACCTACTTCGAAAATGACCCAGATACCATGTGTAATGTAACTCTTCGGCATTCTACCTGTCTCAACTTTTGAAACCTCAGAAAAATACGTTGACATGTACGGAACAACATATCAAAAATTTAAAAAAATAAAAGGGGGGGTTTTGGAGTTATGGCACTTTTAACGCTGCCGGTACGGTATATCAAAATTTCATTTTTTCTAAAATTGGAGTAGGACAACCGCAAACCTTGCCAATATACGTTTTCAACCATGGGGAACATTTTTGTAATTGACAGTTTTGTTCTAGAATGCAGCCCTCGACCGGTTTGAGAAATGTCAAGATACCATGTTCAATATAACTTTCCGGCATTCAACTTGTCTCAACTTTTGAAACCTTTCAAAAATACCTTGACATATGTGTAACAACATATCAAAAATGCGCGAAAATAAAAGGGGTGGTTTTGGAGTTACGGTACTTTGATTGTGGCCCGGACGGTATATCAAAAAATAATTTTTTTTAAAATTGGTGTAGAAGAGCCGCAAATCTCGCCAAAATACGTTTTCGACCATGGAGAACATTTTTGTAATTAACAATTTTTCTGTAGGATGTCGTCTTCGACTACTTGAAAAATGACCAAGGTACCATGGTCAATATAACTTTTCGGCATTCTATTTGTCTCAACTTTTGAAACCTCTCAAAAATACTTTGACATGTATGTAACAACATATCATAAATGCACGAAAATAAAAGGGGTGGTTTTGGAGTTATGGTACTTTGAATGTAGCCGGTACCGTATATTAAAATTTTAATTTTTTCAAAATAGGTTTAGAACAGCCGCAAACCTTGCTAATGTACGTTTTCCACCATAAGGAACATTTTTGTAATTGACACTTTTTTTGTAGGATGCAGTCTTCAACCGGTATGAGAAATATCAAGATACCATGGTCAATATAACTTTTTGGCATTCTACTTGTCTCAACTTTTGAAACCTTTCAAAAACACCTTGACGTATGTGTAACAACATATCAAAAATTTAGGAAAATAAAAGGGGTGGTTTTGGAGCCCCTGTTATGAGAAGCTTCAATCTGTAAAAAACTCTCTTTTAAGTACACATTTTACATCTATTAAAACAATAATATCCAGGTTACGGGTCTTTGTTTTCTGGAGCAAATTTTGGTTTTTTCTATGTTGCCAAAGCTCGGGGTCAAGAAAACTAAAGCTATGTAGCAATAGCGAAAGTGGTCATGTTGTGAGTCTTCACCAAGTCTCCGCAGAGAGTCTCACGGCTTTTCCAGGCCTTGTAATCATCTCTTACAACCTTTTTTGGTCCCCGCCTGTGTTACGCCTCGTATCGGCCGATTTTATGTTGAACCGAAATGCTTTTTTTCTTTGGGCGATGTTTTGTCATAATTTTTGCACAAAGCCAAAAAAATTAAAACACGATTTTTGAGTCAGGGCACCAGCGGTGGTCTTAGGAAAAAATCGATTTTGAGATTTTTGCCTTAAAATGTTTGCTAGGACTTGTGGAAGAAAAGCTAAAAATATTTTTGCCCAATTATGCCCGGAAGACATATTTTTTTACAAAATACGTTTTTATACTTGATAGCCTCAGGAGGCCGGTGCGATCTGACCACAGAGATAAAACCTGGAATGCAGAGGTTTTTGACACCCAGGAATCTGAAAATCGTGGCCTTTTCACCGCCAAATTACGGTAACATGGGAATACTGTAATCCGGTCGATAAATAAATCGACCATAACTTCGTTAGATCAACAATGCATCATGATTTTATTGCAGATTCGGAATCAGCATAAAATTCTGCTTCGGATACATGTAAAAAATGTTAAAAACTCCGTGGTCCCACCTCTATAGTATAGTGGTTGTGCGCCAAGATTATCGATCTGGCGACCCAGGTTCGATTCCCGGTGGTGCAAATGGCAGAAAATAGGCTATAAAACACGATTTTTTTAAAAGTCGAGCGCAGGTCAACAACCCTGGCAACACGAAAAATAAAACTGCTCCAATTTTCTTTAAACTTGGAAAACTGTAGCTACGTACCATTCTAAGAAACTTTCCCGTTAACTTTTTTTCGAAATCTTACTGTACTTTGGGCTACGGTAACATGACTCGTTTTGTCATAACTCGGGAACCAGATGTCGTAGCGAGACGGGGTCTTTACCAGTGTGTTCAGCGTGCCGAAAGATGGCTTTTTGTTAGCTACACCAAGTTTCTAGGACCCCGGGAAGTGGCAAAAAATTTGAATATTTATGCAAGAATTCAAAAATATGCAAATTTCTCGAAAATTTAACCCAAATTATGCTCATTTTTATCTGATATGTCAAGAATAGAAGTCATAGCGGTTCCAACGGTGTAAAAAACTTGAACGTGCGAACCGAGCTGTCTGAGAACGGGCTGTTTGAAGTTGGGGCATCCAGTCATGAATGAGCAAAAAATCGGGGTAAACCGTATAAAATCATTGTTAAACGGCAAGAATGGAAAGTAAATTTTGTTATTACATTGTATCGGTCACAATAGAAGATTTTCCACATAATTTTCATAAATTTGCATATTTTGGAATTTCTTGCATTTACGGGTGCAAAATATGAAATAAAAATGAGCATAATTTGGGTTAAATTTTCGAGAAATTTGCATATTTTTGAATTCTTGCATAAATATTCAAATTTTTTGCCACTTCCCGGGGTCCTAGAAACTTGGTGTAGCTAACAAAAAGCCATCTTTCGGCACGCTGAACACACTGGTAAAGACCCCGTCTCGCTACGACATCTGGTTCCCGAGTTATGACAAAACGAGTCATGTTACCGTAGCCCAAAGTACAGTAAGATTTCGAAAAAAAGTTAACGGGAAAGTTTCTTAGAATGGTACGTAGCTACAGTTTTCCAAGTTTAAAGAAAAATGAAGCAGTTTGATTTTTCGTGTAGCCAGGGCAAGCTTAGAAAAAACGTGTTATAAAAGGGCGGAAACTTGGAAAAAGGGAAAAATAAATTACAGAAAATTAATTTTAGGCCACTTAGGACCAGTTTAAAAGTTTTTGCAAGAATTCCGCATAAATTACGGGTTTTATGAAAAACGCCTTATACACTGAAAGAAAAAACATCAAATTCAAATTCATCAAAATAAAACATCACGCATTTATGATGTCCACGACATCAAAAGTTGGAGATTTTGATGTTTTCATCAAAAAAACTTTTTTGATGTTTGGGTTTATCAAATTCTAATTTGCCAATTGAACTCAAAAGGAGGGACACACATGTGCGTACGCACAACAGAGAAAAAGGAAAAAGAAATCAGTCGAATTTCACTCTGTCGATTTTTTATGAAGTCGGTTGTCACACGACAAGATGCCTCATAAATTGTGCGATTACTTGTAAAAGGTCGTGATTGTCGGATTGTAGATCAGGTAAGCGAGTTTTGTTGCTGTTTTCTTTAATTTTTAATCAGTTATTTGGGCGACAATGATAAGCAGATGCTCTAGATCGTGACGAAGACGCTCGGACTCCAAATTATGTAATTCCTTGGTATTCAGGTTAAATTTTTTCATATTGCTGGACATGTTATGCTTATCCGCTATCGCTGGTTTGGACCTCAGCTTTATGTATGTTGGAAGAAGAACATACCGCCTTCCTGGACGTTTATCCAGTTCCGCAAAAGCGTTTTTGACGACAAGATAGTCATACTGGAGGTATCGAGCGTTAATCGGACCTATATTGTGAGTTTTTTTATTGTACTTGGTGTTTGGGCATACGTGATGGAAAATGTCGAAAATTCGGAAAATTTTCTGAAATTTTGTCCAGAGATTGGTATCTTATCCATGGTGAGCAAACAAAATATTCAAAAAAGCGTCCAATCTTGAGTCTAAAATGTAAATTTAGCGCTCGGTGTCTCATGTTTTACGAAGAAAAGCAGGTCGTGTGTCGACTTTTCCGCCAAAGGCCGGCCTCATCACCCCGTGACGATCTCCATCATCAGTACTAACAACCAATAGTCGAAGAGTTGGAATGATGTTTTTTTCGGTAAGGTGAACTGTGTTTGATGATAGTCAAAATAATATCGTTTATTTGTAGGGCTGGGCCGTGCAGAAGCTGGACCACCAATGGAAAGACAGTATTTGTCCGATCAGAAGCCGGAATTCATCAAACAGGTGAGAATTTATATTGTAGTTGGTTTGATTTTTAGGCCGTGCGATGCGGATACCCGACGGTAATGATGGTGGTAATCACTTGTTCCACTTCGACGCAATCAACCCGATTTCAATCGTCGTCTTGGATCAGCGCAAGAAACGGCCGTTCCATGGTGTTAAATGCGACGTGGTCAAGGTCTGCCTATGACTGCCATTTCACGGAAATGGTGTTTTTGCGAACGGTTTATTCGAATAAATTGTGTAAATAGTAGTATTTGTATCATTTTTTGATAAATGATCCATCAGAAATATTTGATTTTCCCAGCATCAAAAATTTTTGATGCGCGCCACGTCCAAAAAAAAATATCATATTTTTTTCTTTTTGATGAAACGAAAGATCAAAAAAACTTTTTTTGATGTTTTTATCAAAATCTAATAGACTGATGAAAAACATCAAAAATATATGATGTTTTTTCTTTCAGTGTACAGGGTGACCCAAAATAACGGAGACAAATTTTTGAAGGGTCCCACCGCGAAAACCGGGAGTTAGAGAAACATAAGCGACGGCGGAAAATATTCTATAACACCTTCTCTATAATCCACGAAAATGTGGTGGAATCATCGTGTCGCAGTAAAAAGTTACAGCTTAACAAAGATGCCTTGCGCCGTTTTTTTTGTCCTGAAGTTTGGTTCCCTTGTGTTGTGTAAAGCCTGGCATTACTACAGCCGCAGAAATGGCAAGATCTTTTGTTTTGTTAGACTACTATGTCCCTAAGAAATCAGTTGCGTAGGTTTTTGGGCTACGGTTTTTATTTCTACGGTGGTACCGATCGCAACATTGAAGATCGCCATTTTTCCCAAATTTTTTCAATAAAAAATTCAGTTTTTTTTCAAATAAATCTAAAACCGCTAGTACGTGTTCTGTTCATAGATACAATGATTCTGAAAAAATCTGTGATTGCTTGTTGGTTGCAACAGCTTTTCCTTAACAAGTTTCTCGCCCAGAACTTCCCCATGGCACGCCGCTTTGAGAAAGATGGGTTATCGATAACAGAATGACATGATAGATAAAAATGGCGCATTATCCTCCTGTACGCATATGAATACGACTGTTGAGAACCAGCCTAGGGCACTTTCGGTTTTTATTTGCCACCGACTCGACCTGTATTCCGCCCAAGGCAAAAATAAGGCAGAATTCTGGTGATTACCAAATAGCATTCCGTATCAGTTACAAAATCTTTCTCTTTTGCTTTTATGGTGTTCCTTTAATCATGTTCTAGTAACTCATATTACATTTTGCCTTATCTAACATTTAAACTCCTTCTTACGCTTACATTTTCAAAAAAGGCCGATTTTTGCACTTCTTTCAACTGCCTGAAAATACTCGGCTGTAACTTTTGAACCATGGATAGTTAAGCTTAGTATGATAGCTCATTTTAAAGGTCTTATTATGATAATTTATAACTGCAAATCTCAAACTATTCCGAGTTTTCTTTTTTGAGTAAGGCAGCTTTCTTGTAAAAAGACCCCACGGGCAGAAGGGCCCAAGTCAACCGGATATATTCATGTCGTTCAAGACAGAAGAGCATCGTACAACAAAACTACCGGTAAATAAAACTACCCTAACGTGGTACTGTAATATAAATAAGGAGTCACTTATGAATCTTAATAAGTCGCAGAAAAAACGGGAAATCTTTTGTCTCCGTTATTTTGGGTCACCCTGTAACTCGCCGGAAAGCGGAGCAATCTGGTTAAAATTAACAAAAAAGGCTACTTTGCCTGTCTACTTCAAAATAAGTCCATTTCTTCATATTTCATTAAATTTTTGGGATTGCCTGGGTTTTATTTTAAATTCGGGATTTTTAGAAGGCGAGCTGCGGCCGAGGTTTATCGGACGGAATCATATTTGACCAAAAAATCTCTGTGGTCGGATAGCATCGGCCTCCTATATCAAGTATAAAAACGTATTTTGTAAAAAAATATGCCTTCCTGGCATAATTGGGCAAAAATATTTTTAGCTTTTCTTCCACAAGTACTAGCAATTATTTTAAGCCAAAAATCTATCGATTTTTTCCTAACCCCGGGCCCCACTACCGGCTGACGCAGTGGCTCAAAAATCGTGTTTTAAATGCGTCACATTCAAATTTTAATGCCAACTGTTCCCTTACAGCTCGGTGGAAAGGACCAAGAGAAGCTCAAATTCAAAGAAAAAGTAAAATTTGGCGCCGGCGAAGAGATGCATTTCACTGACGACGGGATTCTTGGTCTAGCCTTCCCGAGGGATCGGGAAGCCACCAATATTTTCGAGCAAGCCGTAAAAGAGGGCATCGTGGACGAGCCAGTCTTCACCGTCTACATGAAGAAATGCAATGGCGATTGCGAAGACGGAGGGCTAATCACCTTCGGCGACCATGACAAAAACGCAATGTGAAAGTGTGGGCCAACATTGTGCCGAATCAAATCCATTGGAAGTTCAAAATGGATGGAGTTAGAAGTAAGGGTTTATTTATTTTTATCGGGGTGGGATACTTTTTGATACCAAACTTGGACTTTTTTTGTCCAAAATGGATGGAGTTAGAAGTAAGAGTTTATTTTTATGGGCCTGGGATATTTTTTAATACCAACTTTGGACTTGTTTCGATCGTTGGTGTTTAAGGTGTGGCTGTAACATCTTCGGTTGCAGAAAAAATTTCTACGACTTGTTTGCAATGGCTCGCGTGCTTTGAGGACACCATTAACTGTACGTAGAATTACTGAGTTGAAAACTGTAAGCGAGTGTCAGCTTACAAAGAGAGATATTACCAACCAGCTCCTTTTTCTTTGATCACTCTCGCACGTTTTCGTCGGAAAAGGCCGTAGAATTCTCGGCTGTCCCAACCATGCGCGATCTAAAGTTTTCGGGAATTGACACACCCTAGGCACGACTTATGTTCAAAATTTAAAAAAATTCTGTTCGTCGCCGTCTGAACACTCCCGCTTTCTTTTATACTACAACCCTTCTTCCAGTTGACGATAAAGAACTCTCCCCAGCTTACGGTGTGACCGACACTGGAACATCATCAATTTTTGCTCCAAAGGATGACTTTGTTAAGATTTTGAAGAAGGTCAAAGTCACGAAGAGCGGAACAGGCTATCTGGTCAAGTGTAACGCCAAGTTCACTCTTCATATCACCGTGAACGGGAAGGTCCTTCATATCCCGGCAAATCAGATGCTGCGAAATGTGGGAGACAAAAGCATGTGCCAATTGATGTTGGCCAGCGCGGATTACGAGTTTTGGTTGCTGGGAGATCCGTTCATCCGGCATTATTGTCAGGTTCATGATTTCGCGAAGAGAAGAGTTGGATTTGCACCAGTCAGAGAGCTGGCTGGGTTGGAGTAATTTTTCTTAAAACTATAACTATAAGTTAGTAATTTATTTATCAAAATAAAGCTGTTTTAAAATATTTTTGATTTAGCTTGTTTATCAGGCTGTCGGAAAAATAATGAGCACTCTGTCGCATAAAAAATCGCATTGCCGCTGAGCAAATGAATTGTGTCGCGGCAAAATCAAAGTGCCTTTCTCTTCAGTGACGTGAATGGCGCAGCGACATTGTGCTCAGTATTTCCCCGACAGAATGATACGTAAAGGTATTAATTCAATTAGGTTCCAACCAAACAAAGTGGAATACAGTTTTATAGTCCATTTTTAAACACGTAGATAAAGACAAAAACGAATGATCAAAATTTCAAGACAGCAAATTTTTGTCTAGACGCGGCTGTTGGAACGGTCTGGTCGATAATACCAACCAGTAAACGTATTTCAATATAAATTGCCTCAATTTTAATTGTAAACATGAGCCTTTCTATAGCTATGTAAACTTCTTTTTTTTAAATTTTTTAAGTGTTTTAAAGATTTTTTTGCGAAATTTCAAGAAAAGTTGACAATTTGGCAACATTGTTGAGTTTTCGCTGATGCCATTTGTCAATCTTCTGGTATGTTAAAGATGTTTTTGGACCATTCCAGAAGGTTTTCCAGGAAAACTTTTTTCGAGTTTCCGGAAAAGAATGTGCCAAATTTTCACGTTTTCTTAAAATTTTGCAAAAAAGTTGAAAAGACTATTTTTGGATCCCAGCATCAGCGTATAGTGGACCGCGTGCATATTTCCGGAAAAGTCGATTTTGAATCTTTGGGTTAAAAATTACAGTAGACATGTGTTTAACAAACGCATCAAATATTCTTCCCAAATTCTGCCCGGAAGGTGTAAATTTGCATAAATTTGTCTTTTTTGGAATTTTATGTCTCACGGCATCATAAAAACAGGTAATGACCCGAAATTCTAGATATATACGTTTCTGGTGATTGAGCATTCAATTTTTTGAAAACCAAACTTCTAAGGTTACTGTAACATAAGTATATTAAAACCGGTCGATAAAAATCGACCGTCCCAAGACCATTCGGCAAAAATAGAACACGGATTCTGACTCAATTTTGTATGCCCTTTCAGAATTTGTGGGTCTCATGTTGAAAGCTCACGGACAGTTCAAACCATTCCCTTGTGAGTCAGAAATCCATTCAATTGACGTAAATACATGTGTACATATAGCTAGTACGTACATGTTGCGTTGCTAAAAATAAGACCCAAGAAATCATTATAAACTCCAGTTGAGCTTACTGGTTTTATGTGTCCGCTGAGCAAACACCTCTTTAGCTACACACGGCCACTGTTGAAACATTCGAATTGGCCCCGCATGATCTTCAGTTCACCTTAATACACTGCTCGATAAAATTATAAATGCACGTTGCTAAAAATAAGACCCAAGAAATCATTACACTAGTACATATTGGAGTAACCCTCCCTATAGCAATCAAATTTATTTTTTTCCTTGCGATTTATTGTACAGAGGTTTCACTGTATATCACCGCAAACTTTGCTTACATTTTTTCAAATCAAATCCCCAATTTCAGTTGACGATGAGCCCCTAAGTCCCGGTCTAGCGATGACTGACACCGGATCCACTGTCATCTCCGCGCCCCGCGCTGATTTCGAGAAAATAATGAAGAAGATCAAAGCCACACCATATAAGTCTGCCTATATGACATCCTGCAGCGCCGAATTTACGTTGCATTTCAAAATTGCCGGAAAGGAGTTCCACATCCCGTCGTATCAAGTCTTACCCATTGAACTCCAATTGCCAAGTTATGATTTCGGCAAGCAATGACGACAGATGGACATTGGGCGATCCGTTTATTCGGCAGTATTGCCAAGTGCATGACTTCGAAAGAAAACGAGTGGGATTGGCGCCGGCAAGAAAGATTGATTATTGAGAGGGGTGAAAGTTTGAAAATAAATTGAGTTTACGAAACAAAAACTTATGATTTGTTGAATTAAAGTGTAACAGATTGGAGTGTACTAGTCCTTCCGCAAAGTCTCTGAAGCGAAGCTCTGAGTGATCAACTGAGGCCACTCATCAGCCGGATATCACGGACGTCATACCGAAACCTGTCCCCGCACCTGAAAAGGCGGGGCAAAACACTGTTTTTGGATGTTGAACAAATAATGTCACTCAGTTCAAACTTTTTTTGTGAATATTCAATGCCGCTACATATGCTTAAAGTTCCGTGCTTTGGACCGATTTTGTTTTATATGTTTGTCCAATATGACCTTCGTAGGGATCAATCTGAGTTTGTTGCTTATTTACATCTACACTACACACTATGTTAATTCAAACTCTTTTAGTATTGGATTGTCCAAAGCAACAGGTAAATTTCTTTCGCAAAATTCTCAATTTCCACAGTCAACGCTTCAAGTGTGATATACGACGTGTACGGGCAAAAGTTAAACAGTCGCTCTGAGGTACAGTATTTCGCGAAAATAACGCTGGGGACTCCGCCGCAGGAGTTTAACGTTCTGGTTGACACTGGCTCTGATGTCCTATGGGTACCTAAACTTGGTTGTAAATCTTACGGGCCTCTTGTTCGAAAATGCCCGAATGTTGACACGTACGATCCAGATGCCTCCTCAACGGCTGAATCCACAAGGAAATTGTTGTTTATTGAATACGGTACAGGCTCCGTGATGGGATACTACTATCGAGACAATTTCGCCGTAAGAGACAACTTTCATTATGGTCCAGTTAGTACAACTTTCAATTCTAGTTTGGCCCTAAAAACGGCCCACAGCTCAGATTCAAGGAGAAGGTTACATTTGGTGCTGGTTCCAGGGCGACTTTTGCCGATGACGGCATCCTAGGACTGTCTTTCTCGGAGTCTAAGCGGGGAGCCACAAATATTTTCGAGCAAGCAGTGAAAGAAGGCCTAATGGACAAGCCCATCTTTACTGTCTTCATGTGGGAATGTTTTGGTGATTGTGAAGATGGAGGACTTATTACATTTGGTGATTTTGATAAAAGGAATTGCTGCAATGTGAGAGGATGGGCAAAGGCCTTCCCATCAGAATTCCTTTGGATGTTTAGAATGGATAGTGCGATGAGTAAGAATATTTACAAAACTCTCATCTATCTGAACAAGTACCACAAATTTTTAGTTGACGACGTCGAACTGACTTCGAACGTGAATGCAATAACCGACACTGGAGCGTCTCACATCTTTATGCCAAAGAAAGATTTCAAAAAAATCGTTGCATTATTAAATCCCGTTCGCAGAGGCGGTGGCTGGACATTGCCTTGTCAAACAGACTTCGTATTGTACTTTATTATCAATGGCATTAAGTATCGCTTACCGGCTAGATACATTCTACGTTACATGGGCTCCGCCAAGCCTTGTCAACTGATGTTGGAAGTGAGCGACGCTGCGCACTGGAGTCTGGGTGATCCGTTCATCAGAAAGTATTGCCAAGTCCATGATGTGGCCAACAGACGGATTGGTTTTGCACCATCGAGATACTGACTACGAATCTTGCATGCGCTATTAAATTTATTTTCCAAATATTAAAATAAATTTAACTGTTATTCGAATGCCTCTTTGACGTAAAAGAAGAGATGCATTTCACTGACGACTTGATTCTTGGTCTAGCCTTCCCGGGGGATCGGGAAGCCACCAATATTTTCGAGCAAGCCGTAAGAGAGGGCATCGTGGACGAGCCAATCTTCACCGTCTACATGAAGAAATGCAATGGCGATTGCGAAGACGGAGGGCTAATCACCTTCGGCGACCATGACAAAAACCACTGCTGCAATGTGAAAGTGTGGGCCAACATTGTGCCGAATCAAATCCATTGGAAGTTCAAAATGGATGGAGTTAGAAGCAAGGGTTTATTTTGATCGGGGTGGGATACTTTTTGATATCAAAAATCATATAAAGCGGGAGATAAAAGATTTTCTGAAAAATTTCTGAAATTTTTGTGTTTTTACTTTTTTTTTAAAAAAAAGTAAATTTTCAAAAATTTCCGGAAATTTTCGATTTCGGAGAGTCAAAAAACATTCTTACTCCGAACGACAAATTTTTGCAAAGTTGGATCAAAAATGGCTCGCCAAAAGGTCGATCCGGAAAGTTGAAACCAAAATGGCTCGCCCATTTTGGCTGGTGAGTAGGATGCCGTTTTTACTCACCTGCACGCCAATTTATCAAAACTATTTTTGTGAGCGGCGCCCTTGATCACCCGGGAATTCCAGATGTGTCAAATTTCTCTCTCCCGGAAGAAACGTTTTGATTTTTTTTTTTTGAAGTTGTGAATCTATACTGGCTGACAAAAATTTCTTTCCACTTCGTATCTCGGGAACCGCTGGGCCTAGAACCTCCAAATTCGGCATAGAAACATCCTGAGACAATCTAACACCATACCCAAAAAATCATATTATTTGATGCACTTTCAGTGCACTTTTTATGCAAACGGCAAAAACGTGATGACAAAATTTTCTTTCCACTTTGGAAAAACGTTTGTAAATCATAAGCCAGGAGGCGCTAAGGCATGATTGTGGTATCGTTGTGTTCGCGAAGGAGTCCTCTCTTGATCCGTGTCACAATTTTACAATAGTTTTCGTTTGTTCGCCCTTGGGCGTCTGTTCATCGTCGCCTTGTCCGTTTTCAGCTAAACTCTTGGCCAGAAAAGCTCGCAGAAAGCCCAAGGAGACGAAACTGCGCTTATTAAACCTGGTATTTATGGTTGCAACATTGTTTACTCAACACCTGCGTTACTAAAGATGACATAGACCAGAGGGGGGTAAGATAAGTTAGTAGATTTCAACAATAAAACTGCGCCATATTTGGCTCCAATATGTACTAGTGTACCTTGTGCCAAAAAATTATTTTGGAAAGTTACCACAATTTGGAAAAAAGTTGAAAAAACCGAAATCTTGGTGATTTTCTTTGCGACAAAATTATAATAAATTGGCGAAATGTTTTGCAATTTTCTTGCCGCTGCACATCAGATACAAAATTTTTTTACTTAAATCGAGAAATATGATTTGGAGGTTCTATTAGTATTGGTCCATATAGGGAATATCCAAAATATTATCAAAATTCGTCTATACAAAAAAAAGTTGATGCGATTTGAAAATTTGGGATTAAAAACAGGCGTTTTTGGAACTGAAAAAAATTGCGATTGTAGGAATTGCGGGTTTTCTTCACCAATCATGCTCATTTAGATCTAATCTATCAATTACCGGGTAAAAAAGACGGTTTTCACAGTGTGCCATAACGTCAGCATGTTATACATGACAATATTCACCACTAAATTTTTTAAGGTTTTGAAGCCGCAAATCATTCTTACAAGAAGTGATATTGATTATAAGATCAAATTAGTTTCAAAACATCCGTTTTTACCCTAAAAAGTTCAAAAATTGAGGAACTAGGTTGTTGTATAGATCATGTATAATATCGAAATTTGTACCAAAAAACGGATGATAGGCTTCAAAAAAAGAATTAAAAACTATGTTACTAACTAAAACCGTCGATGGGTCAAAGAAATAATCCGTATGTTTCCCACTTTGCATGTCTGTATCAATTCCGTATTATCCATGATAGTGAGACCATCTTAGGAGGCTATGTCGCCGCTTTAGCAACGCGGCAAGGTCATTCTAGTTTTTACGAAAAGGGGACACCTTAACAAGTGCAAACGAGGTCTGAGACCAACTACTAGCCCTTTTTTGAATCTTATTTTAATCATGTTGTACATGGTAAAGTTATGAAAACATATGGTGGAGATCCTTTTCCATCTAAAAAGAAATAAGTAGCCAACGAAAGGACGTTATTACGTTTTCAAAACATAGATCACCGATGCAGCAAACCCAAATATGAACATGTGAAGACGTATGTTATTCATGCTAAATTGACGGCAAAATGTCATTTAATTTGGCATTATGGACTCTGAAGGAAGGTTTTATAAACTGAGATACCCTATACTGAATGTGTCCATGCAGTGAGCAGCCTTAGCCGTTGCAAAACCGAAAAAATTTTTTGATATACCAAGTTTGATGTATTTCGCCATCATCTCCAACACTTGCAGACCAATTCTGCCGAAACTTTTCATATAGAAAGAAAATAACATTATTGATAACTCCTCCAAATCAGATTTCTTAATATAAGTTGCGTATTGGCAAAATTCGAATCAGCGTTTTCAAAAATTCCAAATTTTGCAACCTTTTTGTAGGCTTCCCATGAGGTCGCCAGACCCCAAATTAATTTTTAAAAATAGGTAGATGTCTTTTCTTTAATTTGGTTCATATATTGGAAGAATGCCGCAATCATACCTTGAAAACTATCAATTTTCCCGAGGCCCATAAAAAAATTTTAAAAAAATAAATGCCAAAAATCCTTGGCATTCCGTTTGTATCTGATGTGCGCTGCTGCTGAAGCAAAGTAAGTTATAGGGCTTAGTGGTATCGTTAGGGGTCCTTCTGTCGTGCTGCGAGAAAAAACGGTGGCAGAATTTGAGAAGGGCGAAATCACGGCCCTGAAACGGCAAAGACCTTGGGTTTGGCAGATTTTGGCTCAGGTAGGCCTTTCAGCCGGTGTTGCGAAAGACTACTCGGCTCAACCGGAGGTCTTCAACACATCTAAACGTTCTGGAAAAAAGGTTTACCACCGCGGCAGAGTCAAGGCAAAGAAATCCGCCGAGCTTCCAACTCCACCATCTCTGGGTCTCATATAGAGCAAGAAACAGGTCTCAATTGTAGCAGGATAGCTATGCTGAAGGCCCGAAGACACAGCGATGTCATCGAAGTCGTGCCCCAAGCTGGCTTAGGTTCGGTTAGCGCGCGATTTATTTAAAAATGACAAAATTTCGGTTTTTTTAACTTTTTTCCAAATTGTGGAAACTTTCCAAGATAATTTTTTGGCACAAGATTTATAGTACACTAGTACATATTGGAGTAACCCTCCCTATAGCAATCAAATTTATTTTTTTCCTTGCGATTTATTGTACAGAAATGAAGAAGATCAAAGCCACACCATACAAGTCTGCCTATCTCTCATTCTGCAGTGCCGAATTTACATTGCATTTCAAAATTTCCGGAAAGGAGTTCCACATCCCGTCGAATCAAATCTTACACCCATTGAACTCCAATTGCCAAGTTATGATTTCGGCAAGCAATGACGACAGATGGACATTGGGCGATCCGTTTATTCGGCAGTATTGCCAAGTGCATGACTTCAAAAGGAAACGAGTGGGATTGGCACCGGCAAGAAAGATTGATTATTGAGAGGGGTGAAGGTTTGAAAATTGAGCCCGTAGTGAGCGAAACACTTTGATATTATACTAGAAAAGCGTTAAAAAAAAAGTGAATTAGTGATGTCGGAGTGAACGGACGTGGCATACACCGTTCGAACCATAATTGAATGAAATTTCAGCATGGCAAGTGTCAGCTTTTTTGGAGTCAAACTACGCCCGTAGTGAGCGAAACACTTTGATATTATACTAGAAAAGTGTTTAGAAAAAAAGCGAGCGACAGCTCGAAAAAGCCTATTGCACAGCGCAAAAAGCCAAAAATTGCACAGTGCAAAGTGAAATTTCGTTTTCGCGGAGTGCATGTCGCCGATTTCAGTCCGGCGACTTTCCGGACGGACGTGTACTAGTCCTTTCGCAAAGTCTCTGTAGTGATTTTTGCTGAGTGAGAAAGCTTAAATTTACTTCTTGCTTTTTGCACCGTGCAATTGGCTTTATTCGGCTGTCGCTTGCAGACTGACTTTTCTTGCAGAATGCATGTCGCAAAGGTCACTCCAGCGACTTTCGAAAACGGCGCTACTATAGGTACTTTGGGGTGCCCCAATTTGTCATTGCAATTTCTCAGTCATGGGCGCATTTAGCGTCTTTAAGAGGACACAGTTTTTATGGCACTCCGCCCGTCCTAGACCTCATATCGGTTGATTTTGTGTTGATCCGGAAAGTCGGGACCAGTCAAAAATGGTATAGATGTACGCTCTATACTATTGTTTATAACCGTTATTGAATATCAGCCTGTCGGGGGAAACGAAGCTCTGAGCGATCAACTGAGGCCACTCATCGGCCGGATATCACGGACCACGTCAATCCAGCGCATTTCCTGAACCGTTTCGAAGCTTCGTATCGTTTTCATTGATTTAAAAGAGACACGAAATGTCGCGAAATTATCGGCACTTTTTCCCGCCCGAAATAATTGTTTTTTTCTCGAAAAGGAAGAAGAAAGATGAAAAAATGCCTTTTATAGGATAGTTATCAGTTTGTCGGGAAAATAACGGCGGATCGTCGCGCGTCGGAATCGCCCGTCATCGCTTTGCGACTGCAAGCCGCGGCTTGGAATTTGGTGCGCGATAGCGGCGAGGCGAGACATTTTGCTGCGACAATCCGCCGTTATTTTCCCGACAGACTGGTACATTTCATCTTGAACGAATCACCAAAAAGGGGCGGGAAATTTTTTCTTCTATTTTGGATTGACGTGCGGACGTCCTACCGAAACCTGTCCCCGCACCTGAAAAGGCGGGGCAAAACACTATTTTTGGATGTTGAACAAATAAGGTCATTCAGTTCAAACTCTTTTTGGGAATGTTCAATGCCGCTACATATACTTAAAGTTCCGTGCTTTGGACCGATTTTGTTTTATATGTTTGTCCAATATGACCTTCGTAGGGATCAATCTGAGTTTGTTGCTTATTTACATCTACACTACACACTATGTAAATTCAAAATCTTTTAGTATAGGAGTGTCCAAAGCAAAAGGTAAATTTCTTTCGCAAAATTCTCAATTTCCACAGTCAACGCCTCAAGTGTGATATACGACGTGTACGGGCAAAAGTTAAACAATCGCGATGACATACGATATTACGGGAAAATAACGCTGGGGACTCCGCCGCAGGAGTGTAACGTTATAGTTGACACTGGCTCTGATGTCCTATGGGTACCTAAACTTGGTTGTCAATCTTACGGGCCTCTTGTTCGAAAATGCCCGGATGTTGACACGTACGATCCAGCTGCCTCCTCAACGGCTGAATTGACAAAGCAATCGTTCAATATTCATTACGGTAGAGGCTACGCGAAGGGATATTATTACCTAGACAATTTCGCTGTAAGAGACAACTTTCATTATGGTCCAGTTACTACAACTTTCAATTCTAGTTTGGCCCTAAAAACGGCCCACAGCTCAAATTCAAGGAGAAGGTTAAATTTGGTGCTGGTGACAAGATGCGTTATGACGATGACGGCGTCCTAGGGCTGTCTTTCTCGGAGTCTAAGCGGGGAGCCACAAATATTTTCGAGCAAGCAGTGAAAGAAGGCCTAATGGACAAGCCCATCTTTACTGTCTTCATGTGGGAATGTTTTGGTGCCGGCTAGATACATTTTACGTGTCATTGGCTTAGAGGAGAGATGTGACCTAATGTTGCGTGAAAGCGACACTGGGTACTGGACTCTGGGTGAACCGTTCATCAGAAAGTATTGCCAAGTCCATGATCTGGCCAACAAACGGATTGGTTTTGCACCAGTGAGATTCTGACTACGACTCTTGCATGCGCTATTAAATTTATTTTCCAAATATTAAAATAAATTTAACTGTTATTCGAATGTCTCTTTGACGTAAATCCAATCCAACTTTAATCAAGTTTCGGCTGTTTGCCCAGCTGAAAGAGCTGAAGAAGTCCGCGACGTTCATTCCACACACAAAAAACTTTACATCCGCCCTTATTCCAGGTATTCTAGGTCACTCGTCAAGCATATGACGAAAGAGTCTTGCATATTGATTATAAACTGCATGCATTTGTAGTTGGGAACCTCATAGCTATGTTGTGCACTTTGTAAGGAATATTTGTTTAGCAGTATACAAGTGACTTCGTCTGACGCAATAGCTGTTTGCAAAACTGTGATCTGCAGGAAATGTCTGCTAATTGCGTTAGAGGATAATTAACTAAACTAAAAAAATTTACGTAAATTTTTCTTATGACTTACAACAACGCGAGGATTTGTTAAGACCACAAACAAATTTCAATTGAAGAATAACTGTCCCGGCAATGCCACAATGAACATTTATTCACATCTGACGTTGCTTTCTTGCACTCCAAGAAGGTCCACTGCCGCTGCTTTTGATTGTTTTATTATGCTCCTAAAGTCTTTTTCCAACTGAGCATCTGGGACTTTCCAGATTCATGACGAAAACCATATCACGACTATCCTCGTACGCACCGCAATCATTTGAACAAACACGTCAAGTTTTGACAGTCATCTTAATAGTTGTAAACGTCCCTTTCATTGTTTCCAGCTAATTAAACATGCCCATTCCGATTTCGGGGTTCATGATATCGCAAGCCTTGTAGCTTCAGCTGCAGGGACGAATCGTCAAAAAACTTGTAAAACATATTTAAGGATAGGAAAGAGACATGAAGGACACTTCCCCTTCGAGTAACCGTGAGCTCGACACGTCAAAATGAGGTTGCCTATATTTGTACTGTTCCTAATTTTCACGCAGGCTTCTGCGATTTGGCCGTGGTCTTACAGTGATCCAGGTAAACTTACAAACTTTCCTACCATTGCTGTTGGTGAAAAACGTTTACGGAAATGAACTGTATTATAGATATATTATTAATACTTGTATTATAGATCCGACATCATCAACTTCAACTACACCGACGACGCCAACCACTCCAACTACACCAACAACTCCAACGTCGGAGACCACTGAGACAACCACTCCGACAACGCCAACTACTCCAACCACCCCAACAAGCCAGACTACACCTACAACTCCCACGAGTCAAACTACTCCCACAACCCCCACAAGCCAAACTACCCCTACCACTCCAACGACCCCCACCACACCAAGTACCCCCTCGAGTCCCACGACACCCACTACTCCAACGACTCCTACAACTCCGACCACACCGTCAACCCCAACGAGCCAAACTACCCCTACCACACCAACTACTCCTACAACCCCAACCACACCCACAAGTCAAACAACGCCGACAACTCCAACGACTCCTACTACTCCAACGACTCCCACAACGCCAACTACCCCTTCGAGCCCAACCACCCCAACTACTCCAACGACCCCTACTACACCAAGTACTCCTTCGAGTCCTACCACACCGACTACACCAACAACACCGACTACTCCAACCACTCCTACAAGCCAAACTACCCCTACCACCCCAACTACTCCAAGTACCCCTTCGAGCCCAACCACACCGACAACACCAACCACTCCAACTACGCCGACTACTCCCACAACCCCTACGACTCCAACTAGTCAAACAACCCCAACGACTCCCACAACTCCCACGACACCGACTACACCCACAACACCAAGTACCCCGTCGAGCCCAACCACACCAACTACTCCAACAACGCCAACGACCCCTACTACACCAAGTACTCCTTCGAGTCCTACCACACCAACTACACCAACCACCCCAACTACTCCAACAACCCCTACTACTCCAAGTACTCCTTCGAGTCCTACCACACCAACTACACCAACAACCCCCACTACACCAAGTACGCCTTCGAGTCCTACCACACCAACGACTCCCACTACCCCAAGTACTCCTTCGAGCCCTACCACACCAACTACTCCAACAACGCCAACGACCCCCACTACGCCAAGTACTCCTTCGAGTCCTACCACACCAACTACACCAACGACTCCCACTACACCAAGTACTCCTTCGAGTCCTACCACACCAACTACTCCAACGACACCAACGACTCCCACTACCCCAAGTACTCCTTTGAGTCCTACCACACCAACTACTCCAACGACACCAACGACTCCCACTACCCCAAGTACTCCTTCGAGTCCTACCACACCAACTACTCCAACGACACCAACGACTCCCACTACCCCAAGTACTCCTTCGAGTCCTACCACACCAACTACTCCAACGACACCAACGACTCCCACTACCCCAAGTACTCCTTCGAGTCCTACCACACCAACTACACCAACAACCCCAACCACTCCAACAACCCCCACTACCCCAAGTACTCCTTCGAGTCCTACCACACCAACTACACCAACAACCCCAACCACTCCAACAACCCCCACTACCCCAAGTACTCCTTCGAGTCCTACCACACCAACTACACCAACAACCCCAACCACTCCAACAACCCCCACTACCCCAAGTACTCCTTCGAGTCCTACCACACCAACTACTCCAACAACCCCCACTACCCCAAGTACTCCTTCGAGTCCTACCACACCAACTACACCAACCACACCGACAACCCCAACAACTCCTTCTACCCCTACAACTCCAACCACGCCTACGACACCAACAACTCCGACCACCCCAACCACTCCAACAACTCCAACCACGCCCACAACACCAACCACTCCTTCTACCCCTACAACTCCAACTACCCCTACAACTCCAACCACACCCACAACACCAACCACTCCTTCTACGCCTACAACTCCAACCACACCCACAACACCAACCACTCCTTCTACGCCTACAACTCCAACTACCCCTACAACTCCAACCACACCCACAACACCAACCACTCCTTCTACGCCTACAACTCCAACTACCCCTACAACTCCAACCACACCCACAACACCAACCACTCCATCTACACCTACAACTCCAACTACCCCTACAACTCCTACAACTCCAACCACACCTACAACTCCGACCACACCTACAACTCCTACAACCCCAACCACTCCTACAACTCCGACAACTCCCACCACACCTACAACTCCGACCACACCTACAACTCCTACAACCCCAACCACTCCTACAACTCCGACAACTCCCACTACTCCAACCACTCCTACAACTCCTACTACCCCAACCACTCCTACGACTCCAACAACTCCTACTACTCCTACTACCCCGACTCCTGCAACTTCTTGTAAGTTACTGATAGTTTAACATTACGCTAGACATTCTTCAGCGTGCACTGATGGGGCTACCAACTGTGCCGATTTCATCAAAGACTGCGGTTCGCCGAAGATGAACAAATATTGTAAAAACACATGCGGACTTTGCGGATCTTCAACTGCAGCTGTACCTGAAGCCCCTGTGACCGAAGGTAGGTTTATAGCAAGCTTATAAACGTTGATTTTGAAGAATGTACCGACGGTGCCACAAATTGCCAAGATTTTGTTGCGCAGTGCGGAACTCCGAAGATGCAGACCTATTGCAAGAATACTTGCGGTCTTTGTGCATCGTCGACCCAACCTCCGGCCCCTGAACCAGAACCAGTACCAGACCAACGTAAGCATAAAAAATAAAGTGACGAAAGTACATTTACAGCGTGTAAGGACGGAGCTACAAACTGCAAAGACTTTGTAAACCAGTGTGGAAGCAATCCGCAGATCCAAGAATACTGTAAGAACACGTGCGGTCTTTGTACTTCAGCCCCTGCAAAGAGCGTCGACTGCGACGACAGAGCGACCAACTGCGAATCGTTCATTGGAAACTGTGACACCACCAACGAACAAGCTAAACAATACATGCAGTACGCCTGCCCAAAGACTTGCGGAACCTGCCCAAGCTAAAGATTCAATACTCGTCACAGACATGACATATTCACACCAGTTTGAATAAATAAGGTTGTTATATAAATATAGGAAGTTTATTGGAGCAAATAGAATTCCTTAAATTCAATATTGAAATATTTGTTGGAATACGCAGTATCCATAGGTAAAAAAAATTTCTGCAAGATTCATCTAGTCATGGTCTAAGGTCTAGTATAATTTGCTCTAATTACTTCGTGCATCATCTTCATCTTTCTCAATTCCTTCGTCTTCTTCGTTTCGTTTCTCCCTAAAATTTGCAAAGTCAATGGACAAAGTTACTCAGAAAAAACTATTTATTCTAAAAACCTTTTCCAAATAATTTAAGAGTTCGAAACCCCTCTGCTTATTCCTACACCTTAGTCATTGCGATAAATTACTGACGTCTTTGGCAAGAGATTCTCTCCAGTTACACGGGATCGTTTCGTCGCAGCTTCGACGGCATTAACAATCAGTCCACGGAGAGCGCCTTTCTCCAATTCGTGGATTCCATAGACGGTGGAGCCTCCAGGACTTTGGACGGCTTCCTTCAAGATGGCTGGATGCTCTCCGGTTTCCAGGACCATTTTAGCGGCACCATGGAAGGTGTGAGCAGCGAGCTGAATGGATAAGTCACGAGGAAGCCCTTGTTTCACGCCACCGTCAGCTAACCCTTCAATCATGGCGAAGACCTAAACTTTATAACAATGGTCAACTCGTAAGGAAAATTTCAACTTCACGAAGCCAAGTCGACTTACATAAGAAGGTCCCGATCCACTGAGGCCAGTGATTGGGTCAAGATATAATTCAGGAACTTCAACGGCATAGCCAACGGTCTCAAGCATGTCTTCAACGGTTTGCGAGTCACCATCCAAACAAGCTGCACCCATTGAATAAGCTGAAGCGCCGGCGCTCACCAACGCCGGAGTGTTTGGCATTACTCGGACGACTCGAGTTTTTGCAGGGACCAACTGTAAAGAGAAAAGTTGAAACCCCGAGGATGAAAACACGCAATTCTTTGAACGTAAATTTTTTACCGTTTCAATGTATCTAATAGTGATTCCAAGTGCAATCGAGATCAACAAATGTTCTCTTCGTATGATTGGGGCGAGTTCAGATACCACTTTACTGACATGCAGAGGTTTCACAGCCAAGAAAATCGCATCCGAGTTCTTCGCGACTTCCGTGTTATCATGCGTCGTGTTGATTCCAATAGTCTATAAGAAAATTTTTGGAAAAATATTTCGCCTTACTTTGCATTCATCGAGGAGTTTGTAATCGGCTTTTGGGCAGCTGGCAATCATTTTTGAAGCGTCGTATTTACCTGTAAAACATTTTATTGAAGAAATTTCCCAAATTAAAATCATCTCTGCCGTTGCCGGTTGTTGTATAAATTTTTGCAGTGCCTTAAACCCCTACCTGAATGAATAAGCCCCCTGGCCAGAGCTTGGGCCATTTTTCCGGCTCCAATAAATCCGATCCTCATCTTGTCGGGATAATTTCAACAGCTCTTTCCAAGAACTTTATATCAGATGAACGCTTCCTGTTCGATCGCCAGCAACTGACCAAGAAAAAAGTCTGAATGCGCCTGATGATAAGCGGATTGATGTGTTTCCCGCTTCTCGAGAAAGGAATGGGTCAATGGCGGCTTAATTCGAAATTAATATGGGTTTGGAAATCACGCACCAAAATACATGTAAATAAAAGTAAAACCACAGTTTACAATAACTAATAATCTTATAATAAACCACGAGTGATAGCAAAAAATACCATCAAAAGTCAAAAAGTCAACTGACTTACAATTCTAAAATTGTTTCTTGCCAAACATTACGTATAAACAAAAAATCACAACCTTATTGGGATGTATCTGTATCACAATGAAAACATTTTTGAAGATCATCGGATCTTATCTTTAGTTACAACGCCATAAAACGGATAATGCCGTTATAACCGGATGACGTCATAAGATCGGAAACAGTACAACAATTTTAGGGTATAATATTCGTTTTGAATGCTAGATCTCATTTAGCGATGGCATTGCAGATTTCTTAGATTTTTTGGTGATTTTATGGCCAAAACAGATTTCATCGTATAAAATGACTGTATAGTAAAATTGCGAAAAGAAATCGATTGCCCATTGGGTCAAAATAAAAATTGATAATTTCCCTATCAAGGATCCACCTAAAGAGAACATTTGACAACTGTTTTTATTAGTGTTTTCGTATAATCCCTAGCGAGTGATATAAAAAAACAAAACCTCTAGCCCAATTATTATCACCCCGTTTCAGTCGAGTGCATCCATGATAAGGATGGTTTACTCAAAATCATTTGTTTTCGAAGCAGGACTTATTGATAAGACCGCATCTAGATACGAACTCCCCATCTCGCCGCGTCACGTTTTCGATCATTTTTATCAGTAATGGCGACTCCATTTTGGGGAAAAACAAATTGCGATGGACGGACTTTGGATGCGTTGGGTAGTTCCAGCCCAAATTTGACTTATTCATTGCCGGCTTTGGAGATAAATACCAAAATTTTGGCAAACATGTCATGGATAATATAAAGTTTGAACATCATTTTAAATCGCCTTGCCGGATTGTATTGTAAATTCATTTTTATGCCGTTTATGGTCGTCCTAATAATTCAACAATGCCTCCAATAATTTTTTTTTAAATTGATAGCTAATATAATATCTATTGAATTTTCCGCTTTTCCGTTAGCAATTAAAGTATTTATTGATATTAGTTAGCAATAAAGATTAGTATAACAACTTAGCTATAAAAAAAAGACTAGCTAAAAACTTTTCACCGGTAAAAGAAACAACAATATGTTACCCACTATAAGTGTAAAATACCCTTAGGAAAAATAATAAAAAAATGGACTAAAAATTTGTGAGATCGCTGGAAAAATAAAATACTAGACAAAAAACTTACAAATCTAAAAAAATTAGTAATCAAAACTAATATTTTTCTGGTTTTTCTTCTTTCTCTTGCTCTTTTTCCTCTTCTTCCTCGTCGTTTCTTGGTTTTATGGTCCGGAGAAAAAGTAGAAATGGCATAAACGCTATGCAGACAGCAGCTGTGACCATGAGCGTTCTATAAAATAAAAATTAGAAGCGAAAAATCGTCAAACATACAAGAAATCGGATAAAATTACAAGAAATCGTAAAAAAATGTCTAAAACAATATCCGAGAAGACTTCTTTGGCACTTAAAGTAGAGCGGAGAGAAAATAAAACCTCCTTACTTATCAAATCCAATAATTTTGACCAAACTCTCCGACATTGACGGGCCTACGGCGAATGATAAGCAAACTGCGGAGTCGGCTATGGCAAACGCAACTCCATATGCATTTTGATGTCTCGCATCGACCACTCGACTGATTGTTGGGAACATGGACGCTTGAGTCATTGCAACTCCCCATCCAAGAACAAAAACCGGCAACAAGAGGCAATAATAATTGGGCATGTGTGGGATAACCAGGGCGCAGACTGCCGTGATTCCAAGCCCAATCATCGCCGACAGCCAACGGCCCATTCGCTCCAACGTGGGTTCAAAATACGTTGAGCAGATTGCGGATGCAACAGACGAGGGAAAAAATATCAACCCTTGAAGTGTTGGACCGGCACTCCAAGTTCGCTGGATCCAAAGGGGAATTGTGGGCTCTGTTGTCGCCATTCCAAAATTGCAAACCGCAATAGCCAACGCGGTGATGATGACTTGATGGTCGGAGAGGACTTGAAGCAACGATGAGGCCTTGGTCTGCTGTTCTTCGATCTTAGGATGAAGAAGAACGATTTCGATAACTGAAAATCAAGTATAATATGAATAATTTAAAATTCACCCAAATCTAGAGGAACTTTTACGAAAAATAAGTACCAGAAAACCCTACAGAGTGCCATAAAACAAAGAATGCAGCTTACCGATAGCCAGTAGCGTTATTCCGGCCAAAACTCCGAAAGGTGCGAAGATCCCTCCATAATGATATAAAAACCCGCCGAAAGGTGGTCCAGCCATCAACCCAACGCTCACCCCGGCCAACGCAATTCCCATAGCCCTTCCACGTTCATGGTCGTCGTCGTTGTAGGCCTTAGCAAGCATTCCCATACCAGAAGCGACCGTAAATGCCGACCCGACTCCTTGAATGGATCTCGCGGCAACCAGCATCCAGAATGACCGAGAAATCGCAAACATCATGATCGAGAACAGTGTTATGACAAATCCTGCTAGCATAGGGATTGAATAGCCAATTCTAAAAACAATCAAATACAAAAAAATCGTAAAAACCAAGAATTTTGATGTTAGTTATACCTAAAACAATATAATACCTACTTTTTGGTTAATGGACCTGCGAAGAAGTTGACAATAAGTTGCATCAACGGCTTAGTGCAGAGAATATACCCGATCCCAAGAGAATGCCATCGTGCGTCGGCTTCATCAGCCGTTTCCCGGAGCCATCTGTGACTGGTATTGATTTCTTGCTCATTGTACATTTTTGTCAGGAAATCGGGAAGAATTGGAACTAAAAATATAGTTTTGATAGAACCTTATTCCTTCAAAACAACCTCTTGCTCTTCGACAATCAAAAAAATTTTTTTTTTTAGTTATGAAGCTCTGAAAATTCGAGACAAAAACTATCTAAAATCACATACCGACGACTGTTATAAGCATACAATCGAGGAAATAGGCAATCATCACGACGAACAAGGTTCCATGTTTGTGCCTTTCGAATTTCGAGCCTGTTTTCTTCGAATTACCATCGTCTCCATCAATTTTCCCATAATCATCGACAAATTCTTTCGATTTTGTCATTTATACCCAATACCAGTTCAAGATGGCGCTGAAAATAAAGAAATAAATACTTCCTAACGTGGTATGAAGCACGAACTAGCCGTCTTTTTGATGCAACACGGGATTAGAAATGGAAAAAGCGGATTGGGAAATTGGAAATTAGACATAAAGGTGTAATGAAAAGGTTTTGGGGGCGGAAATTGAGAATTCATGCGGTATGGATAAAAACAAGTGGTACAGAGGAGAAATCAGGCGGAATTGGCCAAGATTTTGAAAAAAATTCAACAAGTTTTAGAAAAATCTATATTGACATTTCGTGTTGACGGCCTGGAAATTCGGACATTGGTCTGTAACTGCCGAGCACACTTTTTTCAACCTCTATAACTATTTTTTGTCCATTTTTGTGAAAAAATACTGAAAATACGGCTTTTTTTATATTTTTTATCCTAGCTGTGGTATTTCTGCAAAACGCAGTTCCATTTTTTCACACAAGACACAGAAACATCTAACTTATACCCGTGAGAAATTTTATCGAAATTTTTACATCTAACGAGGGAATGGTCTGAACTTCCCCCAGCGTTTGGGAAAATGACTAGTACAGGTGGATAGAGCATGTCAACTTTGGTAGAAAGAGCCATTTTCCAGCTGCGGAATAAGCCCGGGCGACAAGAAAAATCGACCGAAAGTTCCACGAAAATTTCCTCTTTCTCTTCCCTCGGAAAAGAAGAGCGGTGCCCAATGGTTCGGTTAGCCGAGTGGATAAAGCATCCGCTCGATATTCTTTTGGGGGTTGGTTCGATTCCGGGGTCTCGCGAAGGACCGTTATAAGGCTTTGATGAGCAAGATCAAACTCTAACAGTCAAAAAAAAATTATTTTGCCTTTTTCAAAGTCAAGTCTATCACCAAACCAGTGTAACTTCTACGTTTCATCGCTTTGAAAGTTCGGAAGCACCCAAAAATGCATTTGTTGACGATTATTGTTTTGGTATAATGCCCCTATAAAACGTATAAAAATGGCAAAATATTTTTTTGGGCTGTTAGAGTTTGATCTTGCTCATCAAAGCCTTATCACGGTCCTCCACGAGACCCCGGAATCGAACCAACCCCCAAAAGAATATCGAGCGGATGCTTTATCCACTCGGCTAACCGAACCATTGGACACCGCTCTTCTTTTCCGAGGGAAGAGAAAGAGGAAATTTTTGTGGAACTTTCGGTCGATTTTTCTCGTCGGCCGGGCTTATTCCGCAGCTGGAAAATGGCTCTTTTTACCAAAGTTGACATGCTCTATCCACCTGTACTAGTCATTTTCCCATACGCTGGGGGAAGTTCAGACCATTCCCTCGTAAAGACAGTCCACAATAGCAGAAAAAATGATCTCACAACCACTGCCCCAACAGATGCCTCAACTGATTTTCATGAAATCGCAACAAAGGCAAAGTTATGTGCGTAATAAATCTCCTCGAACATATGGGCAAGGAGCGGTTTTAATCGAGTATCAATTGATTTATTGCGGGTAATTTGAATCCACTTTGAACTGGACGTTTAAACTTGTCGGCTTGATTTGTCGCCGACCCGTTGATGCCTCACCTAGAGTCGCGAATTTAAACATTCCGCATCTGTTGTTTTTATGAACAGGAGCACGGTGTAAACATGATAAGATGAGAAACTACTCATTTACTGGGAACGGATGTAAACTTTATGTTAAACTATGTGTCGGGAAGTTTTATACTGACCGACAAAATTTTCTTTCCACCTCGTATCTCAGCAACTGCTGGCTTTAGAACCTCAAAAAATCGGCATGAAAACATTCTGGGACAATCTAACACCATACCTAAAAAATTTTTTTTATGATTTTTTAGTTATGGTGTTATTGTCCCAGAATGTTTTCCTGGCGAATTTTGAGGTTCTAAGGCCAGTATAGTTCCCGAGATACGACGTCAAAAGAAAATTTTGTCGACTAATACAGGGCATGATTTTCTTGAGACACCCCGGTTTTTATCCTCGGAGAGCCGTCGGTTTTTCCTGTCTACCCATTCCGTCGCGGGCACAAAGGGCTTTACCTACGACAGTGGCCATCAATCGTAATGGATTTACAGTCAATGTTGATCAATTCTAAGCGAGCTCTAGTAGTGATCCTGATGGAATAGACACACCTTACATACGACCGCTCGGACGTCCCAGGATAAGATGGACAGGCGATTTCCAAAAGCACCGCGATGGAAACATCTTGCATTGAACAGACAATGGAAACCATACTGATTCACTCCATGATTTTTGCATGTCACTGGTGAAATTAATTGAAATTCCTTTGAGATGATTAAAATGTGACGCGCACTTTTTAATAAAAGTGGCACAAATTTAGGTTCTAATTCTGCACACTTAATACTGATTGCGAAATTCTAAACATAACTCCAATTCAGGCCGTGATATCCTGGCCCAGCCATTTACGCATATGCACAAAAAAATATAAAAATGAAACCATCAAGACTTGAACAACGAACCGCAAATTTTCTCTCTGTTTTTAAACCAATATACAGGCCCATGAATTTTTAAATAAGCTTGCATATTTCAGCAACCCCATTAATGTGGGCCCATTCAAGGTGTTCATAATGATGATGTAAAATTGTTGCAGATGATGATGTCATTAGGGCCTCGTTTACTTTTTTTTGCTTTTAGTTGGGGTTTAGTTCACTCCTTTACTGCCGTTTTCCCGGAAATTGCTCAATCCAGAACTTTAAATGTACATACCCAGCCAGGCCTGACTTCTTCTTCGGACCGAGCTGGGCTACAGAAATTTTAATTGGTAATGACAACAAGTAAATTTGGTTTACTTTATTATATGTACAGTTTGGGACCTGATCCAGTGGCAAAAAACGTACCATTTTGCATCCGGGAAGTATCAAAAATGTGGCAAAATACCTCCCTCTCCGAGTGAAAAAAAAACTTCGTTTCGAAGGGCGCGCCCCCTTTTTCCTCACGAAAAGAGCGGGCGCGCTTTTGAAACCTGAGTTTTTTCACTTGGAGGGGGAGGTATTTTACCACATTTTTTATGCTTCCTGGATGTAAAATGGTACGTGTTTTGCCACTGGATCAGGTCCCCCACTGTAGTCTTAGATTTTTCGGTCGGTGTGAAAAATTTTTCCTGTTATTATTAAGCAAAATAGTGCATAATATCAATTTGAAGATGTTCCATTTCATCGAATAAAATTTTTAAATATTTTATTCAAAACTCCTTTCACACAATTAAAACTTGATCAAAGTCAGAGCGGGCCATCAGTTTTTTGTAATAAACAAAAAAAGACTTTGAAATCAATTGCAAAAAGTCTGGAAAAAGAATTAAAGCGATGATGAGATAAAATCGATCCAACTTTCAATCCAAGTTTTGTCCTTTTTGTATTTTCTAAATCTCTAACTGGAGGCGGAATAATATGAGCAAAGATGAGGAATTTCTGTGGAATGCTTACCATAAAGTGAGCCTTACGTACAGTATGTGTTATTGTAACAATTTTCAGTTAATCAAAACATATAAAGCCCATCATCATCGAAACGAGCAATGCGAGGTCGAAATTAAAGGGTTAGAGAAGAATGTCATCAAACAAATTGATGTCAATCTCGACAGAATATATGAGTTAGCCTTGCTGGAGGAGATCTACCGGATCCACCGGTGTTTTAGAGATGATATGAAGCAAAGAGTCGAGAGTTTACATAAATTATTGGATGAGTTTGAGGCGTGCAAGAAGAAGAGGATAAATTTCGAAATTTCTGATCTTTTTCAATGGAATTTTGGAGATTTTCAACATGGTAAGAGCAATAATTCATCGATCTTGCTCTATTTTTTAGTTACTCTTCCCTTGCAAAGTTTACAAATATTTTTGTGCCGAAGTAAGACCGAAACAACGCCAAAACCAACTCAATGCAGATTCATACGAATGCAGTTTTCTTCAGAACGGAAACGAAAACCATCAGTAGACAGTCATTCGGACATTCCGATCGATTTTACACCCAATTCTCGCCAAAATTCCCGATTCTTCAAACGAAAAACTCCGTCTCGACGTGAAAGTGGTCATCACAGTGGAATTGAACAGACTGTAAGTGGAAAAAATAGAAATTAAGATTAAAAATTACCATTACATCTATGTATTTTGTAATGACTTTATAAAACCAAAAAAACAAAACGCAAAAAACCACTAGGTCCCGGCGGGGGTCGAACCCGCAATCTTCTGATTAGAAGTCAGACGCGTTATCCATTACGCCACGGGACCACACTCCACCACTCGCGAAAAAACGCAAAGGAGGGAGAGGCTCGCTGACCTTGGGAGCGATTTTTTGTGCCCGTAAGAAAATAAACAGAGAGCCGTTTTTTGCGGCGACAAAGAAGAAATATTATCCATAAAAGCAAAAAATTGAAATTTTAGATTGCCTGGCTCCATCGACTGAATGAGCTCGAGTCCGAGAAATCGGTGGAATTATGGCAAAAAGTCCGAAGTTTGGAACGTTTAGAGCGGTTTTCCTCGGAAGAATACTTGGATAAAATGGCCGCTAAGCTTCCTACTGCCTGGAAACGGGGCAAACTTGAACGGAGACGTCTTTTCCTAGAAAAACTTGACTTGATGTCTCAGATTTTGAACCAAAAATGGGCCGACTCAACTAAAACTAACTAAAAATTCAACAATATTCTTTAGCATTGTTTATTGCCAATATACATTTTTAATCCCATATATCTGTAGAAATAAATAAGTGATATGTGCTTTAACCCAAATTAAACTATTCCATGATCTGTGTGGGGTCCAATGAAACGACCAGAGTACCAGCCTGGAGGTCGTGGAAGGCCCTGTTGAAGGCAAAAGCGTAAGCGAAGATGCCAAGGGGGAACATGAATGTGTTGATCAAGTGTTTCAAAAAGGTCCGGAAAACAGATCTAAAAATCGAATAGATAAAAAAAATAAAATTTCCTCACCTTCTAAATCCTATTCTACTCCATCTCCTGACTTGAACTTCGGATGCATCGGGAGTTAACGGCTGAATATCTTCGACGCGGATCACCTTGATGTCCAACATTAATTTTCCTGGAGTTGTGCCTTTTGGACAAATAAAGAACCCATAATTGAGACAAAGGATCTCAAACGACGTCGAAATTGCTTTAGAGAGCAATTCGTATGGCAAGTTTCCAGTTGCAATATCAAGAATAGTGTAGAAGTCAGCTGTTGGCAAAATATAATTCTCCAGAGAATCAACGGCACTAAATTAGAAAAATATGCAAAATAAGTCATCGTAGTTCCTAAAAATGAGGATGAAACCAAAAAGTCTTACATATATTCCATTTGGACCAAAGAATAAACGATTCCAACTTTGAGGACAAATAACATCACAAAATCAATTATTTCAGCCGTAATTCGCCGCCAATACGATGGAATTGTATATCTCTCTGTTACTAGAGCGTCCACTTCTCGATGATGAATATTCACATTGACTTGGTTGATTACGACTTGAGGGCGAATCTCAGAAAGGTTCAATCCACTTTGTACTAACTAAAATAAGTTCGTTTATTATTAAATCTCTTTAGCCACCATAAAACTATAAATAAAACATAAAGCACAACATACACTGGGATTTACGTTATTCCTAGCAACAAAATCGTCATTTTGGGCCTTCAACCAATCATACGTCTTCTTCTGCCAATCCCGAACTGCTTCAGCATAAGCACGAGCTGATCCATAATCTTTCTTCTTCTTTCTTTCAGCGAGGGTCGACCCGTATGAGCCTAACATCAGTTTCGAGCCGCGGTTTGAGTCTAAAGTTGAAAAATAAAGTTGAAAAGAGGTCAATCTTACCAAAATATTGAGAAACTATTGTTTTCGTAGCTACTTCTAACGGCAAAAGATGCTTTGAACGAAGAAACCCAATCGAATATTCACATTAGAGAGTAAAAAAAAGAATAAACAGCTTTTCGATCACAAGAAAAATATTTTCCAGAAAAAAGAAAAGACTTGACGCGGTAATTTTTGGGTCAACTTTGGCTCTGGAACTTACTGGGGGAATTTAGAAGTAAAAATGAATGTAATGATGCCATTGAGTTGTGTTTGTAATTAAAATTACAATTATCCGCAATTCCAAGCCATTTATTTTTTTCTTAAATCGACATCCAAGATTTTTCTAGTGTAATACCGCAATATCTCGAAGGATGGCCAAATTGTTGAATACAGGTTGGACAAGACAAACAAAACCTCAATTTGTGTTTTTCTGTCTGATCATTGACGTTTCTGCCGTGTTCTTTTTATCTCGTCGAACGGAAATCTCGGCAATCAATGACGTCATCAAAGGAAAGTAAAATGCGTGATGAATGCCAAAAGCTGGAGTAAAATGCAGAATGAACTTTGTACATAGTGCCGAGTTGATCGAAAGGATTTTATGACCATATAATTTGGTCTTATTTATACCTTTTTTCTCAAGTGTAATATGTATACTTGGAGCATAATAAAGTAATGCTACAATATTTTATAAAAGATTATTTTTATTTTCCGCACATGAAGATTACGTTAACTTTACTCTATTTTCGTAATTCTACATCATTTTTTACCGTGTCCATTCAACAAACCGATCTTTATTCTTATGACTATGACTCGAAGTAATTAATTTCCTTCTCTTTTCAACTATCTTGTGATCCCGCGCATTCGATTCTCAAAACGCTCCATTATGTGACAAAACAAATCGATAATGTATTTGATTTTCTTGAAACGCACCACTTTACCTACAGAGACATAAACAACGCCTTTCCTCATCCAAATCGCGTGGGTTTTTCAAGGAAAAGAGAAGTAGAGAAGTTCGAAAAGTAAATTGCAACTGTTGGGTAAACGAATCTTGACCACAATGAACCTTCGGATTTTCTACGAAGGGTTGTTTGACGACGTGTGTAATATCAATTATCATTGATTTAAGACAACCGAAGAATCAAATCATGTATGTAGGAATCAAAAGAAGCGTCCACTTTGAACAATTTTCGGTATTTTCTTGGGAGTAAAGCCATCATACATGCAATGCAGTTTATTTGCAAGCGACTGAAAAAAATTGTGGTTTAAAATACGACATACATTCATAGGTCAAAAAAGTCGGGTAAATGAACCTCCAAACGACGAAAGCCTTCTATAACGAATAAATTTTTGGTCTCTGCACATTGTTTTGACTGCAAATACAATAAAATATAGATACAGTAAGTAATTGAACTATTAGTACGATAGGGCTAACAATGCAAACAATTTTATTAAAATATCCTTCAAACCTTTCCAAATTTATCCGCCTAGGCCTTACATCAATTCCTCAAAAGTTTAGCGTCTGCTTTACATTTACAATCATCTTTATGGTCAAGAACATATAGCTTACGAGACATACTGCCATAGGAAAGAAAAATTCTGGCATTTTGTACGAGTTTGAACATCTGGAAATGCACCGGCTCAAAAATTCTTTGGGTGCTTTTTAAACCTAGTAAATATTTGAAGAATTACTGCAGGAATGTAATCTGTTCTTTTCAACGCTTGTATCCCTAGGCTACCGAAGAACTTGTTTGATCAAAGTTTGAGAAAACTGGCCCGTTGTAACAATCCAAATTTTACAAATCAATTACTTCTAATCCATTTTCTTTTTTACTCTTCAAAAAAGTTTTACAGAACCATTACGCTTTCTGCAACATTTGAAATTAAAGAAAATTTGCATAACACTTTCCGCACGAACAGAGATCGAAATATGGCATCTCATTTTTGATTTGCAGCGCAACATTGACACCAGCGGAGACTATGCAATCATTGCAGACAATCGTCGTACATTGTTAAGTCAGCAAATCTCTGTCAAAGAAATTCTTGGGCTTAATTATCCGGTGATTAACCAATAGCCTTGCCGCTTGAAAGAAGTTATTTCCTCGTCTATGATTTCTTTGGTTTTCAACGTTTCTTCTTCTTTGCCTTGACACTTGATTCAACGAGCATTCGTCGTATGATATCACGACGAAAATGGAGGGGGTTCGTTTTGGGTTCGAGATGCACTTGGATGGGTAGGTTGTCCGAAACTTCCAATTCCAAGGGTTCTGCAGCGAAATTCCCAACTCATATGATATCCGGTGGATGGGTTACACGCGCAGGCAGAAAAAATGGGCGGTTCGCTGGTGGTGTGGGGTTGAACAATTTCTGTCTGTTCGCGACTCCCAAACTTGACGATTATTGCAATAATGGCGGGGGCTATTGAGGCGAGTGCGTCGATAAATACACGTAGTGTTGGTGGGAGAGGGAGATTTCTTGGTTCCCATTCTTTGCTGGTTGTTCAGTTGTAAACATTGTCTCGTTTCCTCTGATTTTCGTGCCATTCCCATACGACCTTCGTTTAAGTTAATTACTTTTTATTAATCCTCCCCTTGCTTTCAGGCGCATGACATATACTCTTTAGGACTTCGAAGAGTATTTCCATATTTGACGACCAGTTCATCGAGATGTAAGAGCTTGCGGTTGTAACGAAACTCTGAGTGTTTATAGGACTGCGGAAGTGAAGATTCTCAAGACAAAGACGGCCGAAAACACACCATGGAGATCGATCTCGGTGGTGACTGTTATGGCCGTCTGCACCGCCATTCAAGGAGGTCTTTACTACAGTTCCATCTGGCCATATCTACGATCTGTAAGTCAATTACTGCATAGATTATATTAACATGCATTCAATCAGGTTTTGTTGAATTTTTAAGAGGCATGATGAATAACTCACTCTTATTTTTAGTTAAATTCTGAAGTGACTGACATTTTTCTTGGATTCGTAATGTCTATGTACTCGTTTGGCCAAATTCTTTCGGCGCCCTTGATTGGATGGTCGGCCAACAAGATTGGCACTATTCGACCACCAGTCACGGTTTGCATTCTCTGCCAAGTGACTGGAAATGTTGTCTATTTCCTTGCGCAAGAAGCGCCTTCAGCCTACGCCATCTACGTGGTGGTTCTATCCAGATTCATCTTGGGCATTGGATCGGGTATGTGTCTCAACGTGTACTAAATATAAAAAAGGTTTAAACAAAAAGTAACCTTACAATTTTCAGTGAATCTTGTGCTTCTCGACACATACGCCTCTACTGCCAGTCTTCCACGCCACAAGTCAAGAACAATCTCACTTGTAACTGGAGGAGTTGCATTGGGTATTAGCATTGGCCCGGGCACTCAACTGTTCTTCACTCCGCTTGGTAAACATGGCATCGAACTCTTCAATACCGGCTTCTCAATCAACATGTATACGGCTCCGGCAGTGGCTGCCATTTTCTTCAACTTGATCGCATTAATCTGTGTGTCGTTTGTGTTTGAAGAAGTGTATGCCGGTTTGAATAGTCAACCTAGAGAGGTAAGTAATTTAGCTGTATGTTATAAGGCTAATACAACTGCCAATTCTTTAATGTTCATAGTTATAATTACTCTTACATTTAATTTCAGAAACTCACCGACACCCCAGCCAAGAAGCTGAAGATCGATTGGATTGCCATATTTGTCTGTCACGCTACCGGATTCGTCCATTATTTCACATTCAGCCATGTTGAAACGTAAGTTGACTTCGAACTAACCCAAATATCTTTGAGAATATTTTTTTACAGTTGACTATTGCAGACTTGGAACCAACTTTGTAATGACTGTTATGGGATACAGTGAGGAGAATGCCATCCAATACTACTCCATCTGCTTCACTTTGCTGTCAATTGTTGAACTCGGCTTCTATGGAGTTTATGTGTTCGGAAAGCTGGAAAAATAGTAAGTTATGAGGGTAAAATACGAACATTGCATCGTTGAAAAAATTAATGACTAACCTTTTCAGCGGCTCGACCAGAATGAAGTGCGTTTTCGGATTGATCGGATTCTTCATCTTCTACGTGACCACCTTCTCCTGGTCATTCCTTCCTGGTGAAATGAAAAAATTCGACAATTCGGACCTTATCGCTTTCCGAAATTTCAATGGCTCCGAGCCCATTGGCTGTAATACGGACACATATTCATGGTGTGAATCGGTGAAGCCGGTCAACCCCTGGGTCTACATCACCGCGCTGAGTGTTGTGATTGGCCTTTCGTTCGGAATTTTGAACACAACTTTAAGCACACTGTTCTCGGATGTCCTTGGGCCCAAAAAACAAGGCACCCAGATGGGCTTCTTCCACATGACGCGGAATAATGCAAGAATGTTGGGCCCTCTTGCCATTACGTAAGTTTTGATCATAAGTTTGTGTAATCATCCCTCTGATAAACCATCAATTTTTCATTTCAGTGGCATATACGAAAGCTTTGGCCCACGGTTCGCATGGATGCTGCAGCTCTGCATGCTCACTTTTAATTTGGTCATTTTTGCCGTATTTTATCACCGAATGGTGCCCATGGCCTTCCCCAAACATCAGACCCATCCTGTGGACGACCAGGAACTCACGCCGACGACTCAGAAAATCTGAAGACTGCCATCCATCACATTTGTTTTCCCCTTGTATATAATATAACTTTCGCGGAAAGCGGGGCGCTGTAATAATTTGAAAGTAAAATGAACGAATATTAAGCGGTGAGAAACGAATTCCTTTTTTCTTAAACTGACAAACTTTGGCATGTGGTTGTATGATGGAGTGATATACACATCAAAAATGGTAAGCCGTGACGGTTACTTTACAGTATGATGGGGAGAAAATTTTTTGTAAGATTGGAGTAAACAAAGTAAAACCGTTTGCAGATTGCAAGTAACACGTGAAAATATGACAAGTAAAAAGTGAAATAACTCAAAAAATCCTATCGTGATGGCGGCATGATTAATTGACGCTCATGTTGTCTGAGAATTTAATGAGAAGAAGAACGTTTACGTATCAGCTTTTCTACCAAGAAAATTTATTGATTAGAAAGATATATACATTCCAAAGAACAGCTATATTTGCTACGCGACGGATTCGTTTGAAACCCTCGAACGACAAGGCTCTAAAATTGAAAAAGAAGCAGAAATGCCACTCCGGACCAAGCCGACAAAAATGTTGGGTGTGTTCGCCTTGACGTACTAGCCCTTCCGGAAGTCTCCGGACCGAAATCGGCAACTTGAACAGTTAGAAAAAAAAAGTTAGCTTTGCACTGTGCAATTTCTTCCTTTTTGCACCATGCAATAGGCTTTTTTCTGCTGTCGCTCGCAACCTAAGTTTTTTCGCACACTATCAAAAATTAGTCCGGCGACTCTCCGGAAAGACTAACATAAATGTTTCGTAGGGACACAAAAGAGTCATAGTTTTCCTGAACCAAAGACATTTACTTCTCCAGCTTTCGACAAGGAGCCTTCTTTCTAAAGGAAACATTTTTTATCATGCTCCCATAGAAGGTATTAGGCATCAAGCTTTATGGACTTTTTACTAGTCCGTTCGTAAAGTCGCTGGAGTCATTTTTGGCGTTTGCACTGTGCAGATTGTGCAGAAAAAGTTGCGGTCTGAGCGACAGCCAGAAAAAGCCTTTAAGCAGCAACTTGCACACTTCTGTTTCCGCACAATGTATGCCTCAAAAAATCACTCCGGCGACTTTGCGGACAGACTAGTACCCATTCAGAAAACTATCAACTAACTTTAAAAACAAACTAACTTACCTAAACCCTTCGAATCTCTGAATACCCAAAACTGATAACATTCCCCAGACGACAGCGGTTTGCTTTATACAGCAAGCAGAACCGCTGCAATCTTCTGTATCATGAACCCAATAATCAAAGCTCCTAACCAACCCAGCCGCTCTATTCCGATGATGAGAAGAAACTGAGCTATCACTGAATAGTGCGACTTTTCCGTTGTTGTGGAAAGTTCCCGCGCAGCTATGCCGTCCACGAGGCGGAATAAACACCACGATGGACGCTAGAATTCTTTGTGGGGAATTTCCATGGGTATTTCCCATAAAAAGCGAGCTGCTCCAGATGAGCGACTTGCGTTTCTCTTGAAATGCTCGCTGTAATAAGACCACGAAGCTTTCCCAATAATTTTTAAAGATCAAACTGTATGTCTCCGAATTTTTTGATTATAAAAGTGCGCATAATTTAAAAATTTCATGTAGTTTTTATGAAATTTTCGTGGGAAATGCGTTGAGATGATGATTACAGCGTTCGGTGGGGCAGATGACTTCTGGCCATTGCTCATTTGAAAGTCAATCCCGATTTTTATGGTTTGTTTCTTGGGTCGATTTGAGGGTGTTCTGCAACCCTTTTTATTAGTTCATGTGAATTGGAAGATTTTGCATTTGAAACAATTCCAACTATGTTTTATTTTGCCAGCGTTGGTTAAAATTTATTAGGAAAAAACCGAAAAGCCTTTGCCTGGTACATAACCAGTCCACTTGCAATGCCGCTAAAGTGATTCTGTCGTCACGCACTGTGTGAAAACAGAAGCTCACCTTGCACTGTGCAATAGGTTGTTTTGGGTTGTCGCCCGCACCCTGACCTTTTTCGCAGAGTGCAAACGCCAAAAACCACTCCAGCGGCCTTGCGAACGGACTAGTATAAGCGGCGAGTACGACAAAATGGTCTCAGATCATGTTAAGATTGTCCTTACTTCTTCGTTAGCGGTCAAACTACCCTTCACGGGAAGTGCATAAAAACTCGCCCTCTTCAGCGTGACTTTGCTTTATTTATCGTGCCTTCTGGAGCTGTTTATTGCTTGAAGGTGTAAATATTATACCAAGCTGATTCCTGATCATCACACGTATTGCGTAAGATCTGAGTGTCGTTGCGCCTGGATTTATGTAACAAATAAATAAAGTGCAAAGTACAGCGGCTGTTACTTTTCGATCCGTCGGCTTGGATTCAAACGAAAGAAGTTACTGTAAGGGTCACGCTTGACAGGTAAGGAAAAGAAAGCTGGGGTTGAACTGAACTTTGGGTCAAAGAAAAGCTACGATCGGGTGATCAAATCGTCTTTTTCAAAACCAAAAACTAAGCAAAGAAGATCGAAAAAAAGATATCCACTATATTTTTGTTGATCTTTGATTGCAATTTATCCTTTATTTTCGTCCATCCATTTTTATTTTTCACAAAACTTCCAGACCAAAAATTACAGTACACCCGAATTATTCTTGTCTCAGCCACTTAAATTGCCCACAATTTACCGCCCAATTTTTCTGCGACAACATTTTTCTGCGGCCTCCGAAGTCTTCTTGTCGTTATAAGAAACATATTGAAAATAGTTTCGTTTCCGATATTTGACTCCAAAGATGGACACATTGAGTGCGTAGGAGCGCGCCCTATAAAATTGGCCGAATTAGGAGATGCTGATAATTGGAACGGGAGTGGGAGGGGGTGCTGCCGGTCGTATTTGAATATTTGATCCCCGCTGTTTTCCGGTAGATGTTGGAGGGACAAATTTAAGGGCTGCGGATAATTTAATCGTCGTAGATTCATCACTAAGCTTTGCGGAATTCTTGGTCAACTCAGTTCCTGTAGCCTAGCTGGTTTAGTTGATCTTTACGATTACTTTACACAGCGATCTTTGATTTATCACCTTTTTCTGTTTTTTTAATAACATGGCGTTCGAAAATCTTTGAAAGCTGAGCTTATTATGATTGTTCACCCACTTTGAACCTTTAGCAATTTGGGGGTTCCCCCATCGTACGGGTCATGCATTACACAAAACGAACAATCAATCAATTGTTTTGCGGCGGAATTAGCACTTTTAAATCGGCTTACTTCGCGCATTGGGACCAAAAAAGATTACTATTGGATCTGTTCTTGTTTGCGCAAACACTATGCATCTTTGAAGTCGACTTGTTTGAACTATTGGCCTTTGTTTCAGACCATAACAATAATTTTGTATTCGGAACTTACCGTATGAAAAATAATCAGTTCTGTTACAGGCAAAACATCATAAATTCGAGTTTTCCTTTTGTTTTGTCATGCGGGCCCGCCCGATATTTTTTACTTTGGGGTTTTGCTGACGAATCATCGCCGCAGCGCGCGTTTCAGCGGGTTTTCTCAAATCATCCGTCATAACATCTTCACTTTGCTTTCGTAATACGATTGAAGTTTAAATTCGCCAAAGACATTCCAAAATGTCGTAACTGCAGCTGGTTTTTTCTTTAACGTTTGTTGATCTCTTTTTGTAGTCTATTTATTGCTTATGTTGATAAAATCGACCGCTAATTTAGCAATGCCAACCGATTTTGGCATTCCGATCAAGGGTTTAAAAAATACAGCAGGGCTCAGCTCTAGGACATGACAATTTAGAGCTCTAAATTGTCGGGTCCTGAAAAAGAAATCTCTTTGTTTTTCGTATTGTCCAAGATCGCGTTGTTTTTTCTCTGTTTTGAAGAAATCTTCTCTAAACTGGATATAAATTTTCAGCCTGTTTTTGTTGGATTCGTCCAAGACGCCAGGTTTTGGACCGGCCTGATCTCAAGCTGGACACGGAAAACGAGAAAATGCCGGCCAAGTCCCAGGTATATATTGTCAATGAGGATGCGGCCTCAAAGGACGCTATAATCGCCGATGACACTCCAAAAACTCCTTGGAAATCGATCTACTTTATCGGAGTTCTAGCGCTCTGCACAGCTATTCAATTTTCTCTTTATTTTAGTTCAATGTGGCCGTATCTACAGCTGGTAAGTGATTTAGCACGGCATTGTGGATTTATTTCATTTGGTTTACCTGATTTATTTTTTCTATGACTAGTTGTATCATGGCCATATGTAATATAAATTTTTATACTTTCAGCTGGACCACACAGTAACCGAAGAGTTCTACGGCTATGTAGTGGCGGTATATTCTGCTGGTTTGATAATCGCCGCTCCGTTGATTGGATTGTGGAGCAATCGAGTCAAGAATATCCGAACTCCTGTCAGATTTTGCATTTGTCTTCAACTGAGTGGAAATCTTTTATATTTCTTTGCGCAACTATTGCCATTTGGACGGAAATTTGCGGTCATGTTTGCCAGATTCTTTGTCGGAGCCGCTTGTTGTAAGTTTTTAAATTTTGTATTACTCATCATACATTGGAATGGGTGACTGCAAAGAATTTTTGTTGAATGACTTAATATGTTGTAGATTTACTAAAAAATATTTTGCAGGTCATAGTGGGCTTTTGAAAGCATATGCCGCAACGGCAAGCGTCGCTGCCGATCGATCTCGAGCTATGGCAATTTTTACCGGAGGAGTCGCCTTTGGTTTGACTGTTGGGCCAGGTATGTAGATTAATGAGTGTTCCGGCTATTCCCAGGTCTTCAATTGATCTTCGTGCCTCTTGGCTTCCCTGGATTCAAGTTATTCGACATTCTTCAAATCAACATGTACACAACACCTCCGTTGGCCGCCATGTTTCTGAACAGCACAGCTTTGTTCATTATGACCTTCCTGTTTGAGGAGACATACGCTGGGTTGGCGACGTCGACTTCTCATGCTGTTAAAGTGGGTTTTTACTTTATCGCCTTAAAGAATTTTGGTTTTAATTTTGAATGAATGTTTTTTCAGGATAAAGAAGGTGACAAAGAGGAAAAAGAACAGAGGAGGGCGGCCAAAGAGTTCAAGATTCCACCGTTCGACAAGCTGGCGTTGGTTCTCTGCCATCTGGGAAGATTCACTCAAACCTTTACCTTCACCGCCCTGGAGACCATTGGAACTGCGTATGCGATGACTATTTTCGCCTGGACGAAGAAAGAAGCGGTTACTTATGTTGCAATCTCATATTCATTCATGAGTGTGGTCGAATTTTTGGCTTATGCGCTTTTTGTTTTTGCAAAGCTGGATCGATGGTGAGTTTAATTTGTATTTTTTAATGTCCTTTCCAGATTATTAGAGGATCGTTTTTTTTAATTTTAGGTTGAGGCTTCGGTTCCATTGTCTTTGTGGATTTGCTGCGCTGATTGTCTTACACTTGATTACATTTTCTTGGCCGTTTTTGCCCGGGGAACTAACGACTTACACCAATAAAGGTAATTTGACTTATCTTTGTCTCTCGCTTACGTTTAAGTTAAGTTGATTATGCTTACTATTTTTTTCAGATATGGACAGGCATCTCAACCAATCCGCTCCAGAGCCAGTAGGCTGTAATTTGGACCGACTTTCTTGGTGCACGTACACGAAACCCGTCAATGTTTGGGTGTATAACATCTCCTTTGTTCTAATTGTTGGGGTGTCCTATTGTGTGATCAACATTACATTGGAAACTTTGTTCTCCAAAGTTCTTGGGCCAAGAAGGCAGGCTGCGCACCAGGGATTTTTGGAAATGACCGAAGGAGCCGCTCGTTTCAGTGGACCAGTTCTGATCAGGTAATGAGAACAATGTTTTCTGGCAAGGTCTTTTTCAAAAAATTATAAATTTGTGGAGCAATTCGCAATTTTTGGTCCAAGTTTCGTTGCACCGTGCGGATTTTTCTAGGCAATCGTTCCCAAAAAATTGTTTTTTTTTGCACTGTGCAAGGTCTGTCGCAACACTTGTCTTTCTCTGCGTCCTCCTCGATTTCCCAATCCTTTCCATTCGGCGGAAAACCTGCACCGTAAAGAGTTGTCGCAAGTTTCTGTTGATTTCGCGCAGTGCAGTCTTTGTCGCGACTTCTTTTCTCTTTTCTCACCCGCGCATTTCTCTGCACTCTCTTTATTGTCTTCAGTCTCTCGGACTTTCGCGACAAGCATTTGCACTGTGCGAAGTTTTTTGTCGCAGGGCTTCTTTTCTCTGGCAGAGGAACGCTCTGCGCTCTCTTTGGTTTCTGCAGTCTCTTTCTCAGCGACATGACGCAATGATTTTTGTTGCGCCAGCACTTGGGCTCGAAAATGCTTCCAAAATTTCTTTCTGGCACTGTGCAGCCAAAAAAAATTCTGTGACTTTCGGTTTGAAAAATTAAAGAAATAATCAATAAAATAATTTCAGCTCCCTCTACACTGCATTCGGCCCTCGAGCAGCGTGGGTCGCCGAGATTGTTGTCCTGTCCACGGCTGTTTCCCTATGGCTTATCTTCTACAAACGTCTGGTTCCTTTGAAAATGCCCACCTCCTCGGATGACAAAGAATCGACAGATGGAAGTCTTGACGACGAAGAGGAGCATCTTATGGCCGAAAAAGATCCCGATGTCGCGTCGGTCCTGGGCTATGTTGGCCTTCATCGTGCCGGGTCGGTCTCTCTTGGCAAACGAGTGTTTGATAGGGCGTCAGTTCGAAGTTCCATGCGAAGCAACCTTCGCAAATCGATGAGAGATGTGCCTATCAAGGAGTAATTCTCGGAAAATATTTGTTTCATCGAAAGGTTCAAATTTTTTATTTTTCACCTAATTTTTTAGTCTTGTTTTTACTTGAAATCTTGTCCACGAAGGCATAAGTTGCCTCATATTGCATTCCCAGAAGATTTACAGCAGTAGATTCTTTACCACTTGACGAGTACAACTCGATTTGATTAACGATTTTATCGCATAATTTCATAGAATTTGCATTTTTTTGTGCCATTTTTTCCTTCTGATCACAATTTCATTGCCTTTATATTATGTTATACATAGCTGAAGTCATCTTGTTCTCATTGCTTTTATTAAAATTTTCTTCTTTCTTATACGATGAGCACAGTGTGCTCTAGAACCTGCAATACTTTCAGTTTATTTTTTAAACTTTAACGATGTTAAAATTTTTTAATAAATTGCTGATTTTGAAAAAGTTTGGGTGCAATGTCATATTTTTAAACTTGAAAAACTGATTTGTCCATAATTTCATATGCATTTCCCATTTTTACCGCTGGAAATCGGTCGCTTTCCTGGTTTATTATGACCGAAATCACTTCAGTTTTCCTCAAAGTCATGTTGAATGTTATAACAAGATTTCTCGCCGATCATGTTGATTGTACAAGCAATTGTGGGGCCTACTTTTCGATTATTGGTAAACTAAATTTTATTTCTAATTGTAAAAATAAATAATTTTAATTTTTTTTGAAAAAAGTCCTACTTTCCTTCAGAAACCAACAGTAACGCTGATTACGTCATCTTCAATGACTTTTTTGTCAAATTCCCGTCCTCAGAACCTCAATTTCTGAAGGCGCAGAAGTTAAGCCTGCCTACCGCCGATGATTACAATGTCGATAGAGAGACCCATCACATTTCGTCGTATCATGATCTCGGAGTTTTCTATGCGTTCCTGGTGTTGAAGGTTGGTGATTCGGGTCGATACTACAAAATCCCCTGGCCTGTAACGGAAGAATTTCAAGTAAAGCCAGTGAGCGTTAAAGATGTAGGTTGTAGCGGTTTTTTCAAACTTTAGAGTTTAAATTTTGCTATTTTTGTAGTGAGCCTGTTATTGCAATTACGATTTTAGGCGTCAAAAAAGAAGTTCCTCTCGGATGGACTCACTTTTGTGGCATGGGCCAAAGGCTCAGCGAGGACTTGGCCTATGTATCGGCCGCTCTCCGAAGAGGATAAAAACCCCATAAAGTGGTTTGCCACGCCACTTCAAGATTCACTAGACATGATTGATCAATGCACTGGGAAAATTTTGCGCTCCGGAAAGGTAAGATGACAGAATTAAAAATCGATAGGGTGAACCAAAAGATTTTTCCGATTTTTATATATCTTTTTGTCCAATTTTTTTTAGGAATTACCCGATATTTTTAGCTCCACAGCTTCTACGACAACGAGACGGCCGATGCCGAAAATTACGAGTTCAGAATGTGCTTTCCTTCCGGCGATGATTACCGCTACACACAGATCTTTGATATTGTAAGGCTTGAGATATTTGGCAACAACTTCAGAAGACTTTTTTAGCGTGACATCCTCCAAATTATTGATGACAAAAATCTCACCAACAAGTTCTACGATGTGGCCAAGAAATTTAAAAATAGGTTTTCCGTCGGAGTCAGATATCAAACCGCGGATTCCAATAGATCCCCCTCGCCATGCCGTCTAATTTTTATTCAGAATATGAACACGGAACTCTACATTTTCATTGGAACGGCTTTGCTGTTTTATGTTGGAGCTATTGGGATACTATTTTCCATTTTTATGATGATCTTGGTGAATCTTTGGAAGAAAATGGGAAAGAGAAAAGCCAAAAAGAAGGATGGAATGTAAGTAGATTCATGGTAAAGAAAGTAAATAGTAATCTTTTTAGTTTGGACGACAATGATGATTACGATCAGCCCACATCATATTCAGCGGAAAACGAGCCGTCGTATTCAAACTCCGAAAATCCAACTGAATTTGTGAATGATCATCGGGCCGCCGCCGTCTGTCGAATGAAGCCTTACAAGAAAGAAAAATCCCTGGAAAAGACTCAAAACTCATCCGAAACAGACAGCCATAAAAAGCAGCCCGAACTGTCGACGCCAGTTAGTACAATGTTAGCCCCGGAAACACCGAAGGAAAGCAGTGCTTATGCTGAGGGCAGTGTGTATTGTTTCATAAAAAATAAAGATTAAGACCACGAAGATTGATGAAAATGCTACAGACACGAAAAACACCCGTGTAAACCCAAAAACGGGTTGATTTTATATTATCCATGACAAGACGTAAAGAAATTAGAAGATTCAACAATTTCAGCGCGTAGAAATCTTTTAAATAGCTCGTTTTGTGGTAAGACAGGTCAAGGAAGTCCTAAAAACCTTTTGGAGATCATCAATTTCAAATTACAATTTGAGCGTGCCTCGCCTGCAGGCTGCAGAATTCTCCTATCTCAGGACGCGAGTCGCAGAGACAAAACGTTTCTTTTTTCGAAAGAAAATAATTGAACCAAATTATGTTTGGCGCCAATTTAGTTCGATGAGGTTGTTGTTTCGTTACTGCTTTATTTTTTTATGATTCTGCTTTCGGATAATGGCAGCCAAGTAAGTTTAAGATATTCCTTTGCATCTTTTCTAATTTTTAGGTTCAAGATTCCCGTGGAATACCAATATTTGCTGGAGAAGAAGAACATTGACCAGAAAACCGTTGAAGAAAACAAAGTAGGGCGTACCATCTTTACCATGTTGCACTTCACGTTATAATTTTAAAACTCTGTCACGCTTAAACGTTCTAGGATCTTCGTCACATTTTCTCACATGTCCCAAAGAATGTCCCAGACAGGATTCGCCGAAATCTGGCGGTTATCTCTCTGCATTATGCCAATGAATACATCCAGTCAAAGGTGCCTCTCTTCACGAATGGGGTCATTCGAACGCTCAGGCTTAATTTTATAAGGGAAACAAGAAAGGTAACCGTCTATCGATTCGACGCGGAGGTCTTAACACCTGACCATAGGAAAGATGACGACTACAAGCAGATTCCGCTTCAAGAGTTTGTGGCTTTAAAAGAAGATGACGTTGAGATTCTTTCGGTAAGTCCTTAAATAGCTCCGTTGTATTCAAGCTTTAGGGTAGGGTGTATAAATCAACGAAACATTTGATCAGAATGAAAGGAACCCTTGTTATGTCAAATTCCCATCCTCCACCCATGCCGAGACAGGGTGCCACTGTTAACATCTACAAAGCCGTTATCGACTTTGTTCCCGCTGCAATTACCAAGGCAATCGAGAAGATTCAGAAAGGAGATCTCGACGAATTTATCCACCCGAAACCAAATATGAGTAGTGTAAGTAATTTTCTTTATATTATTTCTTGTTTTAGTTGAAAAAGTTTCTGAAGGAACTTGACCCACAGATGGACCAGTTTGTAACTCAGAATCCCGAACATGCACGGTTGAATAAGGAACAGAAGACGGCTGTCTACGTGATCTCCAAGGGCCTCCATAAGCCGCATCCGTTTGTTTTGTTTGGGCCTCCGGGTACTGGAAAGACGGTGACGATCATTGCCGCGGTCGTCCAGTTGATGAAACAAGACGAAGGAAACCGAGTGTTGATTTGTACTCCGTCGAACACTGCCGCTGATCGAGTGGCGAAGGAATTGTTGAACCATCTGGATGGAGAGCTTTTAGGAGGGCATAATGTTCTCCGGTTGTGCTCGAGATCTGTGGATTTCGATCACCGCGACACCAGTTTGGACGTCATTGCGTAAGATTTGGAGATACAGTGGGGGCTGATCCAGTGGCAAAAAAACTTACCGTTTTGCATCCAGGAAGTATAAAAAATATAGCAAAATACTTCCGTCTCCAAGTGAAAAAACTCTGATTTCAAAACCGCACCCGTTTGAAATCTTTTTTGTGAGGGAAGCCCTTCAAAACGAAGTTTTTTCACTTGGAGAGGGAGGTATTTTGCAACATTTTTGGTGCTTCCCGGATGCAAAGTGGTATGTTTTTTGCCACTGGATCAGGTCCGCCACTGTATAAACTGCAAATTACGATTATAGAAATATTGGTGCGGGAGAATATGAGATACCTGAAGGTTTCAAATATTATCGCATAATCATTACAACATTGGCCACATCTGTTCGTCTCCTCTCCGAAACTTTCACCCATATTATTGCCGATGAAGCGGGTCAGGCCTTGGAAGCCGAGATTTGGATCCCTCTTGGCTGTTGCGCCACAAAAGACACTTCGGTCATTCTTTGTGGAGACCCAAATCAGCTGGGGCCTGTGAATATTTTGAATTTTCCCCAGAGATTTTCGAACTATTTGGAGTGCCCGTTGAACTGGTATTTGAAAATGACGGATTATGCAATTGACTGGTGAGTTATGGGGGTTTGGGGATATTTGAGGACCTTTGGAATTTTCTCAAATGGTTTTACTTTTCTCACCGAGGCTTTACTATCTATTTAGCCGGCTTTGCGTCCGCTTGGTTGACTGTTTCCGATGCCATGGACATATTGTAAAGATCGCTTCCAATCTGTTCTACAAACGCCGTTTGAGGGATGCTGGAGACAAGGAATGGAAGAACAAATTATGCTCCGATCCGAGCTGGTTCAATGGGGTGGGTGGCAAATTTATTTTCTGCAATAGTCGGGAAATTTATACAGGGTGTTTCAAGAAATTTGACAGAAACTATTTGCGAATATCTTTGAGCTCTTGCTAGTTATCGCAGAAATTCTTTTTGTTTCTAAAACTTGATAGCGGGCGGTTTTGTACTGAACAAAAAAAAAATTTTTTTCGTCGGCGGAGAGGCCAGTTCTCGGCGGAGACATTTGGGGCCTTTTTTTAAAATCACACCTTATTACATCGCACTGCGGGTCGGGTCAAGTTTTTTTCATGTGGTGGTCAAGTCTTTCCCCTAATATTATTAGGTTGATGCAAAAGGAATTGCGGATTTTTTAATTTATTCGTATTTTTTTATAGGATAGCTCAATTCAAAAATGGAAAAAGGTATATAGTAGTAAATTTTAAGAGGATTTTTTCTGTGTATGTGCTATTCTTATAAAAGTTATCAAACGTTACCATAAGTTACCACGAAGGTACCCTAAACATGTTAGTACATTTTAAACCAATTTTTTTACATATTTTTTCCGGCTTTATCCATTTTTGAAAATATTTTGATAAAATACGTTATATTCTATCAAAAAACAAAAAAAACCCCCATTTTTGGCAAAGCGTTAAAACGCTATCCCAAAAATTCAAATTTCAGCAAATTTTACAAATCATGTCATATCTTTTTTTTAATAAGTCCAAAATAAAAAATTCTTTTTGCTTTCGATTAGTAACAACATTTTTAAGATTTTTGTGACAAAAAACATCAAAATCAAAAAAATTTATTTTTTTGACATTTTTTGACCAAAAAATAAAATTCAAGATTTTGATGTCTTTTTTTCACGAAAGCCTTAAAAATGTTGTTACTAATCGAAAGCAAAAAGAATTTTTTATTTTGGACTTATTAAAAAAAAGATATGACATGATTTGTAAAATTTGCTGAAATTTGAATTTTTGGGATAGCGTTTTAACGCTTTGCCAAAAATGGGGGTTTTTTTTGTTTTTTGATAGAATATAACGTATTTTATCAAAATATTTTCAAAAATGGATAAAGCCGGAAAAAATATGTAAAAAAATTGGTTTAAAATGTACTAACATGTTTAGGGTACCTTCGTGGTAACTTATGGTAACGTTTGATAACTTTTATAAGAATAGCACATACACAGAAAAAATCCTCTTAAAATTTACTACTATATACCTTTTTCCATTTTTGAATTGAGCTATCCTATAAAAAAATACGAATAAATTAAAAAATCCGCAATTCCTTTTGCATCAACCTAATATTTTTTCCCCGAAATTCAGACTGTTATATCGGAGGTTAATCAAGGTAAATCTGGTCAGTTCTTGTTGATTATTTCAAGAACAAGTCTTATTCTATTTTTAGAAATCAAATTTGATTGAATTACGGTGTGGGTTTGCCTCAATTTTTAGCATTCTTTGGGGGTATGTGTTCTATACCTAAATGATCAATTGTGAGACAGTTTCAAGTCTGATTTACGATATCGTTTCCATTTCACCTTCGGACGTACGCCACCTGTCCAATAAAGGTAAGTAACTGTGAATCTGGTAGTCCGTTTTTTAGTAATTAAAGATTTTGTATATTATTCTAGGTTATTCAGAAAATTTTGTACGGGATTTGCCTGGTTTTCCCTCAAAATCACGTCCAACATATTAATCTTACTGTCCTAACCACGTTTTCCATCACCAGAGGTCTTCACAGATGTGATCCAGACGTTATACGTTACAGGGATCATGTATAACATCCGCCTGAAAAAAACGCTAGATTGGTCTCAAACACATTTTTGCTTCGCTTGATGATCCTTTGATTTTTATGAAAATTCCGCATAGTTTGGGCGTTGAATTTCATCTCTACCTAAAATCTGCATCAACTTTGGACACAAAGAAAAAGTCTAAAAGAGAAGGAGAAACCTGTCCACTTACGTTTTTATAGGCACTAGAGACCAATATTACGCTAAATAATCTAATCCAGGCCGAAAACTTGGCAAATCTCAACAAAAATCTTCAAAAGTACCTAGTATAATATACAAAATCTTTAATTACTAGAAAACGGGCTACCAGATTCACAGTTACTTACCTTTATTGGACAGGTGGCGTACGTCCGAAGGTGAAATGGAAACGATATCGTAAATCAGACTTGAAACTGTCTCACAATTGATCATTTAGGTATAGAATACATACCCCCAAAGAATGCTAAAAATTGAGGCAAACCCCCACCGTAATTCAATCAAATTTGATTTCTAAAAATAGAATAAGACTTGTTCTTGAAATAATCAACAAGAACTGACCAGATTTACCTTGATTAACCTCCATATAACAGTCTGAATTTCGGGGAAAAAATAATATTAGGGGAAAGACTTGACCACGCCATGAAAAAAACTTGACCCGACCCGCAGTGCATCGTGGAAACTCTGTTACAGTGGCCAAAATCATGTTTACGTTAAACCTCCGTGGATTTTACGGTATGCTTTTTTGCGTTTTCGATTTTACGCAATCCGCGGATGCGCGGCGGAGACCTCAGATCTCGGCGGACGTTGTTTTGGGCCTTCGGCTGTTGCAATTCATGTTGGAAAAGAGGTTGGGGTGATTTTTTGTTGTCATCCGATGCAACAGATGGCAAAAATGTCGTAATTTCTTTCCCCGGCGGAGGATTCGGCGGAGGCTTTATCAAAGGGTCAAATCTGTCTTACGAGTCCGGGAAAAATCTCAGCTACGAGAATCCATCAGAGCAACGTTATCTTTCAAAGATTTTTGATTTTTTTGGTCCGGCGGACAAATCGGCGGAGTTTTGTTTTGACCCTTTGATAAAGCCTCCGCCGAATACTCCGCCGGGGAAAAAAGTACAAAATTTTTGCCATCTGTGCATCGGATGACAACAAAAAATCGCTCCAACCTTTTTTCCAACATGAATTTGCAAAAGCCGAGGGCCCAAAACAACGTCCGCCGAAATCTGAGGTCTCCGCCGCGCATCCGCGGAAGTGCGTAAAATCGAAAACGCAAAGAAAGCGTACGGTAAAATCCACGGAGGTTTAACGTAAACATGATTTTGGCCACTGTAACAGAGTTTCCGCCATGTAATAAGGTGTGATTTTTAAAAAGGGCCCCAAATGCCTCCGCCGAGAACTGGTCTCTCCGCCGACGAAAAAAAATTTTTTTGTGTTCAGTACAAAACCGCCCGCTATCAAGTTTTAGAAACAAAAAGAATTTCTGCGATAACTAGCAAGAGCTCAAAGATATTCGCAAATAGTTTCTGTCAAATTTCTTGAAACACCCTGTATATCTAGTTTTGATTTGCAGCAGTTCCCAATCGCGTTCATTGACCCGAAGAAAAGTTTTCAACACAAAGATCCAGAAGGAACTTCGGTTGGCAATCATATCGAAGCGAAGGTTGTCTGCCAGGTCTTGAAGTACCTCAATGAACAACTCTCAATCGATTTTGGTAAAATTGGCGTTGTTTCTCCTTATAAATATCACTCGAAATTGATAAGAGAGAAAGTCATCCAAAAATTCAATCACAAAGTTATGGATGCGCTCACGGTGGACTCAGTGGAACGTTTCCAGGGCTCTGAAAGGGAAGTGATCATCATCACAACGGCACGCACTCAAGGACTCGGGTTTTTGTCTTGTGATTTGGTAAGTATACAGTGCTGGATCAGTCAGGCCTGATCCAGTGGTAAAAACGTACCATTTTGCATCCGGGAAGTATCAAAAAATGTAGTAAAATGCCTCCCTCTCCAAGCGAAAAACTCCTTTTTGAAGGGCTCCTCACAAAAAGAGCGAATGCGCTTTTGAAGTCGGATTTTTTCATTTGGAGAGGACGGTATTTTGCTACATTTTTTTGATACTTCCTGGGTGCAAAATGGTACGTTTTTTGCCACTGGATCAGGTCCCCTACCGTAAGGTCATTTGTTCGTTGAATAAAAAATTTTAGCGGCTGAACACCGCGATTACCCGGGCGCAACGCCTCTTGATTGTCATTGGCAAGAAAACGAACCTGGAAAAACATGGAAGTTGGAAAAAGTAAGTTTAGCGTCGAGAAAATTTTAATTTTACGGTTAAAGGATTGGTAATTTTGAGTAATTTATAGATTCATCAGCTATGTGGACGAGAACAATTCAATTTATCCTGAGTTCCCTGTTGTCAAGAGTCTGTCGGATAAGATGCTCAAACTCAAAGTTACGGATACCAAAAACTAACCGGTCTATTTTGTTTTATTTTACTGCCAGGATTTTTCCTTTGTGTTACTCAGTAATCTAACAAGGAAAGTACTTTTATGGGGGCTCCTACTTTTTGACGGGACATATCTCAAAAAATCAGAAAAAATGTGCTGATCAAGGATATATAAATCTTAGCTGCCCATTTTAGGTTTTTAGGGGTGAAAACTCAATCGGAAGTTGACTTAAAGTCCTATATGAACCCCTTTTCGCCTAATTTTTCACGGGTTTACAATTTTTATTTTGGCTTAAAATGATGTTTATTGAGTTTCTAAGACGTAATAAATCAGTCTTGGACCAAAAATTTATTTTTCCGACCTTCAACTTCAAAAAGGTTAACTCAGCCCAAAAGGGAAATCGAACCCGTGCGGCATTCCCCCTCTTGATTCCCAGACCACGGCACTAACCACTCGGCCACACCGCTCTCTTCCGAAGGAAGAGACCGACTGTGCTTTTTGTCGTTTCGAATGCATGCGCCTTTTGTAGGGAAATTGAGCCAGTTTTTGGGCATTTTCACCCCTAAAATCCCAAAATGGGCAGCTAAGATTTATATATCCTTGATCAGCACATTTTTTCTGATTTTTTGAGGTATGTCCCGTCAAAAAGTAGGAGCCCCCATAAAAGTACTTTCCTTGTAAACACAGTCAGGCTTTATTCTTATATCCATTGTTGAATAAATAATAATACAAGAAGTACAGGAATCATTTGCTGGCTATTCGGAGAGATTTCAATAGGGATCTTTGTCGTTTTTTGAACTTTTTCCTACAAGTGGCGTGTAATATCGCGTTTTGAGTGTAAATTTGGATTAGATAAATTGAAACGACTTACCGTAAACGCATAATGCGATAAATCGCTTGAAACGGAAAGTAAACAAGTTTCATGGTAAAAGTTTGAGCTAATATCGAAGAAAAATTGCGCTTTTATAGTAGTAATGTAGGTCAATTGAGTAATACGACCTACAACATTGAAAAGCACTTGAAACGCAATAGAAATGCTTTGATCCGTTGCTTTATACGACTTGCATGATTTTTCACAGTGAATTTGCTGCCTTACTCATCAAAAAAACTGTATAAAATTGTTTTGCAACCTGCGTAATTCAGGCCGCGAGCTGCCGGTTGCAACATTTTATGCGGAAAAAGGAGATAGTGCGAATTGAGTGTGCACCATTTATTTCAACAGGATTAGTTGGTAAATCGTTGTAACCCGGTGCTCAGATCTAATTGCCGCTTTCAATGGATGCACCGTAAGATTTTGCTTGGTTATTCAGTATTATGTAACTTTAGGTTTGTGTTACCTGAGAAATACCAATTCTTGCTTGGTGCGAAAGAGATAAATGATGATCTAATTGCCAGCAATAAGGTAAGAGGTGATTTTCTTTTTGGAAAGGTTTTGAGTCAAAAGTCTTCCGTCTTTTATATTGTTTTAGGTATAAAACTTTGCAAATTTGATGTAAAATCTTACAATCTGAATCATAATGAAATATTTTGTTTTCAGAGGTTATTCAGACACCTAACACGACCTCCCACAAAGTTGAGACACTATGTCAAGCGCAATATGGCCGCATTATGCCTCAACTTTGCTCATGACTATATCGAATCCGAGACGCCAATCTTCCTAAATGCGGTGGTCGGGCAAGTGAGACAGTATCAAGTAGGAGCTAAGAAGGAGAGGTCCAAGTATGATGCAATTATTTTACTGCCGGCAGACCTATATTCTCCTGACTTTATCAATGTCGCGGTTTCGGATTTTGTGAGGATTGAAAGAGATGGGGAGGTTGTTTTGTCGGTGAGTTTTTATGTTTATTTTTCTAATTTTGGATCCGTTTACGATAACTACTCTTTTAAAAGGTATTGGTTGCTGCCTTTATGTTTTTTGAGCGGTTTCTGACCTTGTACTAGACAGCTGAACGGAAATCTGAAAGTTTCTGGAGTTTCTTGCCAAAAAACCAAGCTATTTTCCTGATTTTGCATCCACATTCAATTTCTGTCTTCCTAACTGGTTTTCTTGGCATTAAATCCAAAAGATTTCCTTTATTGTCTTACTATCCATGTCTAATTTTAGGGACGAGTCTATCGAGTTTCTCCGTCCGAAATAAGAATAAAAGGTGATGTCAACCCCACAAACAAGGTCCCAAAAAAGAATTCAAAAGTCAACCTGTACAAGCAATTGATTGATTTCGTTCCTAAAGCCATTGTAACCGCGATGCAGAGGATTCAAAGTGGAGCTTTCAATCATATCGTCATGCCCGAGGCAGATGTTGGATCGGTAAGCCTTTTGAGGTAGTTTTGATACGATTTTGGTGGCTTTTGAAAGTAATCTAACGAAATTTCTTATATCTTTTTTTAAAATTTTTGTTATGTTTTTTAGGAAGAGAGCTTCAACTCGCGCTGGCGCGGAAGGCTGCTCAAATTTGCCTCTGAAAACACAGAATTACAAATGCTGAATCTAGAACAACAACTAGCAGTCTACGTGATCTGCAAGGAGCTCCACAAACCTTGGCCTTTTATTCTGTTTGGACCTCCCGGAACCGGGAAGACTGTCACCATTGTTGCGACGATCCGACAGCTGATCAAGTCCGAAAATAACCGTATTTTGATCTGCACTCCTTCCAACACAGCGGCCGATCGGGTGGCCAAAGAGTTGATGAAATATTTGGATAAAGATGGGCCTGGAATTAATCGGAGTGAGGATGAGAAAAACGAGGAGACCGGCTTAAACAGGTGGAATGTCTTGCGATTCGTCTCGCCGTCAGTGGATTTTGAAAAACGCGACAAATCTCTTGATCCCATTTCGTAAGTGAATTTGATGATAAACTAAAAATTTTTGTACTATTTTGACTGATTATTCCATTTCCAGCAATGTCATATCAGATGGTTATGATGTGACACTCGATGTGGCCGAATACAAAGTCATTATTTGCACCTTGGCCACGTCTTCTCGCCTCTGTGGCGATCAATTTACTCATATTTTTGTGGACGAGGCTGGGCAAGCCTGCGAATGCGAGATTTGGATCCCGATTGGGTGTTGTGCCACCAGAAAAACGTCCCTGATTCTATGTGGGGATCCGAATCAACTCGGCCCGGTAAACATGCTGAACTTGAGCGAAATTTACACCGGATATTTGGAATCGCCGCTCAAAAGATATTTGAGAATTCCCGAGTATAAAAACGAAAGGTGAGGGACTTTGTGACCTTTTTGTTTGATTTTTAGGATATAAAAAATACACTTTGATATTATCCATGACGTCTAATGGACCTAAATTTTTTGTTTCAGGATGTTCTGCATCCAGCTGACGAAATGCTTTCGATGCCATGGGGAGATTGTCAAAATCGCTTCGGATTTGTTTTATGACGGCAGTCTGGAGAATGCAGGAGATCAGGAATGGAAAAATGAACTTTGTAATCACAAGTACTGGCTGAATAAGGTAAAAAATATGCTTTGATTTTTTTTGAGAATAAATTAAATTTATTTTAGGGCTTCCCGATGCTGTTCATCGACGTTCCCAATCAAGAACATGAATACGACCCGCACAGTGCTTCGCTCGCAAATCCAGCCGAAGCTAAAGTGGTCTATCGTATGGTCAGGCACTTGTTGCGAATGAAGATTGATCCCGAGAAGATTGGAATCGTCTCACCCTACAAGTATCACTCAAAAATCATTCGAGAGAGGTTGGCTGAGAAATTCGGGGACGGCTTGTTGGATAAGTTGACGGTGGATTCGGTGGAGAGATTTCAAGGAAACGAAAGAGAGGTTATAATTATGACGACTGCCAGAACCGAAGGAAAAGGATTCTTGTTCTGTAATTTGGTGGGTTTTTGAGAATGAACCGATTATAAGGTGGAATAAGTTAATTGACTTTGCATTTAGCGTCTGAACACGGCCATTACCCGAGCGCAACGACTTTTGATCGTCATTGGCAGCCGAAAAGTCCTCAAGAAGCATGATGAATGGGCGGAGTAAGATTTTGTTTTTACTTTATTTTTTTTTGGCGTTTAGGTTGATTGACTTCATCAAGGATCATAAAGGATATCTCTCGAGTAGTCCGTTCAACAGAGTTGCCATTGACAGAAATGGGTCAAACAAAACCCCGAGAACCCATTGGGCATTGATGCCGGTGATTATAACAGCAGAAAGTCCAAAAAGAGAAGAAGAAAATGAAACGGAGACGTTGGCTTTGCCTGAAAAACGAGAATTGAAAACGGAAGTCTCTCCGAAGAAGGCAACGATCAGGACCAGGCCAAGTACAGTCAAAAGGAAGAACACGAACATGTAAAGGGATTGCGGGGATAGGTTCTAAAGTATAATAATAACGGGAAACTAATTGACCTTTTATTTATGCTTGATATCATTTTGAAGGCTAACTTCTGGCTAAATTATTTTTGCGAGGTTCAAAATTATTTTGTTTTCCGTTGTATCATATATATTGTCATGTTCATATTCTTTCATTCTAAGCGTTCTTCTTGGCCTAAAGAATGCATAACCTTTTGATTCTATTCATCTAAAATAACTGCCAGAAAGGGCTTATATTGCTTAATATTTTGTCAATTCTCACATTAACCCTTATGTTGTTACGTGTATTGGCGTAATATCCGTGTTTTTCTTTTGATAATAAAGTTATAAATACTGTTTTTTGAAGAATGATATGATTTTTTCTCCGAGTATTGTATTTACCAGTTGAAATATCTGAAACATTTGACAGTTGCACGTTTTTATTCTGTTTGATATGCGTTATTTTGAAGTACCATGGGATTTTTTGGAGATTCCGAACCTTTTTTGGTGATTTCACGACTTTAGCTCCATTGGTTTTGTAGCTGGTCGAAGTAGACTTTGGCTTCGTCCGCGTGCTTCTCCAAACCGGGATTGACTTGGTTTTCGATGTCGATCGACGTGCGAAATAGCGATCGGATATCCATGAGAAAGACTTTTCGTAACGGCCGAAGATGCCATATTGCGTAGGAGCTGGCGTAGAAGTTGTAGATATTAATGCAAATGTACTCCAACTGAAAAACAAAATTTGGGAGTAAGGTTACATAAATGGTCCTGAAATTAGTTGAAAAGTTGGACTTACATTAGTTAGCCCTTGGTAATAACTACTCCTCTCTTGCCAACGGCCATAGAGGATCCCATACATGTTGAGGGAAACGCAGATGCTGCAGAATATTACGACTCCAAGGTAGGCGCGAATAATTGGCCCAATAACAGATAGAATACTAATCGTTTCTTTGATTTGATAACTCTCGCTCAAGGTTTGACCCAAAAACCGGTGCTCATTGGCTGTTCGAAGGAGCCTGGCGAATACCTGAAATATTTGAAAATGTATAAATAGGGTTCGGTTTGTCTTTTGAGACCAGGCCTAGGGTATCAGGGAGGGTAAAATTGAGCTTACCACGCCCGCATAAAGCCAAGAAATACTAGCGAAAAAATGTGTCGAGATCAACGTAGGGAGATCGAATTCCAATACCAGAGCTCTTGACAAAATTACGTCGTACGAATCAGTATGATTGAAATGAATATAACAAAATAATTTAACAATCAACATGAAGCAAGCCAGAATTATCTGAAATAGCATTAATTTAATAGTTGAACAGGCGAATAATATTTGTTCGAAGAAGTTCAAGCATTTCCTTACAATAGAAATAAAGACCTTGATGGTGCTGTTGTCTTGGCTATACTCATACGTAGCTCGAGAGCGAAACGCCACCCAACGCTCAAACCCCAAAATAAAAAATTTTATGTCGAATATGAACACACAGCCATGATGTGTAAAAGCAATCATGTAAAACAAAATACCAGCGATGTAATGTCCATCAGCGAATGAAATATATTCCATGGGGGTCATTGAGGTAATGGGATGAAAAAGAGAGGCGCCAGCAACAATAAAATTTGTTGAGATCTGAAAAATAGACGGTTTATACGCGGTGGCGGGCAATTTTTTTATTGGCGACGTTGCTAGTTTTATATTTCGCTCGTCCGTTGCAAGCAAACCCGAAATATTAAACGATATTTGCAGGCTAAAGACTATAGGAAACGAATTTTTTTGTAGATTTTACTTACCATGACAATTCGAAAATTATTGCTATAGGAATTGAGATTGGCAAATCGAATAGCCGAATAAATATTAATGACAATGCTGGGAATACATATCAGCAGTTCAATGTACGGTGAAACGGCAACAAAATGATCAACCCAATCCTTGAATAACATTAATATCTGAAAGACAACAGGTTAGAAATGTGTGGGCAAGAATCAACATCGTTTAGTGTGCCCACATACACCAACTAGGGGAAGTTCTTTTAATTTGAGCCTGCATTAGCTTTACTTTTATGGTCTGTCTGCTAGCTAGCTTAGAAATAACGCTCTTGGGTTCAATTTTAGGCTAATTTTTATGGAATACTGAGCAAAGCTAGGTTAAAAATCTTTGCGCTTTCGGTTTCTAAACGTTGAGATTTTTAGTAATGAAAAGCAAAGAAGTTTTATGCGCTAATCAAAGGTTAAGAAAACTATGAGTTCCAATAACAGCAAGCTGCCTGCCACCTAGAAAAACAAACGATAGGAAAAAGTTCTAGAAGCTATACGACTACCTTATAACCCTGACATGAGATCTCAGCGATATCCGGTTGTCTCTTCAATGCTGGCGCAAAGCACGACTGCACTGATGACGCAGTAAACGGGTATTTTAAATTCTGCACGAAACCGGCATTTTAAACAAACAAATAATAATACCTTTATTTGGCCGAGTAAGATGTGTCGCTGTGAAATGTTTTGCTTTGGCTTTCCAGGAAATTTCTAACATTTCTAAGGTCTAGGTGTCATAAAAATGAGCTATAATTTGATGCACTAGTGTCGTGATGATGTTCATAATACCGGGGGAGTCGATTTTTTTTAGGGTGAACTACTTTTTGGGTTCAGGTTCTTTTTAGCAAGGAAGTGCGTGCAAATTACGCATCAGGACATTTCCGGAATTTGGACACTTCCGGAATGGCGGAATAGTGACACTTCCGGAATGGCGGAACAGTGACACTTCCGGAACCGGGGAAAAATCAAAGAAGAGGCTTAGACCTGCCATCTGAACCATCTGACTGGATTTATTGTTATTAATCTCAAAAATTTTGTTATTTTTTTTCTGATTGTTACTTTTTTCTTAAGTAGTAGTGTTAAAAAGTAATTTTTTGGAATTTGTCCAAAAATACTGGATTTAGGGGTTTTCGAGGGTGCTGATTTCGAAAATCATGTTAGCTTTCCTCTTCATAGTACTATCTGGTACTATACAGTACAAGGTGAAAATATGGCTCTTGGCGTTAATGGTGTTGTTTTGATGCTTAGTACTCCTCAAAAACACGTTTTAAATAACTGGTACTGTTTAGTACTGTCTGGTACTATGTAGTACAAGGTGAAAATAGGAGTACTAAGGAACAGAACAACACCAATAACGCCTTAAGGCCAAATTTTTACCTTGTACTACACAGTACCAGACAGTACTAAACAGTACCAATTATTTAAAACGTGTTTTTGAGGAGTACCAAGCATCAAAACAACACCATTAACGCCAAAAGCCATATTTTCACTTCGTACTGTATAGTACCAGATAGTACTATGAAGAGGAAAGCTAACATGATTTTCGAAATCAGCACCCTCGAAAACCCCTAAATCCAGTATTTTTGGACAAATTCCAAAAAATTACTTTTTAACACTACTACTTAAGAAAAAAGTAACAATCAGAAAAAAAATAACAAAATTTTTGAGATTAATAACAATAAATCCAGTCAGATGGTTCAGATGGCAGGTCTAAGCCTCTTCTTTGATTTTTCCCCGGTTCCGGAAGTGTCACTGTTCCGCCATTCCGGAAGTGTCACTATTCCGCCATTCCGGAAGTGTCCAAATTCCGGAAATGTCGTGGTGCCGCAAATTACGAGAACATAGCAAAAAGGGGCAAAGATTGAACACTGAAAAGCTATTTGTAGTGTAGTCCTGAATCGGTTGAATTGCAAAAAATCTCAGAAAGTTCTGAAATGCGCTTGAATTCGGAATCAAAGATTATCACGGGCATAGATAGGAGCGGGTGCAGGGATGAAACGGCTATGACTGAGATATTAGCAACGCGTTCGGAGTTTTAACCCCATAGGCGCTACGACTTGTCAGCGACAGTTTCGGGTCGAATACTTCAGGTCGCACGGCAACCTAAAACAGAACAAAAATCTATTCCGCCCACTTTTGAGTTTTGTCCAAACGAAGTGTCAGGAATTACCAAAATAAATAAAATAATTCCGAGAAAATATTTTTTGGTCGAAAAACCACACTAAAAATTTCGTTTGAATTTGATCGATACTGAGTGGGAGAAGTATAGACATTGCTCTGGAGTTCGGCCCGGCCGGGCCCCTTTGTGAGACCTGGCAGGGCCGGAGGCCGGGCCGTAAATATAAACACTGCATTCCTTACGAGAAAGATCGGTCTAACTCCGGGTCCTTTCAAACTCGCTCGACTTGGCCCTACACCACATTTTTGGGTATACACCGCATATCGAACGGTACTGTATTGAAACGAACTGTTATCGAACGAAAAGTCCGGACGCGGAAATAAATAAGCACGTGTTCTCACGAAGTCTTGGCATGCAAAAAAAGGGGAAACAAGGAATCATAGAGTAATTACTTCCGCGCTGCTGTTTAGGTTTTTTTGTAAAGTTCATACCCAACAAGGCGATGGAATTTAGCTAGAAAAAGTCAACAAGTATAAGAGACTTTGATTAAGAGTTGACATCACTTACCTGCCCGTTATCACTGAATCCATTCATGGGTTCTTGCTGAATATCCATTGCACATTTGCGAGAATAAAAGACTAGAATTTTTGTTGTCGCTACATTTGTAAATATAGCACGAAAATGTCTCCGAGGTATACAATTTATTGTAAACTTGCGATACAATACCCGCAAAATTGTAGCTGGTGAGTAAGTAAGTAAAAGTTTTTTCCTAGTGGGCCAGACATTTTGATATGCAAATGTTGTCATTTTGCACGCGATTTGTATGAACCCTGTTACAATGCATTGCTAGAATTTTCTTACATAGTCGTAGCAAGTTTACGGTCGGAAGTAGCCAAGAAAAGGATTGTTTCCGAATTTTATTTTGGAAATTTGGTCGATTCTGCTCGACTTAGTCAACGTGTTCCACAAAAAATTATACCTGCACAGCTAACCCTGTTGCAACGAAAACTGTCTATAACAAAAATTTTTTGAGGTTCTATGGGTTAATTTTAGGCCAATATAAATCTGGAACGAAACTCTTTTCCAAAAAAAAAGAAGTTTTTTGGTCGGAAAACGGACCAATCTTCTACACTGTTCAGTATACTTATGATAAAAAAAGAGCGGAAAGAAGCGGCGGTTTCTGTGAATGACCCTCTTCTGCAAGAAAGTACACTGAAATTTCAGACCAAACGTTACGAACCCGGTACTGCGCTAAATGTAAGGAAAGCGATTATTTCTATCCTAAAGTTTAGAATAAATTAACAGCGAGTTAATATCTATACTGTCCGAGATAATTGTCCTGCCGTCGTAACCACCCCGAAAAGTGGTGTAACTGGCTTCATCACGAAAAGGATAAGCAGCTTCAGGGACCGGACCACCCACATTCCTGTCCCCCGCGAATCATCGATCTCACATAATGAAACTTTTCTATCATCATAATGGGAACATTGTAAGAGAAATAGGTAGAAGTACTATGGCTAATAGAATCTTCAGACGGTTTCATTTTTTGCACTATAGAATAATTGGGTTAGCAGTTTTCGAAAGGCTTGGCGTTTCAGATGAAAACTAAGCTACAATTTAGCACTCCAAGATTTTCTGGAAATGACTAATGACCTAACAAGGGAAGTTTCGAACTGTTGCATACAAGTCGGGCATGGGTGGCATATCAATTCCTGAAAATTTTAGCTAGTGTTTTGCAGAGGCACCTGATTTGTTCAACAGTGTTTGGCGACGAGAGACAGCGCGAAATGCGAAGAGCGATTAGGGAGAAAAACGCTTAAAATAGCGAACATTTGACCAAATTTTCGATCCAAAATGTTGGTGAATGCTTACAAATTTCAACGCAATCTGAGGGGCATGTTGAGATTTTAATCTAGCGTAGTCCGTCCTGAATCTTCAAAAAGTACATCTCCTGCAAAAAAGACTATTTTACACAATAGTCTAGTAAGTTGGCCAAATTAAATAAAACTTAAGCGTATGAACTCTTCTTGGAAAAAGCTGTAATGTAATAAAATAGGGGTCAAACTCACTCGGGAACTTGTAATCAAATTTAGTTATTAGATAACTGAAAAATAATGAGAACAGTCATAAATGTAAATTTACAGTCACTATAAAATTAAATAATAAAGAGATCAACTTCTACAGGAATTCATTGGAGAATCCAAAGCGGCGAGCCTGATCGAGTGGCAAAAAATGTAACATTTTGCATCCGGGAAGTGTCCTAAAATGTAGCAAAACGCCTCCCTCGTCAACTAAAAAACTTCCTTTTGAACCCCTTACAAAAAGAGCGGGCGCGCTTTTTAAAATCGGAGTTTTTTTACTTGGAGAGGGAGGTATTTTGCTAAATTTTTTGATACTTCCCGGATGCATAATGATACCTTTTTTGCCACTGGATCAGGTCCTCCGCTGTAAACTGGAAGACGGCTGGATGTTTTTGACATCATTCAGGCATTTTATTCCCCTGTTGCGCTAGTTTTTGTCGCTCTTTGAGGTCGAAATTTAATTGTCTGACAAAAAATTTGCTTTTTGAACTGTAAAAAAACGCCGAAAAGAATTTGCTTCCGAGCATGCGTGAAGAAGTGCCTAGACTGTTAATTAACCAAAAAAAAAAATTGAAGTGTATCATCCACAGTTTCAACGGTGGCCAATTAAAAGTCACGCAAGTACGCTTCGGACGATCCGCGGAAAATCATTCGTTGCGAAAACAACTGTAATTAATTTTATAATTGGATACGTTGACCACCCAAAGTCAGCGGGGACATGACTTTCAACCGGTAAAGGAACGGTGGTTGGAAAGAGGGATAGACAACGCATAATGGCACTTTAGAAAGAACAGGGAACAAATTATGCATACACAATGTAGGGGTCAGTGGTTATGATGTAAGTAAGATCGTAATCCGGGGACTTTGTACAACTCATATACTTCATACCATTGACGTTTTAATACGGTATGCGTAAGAGGTGGGATCGAATAAATGGTGTAAAGATGACGTGTTTGTCTAGGTCCTATAAAATAGGTATGGTGCGTTTTCAATGTAAATCTCAGAAGCCTATATCAAAGTGCTCTCAAAGCCAGTATTAGAAGTATCGCAGACATCTGAAGCTTTTAAAATAATGTTAAGAAAGTGCTGCATCTCTTTTTATGATTCATAAAAATAGCTGCTACAATGGCAAAAAACGTACCATTTTGCATCCGGGAAGTATCAAAAATGTGGCAAAATGCTTCCCTCTCCAAGTGAAAAAACTTCGTTTTGAAGGGCGCGGCTTTTTTCCTCACGAAAAGAACGGGCGCGCTTTTGAAATCTGAGTTTTTTCACTTGGAGAGGGAAGGATTTTGCCACATTTTGGATACTTCCTGGGTGCAAAATGGTACGTTTTTGCCACTGGATCAGGTCCCCCATTGTATATCTTTCCATGAATGATATAATATTGTTACTAGTACCTATCATATCGTATTACACCTCGGCTACACACCTTTAAAATTATGTTTATAAACGTATTTGAAACTTTGTTGCCGTGCTCGTTGAAATAAAACCTTCAACATTTAACATTTGTAAGACACACAGTTACTAATTGTATGTAAAGTACAACTTACTTGTTCCAAAAGTTCGGCCATTTTGTCACACATACGTTGGTATTAGACGCTCATTCGACTGATAAAGGTGCTGTCTGAAAAACAATCTGTAAAAATATGAAACTTTAAAATTTTTCTGAATGACAAGTTACGACTAAATCATACTCTATTAGGTGTACGGTAGGAATAGGGCGCGACTGAAAAGCGTAATTACTACCCTCCAAAACAGCATGCACAACCCTCCAAAACAGTATCAAAAACGAAAACTCGTACAAGCCGAATATAAATTACAAATTCGTATGTGCATAGTAACAGTATGAACCGCCAGGAATGAGCTTTGGGACATATCCTGCAAACTTCGGTAGCACGCGAGCCGTTTTTTCAAGACGGGTCGTAGCAGTTACGATTCGTGATAAAGTTAAATTTCCGACATGTATGTGGGTAAAAAGATCGTATAGCGTCAATCCAGCATAGTTAAAGTTATTTACTGACCAAGAAATGATCGATGTAACGTTCCGTTAGAAATACAGTTTTTTACACAAGAAAAATCAACTTTCCGAGTATACATGGTGGGCCACTCGACACTATCAACCTTATTTTACGTATTTCTCCGCCAGAAATTCCTCAATTTCTATAATATTTATGTGGGCCTTCGTGAATGTGACAGTAGGCCTGTCACATTTGGTGGATAAAAAAGGTGCATCTCAGCTTCACTTTGATATAAACTTTGTAAAAGTTGGTGCACTTTTAGCGGAGAAATACCTGGAACAATGTTTGTAGTTTCGAATGGCCCAACCTGTACTCCTTATGCTAGCGTAGTTGGTATTTTTCATAAGCTAATAGTTTATTTGACATACAGACTGCCGAACATAGAATTGATTTCCAGAAACGTTTCTGATCCATGACTCTTCTATTTTGATACGTTATTGCTATCGCCTTGTCAAATCCCACTATGACATGCTTTGTCGTACTTGCTTCTTAGCATTCTAGGTTGAGATAATTATACCCGTTTCCCGTCTACGTTGAACAATTTCGAAGAAAAATGCCTTTTACTCCGCGTAAAGTGCAATCTATTGCCATTGACTGTGTAAATGGTCAAAATGTACAGTTGCCGCGTCTTCAAGCCGGTCTACCGGGCTCACACCGTTCTCCATTTGAATTGAACATTTGAAAACGGTTCTCAAGTCGTTTAAGAAGATTTTCCTTAGCGGTCGAAGGTACCAAATCGTATATGAGCTGGCGTAAAAATTGTAGGTGTTGATCATTATATACTCCACCTGCAAAAACGGCCAGAGTTTACATATACTGCGCGTCAAAAGTTTGGAACAGGCCAGATCTTCTTTGCGGCTTGAGACGGGAGTTTCATTTCTTTTTTATTAGAAGCTCCATGTATTAAGAACCTCAATGAATACATAGCCATGGAAATCAGAAAGCTCGTTGGAATTTTAAAAAAAAATTTAAAAAATAAGTGCGTCAAAAGTTTGGAACAGCTTTTGGAAGGTGATTATAAACTTCGGGATGGAGGCAGGTATCCTCGCATTTAGTGTTTCTGGATGATGTATGGAATCGGCATGCCAATGGCATACTGATTTTCATCGATAAACCCAAAATGAAAAAAATGCTTATTGAGCCAAAAACTGCGGTCAAATTTGCGAAAAAATGAATTTTTTGGTTTGGGTTCTCTATGTTATCGGTGTGTAAGCGTTCTAAAATATTTAATGTGGTCGCACAATTGTACAAGAGAACTCAGATCTTCTCATAGGAACCATATCCGCACAGCATAATTTATGAAAATTTTGAGTTTTGCTATGAATCTTTATTTAATGTGTTTTATATTTTTTATAGAGCGGCTTGGAGGCTAATTGGCTTTAACACCGCTATCGTGGAATAAAAAGGTGTCTTCAAGAAGCAAAAACCCACGCTACTTGCAACATCCAAGGCCACATCTTTCAGATATTAAAAAAATTTTTTGTCCCCAAAATCAATATTCATATCTGCCCCGGATTTGTGGCGTGATAATTCGGAGAGTTGGTTTATAATACTGTATCGGTGTGATAACGATAAAGGCACTTAGTTTTGAGCCATGCAGCGGCTTCAAATCCAAGATAAAAAATATGGGAATATTAACATTTCATATACCCGCTATTTTTAAAGATGTGGCCTTCATGTTGCAAATAGTGGCCAGGTTCTGCTTCATAAAGACACCTTTTTATTCCACGATAGCGGTGTTAAAGCCAATTAGCCTCCAAGCCGCTCTATAAAAAATATAAAACACATTAAATAAAGATTCATAGCAAAACTCAAAATTTTCATAAATTATGCTGTGCGGATATGGTTCCTATGAGAAGATCTGAGTTCTCTTGTACAATTGTGCGACCACATTAAATATTTTAGAACGCTTACACACCGATAACATAGAGAACCCAAACCAAAAAATTCATTTTTTCGCAAATTTGACCGTAGTTTTTGGCTCAATAAGCATTTTTTTCATTTTGGGTTTATCGATGAAAATCAGTATGCCATTGGCATGCCGATTCCATACATCATCCAGAAACACTAAATGCGAGGATACCAGCCTCCATCCCGAAGTTTATAATCACCTTCCAAAAGCTGTTCCAAACTTTTGACGCACTTATTTTTTTTATTTTTTTTTTAAATTCCAACGAGCTTTCTGATTTCCATGGCTATGTATTCATTGAGGTTCTTAATACATGGAGCTTCTAATAAAAAAGAAATGAAACTCCCGTCTCAAGCCGCAAAGAAGATCTGGCCTGTTCCAAACTTTTGACGTGCAGTATAGTAGTCATAATTTGACCACAGAGATCTCATGACCAACTCACATTGGTCAGGCTTTGGTAGTAGGCGCTTCGCATTTCCCAGTAACCGTACTGCATGCAGTAAATGTTAAAGGCCAAGGTCATTGTACAAGCTATGGCCATCACCAGGTAGGCGCGGACAATTGGGCCAATCACGGTGTTGATTCGAATCGTCTCCTTGATGACATAACTTTCGCTGAGGCTTTGCGAAGAAAATCGAAAGGCTTCGGCTTGCCGCATCAATCGGCGGAATATCTGGAATGTTTTTAGTCTAATAGTAAGTTCAACGCCTTTACTCGTAAAAATGAACCTACAACGAAAGCATAAATCCATCCAAATAAGGCCAATAGGTGCGAAGCCAACATTGCCGATAAGTCATCCTCAACAACGAATGCTCTTCGGAACGTTTCATTGCTTTTGTCGTTGAAAGTAAGATACAAGTACACTTTTGTAGTTACGGCGCAAAATGCCAGGACAGCCTACAACCATAGACCATAAAAACGCCCCATATAATCAGGGCCAAAAAACAAGCGTGCTTACAAGACTACAATAAATTTTGATGCTGGTGTTATCCTCGCTGTGCTCGTATGTGGCTCTCGAGCGGAAGCCAAACCATCGCTCAAAGCCGAGAATAAAAAATTTAATATCCAACATCAAAACACACCAGTGATGAATGTACGCGACGGTATAGAAAGCAACCGCTTTATAGTATTCATTTTCGAGTGAAAGGTATTGCCGAGGTACAATGCTCATAAATCCGTGGAGAAGAGAGACTCCGGCGCAAATGAAATTTGTGACAATCTGAAGTATGAACTTGGCAGGTTAAAAAGGACACCTTTAAACATTGACCGCTTCAGTAGGGGGGTGGAAAATAATACAGGGCGGGGAATCTTTGTGGCCCGATTTTAATTGGCTATAACTTTTTTAGTTTTTGGCCAAATCTTAAAATCATTTTTTCCCTGAATCCTCAGATGTGCGCATTTTGTTTGATACCAAATATGTTATACCCATTTATTAGCTTACAGCAAAAGTTGACTACAAACAAAAAGCTCTAATTTTGATGCTTAACAAGGGAAGTACCCCTTGTACTTTCCGGTTTCAAAATGGTACGGTTTTTGCCACTTGATTCGGTCCTAGCTGTCTCAAAGCGTTTTCGGTCAAAAAATTTACCGGAAAACACAATACCCCGCTCTTACCATGATAATCCTAAAATTGTTGTTGAAGGTCTGTAAATTGGCAAACCGAATGGCACAATAAATATTGATGACAATACAAGGAATACAAATCAGTAGTTCTATATACGGGGAGATTTCCACAAAAGTCTCAACATATCGCTCTACGAGAAGATACATCTGGAAATATTATATAATAATACGTATAAGACTTATGGGACACCCTAATATATCACGCATCAAGCCAAAGCCACAAGGCGACAATAACAAGGGCAAATGAATTTCGAGAATGCAATTTTATCGTGCAGCAAAGGCGCTTTTGACAGTTACTAGCTGAACCAAATATAGTTACTTGGCGAGAATCTTTTGCCATGCCGTCGCCGTATAATTGTGGGAGGTAAATTGTAGTCGGAGCCGCGGAAGAACAACAACTTACCTGGCAAATGTAGGCGCTCATTTTGCTTGGCGGATAATCCACGGCGTAGGGAGGTGCGATTTCAATCCACTTAACATTCCACTGTGATATATCTGAAAAATTATAATCCACAAAGTAAAAAGACAAGTATCATTGAACATTAATGAAAAGTGCAATCTTAAAGGTCTAACTGTTTGACAATTGTACCGACTCACTCCTTGCTGTGACTAGTTGAGGTTAAGAGTCGACGATTCTAATAGACCGGCGTACCTTCCTCCGAAAGAATTGTTTTGTTCAATATGCCAAGTGTGGTATATATTTTTTTCTTATGTACACGCACGAGATTACTCTTTCGTGTGGGCTCTTCTAACATTTACAATTTTTCCGGAGACTTTACAAATTTTTGTTTTGTAGAGCCAGGCCGCAAAAACACTAAGTAAAGTAGAGGAATCTGAGGCCAAGAGAGGCTTAACATACCTATGGATTTTACCGCTAAAACCAAGAATTAAAATTGCCGTCTTCATCGCTTTGCAGATGCCAGACATCATCTGAAAAGACAAGGCATCCGGTAGATATTCGATTGGCATCGTTAGCAAGTGCAATAGGCTTTTTTGGACTGTCGCTTGCACTTTTGTTTTATGCTAGAAATGACCCCTGGGACTTTATGAACAAGCCAGTATAAATCTGTGGTTCTTCTACGCGTAGCTACGCTTCATTTCCGTTTGACAAAGTTGAAAAAAATCAAAGAAAAACAGAAATCAACTAAAAAATCAAAAATATAATGAAGGAACAGAAGTTTATGAGCATCCCGGCTTTATCATGATAATCCCAGAATAATTTTGAAATAAAAAAGTAGTGGAGCCCCAGTAAAATGAAACGCATGTAAGTAGGAGATACGAAGACATCAATCTTTGTATTTCAATGATTCCTAGGCTCTGGGTGTTTCTCGCTCTTCTGTGGATTGCGGCAGAATGTAAAGTCCGAAACACGATTTACATGGGAGGCTTTAACTTCCCCGTCAAGTACAGGAAAGGCAACGCCTACAGTAAGTCTTAAGTTGAGGATTTGTTCTTTCAGCATCAGTTGTTTAGAAGAGCACAAAAAGCCGGCGACTGAACCACCGTATCCGTATAAACTCTTCAAGGGGAAAGCTCTTGAACCGAGCATCAGGAAGTGATTGTAAAAAAGCTGCGTTGAATAAACGGTTCGCCTATAGAAGAGGTCTTACAATCAGACCCTCATTTTTTTGCTAAAGTGGGAACTTGATGCAACCTCCAAAATATGCAATTTTGATTCCAGGAGTGAATAAAATTGTTGCAAAATGCCTACCTTTTCAAACCAGTGCGCTCTTCCTTTCTTTACAAGGAGTTTGTTTCTTTGGTTTGGGAAGTATTTTGCGGTAATTTTATTATCTCCTGGAAACAAAATGGCACATCTTTTGCGACTGGATTAGGTCTCGCCCATTATATTTTTTGGAGGTCCTCTGTAGATGAAAATTTTTATATGTTTCATAGCCAACTTCCGTGATAACATTTAGAAACTCATTTCGACCACTGGAAACAAAAATGAAGTCTTTTTCATCGTGGATCAGCCCTTTTGTTATCGCAAATGTGAAAGATGCGATGACTTTCGGGCACATATACGATGCCCATTGTGTACGTAATTGGTTTTATAATAGTACCAAGGTAAATATGCAATTTTGTGCCTGTTTTTGCCAACGCTTTCGGATTCGCAACTATCCTTAAGGAAATTTGAAATATTAGAAAAGCTTTGCAAAGATGATAAAGTATGTGTATCCATTTCTCTTCGAACGTCCTCAACGAGCGGTGGGTGCAGAATGAAGAGCTTTTTTATACCCCTCACTATTCTACTTGTTTTCAACCATTGCCAATGCTCAAAATTGTCATTGATGTCAGACGCCACTATGCAGCGATATTTCAGAGAGCTACGGGAAAAGAACGTGGCACCGACAATCGACAAAGTTGTTGATCGCTTTGATGACGCTACGCCCGGAGTTATACAGTCGATGAAAGCTTTACTGGATCATCTAGGGCTATTCTGGAGGTTCTTTCGGAAATTTCGGTATGCTCGTATAATAATAAAATTTGGAAGCCTCTAGGAAGCAGTTTCAGGCCTTAAATTACCATTTATTTTTTTCCCGAGCTATGATCTCTTTTGTCTAAAAGAATATGCAGAAAAATTTTATTTTAAATTTGCAGTATAAAATGACGATGACAATTCAGAGCTCATCTCGTTTGCTAAAATTTTAATTTTGAATGGGTCTTTGTTACACCCTCAAGCTATGACAGTTATGATAATATCTTCATGGCCCTATTGTATTTTTAATTGGCTGGAATATAAAGAAGCACTTATTTTTCTCCCTTTCATTTTGTCGTGGATACAGTAGGTCTTCACAGAAATGTGCTACTTCAAAATCAAACTTTATTTATTACTGTTTACAGCTTTTATTTTCTACAACCTTTGCCTATGTTATAACATCTCGAAAATGTCGGACGCAACTATGCGGAGATATTTTAGAGAACTCCGGCAAAAGAAGGCGTCGCCCACGATTGACGAAATTGTTGGGGGTTTTGAAGATGTGTCGCCTGAGGCCAAAGCGACGATGAAAATTTTACTGGGCTTTTATGTGCGTGAGAACTTACCGCTGAATCAGCAAAGACCATTCAGGAAGTTTATTCGATATGTTGCAAAGTAAGATTTTTTTGGAATATAGGGATGCACATAGTGTATCTTTAATGATAGTAGGTCGACCGGTATGTCTTTAGATTCAACAAAAGCTACAAGGATGAAGCTACGGCAAAGAGACGGTTCCAAAATTACTTGAAGAACCTCGAGAAGATTCGGAAAAACAGACGTCACAGCCGGATGTATGGACTCACTCAATTCTCGGATCTCTCCGAAGAAGAGTTCAGGAGAGGATATGGTGGACTGATTCTCGATGATATGACCAAAAATCTGACAAGGACTATAAATGACTCGGCACATTTGCGAGGAGGAATAGGTGAGCGTAAGGTGATTATATTAGTCCGCTTGCAAAGAGTTGATTTCTCACACTGCATCGCCAAAATCACTCCAGCGACTTTGTCAACCGAATAGTAGACTGTACTCTTCCCGCTTCAGAGAACGGCACTATAATAACTATCCCAACACACTATGATATCCGCGCATTAAAATGCACCCCACCAATCAAGGATCAAGGCGGTTGTGGCGCCTGCTGGGCCTTCTCTTCTCTGGCCGTCACCGAAATCAATCATTGCCTCAAGACCGGCCAAACCTACGACCTCAGCGAACAAGAGATGATTTCGTGCACGGTAACGAACGCCACATCGCCGTATGTCTCCCATCAATGCAATGGTGGATCGCCGTATCCGGCATTGGATTATATCTATCAAAACGGAGTCACCACCGCCGATATTTTTCCATATGTCGGGAATGACAATCTAAATAATCCAGCGCCCTGTCATCAAGATGGATATCGGTTTCGCATGGTAAATAAGCCGCACGGATCGAAGAATGTGATTCCGGAGAAGGTGTTGCCGGCGTATGTCTATCAGAATGGCGCGTATAGCGTGGGTAAGCGACTTGAGCTGTGACCGAAAACTGCAGTGGGGGACCTGATCCAGTGGCAAGAAACGTACCATTTTGCATCCAGGAATTATCAAAAAATGTGGCAAAATACCTCCTTCAAGTGAAAAACTCATATTTCAAAAGCGCGCCCGTTTTTTCTGTGAGGAAAAGAGGCGCCCCCTTCAAAACGGTTTTTTTACAGAGAAAAAACTCCGATTTCAAAAGCCCGCTCTTTTTGTGAAAGGAACCCTTCAAAACAAAGTTTTTTTTCAGTTGGAGATGGAAGTTTTTTGCCACATTTTTGATGCTTCCCAGATGCAAAATGGTACGTTTTTTTCCACTGGATCGGGTCCCAAACTGTACGCTTTCAGCAATCTGCCAAGACCTGCTGCAGAACCTCAAGTATCAAGGTGGAATAATAATGGAATCGCACATCATCCCCAGTGACAAATGCAGCCAGGGGCAGCTCGATCATGCCGTCACGGTTGTCGGATATGGTCATGAAAATGGCGTAAATTACTGGATCATCCTAAACTCATGGGGCCCGGATTGGGGAGAGGCTGGGTACTTCCGGCTACAACGAGAAAAGGGCTTACTCAACTTCAAAGTTTTTGACTATACTTATTGAGATTCGAAGAGCTAATAAACAACTTGTGATCAGAGGCAAGATGTCACGATTTCTTGGCTGTTTTTATACCCTTTATTATTTCATATGCGCATCAAGTTTCCAGCTTTTTGTGAGCTGTTCAAAGTACAAGTCTGTTCCTTGCATGGCACTGTACTTTTCAACTGATTCAGGTTCCACCTCCACGGAGAAGCACTTCTTTCGGAAACAACTTGTGATGTCTTGCTTGAGGGCGCGCCGAAGAGGCTTGAAATTCCAGACCATGTAGCAGCTGGCGAACACATTGTACGTGTCCAAGAGAGCATACTCGAACTGAAATTTGAATGTAAAGTTAATTAAAACAAGAAGTTTCTTTCAAAAAGATTTTTTTGCATATTACGGCGTAAATATTATATAATACCACGATATACGTGAAAGACGAGCTTTACAAAAAACCTTGGTATATATTCGAATCTAACGGGTAATTTATTGAAGTATCACTAACAAATTTGAATGGAAGGTTTCGAAAATTTAGAGCAACTTTTTCTAAGCCCCTTGCGCGATTTACAACTTGCGTTTTGCAGAAGAAAAGACGAAAGTTGATGAAAATTCAACATTAATTTTTATGGGTTGCCATGAAGACTGTAGCTCTATTGAGAGGTCCCATAAAAAATTTTTTTTCAAATTATTATAACAAAGATACCAAAAAAATGTTTTCCTCTCTGAACCACCTCCGAATTTTGCGTGATTCTGTCTCTGCAAAGCGCAGACTAAAATCTTCAAGAATCCATGTTTGATATACAGTAAAGGACTTGATCCAGTGGCGAAAAACGTATCATTTGCATCCGGGAAGTATCAAAAATGTGGCAAAATGCTTCCCTCTCCAAGTGAAAAACTTCGTTTTGAAGGGTTTCCCTTACAAAAAGAGTTGGCGGGCTTTAGAAATCGGAGTTTTTTCACTTGGACAGGGAGGTATTTTGCTGCATTTTTGATACTTCCGGATGCAAAATGGTACGTTTTTAGCCAATGGATAAAGTCCGCCACTGTATGCGAAATTCGTGTTCAAAATTTAAGGGAAATCTTAGTGGTCACACTGAAGACACCTTCCTTTTTATTACTATTGTGAGTCACGTTCCCTGTTGTGATTTATGAACCTTGATACTACCCGTTTAGAGTAAAGTCATATGGCATACTAAACTAAGTCATAAACAAGAATAGTCCTAGCCCATTTGCGCTTGCAATTACTTGATTTCCCATGCAAATTAACTGAGCTACGTCTAGAAATAAATTAATAAAGAATGAGGACTTACAGTCACAATGGCCTGATAGTACATGTCGCTTTCGTCCATAACACCGGTATAAATACAAGGCAGCATCAGCATGACGATTGTGAACGCAATCACCATCACAACGATGTAAGCGTGAATCACGGGCTTGATGACTTTGATGACGTTTAGGATCTCCTTTACCGTGAAAGACTCTGTGAGACTGCCAGTGTGTCGGGTTTGATTAGCCCGTCTGCTTAGTTCGTGGACGGTCTGGAAAAGGAAATAAGTGGTTGAGAAAGGGGCAGTTAGAAATTGTTCGCGCAGGTCAGCCCGTCGGGAAAATAATGACACTCTCTCCCATCAAAAACCGCATCAAAAAAATGAATTGTGCCTCAACTTCAACTTTCAACTTTATTGCGCTAGGCAAATTGCCTGTGCGCCATGATCGTCCGGTTCGGTGGTGAATCGGTCAGGATTGGTTAGACACAGTACTGGCACGAAATTTAAATGTTTTTTGTCCTATATTGGTTTTACAGAAAGGTGTGTCAAACCTCTGTCGCCTCAGGCGATAGCTGTCCTGTTTTAATTCAAGTTGACCATTAAGGTACTCACTTGTTTGTTGATTTCTGACTTTGTTTATCGGCAAAATCAAATTGATTTTCGCTTCAGCGACGTGATCGGCGCAGCAATATTATGCTCATTATTTTCCCGACAGACTGTTACTCTCGTGGGAAAAGGTTTTTGGAATTTCTTGCGGCCCCAAATTCAGCTCAAGCTGTACCATCGTATATCGCTCAAAAAATGGGAATTGCGAGAGGCGTAGCGAAAAAATTAAATCGCGCTGTACAAACTCCATTTTAGGGCCGGAATTAGGGGACTCACCTGGAATCCATACACCCATCCAGCCACGGCAATCGTATGACAAAAAACCCACGTCGCAAAATCAGAATCCAACATGAAGGCCTTGTGCAGGGCCAGGTCGGGTGGCAAGTCGCGCAACTTCAGAAAAAGCCCAACTTTTGCGGTCGCCATCAAAAGCAGAGTGCAGACAATGCCGCAGAACACCCGTATCGTTGTCCCGTCCTGACTGTATTCGTAGGTGGCGCGATTCTTGAACGCCATCCGCCGCTCGAACCCAATGATTATGTACTTGACATCGAAAATCAGGACACAGACTTGGTTGATGAAACCAAGAGAGTACATCGTAAAGATTAGGAGGTAATTGTTCGTCTTGAGCATATAGCTTTCTTCAGGCACTAGGAAACAGATCGGTCGGATTAGCGCGACACAGCTGATCATGATGTTCGTTGCTATCTGAAAAAAATCTGGTGGTGAAAAAGTGATGACAAATAAAAAAAATTAAATAATTTGAGTTAACCAGAGATATTCTCGTGGGGCAAAATTTCGACAACGAGCAGCTTAACGCACGCTAGAACTTTTTAAGCGAAGTATGAGATAATTAGCTCGCTTTTTGCAAAAACCAATCGCGTCCCGCTCTTGGGGTCTACCACAGTTCGGGTTAACACAACATAATAGCTCGATACGGAGCGTAGGGCAAGCCGATTCCCAAAATAAGGCTGTAGGAAGTGCCTAGGAGCCTCGAAAGGCCGGGCAAAACCGTTGGATGCCCGGCGAAGGCTCGGCGGTTACTCGGCGAAGACTTGAAATATGTGTCCATTTTTTTAAACTTTAGCTGTTACTGACGTTAATTTTCTTTATCCTGAGTTAGTCTGACATACAAAAGACCAAAATTTGCGGCGAAAAACGAAAATCCGTAACTTCTATCTAGATTTTATTGATGTTAGTACATGTAAAAAATACCTAAAAATAGGTGATAAGCTATCCTAGGCCCGATCAATCTTGTTATTTCTACTAACTAAGCCTTGACAAACCGACGCCATCCATAACATCGTTGACCCGAACTGTTGCTGACACGGAAATTTGTAGCGCCTAATTTTTCACACTAACAAAAGCATGGACTTGGCTCGCGTGAGAAAAATTTGAAAAAAGTAAGGACATTTCACCGTTTCAGCCTTTGAAAGTAGCTCGCAAAATTCTTAAAATTTTTACTGTCTACTCTCAAAACCATCCATTCTTACCATGACAATTCGAAAGTTCTTACTGAAAGTTCCAACGTTCATGAAGCGAAACGAACTGTAGCCATTCGCACATATGCATACGGCACATGACAAAAACTCGTAATAGGGTAGATATCCGACAGTAAAATATGCAACTTGACGCAACGACTGTACAGCCGGGTCGTTCTCTTGATAGCCGAAAAGCGCCAACGGTCCGATCCGATTGATCGACAGGTTGAACATCGCTGTAAAAGTCGGCATCATTGTTCAAGACTGGTCAGAATATTAGTGGAATATTTGGAATGGGCGGAACACAGCAAGGTAAGCAATCTGTATGCGCAGCGGAACGAATAATTCAAAGCATGTGGGAGGGTTGACTGGCTTTTGTGTATGCCCAATTATTTGTTCGTGGGGTCTAATGATAAAGAAAGATTTTGCAGAGCCGGACATGGATTTAAATGGCATTTCCGTGGATCGTCGGCCACGCCCAGATTCTTTAAACTTTGCACGTATTTTTGCATAGGCCACATTTGAATTCCGGAAAAGTTTAGCTCGCGCTTTGCAGACACGTTCGGGATATTCAACGAGTTTTGCTGCCGAGAGAGTACTCGAAAAGTGGGGAGCGGTGAGAGGGGAAACACTTATTGATCACATTTTTTACAGTTGTACGGAAAAATTTATTTTTCATGGGAACAAGTAGAAAAAGATACCGAACTTACAAGCCAAAATTTGCAAAAAACTGTCATCTTTTTTTTCAATTTTATCAGTCTGTCGGGAAAATAACGGCGGATCGTCCATCAAAATGTCTCGCCTCGCCGCTATCGCGCATAAAATTTCCAGCCGCGACTTGAAGTCGCAAAGCGATGATGGGCGATTCCGAGGCGCGACGATCCGCCGTTATTTTTCCGACAGACTGATATACTGAAAAACCTTGCTTATTTTGAAAAGCGAAAGCTAGAAGAGTAGCATGTTTTAGAAAAAATTAACCCTAAATTTGTGTCAAGTTTCCTTCTCTTTATGCATTTCAACACCCAAAAGTTTTAGCTCGAGCTCTGCAGAAGGCGTCGAGATATTCAACAATCCTTGCAGCCGGGCAAACCCCAGACATGATTCCGGGTTCACATTTCCATTCTTGCGCAAGGTTAATTCACATGTCCGTGGGCTATTATCAGCTTACAGAGTAATCTAAATTTATCTGCGTACACTAACTACATATATACCACTTTCATAGAATCCCTTCCTTGTTTTTTCCCAGACAACCTTACCCAATTTTCTTCTGTTAAGAAAATATTTACGTTTTTTGCATAAAATTGTATTGCCAATGTAAGGTCTACGGTCTAGGTCAGGTCCTTCGGAGACTCCCTTCAAAACTTTGCACGATAATATTTTCAGGGGAGGATTCACGGATGCTTTTATACCTATACAGGGGAGCCGTGAATCGGCCATTTCGTTGACACTTTTTAGTCATATCTTTGCCAGTTTTGTATGGAAAAATTTTTGTGGAAACATTACCTTGTACAGTAGAAAAAGGCGTAAAATTTTTCATGTCAATATTCGCGAAAAAGTATCACAATTTCCCCAAGTTTGCCCTAAAAAATCTCGGTCGTTTCTGTAAGCGCTAGCTAGAATAGAGGTGGCAATCGGGCCGGGCCGGGCCGAAATAACCAGGCCGGCCCAGGGCTTTTTCAAATTTGCTCAGGCCCGGCCCGGCCCAGTGAAAGCCCAGGCCGGCCCGGCCCGACCCGGTTTGGCCCGCTAATACAGAAAAGTTGGATAAAAGTCTCTACACTTTCTACTGGAAGTTCTTATGCTTTCCAGAAGGTTTTTACGTGTGTCTGCGCGAAATTAAAGGTCTAGTCGGATGACTGGAACATCCGTGCAGGTAGCTAAAACTTACAATTAGCCAAAAAGTTGGATTGTGTTAAATTTTTTAATCCTATAGGAAGTTAGCTATATAAAAGTATGGACGTTATAAGGTACATGGTTAACCAAAAACTGTTTAAACACTTTCATTTACATCAAGGAATCAAAATTACAATGAAATTTTTAAGTTTATCATAAAAAAATTCGAAGATTTTTGCCCGACCCTTGCATATTTGGGTGGAATTTTACATATACATAATAAGTTACATATACATATAAATACATAATTTTAAAAGGTAGTAAAACAGCGTATAAGTCAGAAAAGGTTTGATCTAATTTCCATCCATTCTACAAAGCATTTGTGCTTTATTTTGCTGGTTTAGCATTAAAAATTTTTTACTTATCTACCTTCCGGGCCGGGCCGGGCCGAAAGTGTCGGCCCGGCCCGCGGGCCAAAGCGGTCAGGCCGGCCCAGGGCTTTTTCAAATCTGGTCAGGCCCGGCCCGGCCCAATCACCGCCCGATTGCCACCTCTAAGCTAGAAGTCTCGCGTACAGTGTGGGACCTGATCCAGTGGCAAAAAACGTACCATTTTTCATTAGGGAACTAAAAGATCGGTCGCGCACTTGAAATAGGAGTTTTTTCACGGATCAGGTCCGTGAAACCCCCACTGTACATCTTTCAAAATAAGTAGTCTAAATATGTGGCAAGTTTCATAGAAATCTTCGCGTCGAACTAGGAGTCCTTCCCCTCTAAAGAACACTTGAACTCCCCACCTGAAAGACTTGCCCAGTTGTGAAATTACTCCTCGAAAATGCACCCGGTAAAACACCAAAGTATTGGACCTTCGCGAAGCAAAACCATAGACAAAAATCTGTGTTACACATTGCATTACACGACAAATGTTGAACTCAAACATCCGGCATGCATGAACGAATTATATGAATGCGTTGTACAAAGAGAAAACATTACTTGACATTCCTCTAACTACAAGCAGAAAGGGCGACATTGGCAAATAATTTTAAGCGTAAAGTTTGAAAAAATTAATTTGTTCAAGAGCAAGTAGTGCAATACAAATTGTAAACAGACATCTAATTGGTGCGATACTAATTAGGTCACGAAATATGACTTAATTTTTTTAAAAAAAGGTCAGAAAGACGAGAAAATTCTATACTTCCGAGACAAGTACATCTCCCTTACATGGCAATGTTCTTAGCAATTACGAGATTAACGGGAAATTGGGGGGTCAATACGCTATATTCGTGACAAGGAAAGAATTTGGCGACACAAAATATTCAAATTCTTCCTTATTTGAACACAAGACATTATTGACGTGACAATGGCAGGACAATTGCTTGTTATGACTCCATAAAGTGGATTAAAAATTGCGATATTTGAGTGGCCGGTCGATGGCTTAAGGTGCCGTTTATTAAGACCGAAAAATAATATTCTTTATGGAATTTTACTCCTTGGAGACAAAGTTTTGTAACACATGTATAGAATGCAGTTAGTAATAATACTACATAATATTATACTTGAAGGAAACATACTCGTCGTGCGGTATGACGTTCGAATTTTAATGAAGAATGGACCAAGTTGTATTTATTAATTGAAAGGTATATATGAAATTTCTATTTGCAGAAATTACGTGATTTTTAGGGCGCAAAGTTGCAAAAATTTTAAATTTTTTGTAGCGAAAAGTTGGAGTAAAATACTCGAGTTCGAAATTAAAATTATTTCAAAACTATTTTTTCAGAGTTGGAAGCGATATGAAAAAAAATCGCATTTCTTCTTGGAAACTGTACTTGTTTTACCAGGTCTCAAGTATGAAAAATGTGGCAAAATGCTTCCCTTTCAAAGTGAAAAAACTCCGATTTCAAAAGCCCGCTCTTTTTGTGAAAGGAACAGTTGGAGATGGAAGTTTTTTGCCACATTTTTGATGCTTCCCAGATGCAAAATGGTCCGTTTTTTCCCACTGGATCGGGTCCCCCGTTGTAAAATGCTCGCCTCGCCGCAATCGCGCCCCAAATCTCGAGCCATATGAACGCGTAAAGCGGTCGATTCCAAGACAAATCCACAGTATTTTCCCGACAGATTGAGAGGGCCTTTCTCAACCACTAACATCGCTAAAAATCTCGTCTATCAATTTATGAATAAAGCTCGAGTACAAAATTTCGAATCGTTGCAAAGCGCAAGTACAAAACTTCTTGTTCTTAATAAAACGGTCTTATGCCAAGAACGCATGTCAAGTCCTACGCCACTTTGTATCTACGCAGACAGAACATCTGAAAACTCTGTTTTGTGGATGTTCAGACCAAAACATAGCGGGTTGTGACTGAAGCACAACGACAAAGGTAACTGTCCCCAAAACTAACAGGCCGTTTGCCCGTTCGAAAATGTAATTTGTCCCGTAATTACATGAGTGACGGTTTCTCATTTTCGAGGAGACAAAAGGACTTTCTGACTCGATTAGAACCGCAAACGTACGGGTCAGAGATTATAAAAGCTCAAAATTAGCCTGAGAATTGTGTCCAAAGGGTTTGTATTTTCATAAAGTGCATGGACATTTTTCGCTTTTTGGCAGGTAATTTTGAAATTTTTGTGAAGGCTTGGCGGGAACGCCAGTGCATTTTTCCCCAAAAAACCCGTTCACACTAACAGGGGAAGTACTCGAAGTGCGACGCTCAGATTTTCTTTAAATTTTGCACACACGTCGGGTATGGACCAAATCTCAATTCCTGAAAGTTTTAGCTAGCGCTTTGCGGGCGCCGCCGAGATATCGAACGATTTTTGCCGCCGGGAGAGTACGTTAAACGTGGAGAGCGGTCAGAGAGAAAAGCGCTTTTTGGCCATAACTTTGGCAGTTTCGTGCGGAAAATTTTGATTTTTTGTAGAAACTTTTCGTGCCGAAAATCGGCAAAAACTCCTAAATTTTCGCCGACTTTCGATCTAAAAATCTCGGTTGTTTCTGCAAAGTGCGAGCTAGGATTCTCGCATATATCTTAGAAAAAAATTATTCTAAATTTGTGCCAAGTTTCATCAAAATCTGAGCGTTGCACTTGGAGTACTTCCCCTGTAAGCAAATTTTTTTGCTAAACTTGCTTACGCACCGCTATATTTCCTGTATTTCGCGGCACAGTGCAAAAATCAAAACATAAAAAAAAACAAAAAAAAAAATGAAATGCACGGTGCACGATGGGGGGTTTTTGTGCATGGTGCGAGGCGCGATAAATATCCATGCACTATTTAAAAATATAATACAGGGTGGTGCAGCCGAACCCTTGCAAATTAGCACTATAGATGAGATGGGAAATGCTGTTTTGGGTTCGATTTAACTTTCTGATATTATAATAACAAGTACAGGGTGGGTTAGCCGAAGCTTCCATCCTTATTTCAAGCATTTCTTCGCCAATAATGCACCAATTTCTATAAAATTTATGAAGTACTCCAAGTGCGACGCTCAGATTTTCTTTAAATTTTGCACACACGTCGGGTAAGGACTAAATATCAATTCCTGAAAGTTTTAGCTCGCGCTTTGCCGGCTCCGCCGAGATATCGAACGATTTTTGCCGCCGAGAGAGCACGCTAAACGTGGAGAGCGGTCAGAGAGAAAACATTTTGGCCATAACTTTGGAAGTTTCGAGCGGAAAAATTTAATTTTTTGTAGAAACATTATGCTTTACGGTTGAAATAGGCATGAAACTTTTCGTGCCGAAATTCGGCAAAAAGTCATAAATTTTCGCCGACTTTCGATCTAAAAATCTCGGTTGTTTCTGCAAAGCGCGAGCTACGATTCTCGCATATATCTTAGAAAAAATTACTCTAAATTTGTGCCAAGTTTCATCAAAATTTGAGTGTCGCACTTGGGGTACTTCCCCTGTTAGAAAATTTTTGCAATGACTCTCAATTGAGTTTAACGGATTTTGAATTTTTTTTTGGATTTCCGGCAAAAACAAAGTCGCCAAATTTGATGAACATTTTTTTAAATACCCGGTTAACGGAAGCCTAAAAAGCATATTTCAATCCGTACCAAGTTGAACGAATAAAAACGAAACCTCTTTTTTCGGGCAATCTAGGCCTTACAACTTGTTATTCATCTTTGGGGTGGATGTCGTCATGCATGTAGACAGTCTCGCCCATTTGTTAGCATTTTTTAAAATTTCGATTAACGAAGCCCAGAACACAAGAGCAATGTCTTAAAGATTAATTACGAGGAATACTCTCGAAAAACTCCTATTGACTGCGTCATTTTTTTCAGCTATTTCTAAACGTCTTATTTTGCCAAAGACTGGAATATTTTTCAAGTCCGAGAACTCAATTAAAAATCACTACAAAAAATTTCTAACAATAAGTTTCACTGATTTCGGGCTCCAAAATTTGGAATGAAAATTTCAAGGTCAGTACGGGAGTCTCCGTAAACGTAGGCCCGTCATATTTGGTGGACAACAAATGTGGTACCTCTGCTTCAATTCGATATAAATTTTATAGAAATTGGTGTATTATTGGCGGAGAAATACTTGAAACAAGGATAGGAGCTTCGGCTGAACCACCCTGTACTGTTATAATACCGGAAAGTAAAATCGAACCCAAAACAGCTTCTCCCATGCATCTACCCACCCCAGACCATAGTGCTAATTGCAAGGCATTAAATTCAGGTTTGATTGGCTTTATTGGTTTCTTTATTTGGCGCGCCTGCACTTGCGTGCATGCATTTGCGGTCACGACATTTGTACGGGCATATTCCGACATTTAATCAAAAAGAAAAAAGTTGCGAACATGTGCAAATACGACGCCTAAACGATACTTTTGGGCGATAGGATATTCTGCCAAGGTGGCTGCGAATGAATGCAGCCACCTCGATACAACAGCAAATGACAATGAAAATTGTTTTTCCGCAATTACGGCCATTTCTCCCTGTCTGGAGCTGCCGAATAGAATTTAAACGGCAATAAAGACAATAGAGAGTGAATAGGGATCTTGAATAGATAATGTGGCCTTACAGTCAGATGTTCTTTTTGCAACTAATTGTAAAAGTTTTAGACGACAAACCAGCCATCAAAAATGCTGCCTGAAAAAACGGCCCTCTAACGGCTTCCCCGCATTTTGTTGCCCGCGAATACACGTGGTTTTGTGGCCGGGAGGGTCCGAAGCAAATTTGAAACGGCTCTGGTTGTACTGTACTTTGGCTCATGGGCTGGGCCAGCCCGGCCTCAAAGCCATGTGTGGCAACGCACCTTATTTATAAAGACCTATGATGTATAACTATTGTCAAACAACCGTCATTGTCCCCTTATTTTTGCGACAAGAAAAAGTGCAGATTTTCACCAAGAAAATCTTTGATGGTAATTGTAAATGTGTTGAGGGAAAGTTATGAAACTAGAATGAGAAAGAAAACTAGTATTTGTTCCCTTAATTTAAGTAATTGTTTTCAGGGCCAAATACGAAATCGCGGTCATATTTCAGCCGGCAAAAAGTGGCACTACTTTGGTTTTACAGCCGTTTAACTTCGAAAAATGTTCTCTGAACCTAAAGTTTCTTGTGGTATTCGAAAACATGCGTCTTTGCCAGCTGGTAAAAGCCTCTACATGTCTGTATGTTAGAAATTTTTCATGTAAGTGAAGTCGTAAAAACTATTTATAAATCTCAACAAAGGCCGGTTTAATTTGCAAAAAAAAACTCCTTGCGGAAAATGTTGAATTTATAATATTCATAAAACTTGTAGCCGGCTGATTTGCCGGCTATGCCAAGGCTTTTTCAGCCCGCTAAAATGGATGTCATTTTCTTGGTTCAAACTGAATGTGATGATGACATTATTGACCGATCGGGACTTAAAAAATTGAGGTTTTGGCGTTGTCACAGCGCATGTAAATCTAGGTCTTAAACTTACAGACCTAATCCAATGCCGAAAAAACGCGTCCTTTCCTTTACAAAAACAGCGTCCGCGCTTTTGAAATGGGAATTTTTCACTTGGAGAGGGAGGTATTTTTCCACATTTTTTGACACTTCCCGGATGCAAAATGGTACTTTTTTCCACTGGAGAAAAGGCAAAAAAGTCCACCGCAGTATTAACCCTACAATCCAAATAACAGAGCTCAATTACCACTACAATTTTTGTTCCACCATCTTCTATCTTTGCCTCCAGATCGTTTGCAACTGTTTGAAGTGCAAGTCCGTATCCTCTTGAGGACTAGACTGTCTCGAAGGCTCCGGCTCCACCACATACAACGATCTCTTGCTCCGGAAACATCTGCTGAGATCCTTCACAAACGCCCTTCGCATCGGCTTGAAACACCAGATCATGCACACACTGGAGTAGGTGTTATACGTTCCACCGACCATAAAAGCGAGCTAAAAAAGAGTTATGAGTATCCAGATCCTCCAGTTCTACCGTTAGCATTCCGTTGAAATAGACGTCATCCTCGTCTATAGCGCCTAGAACGTAAGCAGGAATTGCAATGGACGTCAGAAGAGATTGGAAACAGACACCCAATGAGTAGGCTATCAGCAGCGGCTTCATGACTTTGATTACGTTAAGGATTTCGGTAACCATGAACGCTTCGGTCAGTGATGTCCCGCGGCTTCGGATTTGAAATGCATTTCGATGAAGGGAGTGGAACGTCTGCAAAGAGAGATGGCTTTTTTGAAATTTTGATATAAGGACCAAAATGCTTCCCTCTCCAAGTGAAAAAATCCGATTTCTAAAGCGCGCCCGCTCTTTCTCCGAGGGAAACGGCGGGCCCTTCGAAACGACGTTTTTTCACTTGAAGAGGGAAGCACTTTGCCACATTTTTGAAGCTTCCCGGATGCAAAATGGTACGTTTCTTGCCACTGGATCAGGTCCGTCACTGTACAATTGAGCCTCACTTTTAGGGCTTGGAAGACGAAATGTCACAAATTTTTCTCCGCTTCTCCTTGTGAAACGTCATTGGGAATAGTTCCAAATAATCAAATCCAATGTCACCCTAAAACTACTTTGTTTTAGGGCGTGACAGAACAACAAATTCTGTGGCATTTCGTCTTTCAAGTCGTAAAAACGAGATTCAAATGTTCAGACCAGGTCAAGCTTTGGTCAGAATATTTTACACTAGTTTTATGGCTGACAACTGAAGTGTTCGAAGCGCAATGCCAGGGATTTTTGAAACACTATCTAGACTATTTTTTATCCTAACATAGAGGTATTTTAATCTCAGATTTTCTTGAAATTTTTCATATTGCTCTGACTGTGAAGCGGTCAAATCTTAAAATGTTCACTTTTTGGAATTTTTGATCCAAAACAACACTGGAAAGCGCAAACTCTGGGTTCAAAGACGGCAAATAATCTTTGAACCTTTACCCGTTTGGCGTGCAAAACACTTACTCTCTCCCTAAAATTACACAATTACCTGTACACCATAGATTAACGAAGTTCCCGCAACAGAATACGCCACCAAAACAAATGGGAAATAACAGTCCATAATGAACGCCCTCTGCAAACACTTGTCTACCGCGTCTTCACACCTCCTCCATACTATCAAAGCCTTGAGCGCCGTCACCCCAACCACGTCTAGGAGGACGAAATACACCGCGTTTAGGGGCGATCTCGTACTCTCATCCCTCTCGTAGGTAGCCCTTTCTTTGAACGCAATCCGGCGCTCCAAGCCGATGACCAAATATTTGGCATCGAAAAGGAGGCAAAAAACAGACGATAAAAAACATGTTGTATACATCAAAACTGCCGCGAAATATTTCCCGTCATTAACACTATAATATTCTTCAGGAATAAGCACGTAAATTGGGCGAGTCAACGATACCCCCGTTGCAATGACATTCATCAGAATCTAGGTTTCGAAAAATCAAAGGTTTCTTCGAAAAACTCACAGTAACAAATCGGCAGTTTTTACTGTACGTACCGACCACCGCAAATCGTACAGAACTATAAACGTTGAGCAGAGTGCAAATTAAACTGACGACAATTTCGTAGTAGATACCATAATAGGCTAGGAAATGAACTAGAGCATAGGAAAACTTTACAATTTGCCGGTCTTCCGACATATTCAACAATTTGAAGGGTCCAAGGGTGTTTTCGTAGAATTTTGTTCGCATCACTGTAAAAAAACAGCATTTGAAATGACAAAAAGGCCGTTTCGGCTTATTACAATAATTGCTATTGCTGCAGGGTCTTTCAAGAAACGTGAAGAAAGTCGGAGGCTATAACTTCCGGCGGAGGTGGCGCAGAGACTACGTTCTTGGAATATGTATTTTTTAGCAACATTAATTTTGGTGTGTGAAATAACAAGATTTTAAAGTGCAAACTGAGGTCGCTACGACCTTTCGAAGTAGGACCCTTTATCCCGAAAACCAGTTTTTCGAAAAATAAGTAACATCTTGCAAAAAACATTGTACAGGGTGTTTCAAGAAACGTGAAGAAAGTTGGAGGCTACAACTTCCGGCGGAGGTGGCGCAGAGACCTCGCACGTCAAACTGAGATTAGCTAAAACAGTCCGCTGAATGGATTGGCAATTTGCCAAAAAAAGACGCGAAAAAACGTTTTGTCGGGGGAGAAATGGGGAATTTTTGGGGCGAGAGAGAACGTTTTTGCGTGTCTTTTTTTCTCTCTTTCTCTGCGAAATAGACGAAGTGTAAAAAACCGATAGCGAAGGGTCTATTCCGGTCACCGGACTCCTCAGTTTGACGTGCCTCGTTCTTGGAATATGTATTTTTTAGCGCCACTAATTTGTGTGTATGAAATAATAAGATTTTAAAGTGCAAAATGAGGTCGCTATGAGCGATTAAAGTAAGGTCCTGTACCTAGAAACTAGTGATTTTTCGGTTGAAAATCACCCAGAAATAACAAATGTTTTCGGGGGCTTTGAGAGAGTTGACATTCAAAACAGAGAAAGAAATTGCCAACACGTTGCAAATTAAAAAAATGGCTTCGATGGAAAATGTAATGCTCAGTACTACAAAAAATGTAAAAGATGTAAAATGTAATACTCATTACAAAAAATTGTAAAAGAAGTTCTTGGCGTTTGTTGGCAGCCAGAATAATGAACGAAATTTGTCCTCTAAAGGTCCTTTGTGATCCTTTGAGTATTGCAGGCAAATACGAACAAAAATGAATATCCCTGCAGACCCTTCTGTTTATTGTCAAAAGTCATCTCCTACATAGATCTTGGGCAAAAATTAAATATCAAAATTTAAACTATTTGTCATATTTCGAAAATCTACCAAACGTATCAGTATGTCGGGAAAATAATGAGCACTCTGTCGCATCGAAAATCGTATCGCCGCCGAAAAAGATTAATTGTGTCGCGGCAAAATCAAATTGCTTTTCACTCAGCGACGCGATCGGCGCAGCGACATTGTGCTCATTATTTTCCCGACAGACTGATAGAATTTTTCGTGAAGTTTGCAAAGAGCAGTTTGAGCAGTTCCTTGAGACCCAAAAACCCCAGTTAAGCCCAATTTCAGCTATTCCCCATCATGTTTTCGAAACAAATACCCATTTCAATTTCCTTAAACAAAAGTTGAACCCATAGAATGCCCCAACATTACCATTATTGGAAACGCTTCCCACTGGCTTCCTCAGACAACAGAATGGATGTTTAGCCCAACACGCATTTTGTAGCCATCTATAATACAAACGACACTTGCAGTGTGCAGTTAATCTCCCTACAATATTCAAGAGTCATGCCGTTTTGTGAATTCGAATTTTTTGTGAATGCCAGTTTATTATCTACGTGTTCCACATATCTTTCAAATTTGTGAAGTAGATCTCCGCTTCTTGCGTCCGATTGTAGCACTCCAGCGGCTCCGGCTCCACTTCCGTAACGCATTTCCGCCGCAAACAGCGGGTAATGTCCTCGAATAAGGCTCGTCGTAGGTTCTTGAAGTGCCATATCATGTAACAGCTCGCGTAGAGATTGTAGGTGTCTATTAGCATGTATTCGAACTGAAACAGGAAAGATGTGGTATTAAGTGTTGAACGGAAGGGATGACCAAATTTTTTGGTTTTCCTTGCAAATCGAGCTTTTTTAGGTTGAAAGCGGGCAAAATTGATAGTTTGAAAATGTTCCCCTCGGCCACACATGGGCACATAAATGGCAATTTCCCGATTACAAGTTAAAAATTGAAAAAAACAAGGTGCTTCCCTGCAATCCAACACTTCCCATTAACCCTGCTATTCACCCACAAAAATTGTTGATTATGGTATCGCCGCGGCGTCTGTGTCATTCACCTTTGATCTTTTTATACCATGACACCTATGACAAGTGGAAATTTTTCACGTTTGCGGTGGTACCTTTGTGAATTTTGCAGAAAAATACTAACAATAAATCTCGGTGGAGATGTTGTAAATTATATTTGCACGTCAATCCAAAATAGAATAAAAATTTCCCGCCCCTTTTTTGTGATTCGTTCAAAACGAAATGTCACTATCCGATACAAAGCATTTTCTTATCTTTCTTCTTCCTTTTCGAAAAAAACGGTTATTTCGGGCGAAGAAAGTGCCGATAATTTCGTGAAATTTCGTCTCTCTTTTAATGAAAACGATACGAATTGAAACGGTTTAAGAAATGCGCTGGATTGACGTGAAATCTGGCGTCATCTTGCCCAGAAGCTTTACATGAGATAAATCTCTTATCAAAACCGGCGCTTCCAAAGTCTAGCTCTCTTAGAACTGTAAGCCGTAGAACTCTCATACAGAGCCCCACGATCACCACTTACTGTAACAAGGCCATGATAATGAACATCCTCTTCAACCATAACCCCCAACATGTAGCTCGGTATCATATACGCCAAGATAATAACAGCCACCACCATGATGCAAATGTAAGCGTTTATAATGGGGCTGATCACTTGAATCACATTCACCACCTCTTTGATAATAAACGCTTCGGTTAGCGTTGTCCCGTAACGCCGGATATGTTTTGCCCGCTTACTTAGGTTATTGAATACCTAAAGAAAAAATTTTTTTTTATAGCATAATCCAACCTACGTAACACCCGTAAAACCACGATGCAAGCGCGACAACATGCGCCGCCATCAACGTGTAGAAACTGGAGTCCATCATGAACGCCTTCTGCAGCGCCACATCCACATCATGCTCGCGGAAGAAGATGACAAAAACCGCTTTGGTCGTGACGCCCAACCACACAACACACAAGAACAGGAGAAACGCCTTGATCGTCGTATTGTCCTGCGTGTTTTCGTACGTGGCCCGAAGTTTGAACGCAATCTGTCGCTCAAACGCTATCAATATGTATTTGGAGTCAAAGATGAAAATACAAATGTGTAGAATGTAGCCAATAGAGTACATAATAAAGGCAGAGATGTACTTTTTGTCCTCGGTTAGGTAGTAATCCTCGGGGACAAAGTAGCAGATCGGCCGAAGAATGGCAATACCCGTGACGAAAAGGTTCATTGAGATCTGGAAATTGAAAAATAACGCTTGAAATATTGATTGAAAGAATATATTTAGATGTTTGAAAAATTCGACGAAATGTCACAAAATTATTGGAAAATCGGCTGGCGGATTTAGCGTAGAAGCGTTCATCATTTAACTCTCGGATTTTAATAATATTCGGCCCAAGTATAGCTGAAATTTGTCTGAAAGATATATAGGGTGCGGCAACTTTTTGGACGCATTTGAATTGGCTATAACTTTTTTAGTTATTGGCAAACTGTTAAAATTCTTATTTTCCCTGAATCCTTAGACATCCCCATTTTGTTTAATACCAAATATGTTATACCCATTTATTAGACTTCAGTAAAAATTGAAGACAAAGGACCCCTAGTGCGACTCTCAGATTTTCTTTAAATTTCACACATGGCCACATATCAATTCTTGAAAGTTTTAGCCCACGCCTATCAAGAGCGATGAAGACATTCAACGATCTTTGCGGTCAGGAGGGTATCCGAGTGGTCACACGGAAAAAGTTTTTGGCTAAATCCTCGCCAGCTTTGAAGTAGCTGATTTTTTGTGGAAACGGTATTCTCTAGTTGGTTGTTGGTTGTTGGCATGCGATTTTCACATACAACTGAGATTTTACTGTCAAAAATGAACTTAAAAGTTCTCTGCATTGACATTTGAACCCAAACTTTTTGCCAACTCTCCAAACTCACCATAACAACTCTAAAATTGCGACTGTACGTCCCAACATGGGTGAATCGAAAGGCACTGTAGGCATTGGCAATAAAACATATGGCGCTCGCGAGCAGCTCATAATACGGCCCGTAGTTCACCGTGTAATAGGCGGCGTTGTAGAGCAGCTGAGGTAGACTGTCATTCTCCGTGTATCCGAACAAAATCAATGGTCCAACGCGGTTCAGTGAGTAATTTAGCATCGAAAACGAAGCCAGTGTGCCGCTGAAAAGACTTGATGTATTTGAGTTCGCTTTTTGGATGTTCAATTTGGTCAATCGCTGCTAATTTTCGACGGAAAAATGTAACAAATACGTGATAAATGGCTGTGGAAATTGTTAAAAATATCAGCGGAACTTGTTTTGGCAAAACAAAAAGGCTGTTGCTCCATCAAAATGCCGTAATAAATGGCTGTTAGACATGGAAATTACATAAAGCTTAATGACTTGAGTCATGGTTTTTTGGGAAAGTTTTGAGGCGGAATTAATGTATTGGGTAACGGTGTGGAGCATGTTCAAACTTGGTGAATTAGACATGAAGAAAATAAAACTTGATGATCTCAAAAAGACTTGCGAAGATTTGTGATATTACTTTGAGGCACCAAGTGTCGTACTATGCTCTAACTGCCGAATAATTCATAAAAATAGCCAGACGCTCTGGATGGAAAATCAGATAAGATTGTACGTGATATATCGGTGATTACTAATGCAAAAACATGTACATGCATTATATATTCGTACATTTGCTTTTCCAGCATACTAGAGGAGTGCTTGCTGCTTTAAATACCAAATAGAACTATTTTTGGGAACCTGCTCGAAGTGCAGATTACTTTAAACTTTGCGCATAAGTTGGACTCAGACTATGTACTAATTCCTGAAAAAGTCTAACGATAAGTCTTAGCTCTCGTCTTGCAGACAGAGCCGGATATATAACGGTGCTTGCCGACGAGAGAGTTCAAAAAAATTGAGAGCGGGAAGAGAATAAAATGCCTGCCAATTCCGCGGAGAAAAATTTGATTTTTATCGAAATATCTCCATAGTCATACAAACAAATTTTAAATTTTTCATGCATAAGCTTTGCCAAAAAAAAATTTCGTATCTTCGGAGTAAAAGTCTTTAGTCATGATGTAAACACATACAGTTATTTTAGCAAAAACTCGAGCAAGGCACCGCCGATTTCCTTCCTTTTTCTGAACAAAATTTGTACCATGCTTTATCAAAAACAAAGCGTCGGTGTGGTTTTCCTGTCAGCAAAAGCAAAACTTTTTTATGAAAAATGGATATGCTATTGTAAAATTAGGCTAAAAAAGTTTTTAATTTGTCAACAAAGATCTGGTCAAGTTCAGAATTCAGTTGGATTCTGCACCAATTTTCTCAGCAAAGCAAAGTCCATAGGGGTTTTCAAAATTAAACCTAAGGCTATGCAGTCAAAAAACCCATCTAATAGATTATGTAGTCCGTCACAAATCCAATTTGTTTCACAAAGAATGGGTTCGCATTTTTCAGACAAAAAATTATTAATGGAAATCGATCCCAATTTACGTCAAAAGCCCAATAATCCATCCTCCTGAGACTTCTTGAGGGCTTTAAAAAACAAAAAAAATAAATTGTATTATAACATACAGTATGATATGCTACAAAATTGGGGATGCAATCTGTATTCCAACTATAAAAAATAAAGTAACATTTTGAGGGGTCAACCGATTAATTAGTTTGCAGGCGAGACATTATGGGAAATAAAGAGAGACAGCGAGAGAAAAAAAGCAACGAAGGAGTGAGCAAAGTACGGAGAGCGGTCAGATGGAAAGACGCTTTATATTTGGCCTTAAACAAAATGGGGATGTATGAAGATTCAAGGAAAAGAAGGATTTTAATATTTGGCCCAAAATTAAAGAAGTTATAGCCGATTCAAATCGGGCCCCAAAATTGGTACACCCTGTACTTTTTAAAAAGTTTTGCGAGGAAAATTTTGATTGTTTGCAAATTTTTTTTCCCTTTCATGTACAGGGTGTTCCAAGAATTATGGAAAAAACTATTCATTAATAACTTTGTGCCCAATACGAAAATTTTTCTTGCATTTTGCAGAAAAGCCTTGGAGTTTTTAGAATCAAAAAAAAAATTTTTTTGTTTTATCGGCGGAGACTTCCGTAATCCGCCTTGAATTCGGTGGAGTGCGTTTTTCACAAACGAGGCTGTAAAAATTGGTTCATTTTTTTCCCTGCTGATTTCTCCGCCGAATTGCCTTTTTTTCTTCTCCCAGTGAGCCGAAGACGTAATAAGTCGTATTTAGGCGCCATGCCACCAGGGATACCATACGTTTTGGTTTTAGCCAATTTTGACTCCCCAAATTCGGAGAAAAATCGTCCGCCGAGGTTAAAAAATGTCTCAGCCGAATGACAAAAAATTGAAATTAATGTCATATTGTATCTTCTGAATCCTTTCCCGCCCATTTTCTTCACGCATACAACAATTTACAGCCCAATTTGTGAAAAAAACACTCCGCCGAATTCAAGGAGGATTACCGAAGTCTCCGCCGATCAAAGAAAAAAATTTTTTTTTTGATTCTAAAAACTCAAAGGTTTTCCTGCAAAATGCAAAAAAAATTCGGATTGGACCACCGAGCACAAAGTTATTAAAGAATAGTTTTTTCCATAAATTCTAGGAACACCCTGTAGAATAGAGCAAAGATTTAGCATTTGCGAAAAAATATGCTGTTTTTTTCGCAAGCTTTCTTTCAAAAATTGCTTCATTGTTTCTGCCAAGTAGGAGTTATTAGTTTTGGCATGTGTCTGGAAGAAAGTTGCACTAAAATTGTATTGTAGAAAGTGAGAGTCCTTCAAGGAAAAAGGTTTTTTAAGGAAAACCATATTAGTAAAGGAAAACTCAAGCACTTAGAACACATTCTCCTATTAGTTGAAAAAACAGGAATGTAGCGAATTTCCGCAAACCCTCAATTACTAGAACTTTACATGGAAAAACTATCTTTACCTACACGCTCTCAGACTACCATACACATTTGTCCCAAAGTATGATGATAGTCGGAACACCCGTAATTATCGTCACCCCACTCACGGATAATTGTTGCCTATGAGGCTGCAATTTCCACGCGCTGAAGGCGTGGAAAACGTATTTCTCCATCTTCATTTGCCTTTCCCTTGCAACAAAATTAAGTGAATCTTCAAAGAACCGCGAATTAATCAACAGCAAAACACTTGAAGAGGGAGGTTTGTTGACACACTTGGCCAATTTTTTGCGTATCTTTGTGCCCTCTTTTTTTGGGGGGAAATGGCGATTAAAAATTTACAAAAAAAGTTACGGTATAAGAAACTGAAGGCTCCAAAGTTTCCTAGACAAAAAATGGAGAAGAATTTATAAAGTCAAAAATTGTTGTCATCTTCTGGACAAGGGCGTATAATGAACCCCTTGATTCGGAGGGTTCGTAAAGAAAGTCCATATGGGTGGCATTTTCGATGGTAAAAAGAGATGGACACTGTAAAGGGACATATACAAAGATTAGGGAAATTTAGCGAAAATCTAGCTTTTTTAGTAATTATGAGTGGGCTACAAGATGAAATTCATGGACTCGGAGAAATTTGCTTTTTGAAAGGAAATCTTTCCTCTTTTCCAATTGGAACAGGTGTCGTAAGATTCTGACATCCCGAGAATAGGCAATGGTAAACAAATTTTGGGTGTTTGTATATTTAAATAGTGAAGAAATTGCCTTAACAAGTAAGAAAATTGCTTTAAATTGTATGAAAATTCGGGTCGACTACTGTACGGAGCAAGACAAAATTCATCTTTTACCGAGGCATATGAAAGGCATGGACCAAAAAATTATGCATAGTGCCTACGAGGCTTGCCAAAGCCGTTCGGCGGACGCTTGGCGAAGGCTCGGCGGAGACTTGGGAAAGTCTTGCAATGCAATGTTTCCACTTTTTCTAATTTTAGTTATTACTACCGCTAGCTTTGTTTATCCTGAGTTATTGTACCGTATAAAAGACCAAAATTTGCTACAAAAACCAAAGATCCGTAACTTTTATTTAAATATTATTGATGTGTATAAATGTATTATAAGTGCCTCAAAGTAGGTGCTAAGCTATCCTAGGATCCGATCAGTCTTGTTATTTTTACTAACTAAGCCTTCTACATATATTATTAGTCTCCTCCATGCACACACTACGAACCAAGGCGGTCCGTACTATCGTTAACCAAAACTGTCGCTGACCCGAAAAGTCGTAGCGTCGAAATTTTCGTATGGCATTTTTTGGCATTTCTTGAGACAAAAGGAAAAGTCAAAGAGTTATCAATGTCTTTGAAAGTTGGGTTAAAGTTTGTTAAACCTATAATCAACATAACACACATCTCCATTACAACGTTTTCCAGCTAAATTTTTGAAAACTCAGCATGCAAACAAGTTCAGTTTTACTCCAAGTTTTGCTCATCACAAGAAAAACCCCATTCCAATCTTGTGTACATAATAAAAAAAATGGCAATCAAAGGTTTTATGCAGATTAACCGTTGCACTCTTGCCAAAAAATAAATTAAAGCTCAAACAACAACATCAAAAGCAACGGCGCGAAAGTTACGAGAATTTCATTAGAAATATCTAAAATTATCGAAACATTTCGCGGCCATTACCTCGTGTTTAACTCCCTGCTTCCTATAAATTAATGATAATCGCATTGCATGAAAAATTACTAGGTCCACAGCGAGTCAAACTACTCAAATACCGGCGAAGGAAGGTGGGAAAAATTACTTACAGTTTTGGCAGCCATGTTAGAGACATCTTTCGAATTTCAGTTATAGATGAACGGAGGACATGACAGACTTTTGAAAGTGTTCTTCAAAAACCGTCTAGGTCAAGAGTCCGACTCAAGGATAGGACCACCCTGATATGCATAGTAGGTACAATACATACTTCTAAATAGGCTGGACGATCTTTAATTCGGATTCTTGGAAGACGTTTTGTAGCTTCTATTTTTGAGCTTACTTTAAGTACAGTGAAGGACCCGATCCAGTGGCAAAAAATGTACAATTTTGCATCCGGGATGCATCAAAAATGTGGCAAAATGTTTCCCTCTCCAAGTAAAAAAGCTTTGTTTTGAAGGGCGCACAAAAAGAACGGGCGCGTTTTTAAAACCTGAGTTTTTTCACTTGGAGAGGGAAGCATTTTGTCGTATCTTCGATACTTCCCGGATGAAAAATGGTACGTTTTTGCCACTGGATCAGGTCCCCCACTGTTTGGGTGAAAGAACATAGTTTTGAGGCATATGGAATTTATTTTTATATACGTTTAAAATGGCCTGCTGATATCTTCGGGACCGCCCTAATATTAACTCTTGAAGTTACCTTTGGTTTTCAGTGCGGGTCGTCGATTTCAGTCCGGCGGTTTTCCGGAAGAGATAGTAAGGTAAACCCCTCAAACAGTGTCTTTATTTCTCATTCAGTATCTCCTATATTGCTTGTAGGGTCCAATATACAATACTATAAAAATCTAGCTCGTGCACTTTCAGTGCGCTTTACCGCAGCAGCCAATTTATCGGTCTATCGAGGGAGTAATGCGCTTTTGCCGCGGCTTGAAGCTTTGACTAGGCAAAATTTTGCATGTGACCAATAATCTTCATTTTCCCGATGGCTGATATTTATTGACCCTATCCGCGAGAAAATACACAGAATGCGGAGAGCCGGCCAGACGAAAAACGAAAATCCTAATCCGTCAATTGAACCCAAAATTTTCATCCGTTGAGAAGGTGTTCTTAAAAAATTACTAGACTTTTCTTTGAAAACTTTTTGCAACGCTAGGTTAGCGACACAAGCACACATTCAAAAGTTGTACTTTCAGTAGTATGAAAGTTCGTAAAATAAAAAAAAATGACTGACGTACAAGTCAAATAAGTCGGATGAGAAAAATTCATTATGCAGTACATAGACATGGCAGAGCAGGCAAAAAGAATTGTTTCGGCGGCCTAATTTGGCAAATTAAAAAAAAAAAAAAAAAAAAATTAATGCTATGGCTTTTCACCTGCCAGCTTTATTTTTTGGGCAACAAGTGGAAGAGTATGACTCTGCACGGCGATCCGACGTTTTTACTGGCTCTTTTAAGACGATCCGCCCACTTTGCATCGATTAAAATCAGGCGAACTGTTACAAAAGAATTTCTTGTGGGAGACTTTTGATAGAAAAATATATTTCTCAGAGTTATTGCATATTTTATTTCTTTTGACAATTGTGAAAGTTTGTTTGGACAAAGCTCCAGAGTGGGCGAGAGATCTTTTTTCATGTGTTTCACATAAAATTGTCAATAGAAATTGAAGGCACGGCCGCCGCAACAATACTCGACCCACAGATACGTCCCACCACGAAAGCCGGTCATTCGCATTCTGTTGCATGGCATTCTGTACTTTTGGGACAGAACTAGAGGTGGCAATCGGGCCGGGCCGGGCCGAATTTTGCGGCCCGGCCCGCGGGCCGAAGTGACCAGGCCGGCCCTGGGCTTTTTCAAATTTGCTCAGGCCCGGCCCGGCCCGGCCCGGTGAAAGCCCAGGCCGGCCCGGCCCGGCCCTGTTTGGCCCGCTACTGCAAAAAGGTTGGATAAAACTCTATGCACTCTCTACTGGAACTTTTTATGCCTTCCAGCGGGGTTTTACGTTTATATGAGTGGAATTAAAACGTCTAGTCGGCTGACTGGAACAACCGAACAGGTACCTAAAACCTAGCCAAAAAGTTGGATTGTGTCGATTTTTTTTATCCTTAGAAAGTTAGCTATGTAAAAATCTGGACGTTATGAGGCTACATGTTTAACAAAAAACTGCGTAGATGCGTTCATTTACATCAAGGAATCAAATTACAGTGAAATTTTTAAGTTTATCATCAAAAATTCGAACATTTGCCCGATCCTTGCATATTTGGGTGGGATTTTACATATACATAATCAGTGATTTTAAAGAGTTTGAAAAGGTGGTAAAACAGTATATAAGTCAAAAAGGTTTGATTTAATATCCATCCAACAATTCTGCTAAGCATTTGTGCTTTATTTTGCTGGTTCAGTATTAATTTTTTTTCACTTATCCACCTTCCGGGCCGGGCCGGGCCGAAAGTCTCGGCCCGGCCGACGGGCCGAAGCGGTCAGGCCGGCCCTGGGCTTTTTCAAATCTGCTCAGGCCCGGCCCGGCCCGGCCCAATCACCGGGCCCGGCCGGGCCGGGCCGGGCCGGCCCAGCCCGATTGCCACCTCTAGACAGAACCGATCTCCGAGACTTTTTCAATTTTTTTCGGAATGCGCTCGCTTTTTCTCTCCATATCCCACCAGTTGTTTGCGCTAGAAGGCTGAAATTCGGTATGGCAGTAGAGTAAAAAGCTGGCTTTCAGAAAATATAGATTTTCTACTGTGGGGTTCCTTACAATATATTGTACAGAATGCCATGTGTCGCAATCAATCGAAAAGTGGATCTTTGAAGGAAGGAAGATCAGTTTGGAAGTCGCAGCCTGAGCAAGCGGTTGGCCGTCAGAGCTTGTGGACAAATGGTGAAGAAGCAGCGGAGTGAGCGGTCGACTACACACACTAGAGGATGTTGGGAGCTATTGTGTGTATTTCGGACATCTACTCGGCCTACTTGTGTTGTGATATTTGGGAGGATACTAAACGTGGCTATCGCTATTGTTGGAGTATGAGTAAGCTCGTCTAGAGCAGCGTATTAGGAGCCCGGCATCTGACCGTGTTAATTAGGAACTTTGGTTCAATTTTTTACGAGACTCAATAAATATATAATATGTCATAAAAAACTAATGTAAAATGACTTTAGAATGACTTGTTGTCACGTTGTAATGACAATCTCAGCATTAAACAGGTAACGATATAATGTAATAAACTTCGATAAACTGATAATTGAATTGTAACCAGTATGTTTACGGATTTCCTGCGCCGTAATTGATGATTGAATTTAGAATTGTGTTATGCCAGTGTGGCAACAAGGAAATTTTTTGTAATGCCACAAATTTTTTACGAAAGACCAGATATTAATTCCATCTTTATTACTTTACAGTTGCTCTACTCCGCAATTTTCGGTAAAGAATTTCGATTGTTAACACTCCAACGCCCAACGTAATCATGATGCCGAAGATGATCAGAAGGCCGTTGTAGAAAGTCAGCTCTGAAAAAGAACCGAAGTTTATCGAATATCAAATAATAGACAATGTAAAATCAGGTATAACACTGTTCTACTTACTCAACGGATCCCCGGGTTCGTAGCGGAAACACAGCGCGTCCCGCCGCCGAACGTTATACCGCTTGTAAATCGACTTGAATCGGGCGTAATTTTCAACTATCGCTCTGTTTAATTTTGCCGTCCATGGGCTGTTCTTTGGCAGTAGAAGATGCCGCGATGTTGTGGGAAATATGATATCCGTAACGAGTGAGTCGCAATAGGTCATCACTTGATTCGCCAGCTCCGAAGAGGAGTAGTCGTAGAGAAAGTTTTGCTGCTGACTGTAGGACTCAATTACACCTGAAAGGACAATTGTAGACGACATTTTATGTGCTTATAATAAGCCGACCAGACAGGTCTACAGGGCCGGGCTTTAGAAGATTTGAAAAACGGGCATAGAGCCGAGCTTTAGCTCAAAGCAATGAAATTTACAAGGGAAGTGTTTGAATCGTGGCGCGCATATTTCTGCTAATTTTTTTACACACACAGGGCATAGACTACATATCAATTCCAGAAAATTTTAGCTTGAGTTTTGCAGGGACAGCCAAGATATTGAACGACCTTTGAGGCCGAGAGAGTTTGCGAAAAGCGGAGAGCAGCCAGAGAGCAAAAAAAATCTTGGCTGACTTGCCAACTATTATATCAACTGTCATAAAAAATCTCGGTCTTAATAGACGGAATTTTCTGATTCGTTCAAAATTTTTGTTGAAAAGTAAAGATCGGCCAATAATTCGTTGCCAAATTGAAATTTAATGAATGGAAGCATTTTTCTATAGGGCTCAGGGCCAGCCGATATCTTTGGCAGCAAACCAGGGCTCTGATTGGGCTGGTACGATCCCTTTTATCAACCTGCCGAGCCAACTTTTGAGGGACTGGGCTGACAGTCCAGGCTGGTTGCTCCATTCGAAGCCAACTCACCGCTCTCTGTATCATGCGCCTCAAAACTGTCATTCTGCAATAGCAGCTGCAGCTCTCTGTAGGTTTGCTCTTTCCTCTCCAAGATTGATTCCCTAAAGGCTTCCAGCGGCCCATACGACACGAGCTTCCGTTTTCCTGTCGCCAATTGTCGGTAGACGTATTCTTCGCTCCGCAGATACGATTTCCCATTGTCTTTCATGAGCGAGGACAAACAGAGCGAGGAGTACATGCCGAAGATGATGGTACTCTGGAGGAGGGCGAACACAGAGACGGAAAACATGCCCGCCGTGAGCTTGAAGTTGAGCTCGTCCGATTGGAAGAGCTGGATTCGAATCATCTGCCAGATAACCTTAAATTTTACCGTGTTGAGAATTTGGAAAAAATTTTGGACCCAGATTAAGCCCTTCTTACCTGCCCAAAGGTCAGATCATTCTGAATTCTGATTGCTCTTTCCAATTTCAACGCCACATACGCAAAAAGTCCTTCGATAAACAGAAAGATAATGATACAAATCCAAGTTTTGGTGTCATAAATCAGCAATATGTTCCACCAGGAATGTGTTACCGGATCGATGCTTCGGACATACAAATATGGTCTCATCTAAATTCAAAACCATAAATTTTGCGTTTTAGAAAGGTCATCAAACAAGTGATATGGAACTCCAAAGTGCAACGCTCAGATTTTTAAAAAATTCGTACAAATTTTTGTCATGTGTCACATATCAATTCCGGAAAGTTTTAGCTCGTGCTTTGCAGGGGCAACCGAGATATTGAACGATTTTTGTCGCCTAGAGTACGCAAAACGCGGAGAGCGGTCAGAGAGAAAAATTTTTTGGCCACATCTTTGCTAGCTTCGTTTGAAAAACATTATTTTTTTTTACATATATTGTCGTTTACTGTAGACAAATGCATGAAACTTTCAACACCAAAATTTGGCAAAAAATTGTCACATTTTTTTCAAATTGCGACCAAAAATTTTGGATTGGAAATTCATGAAATTCTGAGCGTCGCACATGGAGTACGTTTCTTATGTTATAGAGAGTCCACCAAAGATCGTTCAAACTATGTAGTTTCGTTGTTGACTATTAGAAAAATATTTGCTTACAGAGAATATTTCCGCCGAGACATCGCATTCTTCCTGTCGTTTTGCAGTGGACCTAACCGACAGACCAAAGACGTCATAGCCTTTAGAGTCCAACATGTCGCATAAAGAGTCGTAGTAGGAATTGTTTGTGTCCATTGTGAAATCAATGTAAACGTTCATAGCGCGGGAGAGAATCCCAAAAATCTGGAAACACTCGTTAGAGATCGGTCAAAATTTTAAAGGGATTTTTTTAGATATACGGCGCTGCTTACCTCGACCATGAGTCCCGGATACATACAGTGCTCCCTCAGTCTTCCATTCTGGATATGCGCGCACGGTAGGATATCGGGGCCTTGCCTTCTGAACAGCACCCGTAAAGTCGGAAGTTCGTCCGTCTGATTCATGAGCCCAAAAACTATAGGGCCCATTCGCAGACAAAGGAATTCCAACCAATGAAGGTATTGGGTTTCAGGAGCCATGTTCGAAATGAATTTAAAAGGACACGTTTGGAGGTTGTTCTACGAATTTGAAGATCTTCGAGAAAGGGAGAAATTGTCATCAAAATAAATAAAAAGGAAGATTTGTAATTTTTGTATGTAACGTGCTATTACGGAAGCCAGAAGAAGATGAAGTTTTACAGACGCCACATAAAGGTTCCTATTGTCTAATCAGGCAGTAGTAAGTCTCATAATTACTTAGAAGCAGTGTGATTACCGAGGAAATTGAATATCAAGGTACGAAGCCCATCATCATCGTCTTCAACCTGTCTTACGCTTTGGACAGGGTTCATTGCCGTATTTCCAATCCTGGAAATTTGAACCGGCTCTTCATAAACATATGGTTGATGAAGTTTACTTGCCAAACCTACATAAATCTGAACAATAATGGTATCTGTAAGCTCAAGATCAAGAACAGACGAAGGCACTGGGCGAACGAATCGCCGAAAAGAGGCAGGAGACCTCTATCTTGTTGTGATGCAACATACCAAGGCTTCATGTAATCGTGTGCTGTACAGTGAGACCAATCTCCGATATGGATACTAGGGGTTTCATAAAGTCCCTGGAGTGATTTCGGCGACATACACTGTGATAAAGACAAACTTTCACTTTGCACTGTTTATGCAAGTTGAAAGAAACATTTTTTTTGTTCGTTTTAAGGAATCACTCCAGCAACCTTACGAAGGGTCTAGTATCTAGAGAGCCGAATGCTCGGACATTCAAATCAAGCAGGTGAATTCGGAGTGGAAGCGGACTTGCGGCTTCACAGTCTGGCCAATTATGGGTTCAATGTCTGACCCCATCGCAGGCCGTCCTTCTAATTGAGACATTTTTTACCACGACGGCTGTTTGTAATATCAAACTCGGTCAGTGTGATCTCATTTTGGACTTCTTTATAATAAATACTATAGTCCTAGACAACCCGATGTTTCACCTGTAATCTCCTTTCAACACCAAAGTGCATTCATTTTTCCCATTCCTCCCTCAAATTTGAGCCGATATGATCTCCATCCTCGAACAAATTCCACACCAAATTGGCCACCCTAAAATCTGAATTCTCCTTGGTCCGAATGCCTTTCCGATACATTCATTAGACGATAAGAAATCCTAATGGGTTTCAGAAGTCGATAAAATTCGGGATTACTCTGTTTGGCATGCATCAAGCAGTGAATAGGGGCCAAAGAAGAGAGCTTTGCGATGGGTTAATTACGCTTTTTGCTCGGTGACACGTACTTTCCGACATTTTTCACACCTTGAATGAGTTGTGACTAATTTGGGGAGTCTCTTTGGTGTGATCTTTAGAACTATTTTTGATGTCGAAAATGACGTTTTTTTCTTACTTCAGACTCTGATTTTTTGAAGTCCAAAATTGAGAAAAAAGATGACGATGTTGCAACAAATAATCCCTGAATTTTCCACACCTTTGTTTTGCCGGCAATTACGGTATTAGCGAGCTTCTATCGGATTATCCCATAGACTTTGCCACCTCGTTCTTAACGGTGTTATTCATCATTTCGGGTTTTGTACAGTCTACTTGATTCTAGTCGGCTATTTAGCACTAATTGGCCGGCCGTTTTTTCTCATCAAAGCAGTTAATACTAGTGGAAATTACAACTAATCGTAAGGTTTTGTCAATTGCCGGCGACACTATCAGCATTTTCATAAGGTACGTGGATATTTGCAGTGTGGTTTTCGATTTCTTCGGACGACACGATCTTTTTTGAACAATTTTTACACGATGCAATTGTCTCAAATTTCGCGACGGCGCAATGGAAAAAAAGCTTGCGTCGAAGCGATTTTGCATTGTCAGAAAACAAAATTTCACTTTGCACAGCGCAATTTCTTGTTTTTTGCACTGTGAAAAAGGATTTTTTGGACTGTCGCTCGCATCCTAATTTTTCTGCACATTGCGAATGTCAAAAATCAAATCACTCCAGTGACTTTTCCGAGTACCACTGTCATATTTCTTATTTAAAGATTTGTCGCCTCCCAACTACAATGAGGGACCTGATCCAGTGGCAAAAAACGTATCATTTTGCATCCGGGAAGTATCACGAAATGTAGCAAAATACCTCCCTCTCCAAGTGAAAAAATTCCGGTTTCAAAAGCGCGCCCGCTTTGTTTGTCGGCGCGCCCTTCAAAACGAAGGTTTTCATTTTTAGGGGAGGCATTTTGCTACATTTTTTGATACTCCCCGGATGCAAAATGACACGTTTCTTTTGACATTGGATCAGGTCCTTCACTGTAGATTTATCAAATATATTTGCAGGCTTGACACTGAAAAGTACTACTTCTGCAAACAACAGGCTGACCAACATTTCTCATCCTACTATTAAAGACTATTAAAGTCGACATTCGTAAGTATGTAAACTCTTCAACCTACGTATATGTAGACCGTAAATTTCGAGGCTTAATTATTATAACATAAATCTAACGAGGCAGTTCCAGCGCTATAAAACCCATTTTATTTGGGTGAAAGGTTGGTAAAGGTGGGGGTAAAGTAGAGCTTCCTATAGCTGGAAGCGGGGGCAATTCGTACCTTTTAAAACGAGAAAAATTTAATGAGGATTCTCAGTTCTTCTCTAAAGTTTGTGTCAGTGATTTACATTGGTCAAACATTGATTTTCATAAAGATTTTTGCTCGCGTATACGTAGCAGAGGTGTTCAACGACCTTTGCCGGCGAGAGAGCATGTAAAATGAGGAAAGTTTCTCGAACGGATTTGGCGATTTTTTCAATGAAATTTACTTTATTGTGTGTTACGCTCAGCGTTCTTTCTAAATTTTCAACGCGGTCTGCAAAGACGGTAAGAGGACCCAACATCAAAGATTGGACCCAATGGCCATTTTGAAAGAGTTGTGGACAAAATAAACCTTGGCAGATAAAAATTGCGAGCTTGGTCATGGATGAGCTATCCTGATTCATTTTTTTGAAATTCTTTTTTTGCTGGTCACAACTCTGTACTTACGAGATCATTGTATTTGGTCAGACATGGCTACACGGCCGGGATTTTGGCATTTCCGGACCACGGCCCAGCCTCAAAGTTGGCTCGGCACGTTTCGAAATATTCGAAGCCAGGCCTGAGAAACATTGGTATACAAAAAATGGGGACCTCTGCTTCAAACTGATGTAAATTTTATAGAGATTGTTGCATAAATACCTAAAATAAGAATGAGTGAACAACCCTGTATGTTGCTTACATCACTTTTACATCCATCAGGTATCATAAAACCCATTCGATTTTCGAATCCTAACAACCCGTATTCCAACCCGAGAAGACATGAATATCCCGCAAATGTCATGGAAATGTCATATTCAGTGTTGGGGCGGGTTGATGTGAACACCTACAGACCAAGGTTTAACGACTCTAACGCTGTTTGAGCACGTTATGTTCACATGTAAATAATGTGCATTACTTTTCTTTTATTTTACAACTTGTTTGACTTGCAAAGTTTTCGGGATATTTGCAAAAACAAGTTTTGTAAATAATCACCTCACGACAATTCCTTTGAATTTCGAGAAAGCGGATTTTTACAACTGGCTTTCCTAGGACTTGTAGAGTCATCGTGAAGATTGTATTCTCAAATTTTCTATTATAGTTACTTTTGTAGCGAACAAAACATTGTGCCTACCTTGGTTTACACAGTTTGGCAGTTTGTCAAGCCTTATAAGAAACTTGTTTTTTTGTAAAAAAAAAATTGTACACCAATTTGGGAGCGAATCTTGAATTTTGTCTTGGATGAGAATAGAACTTCAGGCAAAGGTGAGAGAAATACCAAAACAAGCACTCTGATGCTCAGATTTTCTCTAAATTTTGCACGCACACCGAGCATAGACCACACATCAATTCCTAAAAATGTTAGCTCGCACTTAACAGGGGCAGCAGGGGTATTTGATTGTGAGAAATATCTTTGCTAAAAAATTAGACCGACACGATTTTCTCTCTCTTACCATACACCATTCTTTCCCTAACCGCCGCCAGAGAATGACACGGCTCCGGAGCCGGCCGTTGGCTCCGGCTCTAAGCGGCTCCAAGCCGAGAGCCGGAAATGTGATCGAAATGTTTGCCGTGGCAATCTCTAACCGCCGCTAACCAGTAAAAAATCGTAGTCTGGTCATCCACGTAACTCAAAGGAAGTAACCAGAGTGAACTTTTCTGTTTGCTGTAAAATAAAGACCTCACATCAACAACAGAGCGCTTTACATTGTCTACATATGTAAACGTAACACTAGAAAATTTCCATTTGCTCGCAACTTCCAAATAATTGCATTTGCTTCAAATGAAATCAAACAACTGAGACTTCATTAACCCTTATTTATGTCTGTTTCATACTTTTGGCTTTGAAACTTGATTACATATAAGTACAAGTTGTGCCGAAGTTTTTGTGTCATACGACTTTTTAGCCATTCCATTTTTTACATTTAATCTATAAAGTTTAATACTTGTAATGTACTGCTTGCACTTTTAGGGCGTTTGAATTTAAATTCCGAATCCTTTATTACTCCCAAATAAGGGGTGTTTTCGCTGCGGGACCAAAAAATATGTAGTTTCTGCAGTGGAAAAAACTATTTTTTCTCTAAAGAAATATATGTACAAATCTTTTGTTAGCAAGTGCTAAGGGTGTGGGTTTACGTGCCTTGTGACGAATATGCAAATTCTAGCTTGCGTTTTGCAAAAACAACTCATTTTTCTGTTAGCAACTTCGCAAATGGTCATTTTTTTTGGCATGAAAGTTTCAGCAACATTTGTTCTTTAGATTTAGACTGAAAATTAAATAAAATTACGTCATAAGGCAAAGAAGTGTATCTTTTTCATTTAGCTTTTCTTTTTTCCTTTTCTAAAGACGGCAACGCCAATCAAAATCGCTCTTTTCAACCTCCGCTCGGTTAAATTTTCCTTTCTCTTTCAGGTATGGCATAACCACTGGCATCCTCCGGAAATTGACAATCACCAATATGACATAATTGTCACCTCCCTCACCAATTCAACCTTGCGTTTTGCTCTCGAATCCGGCAAGATTGCGCCACACACGATGGTAAATTACAGCCTAAACAAAGCGGGTCCGCTGGCACTCCTCGGCTACGAGGAGGACGACACTTGTGTCATGCTCATCTTTGCCCTCTCCAGCACGTTCGCCGAATACGGCCCGTACCTGGAGATGTGCGCCAGCATCTTTTGCATGTGCTGCAACTTCTACTCGGCCATGCGATTCATGCATGTCGGAACTTACAGTACGAATTTCCGGATTGTGATGGTATGTTTGGCTTTGTTGTTGCGCCTTGTTTGGAGATGCTGCCAAAATCTGCGAACGGCAGGAAGATTTGTAGTGTATGTAAAAGGATAAAAACGGAGGTTTTAATAAGAAGAGATGTTTTTACAACCTATTTTTAAAGCAAGGTCCAAATGAGCATAAACTTTATAGGGTTTGCGAGGGATTTTTTGAAAAAAGAAGTGGTTTTCATGCCACAGATTTCAAAGAAGTGATGAATTTCTTGCACTTGTAGCTTAGAAATCTCAGCAGTTTCTGCAAAACGCACGCCAAATTTTAGTCATATGTTTCTCGAAGAGCATAAAATTTTCGGTTTAACCTTTGCTATTTATTACCGAATTGATGCTATTACTCTGTCGGGAAAATAATGAGCACTCTCTCACAGCGAAAATTGCATCGCTGCAAAAAAAATAAATTGTGTCGCGATAAAATCGAGTTTCTTTGACTTTAGCGACGCGACTGATGCAGCGACATCGTGCTCATTATTTTCCCGACAGACTGACAAAAAGTAAAAATCTGTTGTCCAATTCATCTTACTTTCCCTTCTCAGATCTCCATGAACCTGATCGTCACCGGCACCGCCCTCTTCCGACCGATCTACGTCCTCGTCCCCGAGGAGGTATACAGTATTGAAGCTGGGAATTGCATCGCCGCAGTAGTTATGTACACCGCCGCCTACTTCCAACACATTTGCACCTACACTTTCGACGCCAAATACTTGATCATAGGCCTGGAGCGACGAATGGCCTACAAATTGAGGGCAACGTACGAACACAGTCAAGATAAGACAACACTAAAGGTTTTCGCGGGCATGGTAGTGACCGTGTGGATGATCGTCACAGTCAAAGCAATATGCGTGGTACTGCTTTCGCATGAAAATGTGGATCGTGTTTTCCATCGGGCATTTATCATGGATGGAAGCTTTTTTACGTTGGTTGGAGCTCATGTTATTGCGCTCGTTGGATGGGTCTATGGATATTATGTAGGTTTAGTCTTCAGAAATTGTTAATGAGACATAGACATGGATTTTGAGCCGGACCAAGACTCGCAGCCCAGTTCGCGGACCGGGAGGGTCGGCATGGCCCGGCATGCTTCAAATTTTCTTCGGCCCGGCGCGATAGAAGTCTTTCCCGGCTTGACGTTGCTATGCCTGCTAACATGTATAGTGGGGGACCCGATCCATTGGCAAAAAACGTACCATTTTGGATCCGTAATATCAAAAATGCAGCAAAATACCTCCCTCTCCAAGTGAAAAAACTCCGATTTCAAAAAGCGCGCCCGCTCTTTTTGTGAGGAAAAAGGGCGCGCATTTCAAAACAGAGTTATTTTTTATTGTAGTGGGAAGTATTTTGCCACATTTTTGGAACTTCCCGGATGCAAAATTATACGTTTTTTGCCAATGGATCAGGTCCCTCACTGTATAGAGAAAACCAACTTTTATTTTTAATTTTGCAATAATTTGTATCATTTATAAAAAAGATTCCACAAATAATTTCCATTTTCAGACATTCCACTACCTAAACAAGCAAGCGAAAAGAATAAAATATTGTGGAAGTTCGCTTAGTGAGTCATTCACAATCAAAGAGATTACAAATGTCATCAAAGCCGTGAGGCCGGTGATCATTGCGTACAGAACAGTCGTAATCGTGGGATTTTGTGTGCTGACAATCATAACGATATCATTCTATCTGGGAGCCATGGACGAGAACGATATTTACTATCAGGCCCTTGTTACGGTAAGGCGCTGGCTGAAAAGTGAAAAAAAAGAAAAATTTTTCATAGCAATTCCCATACATGTTTTATTCTACTTCCATCATTTTTCAGTTCGAATACGTGATGATCGACGTCTACAACGTCTACTCGAGCGGCTACATGATTTGGAACCTGAAGCCGCTGCGCAAAGCCTTCTTGGACGATATATCCTGCCTTTTCCCGAAGAAGGTGCTGATCACCGAAGTTGAGCCGGAGACAATCGAAAAGTACGACAACGAAGAGGAGACAAAAATATATTTTGAGCAACTTACTAGTAGCTGGAAATAAAAAAAATCGAATTGTCTCGAATAAATAGCTTTATCAACGACGTAATTCTTTACAACAGAAACAAAAATATTTAGAATAATAGCACTTCAAAAACACAATAAAGTCATGCAACAACACTCTACCCACCCCAACACTTGAACCAACGACACCTACTCAACTACAACTCTCCAACACAAAAAACCCCGCAACACGAAAACAACGACCAATCGATTATCAAATGGGATCGAGGTGGATAAAGATTACGCTTCCTTGATTCAGGAACTTCGCTTCGAAACCGCTCAATAGAACATTCTCGAACACTGGGAAAAAAGCTAGGGAAACAGTTGACACCGGGGGACATCTCTCTTCTTAACTTCAGAAATTACGTCGAGTTGAGCTATGATTGAATCCACAGATTGGATAGAATCTGAAACTTGAGATACACATAATGTTTGACTGAATAAAGAATAGTTTCCTTTTTACGTAGTTAAAAAAATGCAAAAACCTAAAACGACCAACAAAACACACCAATGTTTGGCTTATATTTTGAACAAAATTGTACCACACAAGCCTGGAAATTATATAAAACGGCTCCGTTTGCAATTGGATTCCCTGTTTGTTGTGGATGAGGAAGTATGCGGCCTTGGAAGAAAGATACTTATGTTGGATGAGGACCTCTTCGATAAACTACCGATTTTGAATGCCTTGACTTACTGGTCTTTTAAAATCTACAAAGGCATCTCCTCAACTCGCAATATATATTTTCAGCAATGATTTCGTTGTCTGGTTTAGGCCCGAATCTTTGCATTGTTTTCTTTTCAGCCCTCAATTTCTACAGTAGGTTTGTAAAATTGTCGGAAAAATTTTTTAACCACAAAACATTTGTTTGTTGTCTTTTTACCCCACCATTCTCTCCATATTCAACTCTGGCTGTTACATAAACACATGTACGTACGAAGATGAAAATTGTTTGTGATGCCGGTAATTCGACTCTTTATAAAAAACGATAAAGACCACGAAAAATTGGCACACAATGGAAGATTACTGCGACCATCGGCAGGTCTTGAACGTTTTATTTCATCAGCAAGAGCCTGAGATCTTCGAATGCGCACATCATCGGCATGGCCATCAAAGCAAGCAGTGTATGTTGCCGGGAATAATGGTGGAGGTACGATGAATATTTGGCACGACCGTAACCATCTCCTACGAAATTTTTTTGCAGATTCTCGCTCTAGTCGCCAAGAAAGGCCGGTTCAGATTGAACTTTACAATTGATCCTGCCGAGACGTATGACTATGACGACACATGTCAACGTCTAAACAACGATAAGATTGACATCTTTGGGTTCACCGTCAGACCAACTCAGCGACTCCAACAGTCTTGCGATTTTAGCGCTTCGTTGTATATGGTAGGAGTTCTCGTGCATTCATGGCATTTATCAGTCTGTCGGGAAAATAATGTGGATTCATCGAGCCTGGAATTGTCCATCTTCGCTTTGAGACGGCTAGCGGAGATTTGGTGCGATAGGGCGAGACATACATACTGCAGCGATAAATCCACATTATTTTCCCGACAAACAATATATTCCTGCATAAATAATCTGCTGTAGATGCGACCCCGCATATTTCTAAAAGCCGTCGACGCAATTGGCCAAGGCTGGTGGAATTTGGTGATGGTTTATGATCGGTATACTTGGATGATCATGTTACTTTCGGTTCTATTGCAATCTTCTTTTATATACGTTGTTTATTGCTCGGAAATTCGGTTGCATCTTAGGAAGCGTGTAAAAGGCCCAGATGTAAGTGATTTTCACACCAAACAATCGTTTGGGAGGAATACTTATCATTCCCTCCTTATACATTATATTATATCTTATATTACTTCATGTTCATTGCAGGTCATCTGGAAGGTCGGTCGTCTTCAGCTCTTCCAGCCTGAGCCTTTTTATTTCAAGCTCCGGTCCGGAGCATGCTCGATCTCGCTATTCGCCCTGTTCCAGGGCTCATTGATGCTGGGAATTTACTCTTCATGTTGCTTGTCAGCGCTTATTCGACAACCAAACTACAATGAAATGCGCAGAGAGTCGTATGTCTACGACCAACTGAGGAAAGGAAAGAGGAAACTGCTGTCGTGGGGACCGCTCTACAAATTTAGAGAAAGGATTTTCAATAGGACCGAGCAAGCGTACCTGGAGTTACAGAGGGCCGTGGGAAGCCATGGACTGGAGAGTCATTGGACAACAGACTGTACGTCTCCGAGGAATATTATATATCTGTATTTACATGAGTACAGCAAATGGCTCAATCAGCCTTTCTCCTACCGTGCCGGGTATCAATAGTTTCCTCGTATTGATTCCTGTTTAAAGTAGAAGGCATGTACAGGGTGTTTCAAGAAATTTGGAACAAATGATTTGCTTATATCTTTGTGTTCTTTGAAGCTATCAACGAATTTCTTTTTGGTTCTAAAAATTGACAGCGTGCGTTTTTAGAACCTCAAAAATTTTTTTTTTTCGTCGGCGGAGGGCCCATTTCTCGGCGTAGAAAATTAGGGCCTTTTTTAAAAATCACAGCGTATTACGTGGCGGAAAGGCCGTTGCAACGGCTGAAATCAAGTTTACGTAATACCTCCATCGATTTTACGGTATGCTTTTTTTTGCGTTTTCGATTTTACGCACTTCCGCGGATGCGCGGCGGAGACCTCAGATTTCGGCGGACGTTGTTTTGGGCCTTCGGCTGTTGCAATTCATGTTGGAAAAGATGTTGTGGTGATTTTTTGTTGTCATCCGATGCACAGATGGCAAAAATTTCGTGCTTTTTTCCCCGGCGGAGGATTCGGCGGAGGCTTTATCAAAGGGTCAAAGCTGTCTTACGAGTCCGGGAAAAATCTCAGCTACAAGAATCCATCAGAGCAGCATTGTCTTTCAAAGATTTTTGATTTTTTTGGTCCGGCGGACAAATCGGCGGAGTCTTGTTTTTACCCTTCGATAAAGCCTCCGCCGAATCCTCCGCCGGGGAAAAAAGCACGAAATTTTTGCCATCTGTGCATCGGATGACAACAAAAAATCACCCCAACCTCTTTTCCAACATGAATTGCAACATCCGAAGGCCCAAAACAACGTCCGCCGAAATCTGAAGTTTCCGCCGCGCCTCCGCGGTGCGCGTAAAATCGAAAACAAAAAAAATGCATATCGTAAAGTCGACGGAGGTGTAACGTAAACTTGATTTCAGCCGTTGCAACGGCGTTTCCGCCATGTAATACGATGTGATTTTTAAAAAAGGCCCCAATTTTCTCCGCCGAGAAATGGGCCCTCCGCCGACGAAAAAAAAATTTTTTTGAGATTCTAAAAACGCACGCTGTCAATTTTTAGAAGCAAAAAGAAATTTGTTGATAGCTGGAAAGAAAAAAAAGATATAAGCAAATTATTTGTTCCAAATTTCTTGAAACACCCTGTACAAAGTCCAATATAAATGCTGGTGTTATGCATTTAACACAAGACTGCCTAAAATTAGCCAAAGCTTCTTGAACAGTTTTCCGAACCAAAGCTTGACGTTTCAGCAATGCTTGACTCCTTTATACACCACAACAACTTTATCTATGATTACAAGACCTCTGGTATTGGTCTAATGGCCCTCGAGTTCTGCGACACCATGATCGCGGACATTCGCTACCCCGAGTTCTCTCGACACTTGATGATGTCCAAGAACAACACACATAAGCCGGTCATTGACAAGATTATCCGAGAGAATCAGCCCAAAATAAGAGCGATTTATGACAGCTACATCAAGAGGAAATCTCAACACAAATGCTCCAAATTCCGAGTGGGAAATCCGTTGAGTAGGTCGAGGGAAATGATGTCAAAAAATAAATTTCTAGAGCTAAATTACTACTACGGTCTACTTATCGTCTGTGGAGTTGCAATGACAATTGCGACGCTGATCTTCTTCTGGGAAACGCTCTACCAGAGGTATCATTACTATAGAAGAACAAAGATTTCTAAAAATAATGGCTTCACTTTCAAAAAGAGCATCTGGATGGAGTCTTGGTAGCCGGCTTGAAATGACTATACGATTAACTTTTTTTAAGTTTTTGATTAAAGGATTGGTCAATCTGTAGAAAGAAAGTCCTGGTAACCTAGAGTCAGACCTGTACAATTAAACTAATGTATCACGAAAACCACCTTTCTATTATGTTTTGCTCCTTGTGTGTCCATAGTTTACAAGTAAGCAACACGTGCGTTTCGTTAATTACTCATTCCGTAAGTTACATAAACTATTTATCCGTCTGTCAGAAAATTTGAGGCAAGTAATCGCGACAAAATTTCTTGCCTCGTAGAAAAAGGGAGTAGTAGCGCACCATGTCTCCAGCTACAACTAGTCGTCTCAAACCGATGATTGGCGGATTACAAGACGAGACGAGCCGCCGTGATTTCCCCGGCAGGCTGAAAATAAGCTCGTAAACCGATCTGCCGGTCTGGCTATGCAATACAGCCTCTCTACAATGAACAACAAAACCTCTTTATAACGAACAATCTTAGATCTTCTCGTCCCTTGTAATAAACTTTTTTATTCAGACGTTTGACTATGTGTAACCTTTAAATTCCGAATTCTTATAAAACCTCCGGAGAAAACACAAATTATGATAAACATTTTATACCTGCCTCTTTGGTTGTGTTGTGCCCAGAACATACGTGTGGGCAGAGACCGAAAACAGCGGAAACCCCGTTGTTGAATGCCATTAAGAAACGTGCAATCCGAGAACGGACAAAGACCACACTCTCAGAGCTCCATGCAAATGTGGGGTGTGCGGTCTCATGCAGAATTACTCGGACAATCGGTCGGTCTTGAACGTGCTGTTCCATCCACAACATCCCGACATCTTCGAGTGCGCCTATGAACGACACAGCATCTACAGCAAGCAATGTCTGATGCCCGGCGTGATGGTGGAGGTTGTTTATTTAGGCCTGAAATGGGCTCTCCCAAATCTCTATGCTATATAGGTTTTGTTATATTGCAAATTTCAGATCCTAAGCTTCATTGCGAAGAAGGCCAATCTCACGTTGAAATTGACAATGGATTACGACATTCTTTATGATTATGAAGATATTTGCCGACGGCTAAATCAAGGGGAAATTGATGTTTTTGGGAGTACGGTGCGATCAATGTCAACGCTGCGGGAAAACTGCGATCTTTCCGTTACTCTGTACAGCGTAAGCACAAAATTAATATGATTTTAACTGATCAGGTTAAACCCTACATCTTTACCAAAACCATCGACCATGTCGGAAGCGGTTGGTGGAATCTGATGACCATCTATGACAAGTTTACATGGCTGTTCATTCTTTTATCTATCCTCTTGGAATCCACCTTTATCTACCTAATAAGCAAGTGCGAGCAACGATTGGGCCTAGATACCTCTATAAGTGCGACAAATGTATGTCCGTAATACAATCTCCGATACATTCTATTTCTTCTAGATCATCTGGAAGATGTTCCGAATTCAGTTATACCAATCAGAATCGACCAGATTCAAACTCTCCTCAGGCAATCTTTCCATCACACTGTTTGCTCTATTACATGGCCCAATTATGTTGGGGATATATTCGTCCAGTTGTTTGGCCGCCTTAATGCGGACTCCGGATCAGCGGACACTTCAGAGCGAACACTACATTTTTGAGAATCTCCGGAAAGGAAGAAAGAAACTGGTTTCGTGGGGCCCGATGGAGAACTTCAGAGAGCAGATCTTTAATCACAGCGAACAAAAGTTCCTGGATTTACAGCGAGCTGTTGGCGATAATGGGTTGGAAACGCATTTAACATTCCATGGTTGGTTTATTTCAAAAACATAATTTTTTGGAAATTTTGATCGATTAATTTCGAAACGATTAGCAAAATAAATCTTCAGGTCAAGATCGTACCTTATACAGTATTTGTTAGGCTTCCATACTACAAAAACTGCCTATAATAAACAATTACGAATGTCCCAAAAGCCAATTTTATCCCAAAAATAACCCTTTCTATAACAGTTATATATTGCTTGCCCTTGAAAGGTTATGAGTTATTACTTATAAGTTTATTGCAATTTCAATAACTTCTTAAAAAGATGTGTATAATAATGATGCCTATAAAGGGTCGATTATATAATTACACTATACAGTAAGATATATGAAGGGGAAACAATATATATATAATAAGACAATTACTGGGCCTACTCCAGACGGAGGGGCGCGTCGGTTCTCCCGAACCTCCTCCCTCCTTGACTCCCAAATCAACTAACTAATTCTTATCAAGGGTACCTACGACCCTTTCGAGTCGGGGCGTATCTATGATGTGTCGCGCTGCTATTGGGCACATATAACTCCTTTCATATTTTTCCGTTAGGATGCCTCCGGCATCCTGCATTAAATTTTAGATACTGCTTTTACAAGAAGCTCTAGAAATTTGGTCTACTTTGTCAGGTTAGACCTGAGAAGTAGTGTTGGTTATAAATGTGATCGGAAATCAATCTAGCGGAGATGTCTAGGACTCAGGTTAAGACAGGATTTTTTTCTAACAGTGGAAGACATTAAAGCTTTCAATGTATTATATAATCGAAAAACTTCTTGGCATTGAGCTTGGGCGTATGCATCTGGAACTTTATCCTCTCAGGTCGTTGTTTGGATTTGTCGCGTTTGGTGACAGTCGGTATTGACATCATGGCTTTTCCTGGGCAGGTGAATGATGTTGACAATTTTTGGGTAGAAAGATACCATCCATTCACATTTTTTTCGATCTCATGTTGTTTCGGACCATGCCAGACGGGAATGGGACCCTTCCGTTGCAATGACCATAGCAGATACCCAGGGTGTACCATCAGCTTGTTCGATGATGTCGAACTTTACCATTTTGCCTATGCGTTCTAGAAGCTGCTGTCGATATTTTGATGTATCTGGCAGGGCTCTGTGTAAATTATCGCAATTCCTAGTCGTAGGCTATCCCGTGAGAAAATATCTTCATACTCGCTGATCAAATTTTATAAATTGATGACGTTATCAATTATCAGCTAGAAGAGATTCTTCGGCTTTGGTGAGATTGAAACTATCACTTTAGATAAGGTATTTAACATTTCCTCGTCTATGGGTTCTAAAAATTCCTTGTGTAATACTAGGATGTATCTGAACGGCCTCTGGTGCTAAACTGTCACTATAAATTTCAGATTGAGCTAACCTTTAAAATACCGTGTCTTTCTGTGCTCTTAGTCGGGCAGGAAAGTGGTTTTGACTTATTTATAATTTCTGGGGCAAAAATTTTGTATGCTCCCTGGTCTGTGTGGAAGCTCATGGCGGGAAATGCTTGATCACCTAAGGTGATGAGCTTCTTATCCTGGTCTAGGTAGAGTGTGAAAAAAATTTTTTTTTTCTGAAACGTCATTTCCTAATGAGATAGTGTGTCCACAATCATCAAAAGGAGTATAAGAAAATAAAGCAAACTACAAAATTGACTACTACTATTATAATCATCCACGTATAATTTCGCGAGGTTTATACGAAGTTAAGAAATAATAACAGTGCCATAAAATGAGTTGAATTGGCAGGAATTCGGGTACGGATGATCGGGAGATCGAGAGTAAAGGTAGCGTTTTGGCTCAAGAATCGTTGGCTACAACGGTTGATAAGATAAGTTTGGCCGAACTTTCTAATCAAGTTGATAGCGGCGATATACGTATACGAAAAGAAACTGGTCTCGGTCGCATCGAGACGGTCGTAAAGATATGGGGGTCGCGGCGTGCCAGGTGCAGTGCAACTACAGTACGTAGCCGTCAGCCTTTTCGAGCGGTGCATTACTAAGACGCTAATAATCCATAATTGCGTGGCAACGGTAGCGCATAATGCTTAACCTACTCTAGAACAGTGTTCGGGGGCCCACACATTTTACCTCGCAGAGACTCATGCTCTTCAACCTATAACAGACCTATGAAACGCACAGAAAGGTAGACCACTTTACGGTACTTAGCAGTCGTATTCACGGACGGCGCCCATACACCGTCACTTAGTCTAGCTATAGGTATCCCGATCCTAAGCAAGGGGGCACTACTAACTGGGGCGGATGAACGCGACTCGCTGCTACCAGTTATATATTGCTTGCCCTTGAAAGGTTATGAGTTATTACTTATAAGTTTATTGCAATTTCAATAACTTCTTAAAAAGATGTGTATAATAATGATGCCTATAAAGGGTCGATTATATAATTACACTATACAGTAAGATATATGAAGGGGAAACAATATATATATAATAAGACAATTACTGGGCCTACTCCAGACGGAGGGGCGCGTCGGTTCTCCCGAACCTCCTCCCTCCTTGACTCCCAAATCAACTAACTAATTCTTATCAAGGGTACCTACGACCCTTTCGAGTCGGGGCGTATCTATGATGTGTCGCGCTGCTATTGGGCACATATAACTTAACGAAACTTAACAAAGAGATTTCGTCCTTACTCCCTTAGAGTGTACGATCTTAAAATTTCCTAATACGGATAAAAGTTAATCATAAAAATCTAATTTTTGACTTCAGCGATTCTCGACTCTTTCAACCACCACCACAACTACGTGTACGACTACAAAAACACGGGTATTGGCCTCAAACTGCTCGAATCTTGCGATACCAATGTTGCCCACATTTATTTGCCCCCTGTCACCCGCCATTTGATGCTTACGAAAAATAGTCCACACACAAAAGCGATAAATGAAGCGATAGAGCAAAACCACGCAAAAATCATATCAATCTATCGGAGTTACATTAGCCGCATGTCATCAACCGTTTGTAAATCCTACAGAATTGGAGATCCACTCAGTAAGTTGACGACGACTTTTGATGACTCTGAAATTTCAGAGCTAAGTTTCTACTACGGAGTTCTTCTGGTCTGCTCTGGCATCCTCACAGTTTCACTTGGCCTGCTGCTTTTGGAAAGGCTTCATTTCAAATTTAAACGTCTGAATAGGGCGATTCAGAGCATTTGTGAATGAGCAATGAACTAGATTTACTATTAAATTCGTATAATATTTTTCTCTTATACGGCAGTGGTCTTACAAGGATGCAACTTGTAAGGCCTGCCCGATTATGCAATTTTAGATCAAACCCCCAACGTTGCAGACCAAAACCCTACGTTTTATAGATTAAACCCCCAGTTACCGTCCAAATTCTTTCTTGTGCTTCGGGCAACGAGGAACGTAGCCGAGATAAACCAATCCCGTAGGCGATTCAGATTGGAAGAAGGGGTTTGTACTGGGTCATGGGGGTCTGGGGGTTTGTACTACCTTAGCCCCAAATAGCCTCAAAACCATAGGAGGAAGAAAACCTTTGATACTGCAAGGAATTTTCCTAAGCCTATGCCGACCGGTCGATTAGGCCTGGATTGTTGAACTGCTTTCTTTTTGCGGGTTTATTACATGCTACTTCTAACCGTAATACCCGCTTCACGTCAATCAAAAATAGAAGAGACAAATTTCCCGCCCCTTTTTGGTGATTCGTTCACAACGAAGTGTCACTATCGATCAAAAATATGTATTTTCTTACCTCTTTCTTCTTCCTTCTCAGAAAAAAATAAACATTTATAATACTTCCGGCGAAAAAGGCGACGATATTTTCGTGACATCCCGCCCCTTAAATCTGCCCACCTCATACTGCAGTGCCTATAAAGTTATTTATTGTGGAAAAGGATTACTTGTCCATTTGAAGCTCTTCTGTTTTTGTATGATGACTGTATCCATTGCCACTCCTACGGTCAAAATCTTATGACTAAACACAATCGCCTTCACAAGTAATAAATAATAACTCGTTTATTATGATTTTGTAAGTATGAGCCAGTATCACAATGTCATTTATACACAAACAAGACCTTCCTTCTTTGAAGAAAAGAACAAAAGTTGAGAGGACTAAACTTTGAGATGTATGAAGAGTAAATTGAAGGTAAATTCCACCCTATTTTGTAATATAAATTGTATACATTTATATGTAAAGTGCCTGTAAGCTCTATTCGCTTTGTTCCACGTCCGTTTCCTTTGATTTCTCCTCGTGTTGGATGAGGTTTTTGGCTTCGATTGGCATTATTTCGGCTTGCTCTATTGTTACGGGAAGCTTGGCTCCGCCTCCGCTGGCCCACGATTGGATTTCGGCTTCTCCAAAGCAGGTAAACACAGCTGCACTGGAGAGAGTGAAAGCCCCAACTATGTAAAAAACAAGTCGCCATTCTTCAACGGTACCCTGGAAAAGAAGAAATAAGATTTTTGATGATTTTTCAAGATTTTGATAAATAAGTCTTCAAAATTCGCAGAAAGAATCTATTTTTCTTTATTCAAAATTTTGGCCAGGCATACTGCAATATTCTACTGCAATTTCAGAAGCCATTACAATCATATTCCTGACTTACATGAACTCTAATAACCGATACCATCAAGGGTAACATCATAGTGCCAAAAATCAAAATTGTCGACGAGATGGAGGTCAGAAACCCGGTGTAGATCGGAGCCAGTGACACCAGCGCCGTCACCGCGCCACTCGAACTCGTCCCCATGCAAAACGCCATAGTTGTCATTAACCCAATCGTTAGTAATGGATTTGAGCAGTCCGAAAGGTAGCCGATAAGAATGAAGGCTAGTCCACAGGAAATGGAGCCTGGAAATTGGGGTAAAGTTAAGTCATGGGTAGAACTCCACTTAAGAAGGCACAATAGAACGCCAACAAAGAATATAGGACTCAGATTTTATTATATTATAATAACTTGATATACTCTGAATAAATGAGTTGTTGCGGGCTCTATTGCTGTAGTACTGCAGTAACGGGCTCAGGTTTTGCGCTTTTACATATGTAAAACTAACTGCATATCGCTTCCAAAGGTTCGCGGGGTAATTTTTCGGCACACCAGCGTTAGAATAGCTAACTTCCGCTACAAATACGAATTTGCCGAATAACAGTCTGTCGGGAAAACAATGAGCACAATATCGGTGCCAAGATTGCGTTGCTGAAGTGAAAGAAAATTTGACCTTTCCGCGACACAATTCATTTTCTCAGCGAAGATGCAATTTTCAATGCGACAGACTGTTTTTTCACTATTTTTCCGACAAGCATACTATAGGTGCTTTACCCTAAACGCGGCTTACCAATCGCATGTGATATCCGACAGCCCATGGTGTGAGTAATGATCTTCTTCCGTTTTAATCGGTCAATAAAGATGGCCCATGATATTTTGGAGATGATTTGGAAGAATGGAGGGATAGCGCTGTACAGACCATTCTGAAAACCGATTTAATGTAATATTTCTGCCTTTTTATAATTGCAAATTTAGCTGTAGTTTTTAAAATACGGCGTCGTCTCGTCAGCATACATAGCTTGGAGATCTAAATTAGAAAACAAAAAATTCGTAACACTCACCTCTTTCATGTTCAAAAACAGCACTTCTTTGAAGAATATGGGCATGAACAGCGAGACCATCGCAAAGTAGAAACCAAATGTAAAGTGAACATAGAGGGCCGACAGCACCGGTTTTGATGTGAAGATCGCCTTGAACGGAATTGAAGGCCGCTTTCCGTGCAGCTTTTTGTTGTGCGTGTGGATGTGTTGCTCAAGATATATCCGCTCACTTTCGGATATAACCTTTGATTTGGATGGGGAGTCGACTCCAACAAAATGAAAGATGGTCAGCCAAACAAACATTAGGATGGCTGAAAAAGAAAAAAAGGGTAAAATAAGGGATTTATGTTTGTAGGGGAGATTTTCTGTCTCTTGGAGGTTGTTGGGGTGATTTTTCAAATGTGTTTCAAATTGCATAGATGGCCGAAAATGATCAGAAATGGGCCTCAAGGCAATTTAAGAGTATCTGTAGAGGTATCCGAGATATTCAACGGTCTTTGCCAACGGAAGAGAAAGTAAAACGGCCACAGGCAGAAAAAAGTGTGGGAAAACCCTCTGCAAAGCTAGCCTAGCGCTTTTACTCTCTTGTGTCAATCTGTCGGGAAAATAATGTGGATTAGTCACACCTTAGAATCGCCCATCCTCGCTTTGCGACGGCTAGCCAAGAGATTTGGTGCGCGACTGCGATGAGGCGAGATATTTTGCTGCGAAAAATCCACATTATTTCCCCGACAGACTTTTATGTCATAAAATTCGTCAAGTTGCTACCTAGGCTTCTTGGTTTTTTCTACATACTGCAATCTAAGAAAATTTATTATGTCGTAGAAATTTCAACTCTAAATTTTAAAATTTTTTTCCATGTACCTTTTCATCTTTTCTTTGCAAAAAATTAGCGAATCTTATTTACCAACAAATCACTTACAAGTCGAATAAAAATTCCCCGCCCATCGCAGAACGGAGGCGCAGAACATCGCCGTTACCGGTGGAAATAGGACCCCAGCCAGCTGGGATCCGATGGTAAACACAGCGATGGCCTGACTCTTCTCGTGATTCGGAACCCATCGACTGATCAACGAGAATATTGAAGGCGAAACAAAGCCCTAAAAATATAGAATCTGTTCTCAGAAATCCGTATAACTTCCACGCAACGCCTACTATATAAATAAGTCATCACTCACCTCTCCCAATCCAGAAACAAATCTAGCCATTAAAACCGCGAAAAAGTCCAAGTACATGGCCAAGAATGGAAAGACGGCGTTCATGATGGAAAATGTAAGAGTTGCGACTTTGATCAGAGTCACTGGTGAGTAGCGGTCCGCCAAGTAGCCGGCCGGAATCATTGTCATGATCGAGCCGAGACTCATGGAAGATAATAAAAGGTTCTGTTCATGCCGGGACCAGATTATGTCTCCCTGAAAAAATAAAAGGAAATTTCTAATATACCTGCAGGGGATCGTCAAGTTTAAAAAATAAGACGTGGGATTTGTCACCCTGTCGGGAAAATAATGAGCAACCGTTGAATCAAAATTCGCATCTCTTCCAAGAAAATGAATTTTGTCGCGAAAAAATTGCTTTACACAGGCGCAACGACATTGTGCTCATTATTTTTCCGACAGATGGATATTGAGGCATAGCTCTTCTACAGAGCCCGCTAGACTCCGAGCAACCGCTTTGCAAAAAGCGCTGATAACCAAGACCTCCGAGGCCTGCAATCTGATGACGGTTTGAGCCTGGAAAACGTCAGCTAAAACTTTCCAAAACTGCTACAGGCCCAGCTGATTACACGCACAAAGTTTTACGAAAAAATAGACGTCTTATATATATCCACCTGTCGGGAAAATAATGTGGATTCATCCCTCCTTGGCATCGCCTATCATCGCGTTGCTAAAGCTAGTCGCGGCTGGAGATCTGACTGCGATAATGCAAGGCCTTTTTGCGACAAATGCACATCATTTTCCCGACAGATTGGCCCTAAAAAATTATGGTGTCTGCTGGAGACTTGTCGGATATTTGCACAGCTAAAAGTCAACTACACCATAAAAAAAATCGGAACGAATGATCCGTAATGCAGCGAGGAAGAAGCTTACTCCATAGTCATTCAATGCCTTGCTGTTACTTCCAGTCATGTTACTGTACCCACTTCTGAGAGCATTACACTTCATTGTGTACTCATTCAAGATTTCGCGACCCCTTTGAATCGGCTCTTTGTCTGTTTGTGTGTGTTGTAGTGCGACCGCGGTGCTGTTCACCATACATGTTAGACTCATTCCTAAAAATAAAAAAATGAACGCAAAAAAATTGGGTACGATGGCTGTGGTAAAAGGGATTTTTTGCCATAACAAATTTATCTTATCAGTGCTCAAATTCCGGCCCTAGGTTCAGGTGACAAACTCACCTAAGCTGCCCCGCATGTACTGCATCACGCACATCCCGAACATCAGCGAGATGATTATGTACATTCGTTGAGAATAGATATTGAAAAATACTGAAAGTTTGAGTCTTTATCATCATATATACTGGCATAAATGACCGCAAAATTCGACTTACATTGAGCTTTCTTTGACGATACCATTTTGCGAGAAAGTTGTAAAAAGTAGCCGTATTTGGAAGCAATTTGAGATATATACGACGAGACTAATTCTACCCGGAGATTCTGATAAGCCCTTTACCTTGCCTGAAAATTTTTTATTTTAGCCGTGACGGAGAAAAGTGGGGGTCTAAATTTGTTATAAAGTCATCGCGGAAATTCGCGAAAAGTGGAGAGGTACAATATTGCAAATACCAGAAGGTAAGACCCACAGATTTCCCCTAAATCTTGTACATGCATAGCGTCTAGGACACATAGAAATTCCAGAAAATTTTAGCACCTGTCTTGCAGTGGAAGCACAGATATTCAACGATTGTTTCCGACTAGAGAGAGCGCGAAATTTGGAGAGCGGACAGAGAAAAACAAGTCTTTTTGGTCATATCTACGTCAAAGTGGGACGAAAAAGACTGATTATTCAGCGAAGGCATTATCTTCTGTCGGTAGAAATGAAACTTTTTTGATCTCAAAGATGCCAAAAAAACTGTCAAATCTTCACTAACTTCCGGCTTAGAAACGTCAAGAATCTCGCAGAGGCCTTTTTTTGTTAGTAAAACCTCCAAATTTGTCAAATTTCGTTAAGATCTAAAGGCCGAGACTTTGAGCAACTTATTTCGGATATATCAGTCTGTCGGGAAAGTATAATAATAAGCCCTCTCATCGACACTATGCTCATTATTTTCCCGACAGACCGAAAAAAATTAATAAACGGTCCCCGAACGCTCTATAAAAGCCCCAAAAAACTCCACTCCAGACGACCTTAATGCCCATAATTCCACAGAATTGTCGGGACACAAGGGAACACTTTGCTCTAACAGAGCGGAAAAGCCATCAAACCTGTTAAAACAACGCAAATTGGACAAACAATGAATGACAAATTCAGAAATAGCGTCTATTCAACCCGAATACAATAAATTGGGCCGCCCATAAGACAATGCCGAACAATTCAATAAGTTATACTCCTTGCGGCCAGAGGAGGGGAGGTTTAAAAAACGGAATGGGACATTGAACGCCAGAGGACAGCAGAATCTGGCCCTAGGCTAGAAACTAGAAAGTATACGGGAGGGAAACCGGTGAGATTTTGAGGACATTGAACAAACTCATGGCAACCGAAAGTTGGAGTGGGAAAAGTGTGAAAACAAAAGGGAACTGCAAAATCCAGAGAACCGTTCGCTGTGAAATTATAAAATTTTAATTTCACAGGTGTAAAAGTGCAAATGTGACGCTTGAAAATTACAGATGTTATACTTGAATAAAAAGATTAAGGTTTGAATTTTTTAAAGCATTGGTATGTCGGGAAAATAATGACGCAATGTCGCTGTGCCGATATGGTCGCTGAAGTAAAAAGTAATTTGATTTTTCATTTTTCTCGGCGGCGATGCGATTTCCGATGCGACAGAGTGCTAATTATTTTCCCGACAAACTAATATGAAACAGATTTTCAATTTACAGCTTGAAAAAAATCTAGTTCGCTACATCGAAAAACGATAAACAGGCAAAAATTTGTAAGTTTTAGAATGGACTTTCAGCTCCATTTCTGCGGGAGAAGGAAAGTTTTTCGCAAAAAACACATCTTTACAAGCGAAACATGGAAAGATACAGTCGATGGACAATCTGATTTTCAGGCGTTTTTATCTCGCCTATTCAGGAGTTGAGGCCAAAAAAATCACAGTACCAGTCTGTCGGGAAAATAATGAGCACAATGTCGCGGCGCCGATTACGTCGCTGAAGTCAAAAGCAATTTGATTTTGCCACGACACAATTCATTTTCTCGGCGGTGATGCGATTTTCGATGTGACAGAGTGCTCATTATTTCCCCGACAGAATAATAAGCTAGGCTTTCGAAACTTTTTAATGCCCTTTGCCATTCTCGGCTCTCTCTCGTTAAATATGCACATAAACACCTCCTAAATGTGTGAAATGTAATATTCTGAGAAGAACCCTTTGCCCTCTAATCCGCTTTACTGCAGGAAATCCGGCTTGCGGAATGCTGGGAGATCTTGAGAAAACGGCGAACGCCTTTGCCATTTCCCAAAACGCACGTAAACAGAGGGGTCCCAGAAGCTTCTAGAGATGAATTTTCGATGAAATTTTGAATATTCCCTTAGGCAATTTTGGGAGAAAATCATAGTATTGACCAAGAAATGGTCAGAAAAAGTTGTAGGCCCCGAAAAACGTCTTAAGGACAATTAAAAATTGAAAAAATTTCGTTTTTAACTAAATACAAAAATGACCCAAAAAACGGGCGAGTAAAAGTCCAACATATCCAAAAATATTCTAGGCATATAAAATGAGAAAATTCGAACGGCATGTTGTAAACACCTGTTCGCCACTTGACACTCCTTATTTCAAAAAACGAAATTAAAAAACGGAAAATAAAAAATATGAAAAGTGACTCGACAAAGAAGATTAGCAGACATAATAAAAGAGAAAACTTCTAGTCGAGGAAAACGGCCAGAATATTAAGAAAAACATACCAAAAATTTGACAAGTAAATTTTGAAAAACTCGGTACAGAGTTTTAGATTTAGTTTTTTTAAAGGAAAATACGAGATTTTTGACCCTCCTTTTTCAAAAACAATTTTTTTGGGTCAAACGTCGGCGAAAATAAGTCTATTTATTTGAGTTTTGAGATGAAAAATACTAACATGGGAGGTACCCCAAGTGTGACATTCAGATTTCTTTGAATTTTGGGTATACTTTTGACATTTGCACATATCAATTCCTAATAATCATGCTGAAACTCGAAAAGATTGTGATTTTCCCAACAGTCTTAGAAAAAATCGAGCTAACAGGGGAAGTACTCCAAGTGCCGATTTTTTCTTCTTTCTCTGACCGCTCTCTTCCTTTTTGTGCGTGCGCCCTCTTCCTCTCGCCAATCGCAAATCGTTATTTCGCGGATCGCCACGGCTTTGACGAAATTCCCTTTTTATTTTGACGTGCGCCGAGATATCGAACGATTTTGCCGCCGAGAGAGCACGCTAAACGTGGAGAGCGGTCAGAGAGAAAACACCTTTTTGGCCATAACTTTGGCAGTTTCGAGCGGAAAAATTTGATTTTTTGTAGAAACATTATCCTTTACGGTTGAAATAGGCATGAAACTTTTCGTGCCGAAATTCGGCAAAAAGTGTCAAATTTTCGCCGACTTTCGATCTAAAAATCTCGGTTGTTTCTGCAAACCGCGAGCTAGGATTCCCGCATATATCGTAGAAAAAATTACTCTAAATTTGTGCTAAGTTTCATCAAAATCTGAGCGTCGCACTTGGAGTACTTCCCCTGTAAGTTTTTCGCCGAATTTCATCGAAATCTGAGCGTCGCACTTGGGGTTCCCCGAAACTTTTAAAGGTTAAAATATGGCCGATTCCAAGCGTCTGGGCAAAAACACAAAGCAAATCAAAACGCCGCGCTTTCAACACTTTTTGTCTTCGAAAAAAGATCCGAAAAAGCCGACTTCCACAGAGAACACACAAAATTTGTCGGATTTTTATGCAACTCTTACGAATTATACTCTAAAACAACGGGATATTTGCTCAAGTGGGCAAACAAAATTTTCAAAATACTTCCGAATTTGCGTGTCCAAGAGAAAAAAGGAAAATATTCAAAAGCTAAAAAAATGTTTCGAAATTTATCATCCGTTCCTTTTCGGCGAGTGCGAAGGCGTTAGAAGAGGTCTTTTTTGGATTAATAAGTCTTTTATATATATGAGGGCCGAAAGGCATCAAAAAAAGGTTAAGATGCTGTGCACGAGTCGAAGAAAAGGTTAATTCAAAAAAAAATTGCAAACTTTGGACTAAAAATTTCTAACAAGGGAAGTACTCCATGTGCGACGCTCAGATTTTGATGAAACTTGGCACAAATTTAGAACAATTTTTTCTAAGATATATGCGAGAATCCTAGCTCGCGCTTTGCAGAAACAACCGAGATTTTTAGAACGAAAGTCGGTGAAAATTTAGGACTTTCTGCGGAATTTCGGCACGAAAAGTTTCATGCCTATTTCTACCGGAAAAGATAATGTTTCTACAAAAAATCAATTTTTTCCGCACGAAACTGCCAAAGTTATGGCCAAAAAGCGTTTTTTTTTTCTCTGACCGCTCCCCACGTTTAGCGTGCTCTCTCGGCGGCAAAAATCTTTCGATATCTCGGCGGCGCCCATAAAGCGCGAGCTAATACTTTCAGGAATTGATATTTAGTCCATACCCGACGTGTGTGCAAAATTTAAAGCAAATCTGAGCGTCGCACCTGGAGTACTTCCCCTGTAAGCGTTTTTTTGAACTTTTGAATTTTTTTCCCCATAGAACACTTACTGTATTTTTTTGCTTTTTATATTAAAGAAACAATTCCTCCCACCAGTGCCAGGTTGTAGCAAAAAACGCCGAATACGTTTTACATAATGATTTAAAAAGAGGTTTTCAAGCGGACTTCCGCCAAGAGTGTCCCGAAGTTTCCCTTCGAAAACGTATTTGAATACGCGGTACTTATAGTGACCGATTTATCCGATTTTTGGAATATAAACAAAAACAAAGATTACAAGATAAATGGGCTTCGGAATCTATTCGTTGAGCGTCTGGAAAAGAAAAAAAAATTTTGAATATCACTTTTCTCACTGTCGCGTGACAAAAGAAGCCAGTTGTATAACGCGAAAATTTTGTATTTCGTCTTTGATGTCAAATATAATATTATTTTTGCAGTAAAAAATTTACAATTTAAAGTCTAAGCGGTTTAAAGCCAGACGGATAAAGTGTGATTTAAAATGGCACAGGGTCTTCAGAAAACGGCGATAGCATTTCAAAAACCATTACAAACGTTGGGTTCTTGACATCTTGCCTGAGGTATGATGTGGTCGTGTAGAAAGCTGATAAAAAAATATAAATTGAAGCTGTCTTCTATCTAGAACTTAAAAAATATATGATTTGTAATGTATAGTATTATTTACATGAAGTATATATCCAGAAATCAATAAATTCGATTTTTATAGGTAAAATACGTTTC